AGGCTCATCATTATCGTCTCTTATAGACGCCGGCTGTGGGCCCTTGAACGCGAACGCGGCATGAGAAAAGGTAAAAAAAGGGGCGACGAGCCAGAATTCACAGGCAGTGTGACGAGTTCTGCTGCCTCGGGTACGAGAACGAGCTTGCTTCGTACACTTTTTACTCCGGCCTATGCCAAAAGTTGTGTGTGTGTGCCTCCTTGTATAATTATAGGGATGCAGGAGTATAGTTGGTGGTACTATGCACAGTAACATTCCAGAATTTTGATCAGGGCTTAGAAGCGGGAGTCCGGATAGGACAGCCGTATGTGGCTACGAGCGGATTTCAATCCGCATACGGAGTGTTCTCGCCTCTGATTCATCCTTCTCGCAGTAAGAAGAGATATTACGAGGTCCCAAACCAACTGTTAAACGCCGCTAGAATGTGCCAGAAGGAGTAGAAAATCGCCAGGCCTGGAAATTGCGTCGAAAGTTGCCAATATTAAGCCAATATCAGTTCATTGGCTTGTGGGGAATATCGTCCGCGCCTCGGGAGCTCCCTCTCACCAACCAAGCCAGCCAACCGCTTCCGCTTGTCCAGTTCTTCCTGTCATCCCACGTTGCACGCCTTACGGGAAGCGGATCACTGGTGGATATCTCACGTTCACGCGGAAAGGGAAGGTATACTCACGTACGGAGTATAGGCCCCCCCTGCCATCGGACTTTCAAATCGTGGGAGAACAGTCTTTTGGGGGAGGCAAAAACAGTTCCTCCGTTGTATTCGCAACGGCTGGGCTATAATACGTAAAGTTGGGCTAAAGATTCGATCCATCCGGGACGCCCACTAGTGCTGTTTTGTACCTTCGCTCCGGCCCTGAAGTAAACCTTCACAGCTTCAAAATCATGGTACATTATAATACCGCGTCAGATCCCCCTCTCGCCGTATTCCTTCAGCCCCTTACGGTTTGTGTGAGAGGGCGTGGAAGATTTACTTTTTTTTTTTACCACCCCCTCGCTCTTTGCTTTTTGGTCTAATCTTGGTTCTGCTAGACAGTCATCTTTCGCCTCTTCTATGGAATAGCGCGTCAATTGATTTACATTGCCTCCACTTAGGACCTCGCTAGGGGCGTTCAACAAAATACCGTCACCCAGGATTTTGGAACGGCTCTGGAATCCACATAGAACATGAGAAAAAGCCAAATTGACGCACTATGGGAATGGGGGTTTGCACTACTCGTGTGTGGGTGGGACGAGCTGGTCTTTGATCCCCGTCGGGGATATCATGGATACCAAAAAAATTATCCCCACGATCGTCGAGGGGGGAGGACTTTTCTAGAAAATATTTCCCCATTTCTGCCCCGTCTCAGGAGCGGAGGCGAGAGGCGAACAGCAGATTCTCAGGGACGTCCCAGCCCTGTGCTCTGTCTAGACGACGGAGTACGGAATATATAACTAAGATAGGGGGGGCTGTTGTGGATCAACTGGCGGCCCGGAGGTTGGCTATAAAAAAGGGGGCCCCCTTCCACACAGCCGGCCTCAGCATTGTCAGATTGGTGGATTACGTTTCCTCCGTTTCATCTCGACTTCCTGTTCGCTATTTTACTCCGTATCGGCGGGCAGGTCGACACGAAGGAATCGATTCGCCCCTCGTTAGGGCCAGCTTAAGTTACCATAAAAAGCGCTCGAGTATAGGTCCTCCTCCTCCTCGTCCTCCTGCTGCCGTCGATTTTTGCAGAAGAGCCTCACCCTCACGCCCAGGCGGGCCAGACGGCCCAGAGACGTTGTGGCTTGCAAACCGCCCTGTTGTCTGCTCGATTCTGGTTTCTGCAAGGTACGTGTTTGAGTCTTAGCCAAGCAAACGACGAAGTTGCATGTCCTCGGCCGGTGGTCGAGCATACCACGTATTCACCAAGGAAGATGGCTGGCTGCTGAGTTGTCCCTCTATCGAGATTGGCGTCAGTAGGGTTGCGCTGCGTTGGGCGAGAACTTGTCTTGTCGGCCAGTAGGTGAAGCCTCAACACCCACCGATCCATGCGGTCGTGCGTCCTGGGCTGGGGCCCGTCCCATCGATATCGCAAATCAGACTGCCAGGTTGATGCCCAGCTGAAGCTTCCTATCGCCCGTACACAGGCCACAGTAGGACCACGTACTGTCCGTGGCGTGGTGTATATTAGCGCTTCCGGCCCCAGTGACCTGAATGCTGGGTCCCCGGAGACAACCATTGTTCGGTGTTTGCATGGCCAACCAGCAGATTTTTCAGGCGCCTCTCGACCTTCTGCTCTCTCAATATCTTATCCACCGGCAAGCCTGGGGCTTGCGGAAGCCCACTTCCACGTAGTCAATGATCTGAGATGATCTCCAGAGACTAGCTTTCCTATAGGACGCTTGGTGGGATGGCTTTCGTATAGGCTATGTGATCTCTGCAAGATGATCTCCTATCATATCATAATAACGTCCAGTCCTGGATATGGATGTGGTCCACTTTCCCTTATTTTTCATTATTATTTTTTTTATATAGAGTATAGTTAGTATAGGTCTATCCACCAGCTCCTCTGCGGCAGCGGAAGTATGCATCCTTCCCGACAGGTGGATAATCTTCAAGATCCAAACGAACAGATTCCAATCAACTGGAAACCGCGGAGCTGGTCCGAAACCATAAGTAAATTCCTAAAACTTTTTTTTTCCCTTCGCCTTCTACCCTGCCTCCTTTTCGAGTCGGCGCAGGCTGCAGCAAATCTCGCGCTCTGCTTCCGCGTCTCGAACATGACCGGTCTTATCCAGTCTTGTTCGTGGCTGTCCTAATTTCCGCTCAGGACGAGAGAGAGTATTCTCGCCCTCAACCGTCGAAAGGGTAAAAAAAAAAGTATTCTGGCCTCCGACCACAAAAAGTTGTGGCATATCACTTTTTCTTTCCTTATTCTCGGTGACCCGTTCTTGAAAGGCGGGAAATAAGCCCGTTTCGCCCCCCTTTCCCCTCCTCTTTTCATCCATTCGCTGATGCAGGTTCTTTAAGACGACGACTTTATACGGCTTCGTTTTGTTTGGAGGATCGATATATGTATTTCACTGTCCCCAGAGTGTTGGGTTCATTCTTTGACTACACCAACGTGCTAGGACCATGGCGTTGGATGTGTCGACCAGACAAAGATTCCTCATCAGGGGGAGAAAAGAGAGATAAAGCAAATAAATTCCCCTTTCGTTAAATCGTTATCGTTTAATTGGTCGTTTATATCCGTGCCTTGGCCTTTTTTATCTTGAACTCACCAAGTTGCAGATAAATGGCCAAACGCTACTCCGTACTCCGTACAAGCAAGGAACTCGTCGAATACCTGTCTTTAAGTCGAGACTGTTGGTTCTTGCAGCTTCTTCATTGAGGAAGAGAATTAGGATGCGGAGTATTAAGAATACAACCGACCGCTAAGATGCTGAATCTGTGTTCGATTACTGCTCAGATTTCGCTCGGTTGGATGGCTGGCAAACCGATATATCACATTGGCCTCCTACTTTCGGGAAGCGCAAACGCCTCTCTATGACATCCCATTCGGGCGCCCAATAGCGCACTACCATCTGGACCCGGATACCTGCTCTGACACTCCCCGTTTGTGAGATCTTTCATTGTTCGTCTTTATTGACGTCAACCATCAGCAGTCCATCGATCGTCCCGATGGTTATGCATGCTAATATTCGCTAATAATTGGCCCTAACGAACCCTGATTATTAATAGCATATGCTCTTCATGCAAGGTAGATGCAGGTGCACCATATATTTTGCATCGATTCGTTGCATCTGCATCGCATCTGCATCTAAAGCCTGGTGCAGCGGGAGGGATAATGGATCCGGCCCCTCAAGTCAAGCAATAAGCCCTAACCCCGTAATCGCCAAGTTAGATCTATCCTGGAAACCATGGTCAGCATCGCAGGAGGGTTTCCTTTGTGCCGTTGACACGATCGGCAGCGGCGTTCAAGAAAGAAAAATTGCATCTACAAAGAACCATGTCAAACGAGCACGTTCAGAGTACAGAAGGCCCTGACGGAGTACCAAAAAGTCCTTACAGCCAGTTGTATTTTTTTCCAATTTTTCAAAGGGCAAGTCTAAGAGGTGCCTAAGGCTCCAAGGCAGGGTGGATTAGAGTGCTCACAAGGAATTTTGGTAGGAACCGACGTCGTACATATATGTACAAGGCAGAGTTCTGGAGTCCGCCCTCCCGACGCCAACGGCTAAAGCGTTGAGATAGATCGTACCCGGACCGAGAGCCTGCAGCTTCCGCAGGAACCGTTTTTGAGAAACAAGTTTGCTGCAAAATAAAAAAAAATAAAATAAAATAAAAAAGAACACGGTCTCGGATTAAAGGAACTAGCAATAAAGAATATAGCCAGCGAAACGAGCGTACGCGCGTTGACTGAGACAGATTGCTTTTCGATTTGGGAAGCAGATGAGCGTTCGTTGGCATTTGTTTTTCCCCAACATTCAGGAGCTAAATATACGCGGTCGACCATTCAGCGCCGAGCTTCTCGCTCATAAGGCTAACAGCCGCCATTGACAAGTAAAGAGTCTACAACCACCCTCGTGCAGTGATTTCGCCTTATACCCAAGCATCCTGACGAGCTCCTTTGGTCGATAATGTCGTAGACCTCGTATCCTTTGGGTTTCGGAAGGTCCCAGCCGGATGGGGAAAAAAATGTCATGTCGACCTGAAGGCCGTCTGCTAAATGCTGCATGATGAAGATTTGAAAAAAAAAAAAAAAAGATTTGAAAAACGTTTCAGCTCTTCCAACCGCCCAGTTGACGGCCCACGGTTCAAGTTGACACCGCGAAGGACGAAATATGGCGGCAAATGAGGCAATACCATATCAAAAACATGAAACAGGTGTTCTCGTGGCAGACCAGCCTTACACTTTAGATCAAGAATATCACGATTAGTTAAATTGAAGACAACCGACTTTGCCGCTGGAACCGCCAGCCGAGGAGACAACCTGTACCTCCTACACGATGACGCATGGACACGATCATGGACAGGTCGGTTAGATATTTGGTGGCTCTTCTCGGGGTGGCTTATTCATGCATTGATATGCCATCTCAAACTAAGCCGCACAATCATATTAGCCCAAGCTGCCGCTACATGAAAACAAACTCACTCTAGAGAATGGCCTCAACTATGAGAGGTATCTAGGACAAGGATAGAGGAATATGCTTACCGCCTCGTCAGTCTGACAGATCAGGACAGCGGGCCGCTGGCTGGAATTTTGAGATATGTCTATCACCGTTTGATCCTTCTTTGCAATACCTGCCGAATTTGCTCGATCATCCATAGCAAATCCAAGGCATCGACACTTCTCTACTATCACCCTTCTCAGGAGGGCACCTTGTTCGCCAATACCCCCCGCAAATACCATAGCGTCGATATTTCCGTCTAGTTTGACGAAATAATTACCAATAAAGCCAACGATACGGTCGACAAAGATATCAAAAGCCAGCTTATGCATCTCGCTTGGCGGATTTTCAGTTCCAATCTGGGAAAAGTCGGTGGTGCCGGTCAACGCTTTCCAACCTGACTGTTTGTTGAGAATTTCTTCTGCCTGTACATGACCAGTCAACATTGGAATCTCACCTCCGATAAATTTATTTGCATTGTGCATACCTTGCTGATATGCATTTCTTTAGTGCTTGAGGAGCTTAGCTTGCCAGCCTCAGATGTATAATGGAAAACAAGACTGGCCATCGTCAGCACGATAACCTTCCCAATCCAGCATACTTTCAAACCAGCCTACCTCGCATCAATGTCTCCGCTTCTAGTTGCGCCGGGAAGGCCAGACAGTGGGGTTAGACCCATCCTGCAATGCACTCGTAAGTCAGGAGTTTAATTTTCTAGCTGCATATTCCGCGATCGTACATGGGGTTTAGAGAAATGTAATATGAGGCGGCAGACGTACGTAGTTTCTATCGACTTGCCATTTCGGATAGCACATATGGAAGCACCGCTTCCGAGATGCAGTGCGATCATGTTTGTTTTCGAGATCGGCTGCTTCAAAAATTCCGATACAGACCGCAGTATGAATGAGAAGCTAATCCCATGAAAGCCGTATTTTCTCAACATCTTTGATTTGGCTATTTCCGGATTGATAGGATAGGCTTTGATGTATTCTGGGAGGCATTGATGGAATGTGGTATCAAAATATGCCACCGATTTTGCGGACGGTACCTCCTCAAGGCATGTCTTGATAATCTCCAAAGCTGAAGTATTATGTCTAGGCTCCGAGTTAGTTACTGTCAATAATATCCTTCCCGTCTGATTGGAATTACACCTACAACGGAGCCAGGTCCTGCAGTGTTTCGAGATAGCTGAACGTCTTCTCATGGATTACAACTTCTGCTTCCAGGTCGCCGCCATGCACCACTCTGTGGCAGACATAGGCGTAATCAGCATTGCTACCGACGACCTGCAATTCCTCGTCATGTAGAAGCCTCTTCAGTATATATTTGAACGCCTCCTGGGGGCTCTTTATCCGTTCTTCGATCTCGTGCTTTTGATGGCTGGAGCCGTGGTTGTATTTGAAGATACTTGGCGGGGCTGTCAGTCCGCTGACATTTGCTGCCGCGATCTCGACCGGCGGATTCTCGAGACTGTAAACATTCACCTTGACAGACGAACTGCCGGCGTTGACGGAGAGAATCACCTTGCCCATTATGAATACTCGGTTTAATCCTCTACTTGAAGCCTTTCTATCACATATTCTACGACATTTTACCGACTCTACGTCGAAATATGGCAGAACAGGGATATACATCCTACTTTTCCAACATTATGATGTCAACAGAGAGTATCGACGCCGGTGACGTAGTTTGCACCTCAAAGGCGATATTCAAAAGGCTTTTTGTATTTCAAATACAAAAATGACCTTCTATTCCCTCCTCCGGTTTCAATTCCTTTTCCTCGGATGATACGGCTTCTGGTTGCTCTGCATCTACGGAGTACAAAACTGCATATTTAGATCAAACGTCAGATCAAGATGCCTGGAGAAGTGATTGATCGACCAAACCCGGGGCCTCCACCGTCCCATTTACCAGATTCGGTGGACGAACTCATAGTTCGGCTTCAAACAGTCAAATTAGACGACAATGCCCGTCGATCATTGGAGAAGTTTCGCAGGGCTACGGACTATATCGCTGCAGGTTAGTTCTCAATTGCAATCGATAGTGCTACGTCTGGATTGTGGCTGATAGTGATATCCCGCGAAGCTATGATATTTCTCCAAGATAATGCCTACTTGAAACGTCCGGTCAAGCCCGAGGACATCAAACCCCGTCTACTAGGTATGCTGAAAAGTCTCGCAGCTTCTGCAAATATCGATACTATATCACTCACTGACGGGAGGGTTGGTAAGGCCACTGGGGGACCTGCCCTGGTCTGAATCTCGTGTACTCCCATCTTAATTACCTCATACGATGTCACGACTTGGATATGCTCTTCGTCACCGGGCCTGGACACGGCGCTCCTGCGATCCTCGCCTCACTCTGGATTGAAGGGTCATTGGGAAAGTTTTACCCTAAGTACGCCAATAACGCCAGCGGGCTGACAAAATTGATCACCCAATTCAGCACAACTGGCGGGTTCCCCAGGTGAGATGACAATATGCATGCCACAGCACTCCCCATGTTTAAAGATGTTAGCTAACATCTCGCAGCCATATCAATGCGGAGACACCGGGATCGATACATGAAGGTGGCGAACTCGGATATGCCCTGGCCGTCTCGTTCGGGGCGGTCATGGATAACCCAGACCTGATAACAGCTGTCGTTGTGGGCGATGGCGAGGCCGAGAGCGGCCCGTGTACAGCGTCAGTCTATCTAGAGACGACCCACCTCTCAGATATGTTATACATGTTTTGCTAATTTGCAAGTATAGGAGCTGGAATGGTATCAAGTACATCGATCCTGCAGAGTCAGGGGCCGTTTTGCCAATTCTGCATCTTAATGGATTTAAGATTAGCGAGCGGACTATTTACGGTTGTATGGATGACCGAGAGCTTGTTTCCTTGTTTTCCGGTTTCGGCTATCAGACACGAATCGTGGAGGGTTTAGACGATATTGATACCAACTTGAACAGCTCGCTAGAATGGGCGCTAGCTGAGATTCGTAAGATTCAAAAGGCCGCTCGGTCAGGAAACCCAATCATGAAACCCCGGTGGCCAATGTTGATCTTGCGAACCCCAAAAGTTAGTTAACATTCTATACCTGCAATGCCTGAGTAGTAGACTAACCTCTTTCTCTTCAGGGTTGGACAGGACCAAAGAGTATCCATGGAAAAATTGTTGAGGGCTCCTTTGCTGCCCATCAAGTGCCATTGCCCCAGGCGGCAAAGGATGACGAAGAGCTCGAGGCATTACAGACATGGCTTTCTTCCTATAAGCCTGAAGAGCTGTTCGACGAGAATGGAGACGTGATCGATGATATTAAATCCATTCTTCCCAAGGAAGACTGCAAACGAATGGGTCAACGGAAAGAAGTGTGTGATTCTTTTGAAAAACTCAAAATGCCAGATTGGAGACGTTACACAGTCTCGAAAGGGTCACAGGAGAGCTCTATGAAAACGATCTCGCATTTTCTAGACCAGATCCTGGTGGATAACCCCCATTCTATGCGGATTTTTTCCCCAGATGAACTGGAGAGTAACAAGCTAGGTGCCGTGTTAGAGCATACGGGGCGAAATTTTCAGTGGGATCAATTTTCCAATGCTCGTGGGGGCCGGGTGATTGAAGTGTTGAGCGAGCATATGTGCCAGGGTTTTCTCCAGGGATACACTTTGACTGGCCGAACTGGTATATTCCCTTCTTACGAGAGTTTCTTAGGAATCATCCATACGATGATGGTCCAATACTCTAAATTCAACAAAATGGTACGTTGACCCCTTCAATATAACGTTTCCATTTATAGGAATCGGGTTGCTTATTATACACACGCAGGGAAGGGATACCAACTGGCGTCGCCCGTTGCCTAGTATTAATTATATCGAGACTAGCACCTGGGCCCGCCAGGAGCATAATGGATTCTCTCATCAGAATCCATCATTTATATCCGCGGTTTTGAACCTGAAGCCCTATGCTGCAAGAGTTTATCTGCCACCGGATGGCAACACGTTCCTTTCAACGTTGTCTCACTGCTTACAGTCAAAGAACTATGTTAACCTTATGATCGGGTCGAAACAGCCAACTCAGATATACCTGAGTGTGGAAGAGGCTGAAACCCACTGCCGAGCAGGAGGTTCGATCTGGGGGTTTGCGAGTACGGATGGTGGCCTTGATCCGGACGTCGTACTTGTTGGCATTGGGACAGAAGTCACGTTCGAGGTCATCCAGGCTGCTTCCATACTGAGAAAGCTGGTTCCAGAACTTCGCGTTCGAGTGATAAACGTGACAGACCTAATGATCCTTGGATCAGAGAGAAGCCATCCGCACTCCCTCTCGGATGAGACGTTTGACTCGATGTTCACCGCAGACCGTCCGATCCACGTCAACTACCACGGATATGAAACAGAGTTAAAGGGTCTGCTCTTCGGTAGACCTCGTGTTGACCGTATCAGCATCGGTTCTTACATGGAGGAGGGTTCTACCACAACTCCGTTTGACATGATGCTTCTAAATAGGGTATCGCGATTCCACGTTGCCAAGGCTGCCGTGAGCGGAGGCTCGCTGCGCAATGAAAAGGTGAGGATCCGGCAGCAGGAGCTTCTCACTACCTTTGAGCATGAGATCCGATCTGCAAGGAAGTACATCATCGAGAATCACAAAGGTAAGCCTGACACCTGCTATTTAACTGGCAGCAGCAGCTAACAGGAATGGCAGATCCCAGCGACATGTACGACATGCCCACATTTAAATAGGCAGACTAGTACTCCGTATGATATCGTAGTTAATAGTTAAATAGTTCCAATATATTCTGTTCTGTTCTTATTCTCTTGATATATTGTCTGTTCTGTTCTGTTCTCTCGCTCTTGATATTGGATGTAGTCACGTGCCCACCACGTGCCCATCAAGCTAACCCGATCGGTAAGCGAGGGTTATCCCCACGAAGAACATCGAAAAATCGTGACTTTGCGAATCTTGATGGTCGCAGCCAAATAAGTTCAAGCACCTTCAATTTCGACAACCACCACCGGCACCGCCAAACGAACGACGAGGGAGCAGCGAATTACCATCCCAACTCTCCTGAATTTGTCTGCCCACCATGGCTGCTAACAAGATCGCCCCAAACAGCCCTTCGAGGCAGAGCCCTTCCGACCTCGAGAAGGCTTTGGCTACCGCCCTCAATGACTTGGAGACCAACACCCCAGACCTGAAGGCCGCTCTACGACCACTCCAGTTCGTGTCTGCTCGCGAGGTAAGGAATCCAGCTTCCTGTTTCTTCTTGGTGGATATATATCGGCATATTGGCGGTTGTGGTGGTGCCTCTTGTGCGCGGAGTTGAGCACGGCGGTGATATAAGGAAAGCTGCTGGGAGTTTCGTCGCATGGTATATGCATGCGTGGAGAGCTTCTGCATGCTACTGCTCAAGGGGAGGATTCAATATCTGCAATTCGGCCACCGCGGGGGCCGCTGATGTTCAGCTCTATGTCGAATTTATACTGACGGTTTTCTGGAAATACAGGTGGAGGTTGGCCACGGAAAGAAGGCCATTGTGATGTTTGTCCCAGTTCCCCTCCTCCAGGGATTCCACAAGATCCAGCAACGGTACATCTCCCTTCAAACAGCTGTACAATTACGACATGTGCGCTAACATCTAAACTAGCCTTACCCGGGAGCTCGAGAAGAAATTCTCTGACCGTCAAGTCATCATCATTGCTTCCCGCCGTATCCTCCCCCGCCCAAAGCGATCCACCTCCTCTCGCAACAGCCAGACCCAGAAGCGCCCACGCTCCCGTACGCTCACTGCTGTCCACGAAGCTATTCTCACCGATATCGTATACCCAGTCGAGATTGTTGGCAAGCGTACCCGAACAAAGGAAGATGGCAGCAAATTGTTGAAGGTTGTTCTCCACGAGAAGGAGCGTGGTGGTGTTGACCACCGTCTTGATGCATATGGCGAGGTCTACCGAAAATTGACAGGTCGTGGCGTTGCCTTTGAGTTCCCCCAGAGCGGTTCTACGGAGTACTAGATTTGGTGTGGGCAATTCAATGAATTAAGAAATGGAGATATGACGCGGTGCTGCCTCTTTTTCTCTCGTCTTCTACACTGGGAATAATACCCGATGGAGAATTTAACAAAAACGTGTACACCACTAAATATCGCTCTCCATTGAGTTGAGGAAGGCGTCGTTATTTGGAGGGAAAATAATACAAGTTTAACGACTTTTCCTATGTACGGAGTGCACCAAATCAATTGATGAGATTTCCAAGTTAAGAGGCCTGTTTGGACGATTCCCATCTAGATCTTTCCTCAACGCTCCTAGAAACAAGCATATTACTTCTGTATCCACTTAAAAACTAGCTGCCTCCTGAAAATGTAGCATGGTTATAAATTTGAATATAGTATCGGGGCCAGCCAAGTACGTTGTAAATTGAGCTGAACAGATAGTAACAAACATATCTCATATAACGTCCGACTTTATTCTTCCTACCCCAAGTGTCATCCAATACGCCAGTTCTCTCTTCACCGTATCCGACTCCGCCTTCTTGTTGCTTTCCGAACGGAAGCCCATGTCTTCATTCCCTCCATCCGCATCCCATTCAATTCGGACAAACACAGGAATTTCAACCACATCTTCGTCCCCATCTATCATATCTCCCTGGCCCGGTTCATTCTTCGTATTCTTGATGGCACCGGGAACAACTTCCATAGCAACGGTAGTCCAGTTGCGTCCTTTGTCCCATACTTTGCCCGCTTCTGCAACTCTCTCTACACCGTGTCTAGAAGACCGTGGGTCAGGAGCATTGCCCGACTGAAGAGCTTCGTCCCAGACATCGGTGTTGGCGCCGACTTCAAGTTGAGGGCATAGTATTGTTACTTTTGTAGCAACAGGCCCAGGTGTTACTGATGGGGTCGCAAGGGTGACTCTAATAGGGTCGAACATGTGGTTCTTTAGGGTTAGAAGGAATTGGATAGGCCTCAGGGGGTCTAGGGCCTCCAAGTTAATCGGAAGAGCAACCGAGGATGGGTTGAGAGGGCGAAGAGAGGTAAGTGGGAGGTAACTGAGAGCGATAAGCCGGATGCGGAATCTGGTAGATTGAGGCTTGACTTCTGGTTTGACAAGGATATGCTTGCAAGCCTTGCATCTTTTAGATCTCTTTGTGCGCAATAGAACAGGTAGTGGTAGTAAATCGTCAACGAAGCGTGTAGAAGGTTGCTGGAACAGTCGTTGCTCCATCGAGGCCAATCCATCCCATCCTTCAGCTGCCATCTTTTCAATAATAGCATCATCTGATCCAGCAGCAGGTATAACTAGCCCCTCCGCCTGCGTCAGGGCTTCGCGCATGACTGGGGGTTTGGATTTATTCTTCTTATTGTTGCCATGCATATTCCCTACCCCTGTATTGTAAAGAGACATGATACGGCTCAAGGCATTGGGAGACGAGTATAGCCCAAATTCGCCTCCCATCAAGTGATCTGATGGTGACGACGATGTTTCAGCAATCTGGCTGCGATAGAAGTTCTTTAGGGCTGTGAAGCGAGCATCGTGGCCAAGCGTGGGTTTAGTATCGAATGACATCGGGCTTCCTAGTTTCTCATCCCCCCCTTCCTCAGGCAGACTCGGTGCAGAGGCGAAACTTGCGAGTGGAGATTTAAACTGTGAGAGTCTAGCTTCTGATGGTCGTCGGGCTGTCCCATTCCTCAATGCTAGTAGCTGAGAACGTATGTTTGTTGGTTTGTCAAATTTTACGTCGATGTCAAGGCTGGTCCACATGCAATAACCACAAGATAGAATCCACGGACCACTCTGGGAAGCCCCATTCTCAGTGTTGCTAATAGTCGTTACTGTCAATGGTGACGTGCAAATGGGGCAGTTGAAACAATTGCGCGCACATCTAAATGTAGATATCCTTAGTATCATAATTCAATTTTGTTGTATGGCATGTTTGTGCCTACCTGTTGCCCTCACTTCTAACCATGCTACTTGGGGTTTCAAATAGGCAATTCGGGCAGTACCAGCAAACAATTTCTTCTGTTATGCACCTTGCGCATTTTATCTGATGACAATCTTCGCAGTATAGGAGATGTTCTGGGGGGTATAAAGAATAGTTTGCGCGGCGCGATCTCGGATCAAAGGTTCGCTCATCCTCGTCCGCGTCAGGTGCCTGAAGGCTTAGCTTGGAGAAGTCTTTAGAGAGTCGATTTGAAGCTGGTGTAGGAGGCGGACTATCGACGCAAGGGCATGATATGAAGTTGTATGGGAAGGGGCGCGCCATTATGAACGAGAGGAAGAGAAACGGTTTCGTAGAGTAGATGTCATGTCCTAGCCAGTTATAATTTCCGCTTCGATTTCAGTTCGATTAAAAAACTGTATATAACAAGCCTGGCATCGTTTAAGGGAGTTCTTTTGCTAGAGATGATATTGTCAGGAGCTTGTGGTTATCGCGAGTGTGATAGGAGTAAAGGAACTGTCTACCTCGATTTAGCTAATAATGGCTTGGGAGTGATGTTAATAGTGACTCGCTTTTAGCTTCTCTGAAGTAGTCATTAGAGTATTGTTGCTGTTGTCGTTGTTGAGAGCTCTTTGTGGTGTGTTGATCATGAGGTGATGAGGTCACGGATTTCGCAGCTACATTGCTACAATTTCTCGAAAGTCCCTCTACAGCTCAACATCACACCTCCACGCGCAATTGCAAAACAACCTTTCAGCTTACGATTATGACAACCCGGGAATGAATTTATGACGAGATATTAAGGAAAGAAAACCACATCCTCCGTTCACAGCAGGACTCCATGTCTCTCCGCCCTTGTCTTCGCAGCCCACTTCTACGGCGATCGGGCTTCATATCGAGAAGCTATGCAGTCCAAACACCTGGGAACCCGACCCTAGAGATTTTTAATAGGAGGACTAAAGTGCTGCAGAAGGATAGGGCTGCTGAGAATGTTGAGGAAAGCAGGAAAGTTGACTATTTGAAAGATGAAGTTGCGCTGCGGTTGAGTGATAGACTCCTGGTAGGATAATCGATCTTGTATCTCTGCGTTCTTCGACCATTGTATTTGCCAGCCTGCTTACGAATATTGGATTTGTTAGGACATCAAAAGACATTTTGCAAATGTCCTAGATCTCGGCGCAAATAGCTGCAACATAGCTCGCGCTTTAACCTCTACTCCGATATCAGCTGGAGAAGAAGGCATAAAACCAGTAACCGGAGAAACAATAGCAAGCAAAGTATCGAAAATAACATGCATTGAGGAATCTCGAAACCTTCTCTACCGAGACGAATCCCTTTCATTCAACTCCCAGATTTCGATCAACCGTGAAATTGTTCCGAGCATTGAAAATCTTCCCTATGAACCAAACACGTTCGATGCCGTTCTCTCCTCCCTCTCGATGCACTGGATAAACGATCTACCATCACTTCTTGCGCAGGTGAACTCTATATTAAAGCCGGACAGCCCATTTATTGCCGTAATGTTTGGAGGGGATACTCTATTTGAGCTTCGGACATCACTACAACTGGCAGATCTCGAACGCCGGGGAGGTGTAAGCCCTCACGTATCTCCGCTCGCTGATGTTCGTGATGTTGGTGGGCTATTGACTAAAGCCGGATTCAAACTGCTCACAGTTGATGTGGAAGATATTGTGGTCGAGTACCCCGATACCTTCGCGCTGATGGCTGATCTTCAAGCAATGGGGGAGAATAATGCAATTTTGAGAAGAGAAGCTGGGCCAATATCTAGAGATGTGTTGTTGGCGAATGAGGCGATATACAGAAGCCTACACGCAGAGGATGGTGCGAAAGGAATTCCTGCTACCTTCCGGCTGGTATTTATGATAGGATGGAAAGAAGGGGAGGGACAGTCGAAGCCGTTAGAGAGGGGGAGTGGGCAAGTCAACCTCAAAGACATCATTGGATCAGGGTAGACGAGCCAAGTACCTGTCAGTGTTATACCGCGTATGTACAATATTGTAAGCTATATAGAATTGGTAGAATGCGTGTACGCGTATAAAGTAATGGCTCGGGAATTCCGTTGTATGAACCTTTATAATAAGCATGGCATGCCTTTTATCCCACACCATCTATAGAGGTAGTACAGGAGTCAGCCGGACGGCTGGGGTCATATGAAATTCGTTTGGACAATGGATGATCATCAAGTTCAACACGATCCGTTGAGTGTTCTAAACGTGCATTGTTCCGTAAAGGTATCAGACAGTTCTCCGGTCAGTCATTACCCGTACAATCGAGCCAACTCCCACAGTCTCAACTAGTTTCTCATGCCAGCTTAGGAGTACGCTCATCTGTTGACCACCGCCTCCCTCTCCGAGATTTCGTCCTTGTATTTGGGAGAAACCGGTGTTTTGTGGGGAAACAGTCTTTGAGCCGCCATCACTACTTGACTGTATAGACATGCCCTTGTACCTATTGACCAAAACGTTAGTTAGGATAATCCAACTACAAAAAGCATTTAAAATGGAAAGTTGGAGGGATTCGTAAGATAGGAGGGCGGTCATACAAATACTTCATTAAACAATCTCCCCGTTCTGCGCCTCCCTCGCCGTTGCACACGCTTTCCAGCACCCTTGTCATCTCGGTCTGCCGTATGCCCTGCAATACCTCCACGACTGAAGCAAGGTGAACTTCCTTAGCTCTGTCGTCGCCTCCTAGCGGTGCTGAGTCGAGGACATGGCGCAAAGCCCCCTCCGTGTCGCCGGATCGCAGCAGCTGCCTGATCTGTGACCCCAGGCTTGCCGCAGCGCTGGAAGTAGTAGGCGGGGGTAGATTTGAGGGAAGTAAAGATGAAATCGGGAAGTTCGCAGACGACTCTGGGTCAAGGCTATCGATGTCAATTGTTCTGTAGTTTATAACGGGTGGCATTGTGGTTCGTGGTATAGAGATATATGTCGGCTGTCTATCGGAGGTGCCTTGCGGAGGGAGGGGTCTTCGCCAGGTAGTAGAAGGCGTAGTAGATGCAGTGATAGTTTTTATTTGCGCAAGTGAATCTTCAGATGTCACAAGTCAATTGTAGCCTTCGGGGCCGGCAGGACTGGGAGGTAAGATGAGAGCTGGATGCTGGTCTGGTGTCTTCTTGTTACCTTGAAGCAACTGCGGGATATTTCGCTGACGTTTGGTCGTCGATGCCAAGCCCTAGATGAACATGGCGATGCACACAGCGAAGGACAAGATATTGAGACTGCAACTACAATGCACATACGGAGCTACGATATACAGCTGGAGACGTAGGTAATGATCATGAGATTCTGTCATATTCTAAATTTGGGCAAGTTCCACGTAAATAACTAGAAACCAGAACGAATGTAAAATGAAACTGTGTGCCAGTTTGGCACCCACACAACAACGCCATCGCTATGCATTTGGGGGTGGAATGTAAATAAACGAAAGGTGTTCGCTAAGGATATGCAAGAGAAAAGGTAGGGGAAACATCTAACATCTCTAGGTAGATATGACAGCCGTGTAACGATCGTAAAATGCCTGGACAGTAGCCACCGAGGAACAAAAAACATTAAACAGTGAAGAGTAAAATGGACTAGATGGGAATCCAGTCATGCAAAAGCAAAGATGTTGACGTATTTAGCTAGGGGCAGTGAGGGTGATAGGTGGTGGGACGATGGTAGGCGGAGAAACGACAGGCTGAGCATTGGCAGTCGTGTTGATGATCGTAGGCTGCTTCTCAATGTCACCAGTCTCTTCGTCTCGTCGTCTTTTTTCTTCCGAGTCGGCGTTGGGTTGCTCGTCCCCAGTCTCAGGCTCATCCTTCTTGGGGAAAACACGTTGACGAATTGCCTTGAATGCCTTTCCAACGGGGGAGAAGATAACACGGCATGCCTTTGTCAACGGTTTCCAGAAGAAATTGAAGCATGAGGTAGTGATGTCGATGATGACTTGGAAATATTGGTCAGGGAAACAGCGAACAAGGACACCCCATAGCAGGCAAGGCAACGAAGTTCCGATGCAAATAGCCCATTGCACAGCCGTAAGGGGCTTGACGCCAATTGCAGCACCGCCGACGAAGATGATCATGATTTGGCCACCGATCATGATTGCGTTGATACCCAAGAAGAAGTAGTTCTTAAACATGCCCTCAAAGATGTTGAACTTGTTGTCTAGACGACGGTTGTTGAACTCGTTGAAAATCTGCATCCAAACAAAGGTGTTGAAGACAATGGTGTCCATTTGGGCAGCAAGGAGGCCGCTGGGATCATTTTCGAGGTCGTATCCGAATATCTTCGCTCCGGCGAAATAGAGCACAAATGTCACCGCGAGCTGATAGATGGCTTGTCCAATAATCATTTTCCACATGGTTGTGGTGAAGAGCGGAGCGGATTTTGGAGATGGTTTACGGTCAAGAATTTTATCAGTAGGAGCGTCAGTAGCCCTAAAGGTGAGTCAGTATGGGAAAAAGAATCATCAATGGAAGCAGTCTTGAGGGAAAACATACAGTGCTAGGGCAGCAAAGGTATCCATGATGAGATTAACCCAGAGAAGCTGGACCGCATTCAGAACACTCTCGCCCTTCGGGTTGGCGAGAGACGAAACGAAGGTCAATACCACAGCCGTAATGTTGACAGTGATTTGGAACTATGGGTTGTCAGTATAAGGGCTCCCTTCTATAAAATAAAGTATGTAGCCGGAGCTCACCTGTAAAAATTTCGCAACGGCATCGTTGACAGCTCGCCCCCAAGCAATGGCTGTCACAATGGACTTGAAATTGTCATCCAAAAGAATGATAGAACTAGCTTCCTTTGCGACTTCAGTACCGGCAATGCCCATGGAGAAACCAACATCCGCAGCCTTGAGTGCAGGTCCATCATTAGTACCATCACCGGTTACGGCAACAGTCTCTCCGAGGTGTTTCAGGCGGGTAACAAGAATACGTTTGTCCTCGGGGGATGAACGAGCCAAGACTTGCAGGTTAGGGAGAATTCGATCCATCTCTACGTCGGAGAGTTGGCGGAATTTAGGCCCTTCCATGGCAATGCCTTCAGGGGTTTTGATACCGCATTCCGTCGCAATAGCAACAGCAGTAGTCAAGTTGTCACCTTTGAAGAATCCGGTTAGTAATCACTCAGTTTTGGAAAGTGGTGGGAGTAGTATAAAAGGGGAATAACTAACCAGTGACCATCTTCACACTGACACCAGCCTTGTTACACTTCTGAATGGCACCAGGAACTTCATCTCGGAGGGGATCCTGAATCCCAACAACACCAACCCAGATCATATTATTGAAGACGTCATTGAAATCGGCGCAGGATTTGTCTTCTTCCATGGTCTTAGCTCCGCGTGGTGGCCAACATTCGAAATCCTGGTAGACCATGCCAATCGATCGCAAAGAGCGTTTGGCATAGGCGTTGATAGTTTCGAGAACTTCGGACTTGGATTTCGAAGAGAGTGTGGCAGTTTGGAGTTGAGGCGTAGCTATGTCTGAGATCACCCTGTTTGACTGATAGAGCATTATCTCCGCAGCACCCTTGACGAATAGACGGAAAGATCCATCGGACTGACGAACAACAACGCCCATGCACTTGCGAGAGGAGTCGAAGGGGATTAACTGAACAATTTCAGCGCAGGCACGTTCTTCAGTCAGGCTCAAGCCAAGGTAGTTTTGGGCAAGGTGCAACATAGCCACTTCGGTTTTGCTTCCGATGAACGTTTTCTCTCCATTCTCTTCACCCTCAAAGGCGGTTGAGTTAAGAGCAATGCCTTTCATCAACAAGTCACGAGCGGCGGTTGAGGCTCCACTGAACATCTGGGTGGCTGCTGAAGGACCTTCACCTTCGGCTTCGGGGGTACGATCAAAGCTATCTTTCATTCCGAAAGTCCCTGCGACAACAGTCATTTTGTTTTGAGTTAGAGTGCCAGTCTTATCTGAGCATATAACCGTTGCATTGCCCATTGTCTCGCAAGCACGTAATATCCGAACAAGATTGTTCTCCTTGACCATTCGGCTTGTAGCAAATGCCAGTGCGAGTGTAACAGCGAGTGGAAGTCCCTCTAATATTCAGCATGTTAGTGAGTTATACGGCAAGAGGAAGATGTTAAAATCGTACCTGGAATTGCAACAACAATGACTGTAACAGCAACGATCAGAATATCCAAAAATTCTTTGCCTTTCATGGCGGGCGAATGGTGATTATCTGGCAACTGAGCCAGGAATCGGAAGAGGAGCGCAAAGAATAAGGTAGCCGCGGCACTAAGTGTATATTAGTATTTGAATAAATTATTCAAGGAATAATGAGGAGGTTAACTTACGCAGTTCCAAGTCCACCAATCCAGTCAGCAAGGTTTCCCAGCTTGACCTGGAGTGGTGTAGGATCGTTCGAGGTCTGAAGTGAAAGCATGATCTTTCCGTACGACGAGTTTGGCCCAACGCTGGTGACGAGATAAGTTCCAACACCTTCGAGGACTTTGCTACCAGATATGATAAAGGGGTCGAGTTTCTTCGTGGCGGTCCCGTTATTGATCCGTTCCCAGACCTCGTGTCCATTGGTTTTCTTCATCTGATCCGACTCTCCAGTTGCGGAGGACTCATCACATCTAACACCATGGCCAGAAAGGAAGATACCATCGACAGGAACAGCATCACCGGGTTCAAGGTGGAGAATATCGCCCACAGTGATATCAAAAACGGATATCATAACAGACTTTCCTGAACGGATGGCTTTGATTTCACGGTCATTTTTCTATAAATCATTAGCTGATATCCCTGTAAAGTTTGGAGAATAACAGAACATACCTTTTTGTTCAGTTTCACGAATTGTCGTTCCTTTTGCCAGTCATTAATTGCAGTAACAATAGTGACAATGAGGATAGCCACGCAAATCGCAACTCCTTCGACCCAATCCACAGAACTTCCACCGCTGAATGTTTCGTATAGACCAAGAGATAATGAAACAACGGCGGCGATTGTGAGAAGAATGATGATCTTGTCGTTGTAAGCTCTCCAAAGCAGTACTAGAAATCCATCACTCTTCCGTTCGGGTAATTTGTTCCGATCATATACTCGCATGCGGTCCACAAACTGAGCTCCGTCCTTGGAAACAGTTCGCTGAGCGGGTGTGGGATTGGCTTCTTCATGTTTGGGCGAACCGCCCTGAACAGCATCCTCAAAACTAACTTTCCCTTCCAGATGTGTCTCGTCGAGTGAAAGCCCAGCAGTTAAATCTGTCCTCAACCCTTTCTCCAGCCCCTTCAATCCGCCGAGCGCTTTGAACGCAGCTAACGATTTCGGATTTAAGAGTTTGTTCAGTTGGCCAGGCGAAAAGGCGAAGGGGTTGTTGTCCACCTCGAAGTCGGCTTTATTGCGCTCATCTGCTTTTAGTGCTTCTGATATGGGAACATCGTCATAATCTGCGCCATCTGGTCTGGCGGAGGGTGGTTTGACTGTCGACCCGGACCGTGACCGTAGAGTTTCTACGTTTGAGTTGACTGAATTTGCTCTTGAGCGGAGAGTTTCTCCATCGAACGAGATTGGGCTCCGAGGGAATAGGAATGAATTCGCATCGTTGGATGTGGAAGGTCTGTCTGGCGAGAGCTCCTGTGCAGCAGTAGGGCTTAAAGGACTTATAGGGTCGGATGAGGAGGATGGTGTATCGTCATACTATTGTCGGTTAGAATCAGCGCCGCAAACAGTTGAATACTTCCACTCTTTGCACTTACATGAGTATCTATGGTAATAGGGGGTGCAAGCAACCTATTGTTGTTCGCCATGGAAGAGGGAGCTGAGGATAAGAATTGTGCTTGACCTGTGAGTATGCTCAAGTATCATGCAACTGGAAAAGGATACTGATATTTGTGCAACGGTATTAATAAAAAGTTGATTGGAAGATATAATAATTTTATGAAATAGATATGCCCGGAATAGGCTGTAGGTGGTCTGATCGTTACAGTGAGGGAGTGAGTCTCCTTACATAGACCCGTCACTGATAGTCCGATGGCGAGATTATCACGTCCCAGCCGCGATGTTGACGATTGTTACAGACTTGGCTTGCCGCCAATGACCCCCTTGGCCGTCATGCAGTGGATGCCTTCATCTCCTGCCTTTCGGGGATAAGAGTTTGCAGCGAGGCAGTGCAAAGTCTTGGGAATGCCCCAGCGCCAAATGACCGACCGCCACTGCTAGACAACCTTGGAAGGCATCCTTGCGCGAAGGTAGCCCCTGCTGTTTGTAAAAAAAAGCTTGCAACCTCGGCCGCATAGCTTTGGCACAGTGATACGCCGGGGTTGGCGGCTTCATACGTACAACTTTATCGTCGTTGCTGACGGGAAAATTTGGTGTTTCAACATGGCGGTTAGGATGAGGTTTCGGGAAGCCTATGGAGCCAATCTTTCAACTCCCGCTGTTGCATTTGTGGGCCTGTCAATCACCACACAAATTAAGGCTCTTTAACCTTTCCTGGGTTAGGCCAGGGGCCAGGGGCCATGGACCAAGGGAGGACCTGCAACATCCACTCGTCAAAACAGACTTGAGTCGAGTACGGATATCTACTCCGTACTCCGGCCAGATGTCGGGGGATACGCTTGATCTCGCATTTTGGCGACTGTATGCGGATATTTCTTCTGCCGTTGACTTGTAAATACTTGTTCTCGAACTCCGCACATCAATATGGACCAAAAGTCTGTCCTCGGGCTGGAAGTATAAGTATAGAGCAGGCGTCTGCAGGCGGCCGAAAAGCGAACGAGCGTATGGAGTCCAGTCCCTTTCTCGTGTCAATTTGATGCATCGCCTTTCCAGCCAAGGTGCCTTGGCTCGGAAGAGACTCTTAATCACTCGCTCGTTCGATTAGAGTCCCCGTTTGAAAGTAGTGATCAACCTCCCCGTCCAGCTCATAGATCTATCATTTCCATTCCCTGCCAGTGAGCGATTTTCTCCCTCTCCTCCCTTGTATCATCCAAGCGTACACACCAAGCTATTACGTTGAAAGAAGCTGATCGATGCAGCTTGTGTATGTATCTCCCCGCTCGCTGATATTCATCGGTCCGCCAGCCAAGAGAGGAGATAATTCTCCGTTGGGAGGTGGATTTTGCTCCGCCTCGCTTGCCAAGTTAAATATGCCGTTGAGCAGCTTGGAATCATCAATCTCACTTTCGAGATATCACGCCGAGTCATGGAAATCGGGTGCATCTCCGTATCAAATCGTGATTTCTCGTAAGCCCCGTACCGGGGGACGTATTATGCAAGAGACCTTCGTTTTCGCTTCTAGTGGCCTGATCGGCAACTTTAAACGGCGGTAGCTCATAGATGGAGGCGAATAGCGTGGCAGGCCAAGTCCGAGCTGCCTGAGGACACAACCATCCCAGAATATCACATCTTGACTCTCGAATTGTCTGATATCATCGAGGCGAACAAACATGGCGAAGTCAGAAAAAGTCAGAAAGTCAGCAAGCATTTCCTAAAAGAGTAATTCACCAGCCACATATGTGGCGCGTATCCTGCTTACGTCATTAAATGAGCCGCGGTCACTGGATTTCACCAGCCACGCTTATATAATCATCACGTGAGTAATATCTTATTCATCTGGTTTTTCTCTTCCAAGACCAAAAAAAAGCATCATCAAGAGCCTGATGCCGATGGGATCCTGTCAAAAGGGGGCTATGCAGCGTCCAGGCTAAGGTCCGGCACTTCCAAGGTTCACTCTGTGCTACACATCAAGAGCTATCAACCCCCACGACGTACGCCCATGTGGCTGCAACTACCAACTAAGCCTACTTTCTCCCAAGCCTATTTTAATGACCAAGTCTCCCCTTCCCTCAGGATCTCAACAGAACGCAGCTCATCCAATGAAATCCGGCCCGCGTGTAAGATCGCCGTCGTCGCGATGGTGTTCTTAAGCGTCGGTAGTCCACGTTGATCAAGTCGGTCTAGGGTCACGCTTCCTTCGTTGAGGGCAGTGACAGCTTCAATAAACTTTTCGAAGCTGATATACCCATAGCCCCTTTGACCACCAAAGTTCCCTTCCTCGTCGGGAGCATAGCTCATGTAGAAGCTGCCAAGGGCGGGGGAACCATGTTAGCGACTCTCCCAAGCAATGGAATAAGGTCCTCGAGCTTAAAGCTTCCGTTCCCTGCCATAACCAGCAGGCTGGAAACATATCTTTCTACAGATGCACGCTCTCTGGACTTACGGGTTGTACCACACGAGCCCCTCCTCGTCGGCTGTGACATCGTATCCCCTCTTGGCCTGGTTTATCCTGATCTCGCCCTTCGATCCCATCCCTAATAATAACAACAACAGGTTTCGGGTCAGCTACTTTCCCGTGGGAGAGGCTGGGCAAGGTCTTGATCCAGGGTGACCGGAAGCTCAAGGGTCCGCAATATTACTTACAATGGAAGTATTGGTTAGAATGAACTCCAGCCCGTTGGGGCGCAGTCCAGCTTGCGGTATATACACCTGTTGCCGTCTTGGAAGGATCCTCTTTTTTTCTCCATTCAACAAGCAGCGTGATGCTGTCTTCCGTCTCCTCGACACAGCCAAGTTCAATAGCTGCTCCCTTCGAGGCTGAGGCCATTACCTTAACAGGCGTATACTCCGGAACCATGCTCTCACAGATATCCACATGATGGGAGTTGAGGTAATACGAGATATCACTGTCCTTGCCAGCCCAGGCTTTAAATGTCTCCAGCTGGCTCTTGGGCTGGCTCATGTAGCTGTAAAAATAGTTAAAGTCGCCCAGCTTCTGTGCCTTGTTACGTGCATCAGAATATGCAGGATCGAAACGCTTATGGTGCTCGATGAATACGAAAACATTATGCTTCCGAGATTCCTCAAGTAACTCGAGATGGTCGCCTAATAGCTTGGTTGCGGGCTTTGTGATGAGGACATGAATCTTGCGGCGAATGGCGTACAGTGCGATTTCAAAATGAGTAGTGTCGGGTGTGAATATCGTAACAGCAGAGCCAGGCTTCAACGCATCAATCGCAGCCTTGTATGCACTTGGATCGACCTTGTCGTCTGCCGGGTAGGACTCAAATGAGACATCTAGGCCATTGTACACGTCCGATATGTTTGTTTGGAGGTGTTTTCCTTTTTTTTTTTTATCACGGTCAGCATATACAAGCTGTGACACAGGGATAAGTGCTCAGCTCACTGATAGAAGGAAATTTCGAGCCTGACACTCCTACCATGCTCAATTTATCAACCTTCCCTCGCCTCCGAAGGTCAAACAGTGTCAGGCCAACGACTCCCACTTTTTTATCCGAAGTGGAAGCAGTTCCTCCTACAAAACCAGTGGTATATTCGCCAGTCCCAACCTATACACACGAGTTAGTACGCTCCCAGCGTCCTATCGCGCAGGGGGATGTATCACCATCAAGACATCAGCAGGAGCCATGGTGATTTTGAAATAACAGAACCGACTTCTACACTGTCAATTGGTATTTCGATTGGACTGAGATGTAGGTACTGAGAATCAGACAGGAGACCCTTTGTTAAAAGATTTCCCAGTGCAACGTAACGCTTTTAATATATCTTGGAGCAACCCCCACCATGCTATTTAATATCTCGTCCAGCCAGTTATCGAAGCCTCTGTCTACAGGGGCAGGTATTGGCAGTTCATTACTGAATGATCGAACACAGGACTTCAAAGGCCGACTTTGCACTCAGTGTATATATCGATGGTATTACATGCTATCCTTATGTAAGAGCTACTAATATCTATCTCTTAACATGTTGACTAGGAACCGGGATAGTGCCGGCGGGTTTCGGAGTTTATCGCGGCCCCTCTCCAACCTGGACAGGAATGCATGATATCATAACTATCAGGCAAGGCATTGACCGTGGATATAACACAATTTCCCGGCCTTTCGGTTTAGAACAAGCATCACCATTTATCTATTGATCGTTAAAGATGGCACAACCACCAGCCAGCCATGTGCGGACACCCCTCCTGCCCGGCGTATATGTGCCTACCATGACATTCTTCGATCCCGCCACTGAAGATCTTGACATCCCAACCATCCGTACGCATGCAGTACGATTAGCCAAAGCCGGTGTAGCCGGGCTAATCACAATGGGCTCAAACGGTGAAGCCGTCCATCTGTCCAGAGCAGAGCGTGCTCTTGTCACACAGCATACTCGCTCAGCCCTCGACGAAGCGGGATTCAAACATACCCCAGTCATATCCGGTGCTACAGACCAAGGCGTTCGAGGCACCATTGAAATATGTCGGGAAGCAGCAGATGCAGGGGCGGAATATATCCTGTTGATTTCACCCAGCTACTACCGCGCCGCGATGGGAGATCAGAATACCCTATTCGAATACTTCACAAAGGTGGCCGATGGATCGCCCTTACCTATCATACTGTATAATTTCCCCGGGGTTGTTTCTGGGATTGATATGGATTCGGACTTCATCATTCGCCTGTCACAGCATCCCAATATCATTGGGACCAAATTCACCTGTGGCAGCACGGGGAAGCTGTGTCGTGTTGCCTCTGCCATGAATGCAATTACCCCAGTCTCGCCATTGGCGAAGGGGCCAGCAGAAACCACTGCTACATCTCTAATGTCCCCTCCATACTACGCCTTTGGAGGCTATGCGGATTTCGCCCTTCAGACCCTTGTATCTGGAGGTTCTGGTATTGTGGCCGGGGGAGCCAATGTGCTGCCTCGCCTGTGCGTGGAGGTCTTCAACCTCTGGAGCCAAGGGCAGCTGGCAGAGGCTATGGAGATGCAGAAGATCCTTAGTGATGGAGACTGGATCATGTCCAAGTATACGATACCTGGTACAAAGAGTGCGATCCAGGCCTGCTACGGGTATGGCGGGTATCCCAGGGCGCCTATGCCTCGTCTAACGGAGGCTCAGGAGAAAGAAGTTGCAGACAAGATCAAGCCGGCGATGGTGATTGAGACGAAGCTCAAGGATGTCGCATAGAGGTCGTCTCATTAGATATATACCTACCACCAGTATAGTATTAGTATAGTATGCCGTATTGGGCATTGATATAATATTGCAGATCAAGACTATAGATCGAGTCTATGAACGTGTAGACAATTTGATCACCGATTGTATTATCTGAGCAACTCATCCTCTCCATACTCGCAACCTATCTGATTGAATCTGGGATAAACGGTGGAGAAACGGTGGAGCTGCATGCAACTATACCGACAATCCATCCCGTTCTCCCACCGGCAACACAGTGCATTCAATCGGATACGACATAGCAAGGCAGAGACCCGCTCAGTGCAAAAATCGTGAAGTTATCGGGGACAACTCGCCGTCGCGTACACCATATATGACAGCATCTCCCGTATATTCGTACTTTTTCGTCGCGCGACAGAGAAACCACACAATTCTGACTTGAAAGTGACATCTGTCGATCTCGCGTATAACAGGAAGCATAAAGATATTATCCATCGAGTTACTTCAAGATGCCTACCAGAGACGAAGCTGAGGGATTCCAGGTTGATAGTGCCGAAACGCATACTCAATTCCACAAGCGCCACGTTAGTATTCGCTTTTCCCACAGATGCATGGTCAATTACTGATGTCATTGATGTAGTATAAATTAAAACCCTTTGAGGAATATGGTGAGACAGTTTGCTGTCATAGAAGAGTAGATGAAGAAACTGACGGATAAAGACGTCGACGTCCAGGTAGAAGCTTGCGGTATCTGTGGAAGTGATATCCATACCATCACAGGTAACATACCATTACTCTTAACCCATTTGACGTGCAACTAAAAGTGAAACATAGGTGGATGGGGGCCTAAACTCTTCCCCCTATGTGTCGGACACGGTACGCTCCTCGCATAGGTTCTAAACTACGGAGTACTGACTGTATAGAAATCGTGGGCACTGCCATCCGCGTCGGCCCCAAAGTCACTCTGGTCAAGGAAGGCCAGCGAGTCGGCGTGGGAGCGCAGGTCTTCTCCTGCGGCACCTGCAAGCAATGCAAGAACGACAACGAGACGTACTGCCCCAACATCGTGATGGACACCTACGGCTCGAAGTGGCCAGACTCCGGCATCGTCAGCCAGGGGGGATACGGCTCCCACGTCCGCGTACACGAACACTGGGTCTTCCCCATCCCTGAGAAGCTCGAGACAAGCGCCGCCGCCCCCATGCTATGCGCAGGCATCACCGCTTATTCCCCCCTAGTGCGCAACGGCTGCGGGCCAGGCAAGAAGGTCGGGATCGTGGGGCTGGGAGGAATCGGCCACTTTGGCGTCATGTTCGCGAAGGCGCTGGGAGCAGAGACCTGGGCCATCTCCCGTACGCGTGCTAAGGAAGCCGATGCCCTCAAGCTCGGCGCAGACGGGTTCATAGCAACGGCAGAGGAAGGTTGGGAGAAACGCCACAGGTTCTCGTTCGATCTGATTATCAACTGCGCGAACTCGTCCAAGAACTTTGCTCTAGACAAGTATCTGTCCATGCTGGACGTCCATGCGAGATGGGTCAGTGTTGGCCTGCCCGAGGAAGACGGCCCGTCCATCAAGGCACAGAGCTTCATGGCCAACGGCGTGCTGATGGGGGCTAGCCATCTGGGGAGCCGCAGGGAGATGCTGGAGATGCTGCAGCTGGCCGCCGACAAGGGGCTGCAGAGCTGGGTTGAGGAAGTGCAGATTGGCGAGACAGGGCTGAAGGATGCTGTGATCAGGATGAAAGGGGGCGACGTCCGCTACAGATTCACCCTGACGGGCTACGACAGCGTCTTTGGGCCGTACAGACAGACCGCCCATCCAGCACTGTAGATAGAAGAAGAAGGCAAATACGGAGTAGAAAATCTCGCCTCCGTCATCAGATATTGACTTCGCTAGTCCTCGACTTTTCGGCCTGTGGGTTAAAACTTCCCCTGAATCGTCCACTTTTTCCCCGGAAACCTTTGCATCTTGGCGATCGGCGTGAAAACTCGACTTTTTTCTCTGGTTCCATAGTTAGGAAAAGTCACTTCACCCTTTCTCTGTCCACCTTTTATTCTCAATTATTCATTTTAATCATTTATCATTTATACGGAGTATTTATATTTATATTTATTGCGCGGATAGCTCTTGTATACCTTTAATAACCCTGCGCCTGGAGTTCTATCCACTGTTAAGGGGCCCGATCTGACACATCCGCCCAACTGTCCCACGCATCGCATATTTTCATCTGGGCTTTTTTCCTGCGTCTGAAAACTCTTGCCTGCAATATCGGCTATAGACGTTTCGTTTCATCATGTCGTCCTGCAACTCGAGTTCCAATCCTGGCCGTCGACGATCGACCCTTCGCTCCAGGGTGCGGCCGCTCACTTCGGCTGGCGAACACTTCGGCCATGAAGGCGGACGAGTCCATACTGGTATATGGGTCCCGCATCAAGATGGAACGTACAGAGAAGCGGTCTCGCCCTTCTCCCATGAGCAGCACGCAGCCACGCAGACTGTCGACATGCCGCCGTTGCCCAGCGCCGTCATCGAGACCGACGAGCCCGTCCGTACGGCGGCCTCTCCACGGTCGAAGCATCGCCATAGCAAGAGTTTCTCCAGCATTCTCCATGGCGCCAACGAGCTCAAGACAATCACACGGTCTCTGTCGATAAGCATTCGAAACAAGGGGAAGCGTGCGGCGCACGTACCTGGAGAACTGTCGACTTTGGAACATCAGGGACACGACGAGTCCAAGGCAGGCTGGTTTCGAAGCCATAGGCTGCCACGCCGGCGGTCTCTCGGCGGCATGAGCAACCTGAATCGATTCTATCCGCCGGTGTCGAGCCCGCCGATACCGTCAAACTTCAAGGAACTCGCAGACGCACAGAACGAGGTGTTTGGCGGTGCAGCTGCCCGTGCGGCGGCGGCTGCTGCTACTGCTGCGGCGCAAAACGAGCTTGCAAGGGCAGAGAAATTTGCACCAAATAAGGCAGATGACGAAGGGATGGAGATTTTTGAGCTCTCCAACAGGCTTGACGTCTCGCTTTCGTTGGACTCGGAGAGCGGAATCGGTATCAACATTCGAGACACCGACGACAACTCAAAAGATCTGGATTGCATTCGCAAAGGTTAGTAACTTGTGATGCTGCATAAAAAGGAAAAAGGGGAGGGGATAGAACTAACGTTTCAATAGACCCTGTTTCATTGCCTGCAGAACTCATGGCGCATATATTATCCTTCCTCGATGCTGATTCACTAAAGAATTGTGAGCTAGTCTCGCACGCATGGAACCTGCATGCGTCCTCTAGCAATGTTTGGAGGGAGGTCTTCTACCGTGAATACCGTGCTGGCCGAAATGTCACCAGGACCCCCGGTAGCCCAACAAGGGCGATGGGCTTAGGACGAAAGAAGCCCGACCAGGACTGGAAGAAGGTGTACAAAGTCCGACACACCTTGGAGAACCGCTGGAAGTCTGGAAAGGCTGCTGCAATTTACTTGCATGGTCACCAAGACAGCGTGTACTGTGTTCAGTTTGATGAGTATGTTTCCCTCACCTTATATCTAGAGAATCCCGCCCCCGTTTACTGACCCCTGGTCCAGGAACAAAATTATAACTGGCTCTCGTGATCGTACCATCCGTGTATGGGACGCACACTACCCGTGGCCGTGTTTGAAAGTCATCGGTGCGCATCAGGCTACATCCGACAGTGCCGTGCCTGTCACACCATGGCCCATCACTCCGCCAGCAGATTCGACCGGCAGCTCCCCGTTCATCAGCATATGCCCACCCGTAGCCTCCACAGCTGATCTCGTCTCACAGCACCAGCAGACTGGAGAATACCACAATGCTTCAATCCTCTGTCTCCAGTTTGACGAGAAGATCATGGTGACTGGCTCTTCTGACGCTACCTGCATTGTCTGGGATATGCAAGATGATTATCGCCCAATTCGCCGCATGAAGTGGCATCAGGCCGGTGTCCTCGACGTCTGCTTCGACGACAAACACATCGTCTCTTGCTCCAAGGACACCACCATCTGCGTCTGGGACCGTGAGACAGGCCAGCTAATCAAGCGTCTTCTCGGCCACCGCGGCCCCGTCAACGCAGTTCAACTCCGCGGCGATCTAGTCGTTTCCGCCAGCGGCGACGGTATCGCAAAATTATGGAACATCACATCCGGTCTCTGCATTAAAGAATTCGCCAGCAAAGACCGAGGGCTAGCATGCGTTGAATTCAGTGAGGATGCACGCACCATCCTCGCCGGCGGGAATGATCAGGTTATATACCAATTTGACGCTAATACCGGAGAGCTGGTCAAGGAATTAGAAGGCCACTCCGGCCTAGTCAGATCTCTGCACATGGACAACGCCAACGGCCGTGTTGTCAGCGGCAGCTACGACATGAGCGTCAAGGTATTTGACGCTAAGGCCGGAAAACTCAGCATCGATCTCCCAGGCTGGACCACGAGCTGGATGCTGAGTGCCAAATCAGATTATAGAAGAATAGTTGCAACCAGTCAAGATGCTAGGGCTGTGATTATGGATTTCGGTTATGGTTTAGACGGAATAGACTCGCTCGAGGGCTGAAAGAGAGGAGTTATTATTTTTTTTAATTGATAAAACGTTGCTCCTTGCGCTGGTGTTTGGGACAAAATGAACTTCTAGAAATAATTGTGCGTTATTTGACATCTTTTGTTATGTTTCTTTTGGTATAATTTGCCTGTTCTGCATCTCCTTGGTTATTAGTTTCTATATTTCTAGATATCCGGTGCCCTTTTTTGATAGTTTTGCGAATTCTATTTGGCTTTAGTAATTGATATTCACACATTTTCACCAACAGATCCTTTTAAGAAGCTGAAGCCCCTACCTTAATATGTAACTGCTTGACTAAAAATGGCACAAGGATCTAATTCTCTATACGAAGTCCGTTGATGAGTCTGAACTGGGCCAACGTCATCGAGCAAGGATTATGCGTGAACTATATATATTCTTCGAACAGTCTCGTCCTAAACCTATTATTAGCGGACCCAAAACTTGTCAAAATAAACATGTGTCTTGATCTTTCGGCTACCATGGCTCGTTATTGGCTTCATCTCTCTAGCATCCATGAGGACACCCTGGTGTTACATCTTCCAACGACCTGGACGACATATGCCAAGTGAGCAGGCAACACCATTACCATTAAACATGACAGATGACACCTGAGGGAACGAGTCTTTAAGGAGAACTATTTATCTCTCGATATACGGTCGATTCAATGGGACGGCTATCTACTATACCCAACAATACCTGGTTATCTACCTTTTTAAGAATATCATAACAAGGCCAAACATGGCTTCCAAGGCGGCATCAACTTCCATCCCTAGAACTATGCGAGCCTGGACGCATCGCCAGGCGGGTTCGCCCTCAAGAGTTCTCTCAATGACAGAGAATGTCCCTATACCCACACTTCCAACAGATACCTCGGTCCTCGTGCGCGTATCCTATGTTGCTACTCATCCAGGAATGCTCATCCTAATGCATTTTGTCCCATCATGGTTGCGCCGTATGCCAGCCATCCCCGAGACAGACTTCTCCGGTGTAATTGTCAGTTGTGGCAAGAATGTCCCCGGCTCCTCTACTACTGGAGGTGAATGTGAGCCTGGAGTACGCGACTTCCGGCCAGGCACATCAGTCTTTGGCTCTATGCCAGTGATGCCTCACCTTCGCAGCGGACAAGGGGCGCTGGCCGAGTACATTGCCATCGAATCGGCGGCTATTGCACGGAAACCTACCAATATATCATTCGAAGAAGCTGCAGCCCTAGGCGTTTCGGCACATACGGCGACGGTCCTAGTTGAGGCGGCAGAAGTGCCCAAGGACGCCAAAATTCTCATCAACGCTCCCTGCGGTGGTGTAGGCCATTTTGCAACCCAGCTCCTCCGTCACCGAAATCCCACTGCACGAATCATAGGAATCTGCTCTGGTCATAACCACGAACTTGCAGTACGGCTAGGCTGCGACGACACCATCGATCATACCGCATTCCCTAACGCCGAGGGCCAAACACTCACCGATTATCTTTCGGCCAAATATGGGAATGAGCAAGAACAGTTTGATATCATATTCGACGCTTACGGGAGTCAAGACCTCTGGACTTCCTCCGCCAAATATCTCAAGCCAGGGCGCGATCATCCCTATGTCAACGTCGGCCCAAAACAGGGGGTTTCCATCTCTGAAGTACCCGGGTTCCTATGTAAAGTGATCAAAAACTCGACATTACCCACATGGTTAGGCGGAGTACCTAGGCCGTATAAGCAGATATCTGCCTTTACAAACACAGAAGCTCTTGAGAAATGCAGGGATTTGGCCCAAAGGGGAGAGTTCAAGACGCATGTGGGAGAGAAGTTGAATTTTGAGCATGCATTAGGTGCATATGAGACGATGGCGAGCGGCCATGCACGGGGGAAAGTGGTTGTGAAAATCTGGGAGCCGGAACGATCTGATGGAGCAGCTTAGCTCACGCTGGTATCAACGATGATCAATAGATATAATGTTTTGTCATACGGCCGGCTTCCGTCTCTGTGATATTGGCAATTTTGAAGCACGTACTCCGTAGGGTATCAATCAAAGGCATATGGAGATAACTCTGCCCTGCGAAGGCAGAACCTCTGGCTATCTGAGCAATGCTTTTTGAACAGTCAATAGATTGCCAAAGACTCGGTAAATGGTTTGTGGGCCCCTAGGGATAATTTATTCACTAGTCAGCTAGTTAGTTAGTAACTAGTTAAATCCTTTAGCAGGATTTGACGATGGCGGGCTTGATGCTTGATTATATGTTTATTACCCAGTAGCAGTCAGAAGGCCACTGCTTGCCGGTTGGTGCTTAACTTGATACTCTGTTTGGTGCACACTCCTCCTGAATACAATACTTGATGGCAGTCTAGGGATATCTCCAGAGCTGAAATGCTGTGATGCCATTGCCATTTGCGCTGTAGATGTAGCATGCGGCTGGATATCTGTATTCTTTGGTACGGGAAGATAAATCTCCTAGGAACCTGCGTCTTTCCTCTTACCTTTTGTGTTCCATGCTTATTGCGTGATGCTCCAAGCAAGGTCAAGACATCTGGGGTTGTTTAGGCGACACTGTCACTCCCAACTGGGCATTGTATCGATACTGCGGATGGTAGACGGCGGCTAGTACACAGTGGCGATCACTTTTCCATGGTTCTCGCTCACCCTTGAACCATGGAACAGTATCCAGGGCTATAAATATTGTAGATACCAAGTGAGTAGAGAAGTTGTACCAAGTGCGTAGAGGATATTGGGGTGAATAAAAGGAGGCGGAACGGATAATTGGATGTTGCAGAGTGAATAAGGCCACTGGAATATTCACTACTCTCGGAGATAAATGGCCCCTTTATAGAAATATAGCATAATCCTAGTTAAATGTAAATTATAAGCGGATGTGTGTTGTAAACGAGACCTGCGAGGCCTTCCCCAGGAAAAGTACGAACGGCTGACAGGTTTTGGTAGGGGTTTTCCGCATGGCCAAAAAAACCCTTGAGAACCGACTGGCAAACTCCTTTTTCTCTATCAAATCAACATAGCCAATTTATCTCCAGGCCAGAACTCAACACACCCAGGCCTTGACTCGTGCCCGCATCCTCCAGCAGGCGTACACCACAGGTATCTCCCGTCCTCTGCCCTCTACATGTTCTATTATCATCGCAGCTAACCCCCACCACGGAAATACAGAAGATTCAGACCCCGTACCCGGGAAACCTAAAACAAAACATATCCTCCTCCTGTCGACCTGGACGACCAAATACCGCCGTGATGAGTGAATCAAGGTACGAGGATACCATCTCCCTGGTGACACTGTCCGGCTTTCGCTCGGCGACTTTGCTATGGACTTGAAATGGCAGCCGTTGCCCCGCCATGCAGGACGCGTCAATGCGATAACTCCCCCTGCCAGATCGCCCCTATGACGGATATCTAGAGATATAACGATGGTGACGATGATACTGACAGCTGCTGGTGGAAACGGACAGACAAGAGCTGCTGCAATGGGTTAACAACCTGCTGCAGTTGAACGTGACGAAGGTCGAACAATGCGGAACCGGGTATGCTTGACGCCCTCCTCCCAACGCCCTCCTCTGTTGACTGCGCCTTTCCTCGTCCATCTATTCGCCGGAGATATACACAGACATCTATACTCCCAGTCAACGGCCTCCTATCCCCTCCTCCCCGCAAACCGGCGATTCTGACCACCTTTTGTCCCTATAACAAAACTCTGGAAGGGACTCGTGTGGTTTGCCGGAAGATGCTCTTGTCTTTTTGGGAAGGATATACTGACAGCTGCTGCGAATCCCCGTGTTAGTGCTGCGTTCTGCCAAATTCTTGATTCGATTTATAGTAAGCGTTGCCTCCTCAAAAGACACACACATAGGACTGCCAACTGACTGCAAAAAACAGTGGATATGCCGATGTCGAGAGTAAAGTTCAACGTCAACACCGAATACGCCTATGTGAACAACTTTAAGATTTTACAGAGTATGTTCCTACACCTCTGACTCTTCTGAGTTCCAAAAGGCTGATACGTCCGCTTTCTACAAAGATGCCGTTGCGCGCCACCAGATCGACCGTCCGGTCCCCGTCCAGGCTTTGATTAAGTGCCGCATGCAGGACAACTTGGAGTTTTTGCAGTGGATAAAAAAGTATTGGGACCAGTACTATCCCGGCGGTGAATACGATGCCGTTGCACGACGAAAGGGATCCGGAGCCCCTCCACCAGCTGGAGCAGCACGCTCGGGAACATCGTCCGCAACGGGAACACGACGGGGCGGAACGACGCCTACGAGCACCGGTGCCGGCAGACCGCGAGTTGGCGGCGGCGGGAACACTCTGGCACTGACCCAGGAGCTGAACGCGCAGAAGGAAGCCATCGCCGGTCTCGAGAAGGAGCGGGATTTCTACTTTGCGAAGCTGCGGGATATCGAGCTGTTGCTGCAGCAGGCCGTCGAGGCTGACCCTGAGTTGGAGAAGGAAGAAGATTCGTTGGTTAAGCATATCCAGGCTATCCTGTACTCCACAGAGGTATGAACCATGTCTTATCCCGGTCTGACATTTCTGAAGACAAGAGCATTGTTTATTAACTCGACACTAGGAGGGCTTCGAGATCCCAGACGGCGAGGCAGGAGGTGAGGACTTGGAGACTTTCTAAACATGCACATGATCATTACCCCTGTCTATTAAAAAGGCTGCTTGCGGCCTCCGTAGCATCTTGCCAGACTGATAATACACCTTCTCTTACCTACTCTTTACTATCTTCGTCTCTTAGTTCTTCTTGTTCTTCTTGTTGCTCCTACACCTTCTCGATTGTAGATATTACATAAGCCATAAACTTACATAAGCGAGAAGATATATCTTGGCATCCGTATCAGGACTAGCTCCAGGTACCAAAGTCCGTGCTGGCCAATCAGGTGACCTCAGTGTTTGATTGCGATTCTTGGCGTTTCCTTGGCGGACGTAGTTCCCGATCGGGAAGCGCGCACGACATGAAAGCCAGCCTCCGCCCTTGCATCGCGATGTGTCTGGACAAGCGACGTCTTTGCACACCTCGAAGCCCTCGCGAAGCCCTCTCGGACAGCTGGGAGACCCCCGATGGCGTCGCAGCCGCTGACGACGAGACACATCCAAGGACGCTGAACGCTGAACGCTGACAGGTAAGAAGCTGTGGCTCGCGGTTGGGGTGTGTTCGTTCATTGTCTCCCATCCTGCACGCGGGTTGGCTGGCCATCTCGACCTATGCGAGTAGAAGACAGCCACAAAACTCCCCATACCCTCTCCTCTCGACATCGCTCCCCAGCTCATCCTTCAATGTGTTCACGGAGTATAGACGCTGTTGGCTGACCGGGTGCTCTCCTCCCCTTGTCCAGGTCCTCGCCTTTCTCGCCCCCCGTTGCTCCAGGTATTTACACGCTCGACGACTGCCATCCAACCAACCCAGTGCCCAATTTAACGCAAAATCCTTTCTCTCAAATGATAGCTATCTTAGCCCTGTCTGTTGGCCCGATGACCAACTTCCGTTCCTTTCGACTTTTCTCTCGCCTTGCCATGGACTAGCAGGCGACTTTCGACACAGCTCATGACATACACAACTACCCAACACACTCGTTCTTTACCCTCACAGCGATTGACGTCCGCTCTCCTGACGATCCTCTCATTACTTGAACCATCGACACACGCGCTCTCTGTTACATATATTGCTAGAAGCATTTAATCTGCGATTTTCCTTTTCCCGCGTCCCAGCAGCCGTTCTCTACGTTGTTCGTTCGTTTCTTCAACTATTACACTCCGGTAGCTCGAAAGGACGTTGATTCCGTTTACACCGGGCTTTATCTATCGGGATTCCACCTTTGATACTGCGCACATCGCCTTTGATCTCTGGCTCGATTTCATTATTATCATTCGACCCTCTTGCAGGCCTGTATCTGTTTGTGTGTGTCAGGAGTGAATGCAGCGAAGCTCTGCAGAAAATTATTCCATTTTGTGATATTTCTTTGGATCGATCGCGTAGATCCTTTTGTATCTGAGATACCACCTACATGCCCAGAATGGGCCACCATATTGATAGGAGGATACACTCGAAGGGTGGACAGCAGATGGAGGGCATGCTAGGAAGGGGGAGCGTCGGGGAGCTACTGAATGAGAATCATGAGTTGATCCCCAAGCGCGCGGTACCACCAACCACTACCGTGGTACTTACGGTCATCGAGGCTGTCCTGCCAAATGGATCTACAGCAGCCCAGTTTACCGTTCCTACTCTGCCGGCAACCGTCTCACACTCACGTCTGGGCGTAGTCACAATTCCTGCGGGGTCCATGTCCCCGATAATCGTGTCCTCCTTGCCTCCTCCGCAGACCAAAGTCCCAGCTACATCTGCCCACCTTTCTCCAACGAACAGCCCAGTTAGTGTTTCACAACCTCCTCCCAGCCAGCCTTCCAAGCCGTCCACGAACGTGTCTCTCCCATCCAGCCAGAATTCTCTGCCATCAAGTCAAAATTCCCTACCGTCCACCAACAATTCCCTACCATCAACAAACAATTCTCTTCCATCTAGCCATCCATCTCAGCCGTCGACCGACATCTCTACTCCATCTACCGTACCTGCTACTCCCTCAGCTTCCACCTCTGTCCTTCCCGCTCCATCTTCTAAAAGTTCTATATCTTCCAACACCGAATCTAGCGCGGTGAGCTCGGCGCCAGCGTCTTCGATATCATCGACTGCACAATCATCATTACCAACTACCACATCGGGCTCTATACCTTCTAGCAGCCAGATATCCTCCACTACCTCATCTCTTTCCACATCCCTTTCAAGCAGTAGCACAAACCTCTCATCCTCATCGTCATCATCTACCTCTTTATCATCTATATCATCAACGTCGACAAGCTCTACATCAGGATATATTCCTGGAGGGGGTGGAGGAGCAACAGGAGAACCACCGGTACCCACTCAAACCAACGGTAACACTCCCAAAGCCTCATCTAGCGATGATGTTCCCAAGATTGTCGGCGGTGTTCTTGGAGGTGTAGGCGCAATTGCTCTGGCTATTATATTATTACTTCTCCTGCGCCGTATAAGGAAACGCAAGGCGGTCCGAGAGAGTCACCTCACAAGCAAAATAGTAAGCTCTGGGGCTTCAGCCGGTCGAAACACATTCTCAACTAGCGATACCAGCCAGCTTTCTGGGTCTGTTCTTGGTGGAGCTACTCGTGTTTTCGACAGATTCAGAAATTCAAGCAGCTCGATGGCAGCGGAAGCAGCACCAGCCCAGCGTGGATTCCAGAAAATAGGAGGCAGAAAACTTACTTCCGTCCTAGAAACCGGCGGTGATGGCTACGACGATAAGTTTGGAACCGATGAAAAGCGTCTCATCGCTTCCCCTGAACGCGCGGGTTTTGGGAAAGAGACGGGCTCCAGGTCTGCTGCTGCTGCAGGCGGGGACAGCTCTTTCGGGGCTGGGCTGCACAAGGAGCTAGGGTTAGGACAACAGCTATCACGATCCCCTCCTACTTCAGCAATGGCAATGGACCGACCTCTTTCTGACGAGAGCACTTACTCCGAACGCGTTGCATTCCGCCCTTCGCCTGCTCGGACACCCGTAGCCACCCCGATTGAATCTGCCATGCGTGGAGGAATATCCACCACGCCACAGAGCGGCATAGTCGCTCCATCAGAGCCTCTCCCATCAATTATACCGCCGTCTGTCAGAGACGGAATCGGTCGAAGTTTGGCAGCTGCTGATGGAAGCCGTGCAAGTAGATTCACGGAAGGCGTTTGAGAGGCACAGGTTCCGCTTTTCTTCCTCAACGCATGGAAAATTCATGATTATGTTCTTATTATTTGCCCGTTAATCCTTGCATTACATCTTACCCCTTGCATACCTATTACCTCCCGTCACCGTTTCTACATATAACAAGTCCTACCCTTATTTAATATTTTTTTGCGGTGTTTCTAGTGGTTTTGAAGAATTCTTTTTATTTTTCTTTTGAAAAGCTTAGCACAAAATTAATATACACCTCCCTTTCAGCAGGATCAATCCATTTAAGATTTTTCCCGTTTGTCAACCTAGAGTCTCCAATACTGGAACTTTTTTCCTCTGCTCCTTTTTCATTTCTTTATCTTCTTCCTTGGAAATATCAAGGTTAGGTTACTCGGCGGGGATCCTGAGGTCGTTGACATTTTTCTTTGTTTGAAAGATCCGGATACCTTTTACTTCGTGTGTTCGTGGATGTGTTTGATATTTATTACTCGGCGTCGACGTACTGTCGTCCGTCCTAACGATGTGGAATGGTTCGTTGGAACTATACCGCTGAAGCTAGCTGGTTCATGTACATGAAATGAAGCCTTCAGTAAGGTTGATATTCTATCTGCCTTCCTCTATTACTCTCCTACTATATAGACTGCAGTTTTATCACCCACTATTATATATCCTATATGGAGGCATACTTCATCTCAAGCTATTTATGTTCAAAATCTCCTACGCGTCTACAATGAGGGCGGGCAAAGGACTTCACTGCCTAAATCACCATACTTAAAGAATGATTAACTGTTTTTTTTTTTTATTTTCGGTTTGCCTGTCCCTAGCTAGCCACTGGGATGCCGATAACCAAGTATAAACCTGAAAATATACGGACTCCCTCGTAGACAACACGGTAAAGGCCCAAAACGTTATTCACATAAAGCGAAGGTGATGTTATATAGCAACTGGCTCCGAGAGGGCCGATATGTCACGACATGGACGAGTATTTATTTCTACATGTTCGTTCCAGTATTAGCCAACAAACAGCTTCAAAAGTATACATATTCAGGATATAGATGTCAGCTTACGCCGCAAGCAGTGCAGTTACAGCTTCCACTGCTACAGGTGCAGTCCTTTGGGCCAGTGCAGCCACAGTTGGTAGATCCGCATCCGCAACCCATTGTGATGATGTTCAGTGTAGAAGTGTTGTAGCTTATAGTGCGTTTTCCAGTCTTGACTTTGAATTAACTTGAGCAGAAAAGTTTTAATGAAGAAGAGAAAACAAGCCTGAAGGCTCTGGGGGAAGTTGGACTTTAAATAAGGACGCCAACGTCATGGGAAACAGGAAGGTAAGGAGGTGATGTCATATCGGCCTCTGGATGAAGTGCCACAACTTAATGCTGTGTATTTAAAGGCGAGTCACTGGCTTCTGTGACATCTAGCTTTAATCATATATTCTCGTGGGAAGTTTGTTCTGTAGGTTAAACATATGGTACTTGGGCGGTAGTTATACTTGGAACCGGGTTGAAGTATATCGACAACATCAAGATTATCCTCCCGCTGTTAGAGTTGCTGGATAAGCTGGACAACTTGTAAGGTTCTAGGAAACGTTTATATCTTCTCGTATTCTCCGCCATGATAGAGCCGCAAGCTCTATGGCAGTTGTATAACGCTTCGAGGCATATTTGCATCCCATATCTTTAAGAGAAGGAATATAGTTGGCTAGTTTGGAATGGATAGAGCAGAATATAGTCTTACATTCTAAAGCGTGACTATATTGTTGTATCTGCGTTAATTTCTTGATTTGTCGATAGTTGGTGATATACCCCTGCATTCATACCTGCTTGAGAGTAACAGATGCTGCATGCATAACTAGCCCGTTTCTCTGCGAATCCTTCAATCAGGGTATATTCCGAGACATATAGGCTGTTTCAGAGGGAAATGCCTCAGATGTCGATACGAGGATAAATGTTGTATGCTTCCAACATCGGCTTCACCCGCGTCGATTCTATCAGGGACCTGCCGGAAGCCAGGGATGGACGCTAAACAACCTGGAGATACCCAGGAACAGGTAGCCAGAGATGTAAGAGGTATTCTCCGCAGCATCCCTGTTTGAGATACGATATAGCATGGACAGCTGGAGCCTCGAAATCAGCAGTCTGGTATAAGCAAGTCGCATGAACATGTCGGAGACAGCTGAGCAGAGGATGTTACCCAAGCCATACGCCGTGCAACGGGGATGGCTTCTTCTCGTCTTCCTTTTCCTCCGAACACTGTGTTACGCCTCAAGCTGGTCGGTTGAGGCCAATCAGCCAGGCCGAAGGGGCGATCATCGTGATGGCAAAAGGGAGGCGAGCGCGCAGTGAACACAGCTAAGAACAACGCCAATAGAAGCAGCGATATAGACAGTGGTATAATATAACCTCCAGCCAATAGCCAGTAGAGGGAGACTGTAGATGTTGACGGGAGTGCCCCTTGACTATAGAAGCACGAGAGTGGATGGAGTTTTGCAGGGCGGAAGTACCTCCAGGCTCCACGGCTGCGACAAAGTGACTTCGTCCTCACCTCGTCCTCATCCTCTTCGTTCCATCTCATCCTCACCTTCGACCTCGCCTGTGGACGGCGTACAGAGAATAGACGGAGTTTCTCTCCTTGCGTCGTTTATATCGCTAATCCTTCGTCGTCGCTCTTTTTCCCTCCTCCAGCTTTCCTTTCTCCTCGTATCTGTTTTTGCCCCTTCTTTTTAGACCTGAGGCCTTCGTCCTGCGATCCACGGCCGCGAAGCACCGCTGAAACGACGGTTCAGCTATCTTCTCGAGAACGGGCCGAGCCGCGGTCCGTCTGATACAGGCTACGTTTTCAATAAACAGGAATTATAATCATGGCTGTGTGGAATTGAAGTTGGCACCGAGCTGCAAAGTTGTATACACAAGGACAACAAACGCCCAACAAGAACACCAACCGCCCACGACCACCACCACTCCTCCGTTTTATCAAGAGTACGGCCGTTGATATACTGCTGCTGCGAGTACCCGTCCGGCGCAGTCCTCGATCGCGTCCCTGCTCCTGTCGTCCCCGCGCATACCGTGGCCCCCGTGGAACCATCCGTGGATGGCCTGTCCTCTTTCCTCGACGTCTGGATAAAGAGCGTTATTGTGAGAGGAGCCGGCATTGCGGCGGCTGCAGATAGCTAGGGACGATTTTGGGCTGCTTCGAGGACGAGACGAGCGCGCGCGCTGGCTGGCATGGCGGGAATTGCTGCTGCAGAACCCGCGGATGCCTCGATTCAACATGACACGATCACTGCCAACAATGGCCCTCACAACTCTTACGACCATCCTTCGATAACACACGATGTACGTGACATTCGGCTGTTAACTCGTCTAATAGAAGGCTTTTTTTTCTTTCCTTACTAACATACTGTAGAATCTCCGCGGTCCATCGAAAACACGCCATTCCACGGACTCCCCTCCACAAGCACGGCTTGCACGACACAATCCGGTGAACGGAGCTACGTTGTCTCGGACGTCCTCTGCTGCAGGCTCTGGACGGGGTCATGTAAATGACACCAACTATCTGGCTCCTAACGCGGGACGCAAGGAGAACAGCCTCAGCCGCACCCACAGCGAAGCAGATAGCTTGTTGGACCTCTACAACCGCGATTCCGGTAACCGCAGCGTCTCAAGCGTCCTAGATGCCTCAGAGAGAAAGGAAGACAAGCCGTTCTACCAAATCGAGGCTGAAGACCCCGAGCATGCCCAGTGGATACACCGCGACAAGCTTGCGAGGATCGAGAGCGAGGAACTGCAGCAGTTTGGTATCCGTCTGCCTGCATCGTTTACCGGTAGCAAGAGAGGTCGGGGCCGTAGCAACGACTCTCACAACGGGACTAATGGGGTTACGCCGGAACAGAACGAGCAGTGGCCTACTCTCACGGAGGAAGAGGCAGAAAAACAGCACAAGCGAGTTATCTCGGCTGATACAAAGGGTGATGAGGCCATACCTTTGGAAGCTGACGAAGATGAGATGATGACATTCGATCCACGGCGTCCGGAGGAGATAGCAGCGGACCAGGACGAGTATGACGGCGTATATAGGCTGCCCGGGCTACGGAAGAGCTCGTCTCGGATCCCCGTCCTGGCATCAAGCCATCATCCCATACCGCAGGAGCATCTCGAACGCGGCGTCCCACTGCCTCGCACACGGAACAATACCCTCGACAGCGGTAACGAAGACAGCATCGTCTACCCCAAAACTCGCCGACCAAGCGAATCTGCCTTCCGCGATCGAGAAACAACCCCAGACTCTGACATAAAACCAGATATCACCACCCAGGACAGCAACAACACCGGCACCTCTCACCCTTCCCCATCTAAAGCAAAAACGCCTTCCAAGGCAGCACCAACAGGCCGGAAATCATCTCAACCACCCAACAACCGTAAAACTTCTGTAAGCCAGAAGCCCAAGACCCCGAACAGCAACCACACCGGCAGCAGCACCAACAGCACTCCCAATGCCCGCCCAGGCACACGGTCAGGCGAGAACCGACCTCAAAGCGGCGCCAGTGCGGCAATCAACAGGCCCGATAGCGACCCCCCATGGCTGGCAACCATGTATAAACCGGACCCGCGCCTCCCTCCCGACCAACAAGTCATACCAACCCACGCCAAACGCATGCAGCAAGAACAGTGGGAGCGCGAGGGTAAAGTCCCAGCCATTTACGGCCGTGATTTCTCCCCTCTCACCGTCCAGACGTACGATAGCAACGGGTCGGCCGTCAAGCCTCTCCCTGAGCCTAACCTAGCGCAAGAACAAGACAATCAACAGACACAGCCGCTGGAAGCGCTATCACCGACAAAACCACCTTCCACAAGAGTCAAGAGTCCTGATCCCGCCAATGGGTATAAGACCGTCCCCAGCGCGCAGTCGGCAGCGTCAGCCCAAGCCAAACTGAACTCGACCTCGAACTCGGCTCGTCCTCGGCCGGTGGAAGTGGAAGATCCGCATATAAAGGACAAGAGTTGCGGATGCTGCATTGTCATGTAGTCTGCCCTCTTGACTCTGTGCCTTGGCTAAATTTCGATGATCATGCTTTCTTTTTTTATATTGACTTAATCTTTCCTCTCGTTCCAGTTTCCCCCAGATTACATTACTACTTACCTAGTCACCCCCTTTCTACCTAAGCGTTTGAGCCATATATTCCCCCTTCCCTTCCCTCACACCAGGTTCAACTTCCAGCAGCTCCAGCTCAAACATTTCCCTTTCACCCTTATGCATCCTCTACCCCTCTCCCTCCCTGCCTACTTCTTTCCTATTTTCTTGATAAAAGTGACTGGTGATTGGCGATTTAGCTGCTCTAGTTTTGCTTTTGCCTTTGCCTTTTTACTTACCCCCAAGAACGGATTGGAGCTTCCTGTTGTACAATTTTTCTACTACTTTTTGGCCCCCAGCTTCTTGTCTGTCTTATTTAGTCTCTTCGCCAGCCGGCACTCTCTCTTTTTTTGCGTCGTCTCTCTCTATTCGGATGTCCCCTCGCCTCACAACCTCCCACCCACCCTTCGTCGTATGCCCCTTGATCATTCCGTGGAATGGAGATACACCCACTTTCTTACCCTCCATTCCCCCCGATACCCTCCGCTCGTCGGAAAACATATTTGGTTGATTTCCCAACCCCCTTACTCAACCCTGTCTGATGAGCCCCAGGTTTTTTGTTTTAAAATTTTTGAAGATTGAAGACTGGCACTTTTTTTTTTGATCTTTTTATTATCTACCAGCGTAAAACACAGTGAGATTTTCATCTCGTCTCATATCGTCTTTTTATTTACTCAGTTTGTTTTTGTCGTCTGCCGTCTATTCCGTCGCTGTTCGTGTTTTCCTTTTAAGCCCAGATACCAAGTTGATTCAGTTCGTATCTAGCATCACCTCTCCAGCACTATTTACTTAAGGTACTACGTGTATGTATTCTTCAGTGTTATTATACATATCACAGTATCAAAACAAGATATATTCCAAAGAGTGTCGTAGCTAGGAAGACATATCCCTGTCTATTTTCCTATTTATTTATACTTAACTCTTAAATTCAACTATATAAATACTAACCTCTTGCATATCTTCTTTGAAAGACGATACTTCCCTTTATTTAATCAGGAATGACGTAGAATCCTCTGGTGAGTTCTGAGATATAGCCGATATCAAGTAGGGTGTACTGGGTAGGACAGAGTGAGATATAGCAGCGGTCTAAATCGAAATCAGCCAGCCTTCTGTCTCAGGAATATCTGAGGTCTCTAGTATCTTCTGTCTGTCTCGCCATAATATATATAGCAGTCATAGTATAAAGCAGTCATAGTATATAGAGCGTATGAAGTGACGTTGAATTGCCGAGCCATGCTCGTATCTCCAACTGCCGTGATCTGCGCCTCGTATTAGCTAAAAACCCTTGCCTCTTTCTCTCCCCATCTAACCATCCATCTCACCACCACCTTGCCCCTCGCCCTTGACAGCATATATATCCCCCGGACTCTCTCCGTCCTCCTCTCTTCTTCTCCCCTTCGTCCATCCAACGTTGCCCACCATAGCTTCCATATTCCGCCGCCTCTTCGGCTCAGTCGCCGCACAACCAGCCAACATGTCTGCCGCCAAAGTCAAGGCCGAGCAAATCATCGCCGACAACGGCGTGGGTGAGTCTTGTCATTTGTCCGGGGTATATCGCAATTAAGATAACCGCTAACCCGTACCGTACCTCATAGTTGTTTTCTCCAAGTCATATTGCCCTCATTGCAATGAAACCAAAGCTCTGTTGAATTCTCAGGGAGCCAAGTACTTTACCATGGAGCTTGATAAAGTTGGTATGTCGCATATATCATTACTCTGTCGACACGATAAAGGGAAAGAGAAGTGGGAGACTGACGTGCTTGAAATGGTAGATGATGGCCCTGCTATCCAGGATGCACTGCAGCAGTTGACCAAGCAACGCACCGTTCCCAACATCTTCATCAACCATCAGCACATCGGCGGTAACTCTGACCTCATGGCCAGGTCTTCTCAGCTGCCTCAGCTGTTGAAGGATGCCGGTGCCCTCTAGACTGATTTGGATATGACTTTTATTACGTTATCTTCTCGTGACCAGACGGGGGATAGGCCTTTTTTAGAAAACCTTTATATCTAGCACAATTGCTATGATTGAATGCTGGGTAGATTGTTCTTGTATTTATTTAGGAGTGTCAATACGCTGGATATCTCAAGTGACTATAGTACATATATATCATTTTTCTCAAATGGCAGACAATTCTCTTCTATCGTACCACCCGTAATAGGTATAGCATCGCTAGGATGATGGTGTTATAATTTAGATAACCTTCATCTCAACTGTGCCAATCGGTCGGCCAACGATGCCCATCATGCCGTCGACAATGTTCTTCCTGGCACTCTCGCTCGCCACGGCTTTACCAGCAAGATAATTCAGCCATACCAATCGCCCGACACGCTCATCACCTACTCGGCCCAGCCATGTCATTGGCTTCGTGTCACCAGGCTGGTACACTATCCCCATCCCGCCCAGCTTATCACGTAGCAAAAGCAGCGTTTGGCCCTTGGGTACATTCTTGCGTACTCCTCCACCAAGCAAAGTCTTAAACTCAGACAAAGCGACACCGAAGGAGTCGTCGGCAAACTCAACATCGACAGGAGCATCAGATTTATCACCAGCAGCCAACTGTTTGGCGCGAGCGTTGGCCTTTTGAGCTCTGGCAGTGATAGCTCTCACCCATCCATCACGGAGATGCAGGAAATCCGTATTCCGCGTTGGCACTATACGGAAGACGGTACGTATACCGCCTTGACGAAGGATATGGTCCATTATCTGCTCGCCCTTTTCAGGCTCGAGGAGAGCGGCTTGAAGTGCCTCGCGCTCTTGAGGTACGAGAGAGGAGGCGGCCAATGTGTCATCCGTAGGAGCTGCGCCTGATACTGTCACGGCGGGCGTAGCGCCTTGCTGTATTAGACGTGCTTGGAGAGCAGGAATGTCTGCCGTAGCCACATATAGGCCTACGACGTAGACTTGGATGCTCAGGAAGGAGACGGTGCGTAGTCCCAGACCAAGAAGCTGGTATTCTTCTGCCGTCTTATCATTTATGTTATTGGAGACCGCTAGCTCGTCGCCGATTTTCAGGTCAGGGCTATCGCCTGCGTCGACCGTCTTGGGTAATCGGATGGTCTTTGGGAAATTAGGTATCGTTGAGTTGCCTGTAGAAACTTGCTCGACACCATCGATGATCACGGTAGAGGATTCATCGAGTCCCAGCCCCGTCGGCCCGTCGAGTTTGATTGTTCCATCATTCTTCGCCTTGGTTCCCTTGTTGTCCTTTGCATCGTCGGTGGTGTTCTCTGCCGCCAGCCCGCTGGGGAAATAATATGTCACAGTGCCGTACATGGCAATAGCACACGCCACTAGTCCGGCGGCGGATATGGCCATTCTCTTCTTATACTGTACATGCTGGTCAAGGGCTGTTTTCGTAGAATACCGCGCTTCTTCCCTTGCGGCCGCCCTTGCAGCTGTCCTTGCACCTGCGGTTGAAGCCTGGAGAGTATGGGAGGTAGAGAGCCATCGAGGTTGTTGGCGGAGCGGATTTCGTCGAGCGCATTGTGTAAGATGTCGGCGGAGAGACATATGGAGGGATGGAGGAAGGGAACTCATGGCTGCGGCGTCAATTGCTGTTGCCAGTTGATATCGTCCTCTACGAAGCCGTCGAAGTCCGACCTTCCAGTTTAGTTTATGTTTAGGTGTGGTGTTTGTCTTGTTTGCACCTACGCCTAACATTACTTCGCTCTGACTTTTGCAGCAAGGTCAAGCTTCATCGGATGCAACTCTACAAGAAGAAAATATACAAGACAAGCAGGTGGAGAAAAAAGAGTTTGAAATTTTATGTGAATTAAAACCAGGTTTCATCTAATACGATATGTGAAGAAGGAAAAGAAAAGTGGTGTTTTTTGGATTTTCATATGCCCCGCCAGAAAAAAAAAACACCCAGAAGACATGGAAAGGTATTTATTTATTGAGGGAGAGATAAGAGAAAAAACCCATCATTCCTTTTTCTTTCAAACATCAAAAACCGTTTTCTTGTCATCGCCATCATGGTTGTCGTTACATCAAGAGTAAATTAAATAATTTACTTCTTGGCGGCCTTCTGGGCGGCCTTGGTGACCTTACCACCAGCCTTCTCGGTCTTGTCGACGGATTCTAGAGAGTAGAGGTTAGTATATGTTGTTATGGTTTGAAGGGTGTTAAGGAAAGTAACTTACTGATGACACCGACGGCAACGGTCTGTCTCATGTCACGGACAGCGAAACGACCGAGTGGTGGGTAGTCAGTGAAAGCCTCAACACACATGGGCTTGGATGGAACCATCTTGACGATAGCGGCATCACCAGACTTGACGAACTTGGGGTTGTTCTCAACGGATTTACCGGTACGACGATCGATCTTCTCGAGGAGCTCAGAGAACTTGCAAGCAATGTGGGCAGTGTGGCAGTCGAGGACTGGGGCGTAACCAGCACCGACCTGACCGGGGTGGTTGAGGACGATGACCTGGGCGTTGAAGGAAGCACAGCCCTTTGGTGGATCGGTCTTGGAGTCACCGGCAACGTTACCACGGCGGACTTCCTTGACGGAAACGTTCTTGACGTTGAAGCCGACGTTGTCACCGGGCATACCGGCCTGGAGCTGCTGGTGGTGCATTTCGACGGACTTGACTTCAGTGGTGACGTTGGCGGGGGCGAAGGTGACGACCATACCGGGCTTGATGATACCGGTCTCGACACGGCCGACTGGCACTGTGCCAATACCGGAGATCTTGTAGACATCCTGGAGTGGGAGACGGAGGGGCTTGTCGGTAGGACGGGTGGGCATGTCGATGGCGTCAATGGCCTCGAGGAGGGTCTTACCGGAGGCCTTGCCAGCGGCGGTCTCCTTGCTCCATCCCTTGTACCATGGGCAGTTGGGGGAGGCTTCGATCATGTTGTCACCGTTGAAACCAGAGATTGGGACGAATGGAACACCCTTGGGGTTGTATCCGACCTTCTTGATGAAGTTGGTGACTTCCTTGATGATCTCACCGAAACGGGACTCAGACCAGTTGGTGGTGTCCATCTTGTTGATGGCGACGATGAGCTGCTTGACACCGAGGGTGAAAGCGAGCAGAGCGTGCTCACGGGTCTGACCATCCTTGGAGATACCAGCCTCGAACTCACCAGTACCGGCAGCAATGATGAGAATAGCGCAATCGGCCTGGGAGGTACCAGTAATCATGTTCTTGATGAAATCACGATGTCCGGGGGCATCTACTACCGTTAGTACTCGTCGGCAACTATAGAAAGATGGACACTGAACATACCAATGACAGTGACCATGTACTTGGGGGTCTCGAACTTCCAGAGGGCGATATCGATGGTGATACCACGCTCACGCTCGGCCTTCAGTTTGTCAAGAACCCAGGCATACTTGAAGGACTTCTTGCCCAACTCTTCAGCTTCCTAGAAGGGTCGTTAGCATCAATGCATGTAAGAAAAAGCAAGTTGAACATGATGAGGCTCGATTGTTGCCCTAGTGATGGGGTATGTTGTTGGTGGGGTATGTATGAGTTTGATGCCCAAGCGAGCGCCAAGCCACATCCCACCACCGCCAAAAAAGCCACATAGCGGGCAGGGTAGAAAGCAGTGAAAAGCAGTGAAAGCAATGAAAAGTAACGACGAGAGCAGCAAGTCTTACCTTCTCGAACTTCTCGATGGTACGCTGGTCGATACCACCACACTTGTAGATCAAGTGACCTGGATTGCGTGTCAGTTGCAAGTTGTTATGAGGATAGGTTTGATGGCGGGCTTACCAGTGGTGGTAGATTTGCCGGAGTCGACGTGGCCGATAACGACCAAGTTGATGTGGTTCTTCTCTTCCTTACTGCAGAAGAGTTAGCTGTCTGACGACCAAGATTGAGATGGATTGAGATGCAACTGCTGTGAATTAACGTACCCCATGATGGCGGTGTTGTGTGTGTGATAGAAGTCTTGTAGTTCTTTGGAAGATACTAGAAGAATTCAGCAGAACGCTCAGATACTACGGCCGATTTGCGTAGAGGTGCTGCAATTGTTAGATGAAGCTGATGAAAGGTAGGGTGAAGGGAGGACGTACTGAAGCAGACGAGGGAGGGAAGAAGAAAAAGAAGAAGAGAAGATTTTTTCTGTGTGAAGGCGAAGAGCGAGGGGCCTTTTTGTATGGCGGGGCGAGGGGCGCGGGCGGCCGAAAGGGGACTAGCGAGTCCGCGCTAGGCCGAACCTGGCAGCGCGCGGAGGGGCACTTTTCACCCCACCATGAAAACTCTGACAGGTATACCGAGTATGAAGACGATGTATGAAGACGATGTATATGATAAGATGATAGACATAGATGATAGTATAAGATGATGAGATATATATGTATAAGATGATGAGAGGTTACTCTACGTGGTGGCGGTGGTATACAGAAGTATACGGGAAGGCTTGTTGGCGCATATATCCCTGCGCGTTCCCGATCAGCGCCCCGTCTTGCGCGGAGTCCAGTTACGTGTACTTGGTGTACTTGATGTACTTGATTATGTACTTGGTGGTGTCCTTGGTGTCCTTGGACCCTGGTGGGTGAGGACTTGGCGCTGGTGGCATTTGCATGCGGGACAGGAGAAGTTCCGTCTGCACGGCCTGGCAGTGGTGAGCCTGGCAAGAGCTGTAGGAGCTCGTATGAAGTAGTGACAGTGGTAACCTGCCAGCCTAGTTCTCTCTCCAGCGAGTACCGCACACCGAGCACTGCATATCGTCAGCGTGAGTCACGATGTATAGAGCCAGGAAAGGTACCTTGAGGAAAGTTGTCATGGGCTCGTCGGCACTTCTGATCTGCAGCTGGTAAAAGAACGCACGATCACCATCACAGCCCTCGGCGGGGCATTGGGCTGCATTACAGCTGTTAGTCCTCTGGTCTGCCAGAAGTTGATGACAGAGAGATGCGTACCGGCCATGTTATCTGCGTTCTTCCACTCGTCCTTCCCACCCATCACGTCGGCCACTTCCTTGCGTTTCATCTCTGTGCGTTCATAGTATGTCCTGTCCAGCGCATACTGATATGGGCAGGTGCGGCATTCGAACCGGTTGACGCCCGATGGGTAGCGTGAGGTCGGGGGGGCCTTGGAGATGGTTAGCGCGTTGCTGCAGTTCGGGCAGACTAGAGACAGGGGAAGTTAGCATTGACACGGGTATTACTACTTGTGACACGGAGATTGAGACGTACATGTCAGCGGCATCGTGGCGGTAGATCTATCTTTCACCGTTAGATGGTCAGAATGTAGAAAGAAGGCACGTTCAATCTTCAACTTCTACGCGCTAGCTGGCCAATAAGCGGGCGCCAAGCGATTAACGCGTTTCCTTGCCTCGGTACTGGAACATTATTCTTCCGCTAACCGCCGAGTCCTCCTGGCCTCGCGTGCACGTCTACATACGGCATATTGTATACACAGCCCTGCACCGTCTATAGCCTGGTGTTTATTCTCGTTCTTCTTCTCTCCTTTATCTGTTCACCATGCCTGACGACGAGGTAAGGTTCATTCTCGACTGTCCACTGTCCATCAACGATCATGACCAGCCATTGACTTACCTTGCATAGGGCGCCTCTCCCCGCGAAGTGGTGGTGGAAGCCTGCCGCCGCGACCAGCCCTATCTCATCGACGAGATCTTCCAAAAGTCATACAAGGATAAGCCAGATGAGTTTGCAGACTTCATCAACGGCGTCACAGACTCCATGGGGAACCACGCTCTGCACATCTGCGCCTCTTACGGTAGCTGTACGGCCCCGCCTTTAGGCCCCTATCCTGCTTGACCTACCTCCTTGTTTGCTCAACCCGGCTAAATATACATAAATATTATAGATGATGCAATGGACTACCTTCTAGACATATATCACTTTGAAGTTGACCCCGCTAACCGCATCGACGGCGACACACCGCTTCACCTAGCGGTCCGACACGGAAACGAAAAGGACATCGATGTCGGCATGTCCATGCTAGAGATGATGCTTGAAGCAGGCTGTGATCCACGCGTACGGAACAAGAAAGGTCAGAGGCCTGTGGATTTCGTCATGCCGCAGTATAGCCAGATGAAAACCGCCTTGATGAAGGTGGAGTATATGCTGCAGGAAGGCGGGGGGATAGAGGGGCATGACGACGAGGACGATGAGCAGAGTGATGGACCGAGTGATGATGAGGAAGCTGCCCAGACTAAGAAGCGTTAGTTGCAAGGCAGGGGAGTTATGGTGTTGTTGTTTTTTTACATGCCTTATGTCGATATGATCTACTTTCGTACACGTCGTTGGCTGGATGTGCTTATAGAGTAATCTTTGGAGGAATTAGCTTATAACCGAATGAATACACCTTAGACTTTACTTGTTGTTCTAGCAATATGTACTGGTATCGTATTATATGTCCATGTCAACTCTGGGTATACATAATTAATAGATCTATCCTAACATACATTGTCTACGCATCTGGATCATCATCACCGTTCCTGCGTCCTCTCCTACGCTGGGCCCCGTCTTCCGTAGCCTCCGTTTCTGCTACTGGCACGTCCTTCTTAATCCCCAAACTTCTACCTAGCCTCTTCTCAAACTGCTCATTGTCTGGTTCATCTTCTCCTCCCTGTCCTATCCCGAATACTTCCCTCGCCAGCCCTGACACTCCAGACACACCAACCTCCACTTTTCCTCTCGGTCCAACAAAATATTCTATCACCTCCTCCCCCGTATCCGAATCCCGAATCTTCACCAGGTACCCTTCCTTACACAGACGAGCAAGTAACTTGTCTGTCCTATCAAGAGGCGTATATGTCTCCGCGTTGACACGGCGTAGGTATCTGTTCAGCTTGTCTTCCGGCAGCGATCCACCAGATAACATAATCAGCGAGATGATAAAGGTGTATATGGCGATATATGAGCTTTCAGTAGCAGATGAAGGCGCCTTGGGCGGTTGTAGGATGGCCGGTATCTTATATGCAGACGGTAAGGTAGATATTACCGTCCATGACTTTGTTGTGCTTGCTTTTTCCACGCGTTGAGCCGCTTTAGATCCGTTAGTAAACTAGCATATCACCCCGTCAAGAAAAGAATGTATATGATATGCTCACCTCTCTTTTGGCTAATGGTGACCTTCTCTTTATTGGGCTGCTCAACCATCTGCATGCCAAAAACCTCTTTCAACGTCTTCTGTGCATCATGAAACACGAGCTTGAAATGCCGCGATCCGCCCTCACCCAACACTTTGCTGGTTATGTCTGTTCGGCGGATGACTTGGCGCGAGTATTCACTTGCCAAAGCCAGCCGGACCAGCTTCTTTACCATCACGTTCGTCGAACCGTAGCTCTGTGTGTGGCTCCCAGGCTGTTGATATTCGTCCTCGGAGTTGGGAGTGGCGCTGCGTCGGCGCTGCGTGGCTCGTTGCGTCTGTGTACGGGCTGGAGTATCATTGACACTCTCTTCCTCCTCGTCGTCTTCATCATCGGCCTGGTAGTGATAGTGTTAGTTATTATTCTATTGGAATGGTGGGATAAGAGTAGCCTTACGGCGCGGCGTTTTCGGGGCATTCTGCTTTATTTAGGTCGGTTTTTCAGATAAGGGAGTATGCGTGTTTAGTCTTGGACCAGGGAATGGTAGTATATCCCATCTAGATATTGATAGTGTGGGTATAGATCTGTGTCTGACATTGCGGTCGTGACGAGCGTGATTCAATTAAAAATACGCGCTTGGTGAAACGCGGGGTCACGTGTTCAGCCTCATTTTCAACTTCAACTTCGATCGACCACTGCGACTCTAGGATGAAGTTCATCTTACTCTTACCCTGTCATGGTCATGTAAAATATATATCATGCGAGGGACCGCCTCTCCATCCTTGTCAATGTCTGCAATATACGGATCTCTGGCTGCAGAGTCAAGCCTCGGTACCATGCGACCACTAGTTTAAAGCACCAAAAATGTCGCCTTCGATCTATCTTCTTGACACGGAATAAATACGAACACGCATCTACCGCTATGACACGGTTAAGATGACTGATCAAGGTCTACGGACTCTCTCCGGCACATAAAGGCTGAGATAAGATAGCCTCGATGCTATTTCATACCAACCGTACTCGTACGGAGTACTTAAGCGCTTATCAAGCTTCAAGCTTCGGCGCTCGAATTACCGTCTTCCGTTGGCTGCTTAATCCGATAAGAAGGGCAAGACAGAGTTTTCTTTCGTTAGGCTTGATTAGCGGTCTCCACAGAACAAGCACACGACAGCGATCGTGATAATTCCCTTAGATCGGGCAACTATGGGCCGAACTCTTCGCCCGGTATGGCCGGAGCGCTGCAGAATTTGCCGGTGACAGCGGAATGAATACATATATACCCTGTCGTGCTCTTCACCTTCTTCCCGCATAGGTTTCGACCACCCTAAGCTGCCATGAAGGATTGGGGTACTCGCATTAACGATGCTGTGGCGAAGAGTGTTGTTGGCCGCAGGTTCCGGCTTGAAGGGTCTGGACATGTAAGTCGACGTGAGAGCGTTGCTGAGTCGCGACATGGGCTGACATTGGTATTCTGTAGCGGCGTGAGCGGAAGGGATCTCGGTTCCTAACCGAAGTTCGTGCTGGGCTCACCACCTTCTTTGCCATGACATATATCATATCGGTGCGTTGGTAGATGCAGTTGGGACAATCGTATGAGGGAAATGGTTGAGCTTACGGTCTAAAGGTCAACGCGACTATCCTGACGGATTCCGGCGGACCATGTGTGTGCCACGATACCAAAGATCCTACCTGCAAGACCGATATCGATTATAACCTGTGCCTGAACGTGCTTAAACGCGACCAAATAACCGCCACTGCTGCGATATCCGCCCTATCGTCGTTTTGCATGGGTCTCTTCTCGAATATGCCTATTGCTCTGGCTCCTGGAAGTATGTGCCTGTTATCATGTGGCCCTGCTTACCATGAGGAGCTTGGTTGCTGACCTTGAATTAACAGTGGGACTGAATGCATACTTTACGTATACCGTTGTTGGCTTTCATGGATCAGGTCCTGTAAGTTACGGTCTAGCGTTGACGGCAGTGTTTGTGGAAGGATTCATCTTCGTCTTCTTATCCATATTCGGAATGCGTCAGTGGCTAGCTCGTGCGATGCCGAAATGCATCAAGCTTGCCTCTGGGGTTGGTATAGGGTTATATCTCTGGTTGTACCCTTTCTTACTACGCAGAAGTGAAAAGTGAAGAAGGGAATGCTAATAAAACCAGCTCTTATAGGATTAACGTATAGCGCCGGCATCGGAGCCATCACAGGCGATAAAGATACGCCCGTCACCCTAGGCGGCTGCGTACCCAGCGAGATGATTAACGGCGTATGCCCTGGCGGAGCCAAAATGCGCAACCCAACGCTCTGGGTCGGTATATTCTGCGGCGGCATCCTAACCTGCATTCTAATGATGTATCGAGTCAAAGGCGCCATAATCGCCGGCATCCTACTTGTCTCCATCATTTCCTGGCCCCGTCCTACGAACGTCACATACTTCCCTCACACAGTCCAAGGGAACGACGCATTCGAATTCTTCAAAAAAGTAGTCACCTTCCACAAGATCGAAAGTACACTTGTCCAACAAGAGTGGAATCTAGCCAAGGCAGGAGGCCAATTCGGTCTGGCGCTCATCACGTTCTTATACGTTGATATCCTCGATGCTACGGGGACGATGTATTCTATGGCTCGGTTTTGCGGGGCCATTGATGAACGAACGCAAGACTTCGAAGGGTCCGCGATGGCATATACTGTCGACGCACTCAGTATTTCCATCGGTTCGTTACTAGGCACATCCCCCGTCACGGCATTCGTGGAGTCAGGCGCAGGTATTTCCGAAGGAGGCAAAACAGGCCTTACTGCAATGACTACTGGTATATGCTTTTTTATATCACTATTCTTTGCACCCATCTTTGCATCCATTCCGCCATGGGCGACGGGCTGTACGCTTATACTGGTCGGAAGCATGATGGTTCGTGTCGCGGCTGATATCAACTGGCGGTATATGGGCGACGCCATACCTGCGTTTGTATGTTTGGCCGTCATGCCGTTCACGTATTCGATTGCCTATGGCCTTATAGCTGGCATCATCTCTTATGCGGTGCTTAATTCAGTTGTGGCGCTGGTCGAGGTGTTGTCTGGTGGTAGGGTTGTGCCGGAGAATAAAGAGTTCAAGGATCCATGGTCGTACAAGGTACCCGGCGGAGTGTTGCCTGGTTGGACGCGCAGGCTAATCAAGGGGATGAAAGACTTCTGGCGCGAGGATGACGAATCTGAACATGGCCTTGGACAGGATGACGTCGTCGAGGCGAAGGTGCATCCGATATCAGAGTCGCATGGTTTTGACAAACAATCATAATTCCTGTGTATACGTAATTGGATATCTTGTGTAGATGCGGTATCCTGCAATTACCTTAATGATTATTCACAATCCAACATAAAGTGTCTACATATCAAATTAATTCTACAGCCAACCATAAACACAATATCAGGTATCAATAATAGCAAAAGCAAAAGCAGAAGCAGAAGCAGGGCGTAAAACATGCAAACAAAAACCAGTAGAACTTGTAAATCAACTGAATCTCTATGGACGGACAGACGCACCGAAGCCGTAAATGTTAATGCGTTTTGAGGAGAGAATAAGGAAGATTAAGAAAAAAAAAGAGAGAGCAGGTCGTCCCCACCAGTCCATCCATCAATACAAACATTCGTCAGTGCATCCAATCGCGTCCCCATCTCCGGTATAAGATACAACATGGTCATTTGGTAAGTGGAAGTAAAGCAAAAAAAGAGAAAGAAAGGAAGAAACGAAAAAGAAGGGGAAGGGAGGGGGTAAAGGAAAGAAAAAGGGCCATGGAAAGCTCTTATCTCGCTCTCGGCTTTCTCAAGCTTTTAACGCGATTGATGAATCCGCTGGCAGGCTTGGTCTCCCGGTCCTCTGCAGTTGGGCTAGTCATTCCATCACTGCTCTCCTTCCTTTCCGGGAGGCGTCGAGGGCTGCTGGTGGCTCTGGGCCGTCCACTGGGCCCGTCGTCGGTATCGATGAGCTGCTGGTTCTGAATCTTTGCGGACTTCATCTCATATGCGTCGTCGTAGTCTTGGTTAAAGAAAGGGTTCTTATCGTTTGTGTTCGCCCTACGCGAGCTGGTCGCTCGCGGCGGCGGTGGAGGAGCGTATCGTGGCGGGTTATCTGCAGCCTCTGAAGTGCGACGGTACGAAAGTGGTTCGGGGGACATGACTCTGCCGCCGCCAATGCTGCGATTGTTGATTCCGCGGATCTTCTGGGCAAGAGATTTCTTGCGTTGGAGGCCTGCCTGCTGGGTCTCTGTCTCGGTTTCGTTGCGCTGGATGGCAGCACGACTGGCGGGAGTGCCTTCGAGGAAAGTGGATGTTCCTAGACCTAGACTGATATCGCTGTGGACTTGTTCTATCTGGCTGGTTGGGTTGAAGGCGACGGCGGCGTCAGCCTTCATGGCTGAAGAGGAGATGGCCGAACCTGGCCCTACGCCAGTAGAGAAGTCAGAGTAGCCCTCCTGGCCGCGGCCGTGGATCTGGTTAAGATCGAGCTTGTTGTTGTTGGGCCCGGCGCCACCCAGGGCCATGTTGCGGGAGTCCTTGGGGAAAGCCTGCATGGGAGCAGTGCGGGAGCCTTTACGGTTGCGGTGCGGGTTGCAGGCATCAAACGGGCCATCATGGTGGAATGCTACGATTGTTAGCAATAATAAAACCAGCGAGAAGAATAATAAAATCAAGGGAGGACATACAAGCTGGACCGTATATTCCAGTGACATCGAGCTTGTCGATGATATCAAGTTTGTAGTTGTGGCCTCGTCTGGAGCGAGACTTGCCGTCCTTGTGTCTGGCCTCCCGCTCTCGGTGTCGACGCTCACGGCGCCTCCGCTCCTCGTCCGGGTCGAGCAGCTTTGGCCGTTCCATGAGCGAGGAGTCCGAGTTGCGACGGGGCCGCCTTTCACGCTGGGAATTGGCCCTAGATTCAGCCGGGTCGGCAAAGACGTCGATGAGCTGGCCTGTCTTGCCGGACCTGGAGCGGGAGGACTCGTGGTTCGACGGACGACGGTTCTGCGGGGGCGGCCTGCTGCCGGAGAAGGACGAGGAGGTTGGAGGTACGTTTTCAGGTCGCTGTGGCGGACGTCGTTTTCCCTTGTCCTCCAGGGAGAGGTTTTCCTACACAGTCAGCAGGCATAAAAATGCATGTATACGCATAGAGAGACATACGAAGAGATCGGTGTCTGGCTGGCTCTTCATGGAGGCCATGCTGGGCGACGGGAGCGAGCTGGCGGCGGCAGGGACAGTCTCTGTCTCGTCGAGGAAGGGGTTTGTCGAGAGAGGTCGCTGCGGACGGAGACCTGGGCTCAGCAGGGAGCCAGGCGTAGAAGGAGAGGTCGCTCGATTGCGAAAGGGATTGTTTGAGCCCAGGGTGATGCTGGGAGAGGACTGCCGGTCTAATCAAGTCAGCAAGTCAGCAAGCTAGCTGCAATGTCCACCGGCCATCCACTGGCCACTTTTAATGACGCTGAAACAGCGAACAGTCTGCTAGCAGCGCTCGCACGTACCTGGCACTGAGATGGGAGCGAGCGACATGGCGGGAGAGGCAGAGGATGCCAAAGGGGGAGGCGACTTGACGCAGCGGGCGACGAGGCAGCGGCAGTGAGAGCCAGGTTCCTGTTACTGGCTGAGCGAGCCGGCGGTCGCACGGGAAAGTTGGCAGCTGGCAAGGAAGAAGAAGCTGGTGGTTCGATGGCGAGAGGCAAGGATGAAGGCGATGCTAGTGGAGCGATCGACGTACTACAGCGAGCTGAAGTTGAGGTGACGAGTGACGAGTGACGAAGTTGAAGAGAATGTAGTTGAGCTGGTGAAGAGAGGGTGAAGAGTTGAATAGTTGAGAGAGTGAAGAAGTGAAGTTGAAGTTGAAGTTGAGATGCGACGGAAGAGGCAAGTCGCTAGTTCGGCTATTTAACTTACCATCTCTACCATCTACTCTACTACATCTACTCTCTATCTACTATTCTCTCTTCTATTCTCTACTATCTTGTCTCTTCTATTCTCTCGTCTCTCGTCTCTCCTCTTCTATCAACATCACTTATCGTTATCTTCTTTGCTTCTTCTGCGCTGTCAGCGTCTATCAAATACTACGGATATATCAACATAAGAATACAAAATACAGAATAAGACAGGAGAAGATGGAACCGCCGGCGCCATCGAGTCCCCGGTTCACGCTCGAGCTCGAGTTCGTCCTCTCGCTCGCCAACCCGCACTATCTGTCGCACCTCGCCGTCGCCTATCCGCACCTGCTGGGCATCACGACGACCAACAAGAGCGAGAGCAGGAGCAAGGGCGAGAGTGAAGCCTTCGCCGCGTATCTCGCCTACCTCTATGGCTACTGGCAGCGGCCAGAGTACGTCCAGTTCCTCACCCATCCTGGCGCGACCTTGCGCTCGCTGCGACTGCTGCAGGAGGAGGCCTTCAGGGTCGCCGTCATCAGGCCCCAGGTCATCGAGGCTCTCAGTGCTGCTTAGAACAAATATAACAGAGACAAGAAGAGAGAAGAGAGAGTATGAGACAAGAAAAGAGAGAATTAATGTATGATAGTATGAATAACGAATAAAGCGTTGCTGAAGGAGGATTTGTAAACTGTAGCCACGTAAAGTCACGACTCCAACTTCAACTTCAGCTTCATACAACGTACCAGCTTCAACTTCAACAACTCACGCACTCAGCTCGACTCAACACACATATAACTACGTATAACATATATCAGCAAAGACCCATGCCAGCTCGATCCTAATTGCGAGTCTCAGGCGGCTTCCGCCCTTTCCGCCAACGACGACACAGGAGCAGGCAGCGAGATAGCCAACACGATGCACTCCGTCCGCCAGGCATGTCGACCGAAACACCAGGTCCTGGTGCTCAAGTGCTATCCGCGCTTCCAGAAGGGCGTCCAGGTCGTCAAGCCCAACTCCTCCGAGCTCAGCTACCTGCTCTACTACGCCAGCACCCGTCGCAGTAAGCTGCAGAAGGTCGGGGCCTTTCTCGAAAAGCGCGCCGCCAGAGACGTCTGGAGGCAGAAGCTCGGGTCAGTCTACGTCGATGTCTATGCTGTATAGAGCTAACGCGGTGTAGGAATGTGCAAGTTACGATGCAGCTGCTGGCGGCGTTGATAGAAAAGTTGCCGCGAGACCTGCCTCTCTACGCCAGCTCCGTGCTCACCATCCTCGATACCGTGCTGCACTCCAACGATATCTCAATGGTAGAAGAGACCATCCCGACGTTTCAGGTCTTTTGCTCGCATCAGGACACCACCGCTCTCTCCGCAGACACGGAGTACATCAACCAGTACCGCGGCGTCTTACGCAAATATGCCAGCTTTGCCTCCACCTCCCCTTCGCCCTCCACGGCCAGCATGACGCCGCCCACGGCCCTGCGGTGGAGGAACGTCGGTCTACAGGCTGTCAAGAGCGTCGTGGGCTCAGAGGCCCTGGGGGCAGACTGGTCGAGGCAGCTCAACATCGTGATCCCAGTGATCCTGCAGAGCCTCTACCACGATGGAGATCCGGGTTTGCTGCCACTGCAGCAGCGGGCACTGAGCTCCGAGAGCCAGGAACGTGAGCATACCCGGCGACGACGGATGAGCATTGCTACCGTCCAGACCATCGATACCGTCGATGGGAACCCGGAGTCGGCAGCGGGTACGGCCGCGGATGCGGACAAGGCGGCCGAGATGGAGGCGCAGGTGCTGGCCCTACGCTGTCTGGAGAAGATATTCACGCCGGGCAGTAACAAGGTGCAGATCAGACTGGCTACCGCGCTCGTTCTGGACTTTATAGTCACCAGAAGCCCGCCCCGGAAGGCCGTCGACGAGAAGCAAGGGGACAACGCCAACTGGGCCACCGACCTGCTGGAGGTCATCGTCAATTGGACACCCGTCCAGGACCGTTTCGTCATCTTGGTCACCTTGGTCGAAGCCCTGGCTGAACGGCCGCTGGTGGACGGCCAGCTGGAGCCCCAGCTCACCCTCGTCTACATGATCGAATGGCTGCTCAGCTCGCCCATAAACCTCATCGGCCTGAGTGTCATGGACATCCTCATTGCCCTCCTACGCTATATCCTCCTCCTGCTCCATTTAGGCGGGAAAAGGGCCAAGGTCGTGCCCCCGCCGAGCAACACCGCGTTTGCGCATCCGCTTGCCCTGGCAGCACAGACGGACGATGCTGCGGCAAGTTCGGCCACAGCCAGCGTTGAAGATACGGGCCCGCGTCCCTCATCGGGGCATATGCGACAGGAGCTCCTGCAGCTGTTGCAGTCTTGTGTCGCCAACCTGGCCAACCATGTATACTACACCGACCAGGTGTCTGATATGGTCAAGACGATTGTATCCCGCATCAGACCTACTGCCTCCTTGACTGCTCAGGCCAACGTCTCAGACCAGGAGTCAGAGAAACCAGTGGATGAATCTGCGGTCTCGGATTCATACTTCTCCACGCCAACAGCCCAGATCACGGCCCTCAAGGCGATCAAGGATACCCTAGTCGTTGCTAACGTCAAGCAGCTGTCCAATAATCCTGGCAGTGGTACGGGATCTAGTACAAGCACACACTCTAGGCACCGTGTGCCTGTACAAGCCTGGGAAGGGACCCAATGGCTGCTCCGCGACGCTGATCCAGAAGTCAAGCACGCCTATGTCGAGTCATTCCTCTGCTGGCTGAAACTTGAGACCAACGAGAGCGATCTCCGTGCCCCCGCTGAGACGATAAAGGTGTGCAAGAAGCGAGAGCGAGATCTCGCCGACGGAGCAGAGAAGCTGGTCAGGAGAGCTCTGCCTGTTCCAAGCCAGGACGACAAGCTGGCTGCTTGCGATGTCTCGCGGTTCCTGCAACATCTTCACTTTAATGTATATGAAATCGCTACCGAGCCCTCGGTTGCCGAGTCGGACATCCTTCTCATCTATCTCCTGATGGTTCATCTCGTGGAGCGCCTAGGCGTTAATGCTACCAGATACGGCCTGCCCGTGATGATGAAGATACAGTCTCACTACCTCGAATCATCGACATCACCGTTGAAGGTGGGTAGTTTAGTACATGGCTACCTTTCCGCCATAGTCGAGAAGTTCAACTTGGAAGGCACCAAGGTGGGCAGAGAGATACTTAACGAAGTGGTCAGACGAAAGAAAAACGGTCTCTGGCTACAGAAGATCCAACTCCCTCCGCTTCCTGCAACCCAAATACTCTCTGAACAGGCGTTGAACGCAAACAAGAACAACGCCGACTCCATCGCCCAAACGAACAAGTCCGCTTACACCCCATTCACCTCTCTTGTCGAACTGGTCTCCCAGATCGAAATCGCATATAACCAATCCTGCCTCTCCCCGCCGTCTAGCCCGGCAAGTTCACCTAGCCAGGGCCAGGGACACGGCCTGTCTCAAGCCCGTCAACCACAAACCGCCCAACTGCCACCATATATCAAGGAGCAAATGCTCTCTCCGTGGTCAAGAGAAGCATGTCTCGCCGCCATCGAGCACGAACGTACACGATCGTCTTCCATTGCCGGCTCAAAGTCAGGAACTGGCGGTTCTGCTGCTGTCCGTAACCATCTAAACGTCGCTGCTAGCAAGAACGGTACCGCCAGCTCTCCAACAGGCACCGACTCATCGCACGGCAAATGGCACCGTCCCCTTTCCGCATCAGCTGCAGTTGCTACCCGTGGCGAAAGCCGCAAAGACCGTCGCCAAAGCCTTACTGAAATCCCTCATCCGCATTCCCCGACCACTGCCTCATCAAGCAAGGATTCAACAGTCCGTGTGAATGAGCTTCGCCGCGTCCTGTCTGTAATGAACAGCTCGAACGTACGCCATCCTAGCCCACTACGTGGTCACTCGAGGCTAGGAAGCGATGCAGATGCATCCAGCGCAGAGAGCATGGTCACCGATACCTTCTCTGCTTCGGATGCAGGATTCAGCAGCGTTGGCCCTGGTGGCACTGCCGGCGCCGTGTTGGAGAAGGTTCACCTCGTACACACTCACGCCCATACCGATACTGGCGTCCCCAACCGTTCAAACGGTTACACCGAGGAAGTCGTCCCTCCCGTCCCTCTAATGCCTGCGTTATCGTCTTCTCTCCCCGCTCCTTCTGCTCGCCAATCGCGTAAACAGACAGCCTCAGGCTCAGGAACCTCGAAATCCAGAGAATCCAGATCCCTTACGCGCGCACGCTCAAAGAGTAGAACCTCATCTACCCGTCGTGCCTCGTCTCCGCAACTATCTACCCGCTCTCGCAACCATAGTAGGAGCGGCGTAGACGCACAGGGAGAAGATAGATGGGACCCAAACCTAAGCAAGAACCCCATTCTCCTACGCTCCGTTAGCCACAGTCGACGAGCAGAAGTCGATAAAATTTTAGACGGCATTGCAGCGCCTGGCGAACATGGATATGACGCCGAGCGAATTGCTGGTTCTCATGCCGATGACGATGTCATTCCACAGCATTCCTCGCATGGCGGCGTGAAAAATATCCTCGCCTCGAGCAGGTCTGGTTCAACAAGGAGAGGAATCGGCCCACCCCCATATTAACCCCCTACTTCTCGCTTCAACACACCTCATCCCCTTGTCATCGGCCTCGGACGCTAAAATCATTTAATTCTGCCCTCTGCCTATCTATTATACATTCTATTCGCATTAATTCATATACATGTTCACGTTCATGTTCATGTCCATGTTAGTTTACCGTTATTTAGATTTTCATACTCAAAAAAACATCCTTATCGCGCGGGTGATGGGATTGATGACTCGGTTTATATGAAAGATATTATCTTTTTTTTACGTGCTCTTTTTTGTTCCTTTAATTATTAGCATACATCCCTATTAAAAGCATTGCATCGGTATTCGAGCTTGTTATTATGCAATGCTTGCCCCTTTTCGAGACATTGTTGTCCAGTTATCTAGTCGTTGTCGATCAACGTGTGGCCGCCCCTTTTTACCCCTTTTACTCAACCCGTGTTGGGTCCAGCGGAAAGCGCGGGCCTGTACATAACTAACAATATATATATATATACCTATGGTGATAAAGGTAGTAGGCAAGTACTATCGTGAAATTCATGTGTAAGATAGGATCAAAATAATCGAGCTATATACAGAAGGCTGGGGAAGCTCAATGTTTGAAGGCTCCCTGGCACATTGCGTCCTCATACTCATAATCGGGCTGAAATTCACAATAGAGGACTTCAGGATCACTCTCGACGCTGAAGTTATAAGCTGCCTCTTCATCTGATATCAGCACCTTTTTAAGCCCGTTCGCCGCAGCTACTTCAGCAATCAGTTGCGACTGGCAGCTCCGCTCTAACACCCCAAACAAATACGCTGCCTCATCCACCGTGCCGCCAACACTCAACAGGCCATGATTCATCAATATAGCAGCCTTTCCATCCCCCAGTGCTTTGGCAATCAATACCCCTTCCTCCTCAGCCAGCACAACACCGCCATATGACGAATACACACTATGTGCATTATAGAACTTGCATACGTCCTGATTCAACATCTCCAGTGGCCGTGCGAAAGATGACCATGTCTTACCATACATCGTATGAGCATGGCAGATGGCATGGACGTCCGGCCGGGCCTTGTGCACAGCGGCATGAATCAAGAACCCAGCTGCGTTGGCTGGTCGGCCACGGTTACCGCCAATAACGGTACCGTCAAGTCGTAGTAGAATCATATCGCTGGCTTTGAGAAGTCCGAAATGGACGCCGAGCGGGTTTGTCCAGAAGGCATCGGTGTGTTCTGGGTCACGAACGCTGATATGGCCAGATAGGCCTTCGACGTAGCCTTGTCGTGACCAGATGCGAAATGCACCAGCCATATGTTCCAGCTGCCATTGACGCTTTAGTTCGTGAGAAGTAAAGCTTGGTATTCCTATGGGATGGGGAATCAGTATATACTGTAACGTTTCTAAGCAGGGCAGCCATTTGGGAGATGACATATATACCGGGGATTGGAATTCCTCCATGAGAAAAGGCCTTCAGCCCTCGTTCTTGGCTCTGAACATGTCGATTCTCTTGCTCTGGCTTAGTCTTTACATCTACTTCGCTCATGGCAGTTGGTACGGCCTGGGGAACTGCACCGGGGCTCATTTTGATATATTTTTAGCGGATGACAGTGGATGTATAGATTTTCAGAGTTCTTCCTGATGGGTTATAGGTATCAGGATGTTTTCCATAAGGATGGTCCTATAATATCGGTAAGACCCGGAGGGGTTCGTATTTGTCGGCTCTTTATATACCAGCCATCGACTGCAGAACTGTGGGGTAAAAAGCCATTTCTTGGAGAAAGTAAGGCTCTTGACTTGGTTCGGTCGAATGTTTGCCGATTTAAGCGCCATAAATAGTCGTCAGGCGAATAGGAATATTATAGGAGTTGCATGTCTAGAGTGACTGGTTGTGTTAACTTGTTGGCTTGTAAGGAACACTCGGTACATAGAAGTTCTTGGAATATGAAACTCCACCTGTGAATATAAAACTACTCTCAGCTACAAGGTAACCGCCTGTACAAAATTATACCACCATCGAGTCCCCGATACACTGAACCAGTTACTGTGCTGTATTTGTTTCACCTGGAGATATACCCTTGCCTGCTGCTTCGATTTCATAGCCCATGGGAGAAAGAGGGGAGATATTTGCTGTTATGACAAGCTCCCCGAGAACCGTTGGCAAAGCATCGTGACTTTGAATAAAATCAACACTCTCTAGGTGGACATGGCTTTCCCGGGAGCTGCGAGACCTATCCTGGCGTCATCTCTTCTGCCTCCTGATCACGATGCCAAAATAACAGCCAGCTCTTTGGATGAAGATGAATGGCGACTTGGCCCTGAAATATACGGTGATGATGCCTTGGAGAAGCCCGCAGCGGCCCTTGTATCTGCCGGACACATAATGGGAATATCTTCCCTAATACCCCAGTTAGACTATAATGGTCCAATGCCGGGAGATGGGGGTGGTGTTCGAGAATGGGTTGATGAGGTGTGTATTTGATGGAGTTTCCCATCCCCAGCTTGAATGAAAAGAGATCTATAATTCTTGAATAGGTATTCAATGATTGTGTTCATCATAGCTAACATGTTTCCTAACCAGTTATCTGTTCACTTCTTACTCTCTCTAATCACACGAGCACCATATGCAATACGAGACCGTCCAAGGGCTTTCGTGATTCAGTGTTCTGGTTGCCGCACTTTATCGCCCGCGGATCTCCATGGGCCCATACATGCAAGAGTGCCAGGCCTTTCACCTGAAGAAATTAAAGTCATTCTAAGTAGCGTGAATATATTCCAGGCATCCGAGTTTGGCCAAATACTCAGCGCCGTCGATCAGGTATCAGATTTGCTCTTCAAAATCGAACAACAGCAGCATGGGACGGAGAATAAGAATAACAGCTCTGATGTGGAACAGGAGATAAGCGGTTCTCCTGCCAGCCAAACTAAGGTGCAGTTAGAAAATGATCATGAGAAGGAAGACGGTAACGAAGCGCCAATTCTCCTCCTCATCGAAGGAATGGATCTGGCATTGCGAGAAACAATCCGTGCATCTGATGTAGATGGTGCCGGTGCACAATTATCTGCATTTCTTCGCACTCTTACCCTCCTTTGCCAAACATACAACGCTCTATTGACAATAATCATCGTCAATTCCATCCCTCTTCGTCCGCAACCTCCAATGTCCTTGCAACTATCAGCAGAAGAACTGCATGCTCAGCTACGAGCTGGAACGACCCTTGTCGAAACGCCGTTGACGTCACCATATAGGATTGAAGATATGGAAACTCCAGTCGAGTCTGTTTTCGATACTCCTCCTGATCCCCGGTTGATGAAAGCGTCTCCATACCCATCCAACCAGCATTTATCTCTTCTCGCCGACGTGATTGGTGAAGGGATTGATATACATTTAGTTGTCTCGAAGGTAGAGAATGAACGGATAATCGAAGTGGTCAAGGACAGGGTGGGAGATAACCTTGGACGTTGGGATGTTTTCTAGCAAGATACCGTCTAGAATAATTGCTATATGCATGTAAACGCCATCAAGATTAGAATAAGCCCAATGCAAAACACAATGTACCCACTAATTTATCTACCTAAGTACTCCATAGCCATGCATGCCTTATCTTCTAGTTAAAACCTTTTTCCTGGGCTGTTGAAAAAACAAGGTAGAATGCACGGAGGTATAAAATACATACTTGGGTTGCATAATTAGAAAGAAGAGAAACAAAGGACGAATTATTAGGAGTTAAGAATGCAACATCGTGGAGGTGGCAGGGAGCAATTGGGGAATAGATAAAGACAAAACGCCAGGATCTCGTTGGTATCTTCGTCTATTAGAGTCGTAAGGTGTGCACAAGAAGGAAAAGACAGCCGAAAGCGCCGCTCATGATTTGGGTGATAATACAATGCTGGGACAAAACCGAAGGGGAAATAAAGGGGCCGCTAAAAAAGGTGTGAGTAGAAAAAGGCGAGCCGGATATCGGGGTGAGGGGTTCAAAAATCAAATAAGTGCCATGACAATTGTCGGGATCATAAAGCTACCGGCAAAGCAAAGGGCATGAGTTGAGGGAAGGGATCTTCATTAGATAATGTGGCTGGGAGAGTTTAGTTATTACCACCAAACACCCAAAGAACGGCCTTTCGGACCAATTCTTCGGCATCCTGATGACATTTATCGGATTGTTCCTTCAACAGTGACTGTTCAAATAGGAGATCCTGCTGCATGACCTTCAGCCACTGTTTATGTCGTTCACAACGTTTCTTCAGACACAGGCTCTGAGTAAGCTCATCGATAGACTCGGCATCTACCGCATTCTTCAAGTGAGTGCTAGCTTCTCCACCATTATCGTCGTCGGGGACATCAGACAGCAGTATAGCCCCGTTTCCTGTTTTCCGCCACTCATCAAATTCTTCATCTGAGAGAGAGAGACGGTTGTCGAAGCCACAGATATCCTTGAGCTGTAAACCACCTACGGATCCGTGACGTTTAAGGCGTTCAAAGGCATGCTTGACTCGTTGTTTTGAGATGACTATGAATTTCTCGCGGGCCTGAAGCATCTCCTTGCGATTATCGAGCCTGACTTTTTCTTTCCGGAGGTGATTGAGTCGCTGGCGTTCGTCAGGGGAGAATGCAACTTTGTCAGCTTCAGATTCGAAGTCTGGATCCTTGAATTGCTGTCCATCCTGGCTCGGGCCGGGCGCAGCCATTGCGCCAGAAAGACGCGCCTGTACTTCCTCCTGCTGGACTGATAGAGGGCTAGCGCCCAATTTTCGAAATTCACCAGCAGATTCGACTTTTGAAACAACAGTTTTGAGTTCCCCTAGATTAAGTACTCCGCCTCGACTGGCGGCATTTTCGTGCTTGCTGGAGCTCTGTTCTTCAGCATTAGAGCTTGGCTGTCTTGATCCTAATGTCATCGCCTGCCTCATGAAATCTATCCCGTGCTGATCACAGCAGTATTTGCTTGGTGGTCTTGTATCAACTCGAGCGGGCTGGCGGCATTCCCGAAGGCGACACATGGGCTTCCAGGTGGTGCGTAGGGGGCTCTTTGTTTCGCAAGTCGGGCCTAATAAATTGTTAGCTTTTTCCCTGGGAATACAATTGGTGAGTTATCTCAAGGTAACTTACAGATATACTTATCAATCAAGTCGGCATCCTTCTGATCAATATTCATACATCTGCCATGAAACCAATCTTCACAACCACCGTCACATGCAATCATCCAAGTATGATTATCTGGTTTACGACAGACGCAAAACAACGCTGACTCATCGTAGTCATCATCGTCGTCATCGGAATTCATCTTGCCGTGTCGTGAACGTACTTTCTTAGGCCCCTTGTTTTCCGGTGCGGGTGAACCAGTAGCCGACTGAGAGTCCTGTTTCCTATTTCTCTGCGCCGAGGATTTGCTCAGTGGAGAAGCTTTTGTAGACGCTACGTCATCCATCTCAGCGAGTTCATTCAGTTTCCGTTTCTTGGCCGCTGGAGCTCGTTTGGCTGTTCCTTTCTTAATAGCGGCAGCGGGTGGACCCTTTTTCTTTGTAGCTGACTGAGAATTGAGTGATGGAGCAGGTGATGAACGGTCAACCGAAGAAGCTCTGGATGCTGATTTGAGTTTCATATCCGCTACCTTCTTAGGTGTGAGTGTGTGTGTCGGGACATCCTCACTTGGTAGAGTATGGGCCGAGTCCACTGTGGGCGTAGATATTCTAGGAGTGGCGCTTTCTTGAGCCTCTGACTTCTCAGACGTGTGTGGGAGGTCATAAAGATCATGCCATGGGACTTCCGAGTCGAAAGCCTCCGGAATAGACGCGTTCATATTGGAGTCTACGCATCTGACCTTGGCATGAATTCTGCTGACCGTTCTCCAGTTGAAATAACCAGCATTTGCCCACCCAGTGAGACCGACTATCTTATCATTGTTTACAATGAAATTCGACATCACCATGTCATTATGCGCCACGCCAAGATCCTCGCAGGTATCACTGGGCGAGAGACTGTGAACTTCCTCCGCTGACAGCTTCCGCTGACTCTCACTTTCTGAACTCGTCACGAAATACCGTGGATATTTCAAGGTATCGGGTGTTATCAAGCGAAGTTTCAAAATGATGTCACGAGCTTGTTGCTTGAAAGCCTCCTTCTGTGGTACCGTGAGCTGGGGCCAGACAGAGTCCAGAGATTGCCCAGGGATGCGGGAGTGAACGAGAACGTCATGGCCTCTGATTTTGGCACTGAAGTATGTTTGTGGTAGCTGAATATCGGCGATTGTGTCTCTGACTAGCTTTATTGCTGCGTCCTCATTTGCGTCGATCATATGGTAGCCACTTCCTCCGCTGGGATCAAGGTGATCACTCTTCACAACTACGCTGCCCAGCACAAATGTATCTCTTCCTCCAATGCGGGGAGTGTTTATGCGTGTCTCGGAATTGCAACGGTCCAAGGCAGCCTCCCAGTACTTTATTGACTCCGGGTCTGTGGACATGATATAACGCGCATCGGGACGAACATCGCCAGGACCAGGTGCTTGATGGCCCAGGGAAGGAGCCTGCGAGCTAGAAGCTGCATCCACAGGGGCTGAGTCGGATGTATAATGCTCCATCGCGTTAAAAGTCGCGTTTTTGTACTGAGGTGGGGTGTCGGCGGGCTTCGTGGCGTCCTGCATGTCTGAAGGTGTTGACATGGCTTTCGAGTATACCGGCTGTGACTCAAAGACGGGAGGGAGTGTATCTGACGCGGTAGCTAAGGTGGGTCGAGCGAAGATAGGAGATCCAGAGGGAGCTAGCTTGGTTGGCACTCTTGTAGGATGCAGGACATTGCGGTACCTGTCGAGCTTCTGAGGGCTGCCGCTGGGCTCCAAACGCGGTTCCGATTCGAGCGAGAGAGATGATCCAGGAGAATCGTAACGCGGCGCGCCCACCATAAAGAAGGGACCGGGTGTTCCCAGCGGGGATGAAGGTATGCGAGGGCGTGGTGAGCTATCAGAGCATTGTGAAGGTCCCGGGGTTGGCGAGGGGAATAGGGAGCCTCGGAACGGCGCGGGCGAGAAGAGAGGTTCGATTTCTCTGAGGCGGGGGTTGGACTCAATTGCAGCGCTAGGAACTGGCTCGGCTTCGCGTTCTGGCAGAGAAGGCCCGGGGAGTGAGGTTGGTTCTGGAGTTGATGTTGATGCTGAAGCTGATGGCTTCGTGAGATCCTCCTCCATGGCTTTATTTTTTATTTGAGTTTTTTTACTAAGCCCTGCATGCAGGTGGAGCTCAGATTAAGCTTGTGCCAGTGGTGTATCAATGTGTGGGGAAGGCTAAGGGAGAGAACAAGGTGAACTTCTCTGGGAGTTTCTGTATATCAGGCCTGGTTTGATATCTCTGGAGGTGAAGTAGAAGTTGCCAGGCCTCACTTTCCCTTTCACGTCCTATTTCGGCGCGCGGTGAGAGGTGGCAGAACAATAGACGAAACGTCATGTCTTCAACTACAACAACAACTACAACTACAACAACAGACAGATAAACAAACAGATGATGTGATACTCAGGGTAAGGCTGACAAAGAGCTGGTCTAGTGAGAATGAGCTCCTGTTCTGGCCTTCTATCAATACTAATCGAGAGCTAGATCTAAGTCACCACCTACGTGCCGATCAGCAGTAGAACCAAGTTTTATGACGTTAGAGACGAAGAGTCGTCCATCTCGCTTCTAGCAGAACCGGTTTAGGGGAAAGGATGTCTGATGCGAAGCTTACTGGATGACATTATTTATTCCTGGCGAACGGTATGAACAAGGACTATGCGGCCTCGGAGCGAGCACACGTCTTCCCCGAACGCTTGACTCGGGATATATCAGGCCAGCGTTACACCAAAGGCAATGGTATCCCGACAATTATCCCGTCTGCAATTCCGTATGCAACTCCGTATGCAGCTCCGCGATCGGTCGTCACCATGTGGTGTGTGATGGTGTGCCCACGAGCCCATGGCGGCGACCTTCTAGCGCTGGACAGCCGCAAAGCTTGTCATTTTCTCAGGCTCTACGGGGTATAATCCATGAAATCCTATACGCAGGGGTCCAATCTGCGCAAAACGCGGAAGGCAAACGACCTCTGCGATAATGGTCAGGGCTAAGCCTCAGGAGAAAATAGATGAGCTATGGCCCGGAGGATTACTCCGCACTCCACGGGTTAGCTGAACACTTTGACGCTGTCTGGGAATACGCTTTTACTCCTATTTCGTGCAGCTAACGTTGGTATGCACGCGTCCCCCCTCTCCCATCCCCCTCCCCTGTCCCTGGCCTGGCCTATCCCCTAAACTACGTCAAAGCCAGCGCAAATCCGGCCGATAGCGTCCAGGCTTTTTCCCCCTTGACGGGATATGTATCATGTCAACATGCAGCGCAGCCCCATGACTACTAGCACACCGAAACTTCCGGGTTGGACTTTCCCGTTTAGTTTTTTGTTCAATTTGCAGGGATCACTGGAGGACGCAGCGTCGATTATGACACCTCAGGTCCCTGGCTGCGTAGGGCCGTGGCGGCCTCCCCCATCCCTGGCAGTGTGCAAGCAACGTCAACCGTCAACCTCAAAATAATATAAATAACTTGTTACGGCTTGCTTTATGATGCAAGACCATGCTGGGGTGGCTTTCCCGATCGGGCGTGCAGGGCGCAAAGCCTTGGCACTTCCCGTTCTAGAATTGCTTATATAACACGACGGCAATTTGTTATTCCGAAAAGCTGACCAATAATGTTACGGGAATAAAGTCATGTGAGGACTCGTTCCATTAGTCAGCATATGCAGCTCGGCGATGGAAATGCGACTTCCTCCTTCTCTCTCTCCTCCTGCTCCTCCTCTCGAGACAGCAGGACATGGAAGAAGCAATTGCTGCGTCTTTTCTCGTCTGAGCTGACCACCACCAGCACTGCTCAATCCCTCTCGTTTCCCGCTGCAGTGGCTGCACATCGCCCGAGGACCAAGTGAACATCGGTATAAAACCTCGGTTCCATTGGGTGGCGCTGATCGGACTTAAGCCATCGTCGGAGCAACTTTTACCAACATATCAGCCTGCGATTTCGCTTTGGTGCACATCCCTTCCCCCTGGCTGTGGCTGCTACATACACCCTACGGGCCCACGCTCCGCTACGACTACTGCTGGCTAGTTTTTACGATGTGCAAGGTCTGATTCAATCCGGTGATCGCGCACGCCTTCCTCTCGTTATACCGGAAACAAGTGCAAAGCTTGTATCCACCTATCAACGGGGGCGAAGTACGGGCATTGCGCTGTGGGTCGCGCTTTTCAGACTTTGCCCTTGAATCCGAGCAACTGGTGTTGAAACGTCAAAGAGTCATTCTCCATCTGATAACTTTCATCTATCGTTAGTCATATCCGCAGACCAACGCTGAGTTGCGCTGCACCCTGCTGCCTTCTTTCCAATCGTTTGAAAAGTCCGCCGACTAACGAGTACCGCCTTGTGCCTGCTCGTCAATTTGATAGCAATCGGTGGGGGAAACATTTTCATTGGTAAGCTACTCCGTCTACGAACTCTCTTCTCGATCTTGAGAAGAAAAGAAAAAAAAGAGTTGAATGCACCTCTATCGGGTTGAAGGAGACCGGCGAAAAGGAATTAGATATGAAGATACTCGTGGTTGTCGAGGGTAATAACCGCGCATTGCAAGGCTTGTACTGACCTGGGATGCAATATTATTAGTTCGCTTCCCATAGCTCCAGCCATCTACCCTGGCGCTTGGATATGTTCCTGCTGGACACCGGGAGTAGTAGTGAAGACGACGATATAAACGCCCATTTAATACCTGGTCGCCCCAATGAGCTTGTGGGCTCACCCTAAGACATTCAAACATAATGGTCCCTGAAGCAGATACTACTATGCAGTCCCCCCTCCTTACACCCTCTGGGGCGAACAAAGAACAGCAGCCCGCTCCAGCCGAGAGCGCAGTTGGCAGCACCCAGGATTCCAATAATCGCACTCCGGATGCGACACATGAACCCGAGACAGCAGATGGAACGCCAGCTACCGGCTCGCACCAGACTGAGCTGGCGATAACAGTCCAGAAGCGGAGAAGGGTCACAAGGGCTTGCGATGAGTGCCGTCGTAAGAAGATAAAATGTGACGGCAAGCAGCCTTGTACTCACTGCACTGTCTATAGCTATGGTATGTCCCTTAAAAGGCAGACCTTTTTCTGTGGGCTTCAGTCCCAAACGAGCACCGCTAATGAATTTTAATACCAGAATGCACATATGACAAACCATCGAATCGACGAAGGAACCCTGCGCCCCAATACATCGAAGCACTCGAATGTCGACTTCAGAAAGCGGAGAGTCTTCTTAGAGCGCTCGCGCCGGAAATCGATCTGGATGACCCCCGCTATGACGGGTGTGGTGCTGAGGATATACTCAACCTCCTTAAGAAGAACAAGCCAGAGCCTGCCCGCAAACCCGAGCCGAAGCTGCAGGCATGTTCAGAACCATGCGACGAATCCCTCTTAGAATCGATGGTGGATAACACTGGCTCTCTCGACCTCGATGACGAAGGCCACTGGGACTACCATGGCCATTCGTCTGGACTTATCTTCGTCAGACGGGTACGGAAACAAATTGGAAATATCGTCCCCGAACGACCACCACCGCATAGGTTCCAACATATCCCGCTTGGCCTCCAAAGAATTACATCAACGTCTGAGTCCCCTATCGACACCCACTTGTCTCCGGTACATGACTTGCCGTCGAAGGAAGAGGCGCGGAAGTTCTGCACACATGCACTTGAAGACGCCTGTTGTATAATGCGCTTCCTTCATAAACCGAGCTTTTGGGCAATGTTCGACCGGATATATGATATCCCGCTAGAACAGTTCTCGAATGAGGAAAATACTTTCCTTCCTCTCTTATATCTAGCGCTAGCCGTTGGATGCTTGTTCCGTGGGCCAGGCGACAGCACATTAGAGAAATCGGGATATGAGAGTGCTGTAGACCAAGGGTAATATTCTCTACCCCTTGATTAGTTGTTTGAAAGGATGAGAAATAATTAACAGATGGGTTTAGGTTTCAATATTTCAAAGCTGGAAGGCAATTGCTTGATATCACAGAATGCCGTGACCTGACATCTCTACAAGCAGTTTGTTTCATGATCCTGTTCCTCCAGGCCTCTGCAAACATCAGAACCTGCTATTCTTATATTGGAATTGCTCTCCGCGCGGCTGTTCGTCTAGGCCTTCACCGCTCAGTTTCCGTTAAATTTAACCCCATTGAGCTCGAGACTCGCAAACGAATATTCTGGGTCGTCCGAAAGATGGATGTCCACGTAAGCACCATCCTCGGCCTTCCATCTATGCTAAGCGAAGACGACATCGATCAAGCTTACCCTGCTGCTGCCGACGACGAATACATCACGAAGGACGGCATCATGCCTATGCCACCTAACTATATATGTCTGATGGAAGGCGCCAATGCGCACATGAAGCTAGGGCATATCATGCTGAAAGTGATGAAGTATATCTACCCGGTCAAGGTTGCGACACATGGTGACAACCATACGTATATGGTAAGCCATTCGAAGATTCGGGAACTTGAGCGAGATCTTCAGAACTGGATGGAGGCACTCCCCGATGTCTATAGGCCGGGCGGGGAAGCGGCGATCGAGGTTGAGCGGTAAGTGGCATCTCTCTGAATCATGCACATGAATGAAGTATTCTAATAACGCCTAGAATGAGACAACTGCTCCGTATCTGCTACGCGCATGTCCAAATGGTTATGTACCGACCCTTCTTACATTACGTCACTGGCGGATCCAAAGGTCAAGAAATCGATAAACGCTCCTATGCTTGCGCAGCTGCTTGTGTCAGCGTAGCTCGAAATGTCGTCCACATCACCGCAGGAATGAAGAAGAAACAACTTCTCAACGGCTCATATTGGTTCACCATGTATACGACGTACTTTGCAATCTTGACACTGCTCTTCTTTATCCTTGAGAATCCGGAATCCGCAGCTGCGAGGGATGGTATTTTGAAGGACGCGTTGGAAGGGAAGAACGCATTGGCCGGCCTTGCAAAGAAAAGTATGGCTGCCGATAGATGTGCCCAGAGCCTTAGTGTAAGTTTTGACCCATTCTTGTCAACACAGCAGTACTACATACAGTGTATAAGTAGCGATCTAACAATTATTTCTAGTCTATGTTTAAATATCTTCCTGAAAGACTCCGAAATAGGCAGGCTCTTTCATCATCGCAGATTAACAAAAAACGAACCCAAACTACCGCCTCAGTCTGTTCGAATAACTCTACGGTAAATGGAAACCAGACCCCCCCTCTGAAACCTGAAGAGCTTGAAGAATTCAATGCAAGCCTCCCACAACGAGCAAACACCTTCCCTCTTCACACCTCACCGAGCAGACAGGCTGCCACAAAGGATGCCCAGTCAGGAGATACCACAATGGATGATACGCATGCGAGCCCAACTGGGCCCCTGAAGTGGACTTCAGGCATGCAGGCTCTATTTGGCATATCACGATCTACATCGCAAGTCCCATCTTTGATCGACGGCGAACGTACTCACTTATCATCACCGTCTACCCCCCCAGTGGGTGGCCAAGGGAATCAACAGCAGCAACAACCTGTAGGTAAGCAGGACATATCATTCTCGCCACCATTCAACAGCGCAGCACCTCTGCCTGATCTAATGCCAATGATGTTTCCATCCGATGATCCATTCGCGTACCCTAACCAGCCAATGTCAACCTTGGAAGACGATCATTTCAAGCAGGATAACGGCAGCAAAAACCATGAGCAATTTATATTCAGGTCAAGTACATCCATTCAAGCAGTAATGGATAACGGCAGCACGACTCAAACTACATCCTCCTCGTCTCCATCCTTCGCCAACACCCCTGGGCTCTCTATCGTTAGCCCTTCCTCTTCATTGCAAGATCCAAATTCTGCCAGTACTCTACCTCCACATATGAAAGCTGTATCAACAGCATTCCCTGGCAACACCCAAAGCCCAACCTCAGAACCCCAGCAAAATACGAATAACTACCCTTTCATGGGAAACCCTGATCTTGTCACCATACCGGGGCAATCTTTTATGTGGCAAAGTCTCGCCGCGCAAGGAACGCCAAACAACCCATACCAGTATGCCACCGAACCCGCTTTCCAGGCCGTTCCTGATGACTTTGGCATGGACCTTGGCACGGCTATAGATATGAGCCTAGATACGGATATGAAGTTCGACAATATACTAGATACCTTCTGCGGCGCCACTGCCGGCAACGGAGATGCAAGCGGCAGCGGGAACTTAGGCTCGACATCATCAAATGATTGGGTCCAATGGGGAAATTGGGATGCAAATAACAACACCAACAACACTAATAACGAGGACTAATGCTTCTATGCCATGATGCCATTTTATTTCAACTTGCGCCTTTGTCCTTCTCCCTGTTTTATGTTTATGCACATATCTCAAAAAAGACGTATATGGCTGTATTTATGACACCCCGTTCTTCCCTAGACACTTGATACCCTCTGAAGCATAATGATGCGTATACACCGATTCATGTTACCTTATATAAGCTTCCTATGCGTATAAATTTTCCCCCCATCGCGTATATTTCGAGGCACCATGGATATATGATGGAGTAAGGTATATTAAATAGTTACGCAGCGTTTAGTTATTCAAGTGTAAACAGATTTCATCCGTCTACGTGATCATCGATAGCTAGTGTAGCGCGGAAATTCAATGTCCACTCTCTTCGTCATTTTGTACTCCTTCGCCTTCTCCTTCTCCCTTTTCTTTTTCCTTGTTAAACTGCCAAAAGGGTTCCGAGTATATTATTAACTCGTCGAGTAATTCCTTTGCCTTGGCTGCATCGCGCTCTGCAGGATCCACTCTTACAAGAGTGTGGATTATTCTAGTCAATCGCTTTCTGTACTCAGTATATTTTCTCAAAGCAGGGTTCCCTTTCTCTAGTCGGCTATCTATGATTGATAGTTGTGCCATTTCGTCACCATCTACTCGGACGTTAGGTATCAGAATTTAGTGAAAGTCAAAGAAAATTGAGAGGAAGAAAGACGGATAATATAGTCGAGAGAATGCCTACCAGCATATGTCTTCTGTTCTTCTTCCCCAACTAATAAATGGTCATCTACTAGCCCATATACAAGCTATGCTATGCATTAGTTGAGAAATTAGTAGTAAAAGGAGTATAAAACTTACCACGCAGCCTAGACTCCAAAGGTCGGACCGAGAGGTCACAACGGCATCCGGGTCATTGGCTTCTGGCGCCTCATAGGATGGCGTGCCTCTCAACTTAGTTTTTACGGGGCTGAATCCTATATGCCTTTTAGTTGTACTGTTATTGATGTGGTTGTAAGGAAGAGTTAGCGTATAACTAACCTGCTCGACCAAAGTCTATGATTTGCATCAAAGTTAGATTCCGACTATTTGATGATAGCGGTTTTATGTGATGTACGATGTATTCTGGAAGATATGCTGGGCGGGGAGGTGGTGTTTTTGAGTTAAGGGAATCTAAATGATAAAAATGAGATTTTACATCCTCCGTGTAAGTTTGTTCCAGAGCTTCGGGGCTGAACGCATTCTCATCGACACCTAGACAGATATTTGAAGGGCAAATATCTGTATTCTCATGTCAGATTGAACGGGAATAATTGGATATTTGCATAATTAATATGGTCGTACTACATACCTCCATGATATATCCCACTGTCGTGAAGTGCAAAAACATTTTTCATGAGGGTTTCCACAAGGTCTGTCACTAAACCGATGTTCCATGGAAAGCCAAGGACACCTGAATAATCGAGAGCCTGTTCTCTGCAACTGAGAGAGCATCCAGCTGGTTTCATGACGAGGCAAAGATGTTGCTGCCGGGTCGGGGTATGGTTATAGAGGAAGGAGTACTCTAGGCTTCCCATGCTATTAAGCATTCGTAACTCGGAATTTTCGAGTGTGCTATATTCTTCTTGTAAGATCTTAAGGGCAAGAAACTCCCCGTCCGCTCTAGGAGGTGGATTTTTGTTAGAGAGATGATGCATAGTTTAATAGTGGAAGATCAATGCATACTTGTTTTTAACCAGCCAGACTGTAGAGTATGAACCATGCCCGAGTTTTCCTATGACCTCAAAGGAGCAATGCGTTTTATTCTGCAAGTCCTGCCCTTCCAAAATGTCACCTAGCAGGATAGGACAGAAGCCTCCTGGTCGATAATCGTACGATCTCTCACAAAACTCACAATCGCCATACTCCGTGAGCCATTTAGACACTCCTCGGTCTAAGCGGGGCCCAAGACTCATAGTCTCGAAGGTAGGTTAGAATAATAGATAATAGATGGAAGTAGATTCTAGATGGGCTTAAGCTGTGCTTTGATTTGATAGAGCAGTTGTTTAAGCAGGGATCAGACTTGGTGGCTTGCATGACGTGTAACTAGCAAACTCACACCCAGAATAAAGCAAGACAAGCGCTAAGGAGCCAACCAAATGCTGCGGCCAAGCGGTGTCTGTCGGCTATCGCTACGAAGCAACTACACCATTCTATGATCACAAATTGCGCATCCCATGCAATAAATAATAGCTATAGTCAACCAGTTCATTCCTAAATGAAGTAATGATCAAAAGGGCGTGGCAAAGGACTTGGGTTCTACAAACTGGGCATGAGCTTCCGCTTAAAAGTGCTTCTTGATATTACTACCACTTCTAGAATATTGTCCAAGCCGTTTGGCACAGTAATGGTAATATATAAGAAGATAGATCGTCCTTAGATACCCTTATCACCAAGGAGAAGGATCTGGGATTGTAACAACCCTTCCTTTAGCCATCAAAATAAGGATTCTAAATGCTTGCGACGTAAGAGACTTGATGTAACAGTGTTATGCTAGCAACAGCGGTAATATAAGCTTAAGAAGTGGCAGATCCAATAACCCAAATCTAACCCTCGTTGCTCATCTTCCGACAAAAAATTGAAATCAGAGATAACAATGTAGGTGAGCTGACTGACTCCAGACTAGAGATGTGTATGTAACTGATTCTTTGCACCAGTAACTTCTCCATTGCGTTGAACTCTCAATTATAAGGCGCCGATGATGTATCCTCTAACGTACGTCGTGGGTGCATGGTCGTTCCTATATCCGGCAGTTCCCATTGGACACTAGGCCTTTTTGTCCCCTGCGGTCCAACATTACTCTGGTGAGTCGACTAATATCTCGGTAGCCTGACTCTCTTTTTGAAAAACATCACTTCATCAAGTATAGTTTTCGGTGTCACGTAAGGCGTGCAAACACTGCGTCGAAACGCGCCTGCATCGTCTTGAGGGTGGCCTCCCCAACCTCACGAGCCTCCACATGGCCACCGCAGCGGAACAAGTTCAGAGAGGTCATCACTCTCCTCTATCTAGGAACAACCATCAGAAGTTAGCATTTATTCAAGCATTCACTCAGTTTCACCTCGGAAATCCAAAAAGTACTTACCTTTTCGCATTTTTGCCGGCTTGACGGCGCCGGCCAAACCTCCCCCAGCGTAGTTATACTCCACGCGGAGGGTAACCTCTTCTCATATTTTCTATACCTTGCACTGTATATCTGCCGCCGACGACCCGATATTCCCTTCTCCACGCTTCCTTTATTCCATTGATAAGTTGATTACCTAGGGATATAGTAGCCCTCGCATGTTGATGGACGAGTTAACAGTATCGGACAAGTCAAGGTATCCGAGTTCAGAGTGACAACGCCGAGGTGTGGCTTATAGGCGAGCCCGAATAAAACCTGCTAGGCAGTTGTGAAGAGAGTGATGCCATGTTTATCTGTTTTATCGGCTGGGTATCTAGTGCATTTGGGTTGATACTGTGAACAAGCCGTAACATAAATGAGTCGACGCTAGGTATGAAAGCCCATGCTTGGTGGAATAGTTTATCGACTACTATATCCCCTGGCCCATCTTCGAGTAAGGTGACCAATGGAGGTAAGGAGAAGGAAAGGCTGTCCTTAAGACCGGGTATGGTAGGATAAGACTTCAACTGTCTAGGAAGCCATGGGAGATAGTTACGGAAGAGGAAGGGAACCAGGCTGGCTGAGCCCAAAGGGTATATATATACTGCACGACCTACGAGTACCCCGTAGCAGGGAGGTGAATGAAGGAGAGGAGTGAAGAAGAACAGTGACTGCCATTATTCAGACTCGCTGTCTGGGTGAATACCAGATATTCACCGCCGTATCAGCGTCTCCTTAAGGCCGTTTCATCGAGATCCGTATTAGTCCTTAATGGCTGACTAGTTTCATAGAGTTGACTGTCTTTGGTATCCTTGACCTGTCCTGACGAAGGGATAAACCTTTAATAATAACTCTTAACTCTTAAGTCTTCAGACTGAGACGCAGAAGAAAGAGCAAAGGCTGATCCTTGTGTAGATCCACGTGACCATATACTTACCTAAGAAACCGTCGCCGCTCTAACTCGGCTGACCTCGGCACGGCGTGGGAAGCAGGGATATATCATGCTTGGCGTCTCTTGGCGTGTCGCTTGATTCCTCCTTGGCGTCGCCTGGCGTGGCTTGGCGTCTGGCCTGGACTTGGCCCTTGCCGGGGATCCCTTGGCCGTCCTTGGCCGCCCTTGGCCGCCTTGGCTCCGCCTGGCCTTGGCGTCTCCTTTTTGCTTATGCACAAGTGTGTGAAGGCGTGGAAAAAGCAAACATGGGAGCAGGAAGAAGCAAAAGTCAAGCAAAGTCAAGCAAGCGAAGCAAGGCAAAACGCGCTGCTTATTTATGTCTTGGCCCCTCCTCCCTCCCTTCTTGTCTCTCTCCTGCCTCTTTTTTTCCCTCCCTCGTCCATCGCTCCCTCTTTTGTCTTATATCCTCCCTGCGCCTTCTTCCCTCCGCTCGCCCAGCCCTTGGCCCTCAGCTCCCTTCCTGCCCTCGCTTTCCGCGCTCTTCCCCAAGGTCGGTCCCGGCCAAGGCCACGTACTCTCGCCTGACACGCCGTTTTCCTCCTCCCTCCCTCTTCTTCTTCTTCTTCCTCCATCTCACTTCCTCTTCCTCTCCAGTCTCACCACTCACCACACAACATCACACAACATCATCATCACATACTCACACACACGTAACTCTCAGTGCTAGAGTAATTGTCGACTGCTCCTGACTTTCCGCTCTTGGTGCTCTTTGCCCAGCACGACAAGACATTTTCCTTGGCACCATGTCTTCCACCGAAAACCAAGACCATTCCGCTGGCCTGGCTCATCAACAGCATCAGCAGCAGCAGCAGAATCAACAGCAGCAGCAGCAGCTTCAGCATCCGTCGCAGTCGCAGTCGCAGCCTCAGACGTCGCAGGCGGGCGAGCAGGGGCAGCAGGCGCGGCCGCAACCTCAGATGCCAGCGCCCTCCATCCAGCAGCAGCAACTGCCTACCACCCAGGCACAGCACTCCCCCCAGACGGTGCAGCAGAGTATCCCCGTCCAGGCGACCCTCCAGCACGCTGCCGCCGCTGCTGCTGCCGTTGCGCCGCCTGGTGTCGCCCAGGGAGCGCCCAGCAGTCCCGGTGCTCCCGGCTCGCTCGAGTGCCAGTGGCAGGGCTGCCAGGAGCACTGTCCGACTCCAGAGGCCCTCTACGTACGTGTTGTCTGAATTCTTTGTAGTTGGCTTTCTGTAGTTGGTTGTACTAACAGGAGTAGGAACACGTCTGCGAGCGCCATGTCGGGCGTAAGAGCACCAACAACCTCAATCTGACCTGCGGATGGTCGAACTGTCGAACCACCACCGTCAAGCGAGACCACATCACCTCGCACATCCGAGTCCATGTCCCCCTGAAGCCTCACAAGTGTGACTTCTGCGGCAAGGCCTTCAAGCGGCCCCAGGATCTCAAGAAGCATGTCAAGACCCATGCAGACGACTCCGTCCTGGTGCGGTCGCCAGAACCAGGTGCCGGACAGCGCCAACAGCCTCCAAATGGCATGTTTGGAGTCGGACTCGGCCCAGATGGAAAGCGTGAGTTGCTTGGTTTCATCTCTCCCATTCTATATCGACCGTGCTAATGAACGATAGCGGCTCACTTTTTCGAAGGTTCGCTGGGAGCGGTTCCACAGGCTGCCTATGGTCATCCTCCGCCGCAGTACTATCAGGCCCAGCACCCCCAGCAACAGCCAGCCCAGTCGTACGGAAACGTATACTATGCCGTCGGCCAAGATGCCGCTCACCAGGCTTCCTACGAGTCCAAGAAGCGTGGATATGATGCGCTGAATGAGTTTTTCGGAGACTTGAAACGCCGTCAGTTCGACCCTACCTCCTATGCGGCAGTTGGACAGCGTCTGTTGAACCTCCATGGCCTCCCGCTGCCCCTGACCCACGCCGGTGCAGTGCCAGAATACCAACCAATGCCTGCCATGGTCAGCGTCGGCGGCCATGGAGGCTATCAGTCGGGGCCTATCCCGACCCAGTCATACCACCTGCCTCCAATGGGCAACCTGCGGACCAAAGCTGACTTGATGAACATTGACCAGTTCCTGGAGCAGATGCAGTCCACCGTCTACGAGAGTGATGACAACGTAGCTGCCGCCGGCGTCGCCCAGCCAGGAGCCCATTACGTTCAGGGACCCCTGAGCTACCGCACCACAAACTCGCCCCCAACGCAGCACCAGCAGCACCACCACCATCACCAGCAGCATCATCAGCATGCCACGGCAACGACGGGGGTCAGCTCTGCACCCATGATGAGCACTTCCGCCGCCAGATCCCCGCATACCTCCACTCCAGCCCTCACTCCGCCGTCCAGTGCCCAGTCGTACACTTCGGGACGCTCCCCGATCTCCCTCGCCTCGCACCACGGCATGTCTCCTACCCACAACCCTTCGACGGCAGGCATGTACCCGACCTTGCCAGCCACGACAGGCCAGGACAGCCTCTCAGCCGGCTACCCGACCACCGTCTCCAGCGCCGCTCCTCCTTCAACACTAAGCAGCATCTTCGACGATGACCGCCGCAGGTATACGGGCGGCATGCTTCAACGCTCCCGTCCAGACATCGACTTGTCTGCGCCCACCATCAAGCGCGACGAGGAGCCAAAACTGTCGAGCAGCGTGATCGACCCAGCCCTACGCCGAGCTTCGTCCGACATGGACCCTGAAACGGAAGAAGACAGCACCAAGCGTAGAAGCCAGTCTGCCACTCCAACCCCAACCACTGCACCTGCAGCCTCGAGTGACGAGCGCCTCACGGGCGGAGAACAGCAATGGGTCGAAAACGTCCGTCTCCTCCAGCGACTCCGTGATTATGTCCTCGAACGGTTGAATTCCGGCGACTACCTTGGTGGTGAAGAAGGCAGTGACTCCAAGAAGGATGCCGAAGACGAGGAGACCAGCAAGGATGACGCCAGCAGTGAGACAGGCGACTATCCCAGCATCAAGATGCACGGTATGGAAGCCATCGCTGCCGCTGCCGTGGCACACGAGACCGACCGATCAGCAACCCCAACCGCTGAGAATGCGGGTCCCAGCACTGTTGTCGATGCAGAGGAGGAGGCCAAGCGGGCCGGTGAGAACCTCTATCCCGTGTTGAAGATGGCCGTGGACGATGACGGCGCGGACACAGACGGGGACGAGAAGATGGGTCAATAGTCTATGAAGATATACCTGGACGTCGACCTCTACCCTTGGATCTATCTGATTTGACTACGTGGTATCTTGTGCTTCCCTGGTTCTGTTCGACCGTTATGATGCTATGAGTTTCGTTCTTTCCTTCGTCTTCCTTGTCTTTGCTACCAGCTCTGTATATTTTAACTTCTCTCCTATCAACCATCCTGTCGTCTACTTGTTTACATACCGGGCGTCGTTGTTCCTTTCCAGTCTGTCTGCCATCTCAAACATGCTTAGAGTTCTTCTTCTTACTTTCTTCTTACTTTTCTTCTTACTTTTCCTCTTACTTTGATCTTCAAGCCTTTGTCTCCAAAGTAAGAAAATCCCGTATTAAAAAGTGTAATGATGCCGTAACGTACGCGTAACACGTGTCATCCACCACCTAAATGCCCTGTAACCATGATACACTCTGGTCCTGATACCTGACTAAGCAGCATCTCCGACTTCGCGACGAGACTCAGCAGTTTGACCATAAACAGACAATAAGAATAAGAATAAGAATAACAATAACAATAACATATAACAAGAATAAGAATAAGAAAAGAACTGGAGAGGTCACGAGCAAGACATAAGCACCTCCGACCCATGGTTCGGCCACCGGGTTCAGTTACGAAGGAGAGAAAGGGACTCGCCATCTCGCTGCGGACAGACTGCTCGGTACTTTCTCATACGAGGTGACTTTCTTCTAGACGGGGTCGCCATCGTCTCCATCTGTCTCGCCTCTCGTCTATCGCCTATCGTCCTCTATCGTCATCGTCCGTCCTCTATCGTCTATCGTCTATCGGCGTTATCGTTATCGGGTGGAACGCGACGCATACAAACAAACACGCTACACGCTACACGTACACTACACGCAAGGCAGAGGAGACTGGTACTGATCTGTGGAAGGGAATATAACAGCGAGAAGGACGAGAAGAGGTCAACTCAACGCGCTGGAACGTACTCGCCCCGGGAAAACAAAGAGTCGGCGAACGAGAGACAATAGAAAATCCCACTAAAACGTCAACCGCGAGAACTCTGAACTCTGAGCGAACTCTGGTTGAGCAGTGAAAAACTAAACGTTTAGCTGGAGAGAAGACGAAAGGTGGTGGCAAGCAGAACCAGAACCAGAGGGAAAAGACAGAGGGAAAAGACAAGCGTGAAAACTATAAGTTTGTTTACCATCCTTGACGTTTCTTCCGCTTCATAAAAACCAAAAAGACCGCCAACCACCGCACCCGCACCGTTCGACGTTCACCGTTCGACATTCGACGTTTTTCTCGTTAACGGCTACTTCTGCTAACGTCGCCGAGATCCGTGTCGGTTATTGGGTTGCTGCTTGCGATAGGAACCTGGAACAAAGACTGCAGTTGGGACTGACTTCATACTGGCTTGATCGGCGTCGACTTTCACTCGACGATAACGTATCGCACACAACGGATAAAGAGTGACGATAAAGAAGACTGGAACGGAACAGGCATAGACGGTCGAGAAACATAGAGTGAACCGGAGGAGCGAGCGAGATGCCTCCGTCAGCTGCAAAACGTCGCAGTCGACGACGAGATGTCAACTTGCACGATGACGCCGTGGATATGGATGCTCTGGACTCATCGCCCACTCGTCGTTCGGTGAAGAAGCGCAAGGTCAGTATATCGCTTATTATCTCACGGTTAACGCACATCGATACTAACATGCTGCCAGGTCGAGCACACGTCTCAGCCGGACTTTGAAAGAACACTCGAACTAGCCTCTGCCGACGAGAATGAAGACGAAAACGAAGTCTCCGCTAACCAGGACCTGGTCGACTCCGTAATCGCCAATCTGGCAGTGGCAAAGGACCCCGTCTCCGTCATGGCCCATCACTCAAACGCAAGGACACAGCAGGAAAACAAAGAAAGCGTCGAAGCCTACGCTAAGATTGCCGGCCGCGACTGGACATACTATGTCAAAACCCTCCACGTTAATATCGGGCGGCCGCCGGATCGCGACCAGAAGCTCGATGCGCAGTCTAGTCCCATCACAGTCGCTGCACAGGCACTGCCGGATGTACACATTGACTTGGGCCCGGGCAAGTTTGTCTCCAGACTACATGCGGAGATATACTATGATCGCAACGACCCTCCGTGCTGGCGCGTGAGAGTGAACGGACGTAATGGCATTCGTGTGAATAACGCCTTCTACAAACGTGGTACTGCCGCCGCCATCTCGTGCGGAGATATACTCGAAATCGCCAATACCCAGATGATGTTCGTGACGCCCGGTGATCAAGCTGTCATCGATCCGGCGTTTGTCAGCCAGGCTCAGAACGGCGTGCAAGCTACTCAAGAAGATGCCACGGCTGCCTGGGATAGTACCTACCATTCACACCCTGTCAGCAATGCCGGCCCGCGACGCATGTCCTTTGCACCTAGCAGCAGAGAGCAGGCGGCAGCGAACGGTAGTCGTCGAGCAGAGCTTGCGAATGCAGCTACGGTGACTCCAAAGCGACAGACGACGCCCGCCCAACGACCGCAGTCGAGAGATACGATCGAACCTCCAGCAAAGATGTCGCCAATGTATAATCGTGGAATGATGATGGAAAGTACCGAAGAGATCGACTACAGCGAGGACGCAGCCAAGGATATCAAGCCGCCATTCAGCTATGCGAACATGATTGCGCAGGCCATCTTCTCTACCGAAGAGGAGAAATTGTCTCTCAGCAATATCTACAAGTTTATTATGCAGAGATATGCTTTCTACAGGCATTCACAGTCTGGTTGGCAGGTATGTTCTACACCATCTCATTCCACCCATGTATAGATGAACTAACGATGTATAGAACTCCATTCGACATAACTTATCTTTGAACAAGGCGTTTCAAAAAGTTCCTCGTCGCACTGACGAGCCGGGTAAAGGCATGAAATGGCAGATCGTCCCAGAACATCGAGAAGAATACTGGAAGAAACAGGCCAAAAAGAGCGGACAATCTTCCACTCCAGCTTCCCCCATCGGCAAGGAGAGAGCCAACTATCAGCCCATCAACGGTACCCTAAGCACCAACGTAGAGAAGAATATCGAAACCTCTTCTCTCGCAGGCAAACCGTCCCCGCAGACGCAGACTGCTTCACCAGGCTACCATTCTTTCTCCGTCGCTCCAGTTGAAGCATACACGCCTGACCGTGGCTCACGAAGCGGTCTAGGCATCAACGGCAGCGGTGCACACCCTGACTACGAAGAACAATCCCCCTTACCCAATGGCCCGCGCAACAACGTACCAACCCGCGCATACGGCCTATCCGACAATGCAGTCGCCTCTCCTCCCGTTCTCTCCTCATCATACTACGACGACGCAGCCTCGTCAATGATCACCCCCGCCCCCTTACGCCAACAACCCCGCCTCGCACCCCCAAGCACCGCTCAGATCCCTTCAAAATACATGCAACTCAGCTCGCCAGCCCAGTTCTGGAAATTAGCTGACATGGGCAACACGCCCGCCAGACCCATGCCGGATATGAGTCCGTTGAAACCATCCATCGGCGCCGGAGAGTCTAGTACCGGCCGTTGGAACGCGCTGAACAAGATCCCGAGCAGCAGTCCGCCACCAGCGAACTTGGGAAGTCCAAGTAAACCGCCCTCATCAATTAGGCGCGGAAGAGAAGCTAGTGCTGGCAGAGAGAGAGAACGTGAACGCGACAGCGGCACTATGAAACATCACCAGGATAGCTGGGAGGATGATGACGATGATAACGACGGTGAAGATACAGGGTTTGATCTTGCAAGGTTTGTTTTTATCTATCTTATCAGAAACCTTAACTTAATGAACGGACGCATCGTACTAACGCTGATCTAGGGGATTTCAACCTATCGGTTCTTTCCATCGACAAATCAACAATGCTGCAAGAGCAGGTTAAACAGATTGTCATAGTTACCTCATTATCAACCCATCTATATCCAATACGTTCTTATCCCAGCGGAAAACGCCACAAACCTGCATGAACCTCTTCAACTATTATTATATTCGACCTTCTCGAAGTGCCTGTCGTGCTCGAATCCTTATTCCCAGAGTTTTCCATTTCAGGGACTTGGCTATCATTTCCCCTCACCCTTTCAGAGGTATATCTTTAATGGCTTCATTTATTCCTTTATCTGTTCTTTTTGTATTACCTACTTATTTTACTTATATTGCCTCGTTGGCCAAGTCGACTTCACTCGACTCGAGTCGAGTCAGTTGGACTTGGCGCAACTCGCGCTGTGGCTTTTATATTGCACGATCGATTGCTTATTGTACGTTATGACTTGACATGTGGGAGGCCTCTTTGCCAGATGGGACGGACTGTTATGTTATTGCTTTTCATGTTAAGATAGGATGGGTGGAAAGGTGTTGGTCAACACCATGTTACGTGAAAAGCGGCGTTTGTTATTGCGTTGCTGTATTACTTGTTAGTTTGAATAAAAGGGAATAAGATAAACTTCGGTATATGAACGGTTTATAGTTATAATGCATGTATTTGCTTCTGGGTGGGTGAAAATGTAGAATAATGGTATATGACAACCGAAGCCGAAAACTATCCGTCCTACCATACACCTCCAGCAGAGCAGATGGAAATAGAAAGAGAATAAACGGAGAGCAAAGAAGACACAATGTATGGTTGAGGATACAGCCAGGTCCAGCTTAGAGTTTGAACAGATTCAGACCTCGAGGAAGCCCGCCGTCAAAGTCACTCTTCGAACTATTTCCGTTCCAGCCGATGACGGCCTCCCACAGCGCACATTCCTCGCGGACCCTCGTTTCAGCCTCTTCCCGCTTTGCTATTATGCGACGTTCAACTTCTCGTCGCCAGTGTAGATCCTCCTCACTGGATCGTGGGGTTGGCTGGACAGTCGGAGCTGAGGTATGTTTGACTACCATATCAACACTACCGCTATCCATAGTCTCCTTACCATTAACATCCTCACCATGACTGTCGATCCCGTCTTTCTGAATAGCCTTTACCGCAATCCCGATCATTGCTTCAAGGGTATATCGCGCATCATTTCCGGCATTATGAAGATGCCAGCCAGATATACCGAGGTCGAGAAGCACTTTGGCCAGGGCACTTGGCTGGGACTCCCGTTTCAGGACACGGAAGAGGTTGGCAGTGTCTATGCTGTCTAAGAAATATGGTTGATTGTTCTCCTGACCGTTTGTAGTTGAGTTGGAGCCGCGGGGGTCGAATGTTTTACAGCCTAGTTTCTGCAGATATTCTATATCCGTGGAAAGACTATGGCCGACAAGAATGAGTTTCCGCTGTACCATCTTGTATGGCTTGATCTGCGTTACTGCCGTTGGTTTCTTCTTATCAGTTGCCTCCCTGACATAGCGTGGTAGTCGAACACCACCACCTTCAGCGTAACAGTCCCCCTTTTCTTTGGTTTCTGTTTTGGCAAATCGATCACCCTAATAAACATGTATTAGTAAATAAAGATAACAAACGGATATTTGAAATTTGAAACTCATACATCGACTTTATATAGAATGTGATCGGAATATGGAGGCTGAAAGCACATGTCGACAGCGTTGGCGGACCTACTAATCGGTACAAACTCGCTGTAGCCGAATTCAAACCTTTCCGGGCAACCGGTGACGAACAGACGATTGGTAATATCCGTGTATTCAGAGATGCGGAAATGACGGCATCGAATCTTCTCCATCCAGTTGTGTCCTCCTTCCCCTGGAGGAATGGAAGACAGATCAAGGGTATCTAGAGTAGAAACTCCAATTTCGGTAATTTGCTCGTGATGCTTCTCATTAGATTCAACGTCAATGCAGATAAAGATGGGCTCGTCTGCGAAGGGAAAGGGTGCAGAGTCATCAATATCTAGTGGCTCCAAGGCAGACCCATTTGCTAACGCCGCGTCCTTCTCAGCAACCAGTTGTTTTGACCATGATGCATCCTTAGAAACGTTGACATCTGTTGGATTCGGGGCATCTCGGGAAACTCGTGGGCGAAGGCCGAGATAGCACTGAGTACGTTTAAGCTCAAGACACCAGGAGCGGATATTCTGTGCTTGGGTATGTTGCCGTTTCCCCTTGGCCTTTTTAGTCTTGCGGCGTGTTGCGGCATATGCTGCTTCCATCTTCTCCCTAAATGCATCAAAGGAGCGTTTCAGCTCTGGAGAAGCATTCTCTCCAGGCTCACTGTTGCCGCTTGGTGCACTAGGCACTGCCTTCTCCAACTGGTCTTTCATTTCGCGATTTATGGCTGTACCAATAAACTGCGGTTGGGGGTCCCGTCGGGGGTAAAAGGAATCACTACTCCAGCATCTGGGTCCATTGGGAGGGAGAGCTCGCATTCGAACTCCTCGTTGATGGTATCAATTAGGTCCTGGGCCTGAGCCTTTGGGATGAGGAGGAGAGGTTTTATAGAGACATAAGCTGGCGGGTGAATATAGAATCTGTAGGAGTGAATGTACATTAGTAAATAAGCCATTCCGAGACAGGAGCCTTTGCCAATGACCGAATCTGGCTGAGACCAGTGAATAAGTCCTAGATAAAGACAGAAGGCTTACATATCCCATGATTGATCCCAGAATTGCCCTCCATCAAAGTATGTCTTTGCAATACGGCTTGCATCCTCGCCTCTGACAAATTTATATGGAAACCTAGCAATTGTCATAAGAGGGCAGAAGTAGCTTGTTATTTCACTAGAAACAGGCGAAATATCTTCAACTCCAGAGGGCTTTGCTCGAGTTGCTTGTATGTACTTCTTCCTCTTGGTTGATTTCACTTTCATTAACGCTTTTGCTTCCTTTCTTGCAGAACGAGCGAACGACGCCAGATACTCGTCCTCGAACACGCCATCATCTGAGCCGTTGCCCTTGGTAGTATCAGCCGACCAACAGGCATATTTGGTACTCGCTGACCAACCTCTGGAGCTCTCGGCTACAGTCTCGACAGGAACTGGGGCTGGGACTGGGACTGGAGCTGGATTCCAACTGTCCTCGCGTAACCCAACGTCTAGGTGAAGAAGGCTTTCGTCTTCTCCGACAAAGAGCATCTTCATCCGGTCGGCAGGATTCATGATGACAATCAAATATGGCGTATATCAAGTCAGGCACAAAGAGCGTAAGTTAACGCCAAACGGACTGCTTTATAGAATGAGACCAGAGGCCGTTCCTCTATAGGCGGAGGTTTGGCCTGAGGAAGGAACTTGAGAAGTTGAAAAGAGCGAGAGAAAGAGAAAAGAGAGAACTATCAAGTGAGATATGGATGCTATTCTCAAGCGAAAGGACGGGCAGCATAAGCAGCCCCAGAACAGGCACCAATGAACTTTTATCGTGGAAATCCTAGACCATTGCTGGTTGTATCTCGGTCAAAAAGTTATGAGATAAGAGAGGGAAGACACCGATCAAAGGGCCGAATCAATCCTGAGACACAGAATTGCTTCTGAAAGAGATGCATTCACCCGCGTAGAGAATAGCTAGCCGAACCTGTTACAATGAACGTATACAGCAAAGTGAGATGTTCCTTTTTTATGACTGGACCTTGCTGCCTCTTAGCGTGGTTACAAGATGTTTAACTAACTTACAACTTCGATATTTATACCCACGCCGATGAAGCCTATTCACTTGAATATCGAATAGCCTAGAGTGACTTCCGAAGGCCAACATTCGTCTTTGAATCCTGTTGGATGTATAGCCGAGCCGACTGCCTGGTGATATCGACTTTTCGCTTGGAGTTGGAATGCACAATCTACACTTTAAGGGAATAGAGAGGCCCTTCGCCTACCATGTTAAAGCCTTTAATCTACAGGATAAAGGTGAGAGTGGGAGATTTACAAGGTCTAGATAGCCGGATTTCTCTCGCCTCCGTCGCCTTACGATTAGGACTTAGCAGATATTCGGAAATGAGCATCGTGGTAAGGGGAATATTATATTGGTGGAATGGCATTAGCCAACAGACTTGCACTGGTAAAATCAAACGCTCAATCGAGCTCTCACAGTAAACTCTCGCAGTAAAACAGAAACATGCATACGGTCAGAAATATTTGCAGGGAAAACAAATGTGCTCGCTCGCATCATAAACAACATTCAATCAACATGGGTATTCTCTCCATCAGTCTCGTCATTCAATCATCGTAGGTCTTCTCTTCTTCAATCTCTTCATTCAATCATCGTGGGTCTTCTCTTCTTCAATCTCGTCATTCAATAGTCGTAGGTCTTCACTTCATCAATCTCATCATCGTTGTGGGTATTTTTATCCGCTTTTCTAAAGGCTCGGCAGCCATTTTCTTCGTTCACATCACCCTCGAAGAATTCGCAACGATTCCACTTCCGCAGTTCCCATTTACCCACCATACGTCTTGATTCACACTGTCTCAACTCGTTCCTCTCCCAATGGATGGACAATCGAATACAACAAGCATAACCTGGTCACAATACTGCTATCGGGACATCTTACTTCATCAAACTGGGTAACTTGGGGGAGGTAAGGAGATAAAGGCAGCTCTACACTTTCCCAGTCTCCATCTAGCCAAGTGATGATTCTCCAACGCCAGCTGGCCCCGAAGGACCAGGGGAAGGAGATGACATCAAGTGGAAAGTGGAAAAAAAGGGGGTCGTGGCGTAGGTGAGCTAAAGCCCTCACTCGATATCTCCTCGTCCAAAAACTCGGTAAGACTCGACAAGATGGCGATAGGATTGGCAGGCGCGGTTAATCGCATTGTAGTATTCGGGAGAATAGAGGATCGGATACATCGGACAGTAGGCGAGGGTCTGACAACAATCTTACGACTGTGACTTCCCCTCAGCTTCCTGTATGACTTTTTCTTGTAAGGCGATCATACTTCTTGCCCACATGCGCCGACGCTGTTTTTGTCCAGGTCGATTGCGCTTTTTCTTGGGTTCCCCTTGAGGAGCTGCCAGGTCAAGTTTGGGTTCAGGCTTCGGTTCTTGCGAACCGAAATTCCCACTTTCTAGAGCAGATACGAGGAGTCGGAGAATTTGAATCAGGACGAACGGCGAGATGTTCTCCAGGCGTCGAAGCACGAGTGCCTGACTCTGGGTCCCAGTCTGCTGTTCGGTGGTGTAAACGGGTTGCGGGGTGGTTGAGTGGAGGTTCGCTGCCTCGGCAATCTGGTGAACAAGAGTAGAACTAATGTAGGGTTGGGAGTCCTGCATTAGAGGTAAACCGTTCACGAGCTCCGTTCTCAACTCCCGCTGAAGGTCGGATACCACACTGGGTGGCAGAGCCGGAGAAGCTTCTGCAGGGAGGAGATCCAACTCGCCAGCATCCATCTCATTCGCGGGACGTGCAAAGTAGTATGCTCCTAAACACCGACCAAGGGCCAGTGACGCGAGAATGAGTCCCAGGTAGCCGCAGACTGATAGAAACTCTGAAAAGTTGCAGGGAGAGTCAATATCAACGCGGCTGGTATGAGTGGCACCTGGGAATGGAGCGGCTGCGACTTCCCAACTACAAGGCGTTCCGATCGCTTTCAATAGATGCCATGGGAATGGTCGTCCATTGAGAGTTGCGGGCCGTTCGTCTTCGTCACCATAGTCGTCAAAGTTGATCGGAGGGAGTGCCATGAATTCTTCGTATGTTTGCGGGAGGCGGTTGAGAGGTTCGGGGCGTTCGGCGAGTTTGACAGGCTCAGCGGATGGGTAGCAGACGGTGGGTGTCGCTGCTTTCGCGACTTCGAGGGCGCCTGTTGTAATGAGGCTGACTTTGATGGCACCTGTCAAACGTCGGCCGAAGCTCTCCCGCGGGGTGATGGCGGTAAAGGGCACTGAAGCAATAGTGCTCCAGAGGGTTAGTGTTGCCACTAAACCGATGAACGAGAACAACATTTCGGCGGTTCTACGAAGCTGTTAGTAAGGACAAGACAAAGTATTATAGGGGAGTTTATAAGAACAGTGAGGGGGTAATATAGGGTATATCAAGGTATTTGAGAGGAAGACCGTCGACGGGTAAGTAGTAGGAGCCCACAAGGAACAACACTCAGGAAAAGGGGGTATATAATAGGGGACACCAAGACCATATCAAGTCATAACGAGAGGACTGTCCAAGGTCTAAACACAAGGGTTGCTTACGTTCTGAAGGAGGTGTGATGTTATCCCCTTCTCGTCTTTCTCTTTTCTAGCTGCCTATTTCGTTGGTCAGTATCGTGTATTAGAGTAGCTAGCAGTAGGATAGTAGAAGCGGGAAACTCGGTAGAAACATACCCTTGAAATTAGCGGCAGCTCTGGTGTCACAGAGGAGGTCTTTCCAGCAGAATGAGGATGCCGAAGCAGGAGGTTGGAGGCAGAGGATCTCGTTGTACTGGTGATAGCAAAGTGGAGGCTGTAGCAGTAGTTGTAGTAGCAACAGTGGAAGTTATTCGCTGAGATCGTATCTTGTCAGGGTAAAAGTGGCTGCGTGGACGAGGAAGAGAGAGAGAAAGAAAGGAGGAAAAGAAGCGAGGGGGAAGATTTTTATATTGTGGGCGCTGGGCGTAGTAACACTTTCCTAATCGAGTAACACTGAAGCCCTAAGGACAAGATCAAGTCTCTTAGATCAACCAGATCAACTAGATCAACTAAATCAACCATATCAACCAGATCAACTGATCTAGATGGTCTAGATGGTCTAGATGATCTAACTAATGAGACTGACGCCATGCTTGATCTAGTATAAGGTATATAGGACATCCAGATCAGGTATATAGAGGACAGATATCTCAGGGATATCAGACAACATTCTCAGTAGAATCAGGGTTCTATCAGGGTATTTATGGCCTTGGATCACCCACAACACAACACACAGAGGACATAGAACACACAACACACTTTTGTCTCTCATAAGGAAGCAGCAAAGAAAAGTAGAAAGAAAAAAAAGCAGGGGATAAAATGAAAGAAAGCAAGAGTGTATCAGATTTTCCCTACCCATCAAAACGCCAACGCAGAAGTACACGCCTAGTCTTTCATAATAGGGAATCCCACATAATTATATCCATCGCCGGGGGATGAGCAGAAAATAAAGGAACCAAAGGGACATGCATAAGGGAGGAAAGGTAAAGACGCAAGAAGGCAAAGGATCCCTCTAGTCGAGGTCCATCTCCTCCTGCACTCCACCGTCGACCAGCAGTTTTGACTTCTTCTTTCCGCGCAGCTTTTCCTCTCCCACGGGCAAGCCAACTTTCTTGTTGAGCAAATCCTCTGGCTGTTTCGTCCCCTCTGCCAGCTCCATGAGTTCCTTGCGGATCAGATGCTCGCCCTCCGCAACCACCTTCCTGTCCTCGGCCCTCTTCCTGTCCCTGGCGATCTTGCCCGCTAATCTTCTCTTCGTATACACTCTTTCTCGTCTCTGTCTGATCTCTTCCACTCTCTTCATCGCCTTGATAGTAGACTCCACGAGGTTTCTGTCGTATTTCACGGGTGCATTGCGCTTCTTGGCGAACTGTGAAAGCACCAGGGACGAGTCGACAATCATCTCCTTGCCGTGTAGCGCGCGGTGCGTCTTGGTCCACTTTAGTTTACGTGGTTGACGCTTCATCTTGAAGTTCTTGTGGCATTTTGAGCGGCAGAAGCGGAACTGTCGGGCATCGTTGCGCACGAATGTTATACCCTTGGACGGATACACTGGCTGCGAGCAGAAATGGCATGTTTCGACCCTAGACTTTTGCATTAGCTATGCCGTTTAATCGCCGATGGGATGCACAAGCTATAATATACTGGAGTCACATACCTCATCTTGGCCTCTGGTCGATAATTATCCTAGATATATCGTAATGTTCTTCTATCAAAGTAAAGTCGAACGTTCAATTAATTTTTCTTCTTTTCTTCGAATTGCGGGTTGTGCTAGTTAACCTCCGGCGCTAGTCCTATTTGGGCCAAGACTCTCGATTTTTTTGATCTTTCTCGCATTTCGAGCCGGACGAAGAGACAGAAACACAACTTCGCATATCATCCTGCAGGCCGTTGACCGATCTCGAGCATCACATACTCATCCAACGCACAAGGGTATACCTCTATCTATTGAACATGACTTCTGTCGTCGCTATCGGTGTCGGTGTCGCCGCTGCCGCGTTCTTCGTAAGGACCATCGACCCTTTTTTGGTCGAACAGAATACTAATCATGATATCTCTATAGGGACGAGCTGGCCTGGTAGCACTCCGCAGATACAGAGGAGGCGTTGACGGTGCTGGCCGTGCATTCTACAAAGGCGGATTCGAGCCCAAGATGAACAGGCGGGAGGCATCGCTCATCCTGTCGCTCTCGTACGTTCTGATCCAGCGATACCCCCGACATTTCCCTTGACCACCAGGAATATTGATCAACTAACCTACTTGATTGTGCTCGGTAGTGAACGAACCCTAACCAAAGATAAAGTCCGCGCAAACCATCGCAAGATGATGCTTCTTAACCACCCCGATCGAGGCGGTAGCCCATACCTTGCCACGAAGATCAACGAAGCAAAAGAGATGCTTGAGAAGTCCGTTTGATTATTTCTACGCGCAGTTCGGGTAGCCGGATAATACACCGATTCTATCCGAAGACAACTAGACGATATATAACTCCATGACGAAGAGGACAAACGGCAGAAGAAAGAAGGTCCTAATTTAAGCGGAAGCGATACCTACTGCTGGTGTATTTTTACCACATTTACTTTTTCCCTTTTATTCACGGGACGGATGCATAGCGCTGGCGTTTTGATGGATTTGAAGTCCGAATTTCCTTTTCCCCCCATCCATCATCACGGCTTCTCAGTTTGGCTAGAAGACGAAGAAAAGACTCCTCTCTACCACTTACCTATTTACATTTCCCAAGGGTTGATCTTTCTTTTACTCCATTATGATAACTTGGAACTCATATCTATACAAGCAGAGAGTACATTATTCAATTTGTTTGTAATATGCTACTAGGCGGACAATGTATAACAGTATCTAGATCATCATAGCCTCTAATAATTAGGGGAAGCCTTTTGCCAAATTTCCTATTGGCTCTCGATCCGAATTAGCCTGGATAGGCCGCTTTACCACCTATGTAGTCGACCCTGGATAAATGCGCCAGGTGGGCTATGCGAATCTCTTCCACTTCTGCTCTCCCAACAACGCTGTCTACATCCTTATCCTACCCTATGCTGTCTACCATTTAAGACGATTTGTGATCCAGCCTTTGTCAAAGTGTTTGTTACTTTGGGTATATCCAAGACTTTGGGCATCAAAATCCATGGTTATGCGCCACCACAGGTGTCTTATTTATTGTCTTGTCTGATAGCCCTGAGGTTCTCACTTCATCTGTGTGGAGGATGTGACGGTACATTCTGAGCTAACAATTTATAAGAGTGGAAATGTGAATGAATTAAGTCAATAATAATCTGGGTGATAGCCCTATTTCATGGGGAATCAAGTCTTACATCTAGGCGCGGGTACAATGCAAGGATCCTCTATTCAATATAAAGAGTAAATTTTGTACCATGTATGGATCCGCACCATCATCATATCAATATTTAGCCCAGACCGCGTAAAATAAAAATAAAATAAATAAAACAACATAGGGGGTTGAACTATCAAAGGATATCCAAATGTAAAAATGAAACGTCAAGGCAAGGGCAAGGGCAAGAAGCGGGGCTCGACTGATATCTTTTTTATCCCCTCCGCAATTTTTTTTTTCGCACTGTTTTTCTTGAATAACCAGTTTGCATTGCGCCTGCTTTGTTCTCACTCCCCTATTTATCTAATCATATCCATACCTCTATGTAATGATGCTTCAAGATCATGTTCGTTCGTTCCGTCGAATACAGCTTCCTGTGGACGAGGATCCTCATGCCTCCACTGTGACCCTTTATCCTCGGGGATAGGGACATTGGTCTGTTGAGGCTGTAGCTGCTGAGCAAGGGCAGCCTGGATATGAGAAGGTTGGCGTACGTGGTCACGGAAACGCTGCACTTCGTTGAGAATCATGCGCCGCATCTCCTGGACGTCGTCGACAACTTCGAAGTGGAAGTCGAAGGGAGTTGGGCAGTCGGGCTCGTCACTTGCATCATGCCAGATGTGCAGGTAGCGGTGCTCAAGAGCCTCCTCCACGCTGATGCGGGATGAGGGGTCAAACGCGAGCATGCGGTCGAGAAGGTCGAGGGCGTCCGGGTTGGCGTTGGGGAAGAGTCTGGCGAAGGGCTGTTTGTGCATGTGGGGGAGGTTGCGGACGTACTCTTGGGCGCGTGGTGAGCCGATACGGCAGAGAGTTTCTTCGCTGGGGGTTCCAAGATAGTGGAGGATCTGGTTTAGCTGGTCGACATAGTCACGGCCTTTGAAGAAGGGTCGTCCACCAAGAAGTTCAGCCAGGATACAGCCAACGGACCACACGTCAACTAGTAGTATGGTTAGCTTTGGTATTTTATAGATAGGTACCATATAGGGATCTACTTACTGGCTTTGGTGTAGCTTGGGAAACTCAACATGATTTCGGGTGCACGGTACCATCTTGTAGCAACGTACTCGGTCATGTATCCAGCGTTCTCATCGGGATCAATCGAGAAGCCACGAGCGAGTCCGAAATCACAAATCTTCAGCTCACAGTCGGCGTTGACCAGCAGATTACCTGGCTTCAAATCACGATGCAACACGTTGGCAGAGTGGATGTACTTTAGACCACACAGAATCTGATAGATGAAAGACTGGAAGTGGGCATCCGTCAGGGGTTGTCCTGATCGAATAATGGCGGCAAGATCACATTCCATGAGTTCTTTCAACATGTCAGCCTCCGTCAACTATGCCATCGTATCAACATAGCACTCACCCTCATAAAGGTATACCTCGTTGAAGTTATCTGGTCGTGGTATGTCCATGTCGTAAAGGCAGGTGATCTAGAGATAATCAGTTCCGTGGGTCATTTATACGATAGTATATGTGATAGTTGAAGACGTACGTTGCGATGGCCACGGAAGTGCTGTAGTAGTTTGATCTCTCGCAGAGCACGTTTCGCTAGAATCCGTTTACTGAAGACGTTTGTGACCTTCTTGATAGCCACGCCTTCGGTGCTCTGGGCGTTAGAGGCAGCACTGATGTTTGCGAGAACTGTTAGCAGGTCACTCTTGCTCCCTTACTGCCGATTGTTGTGATGGTATGGCCGGATGCGGGGCAGTATCGCCATGCTGGTGAGAATGGAGGCATACCAGACAATACCATAAGCTCCCTGTCCCAACTCCTTGGTGACATTGTACCGCTCATCGACAATAAAATCCTGGTTGAACACCTTGAACACCTTGCGTCCTTGAAGGTCTGCCATTTTGCACGTAACTTCGTGATCGCATGTATAATTAACTCAGGGGTTCCGCGGAGGAGTTATGGCGCCTGAGGGGATCGAAGCGGCGGTCGGGGCGATGTGTCTCTCAGCAGTCTCTCTGCCAGCGGGTGCAAGGTCGTCGAGAAGGAGAAAAGGAGGATAGTTGATCGAAGTCGCAGGGCGTTTAATTGAGTTTCGATCGGTTTGGGGGTAGACTACGGGAGTCAAATAAAGGCTGGATAGTGGGTCGGGTCCTGTCTGGTCTCCTATCTGTTAAATTCACGGTAAGCAAGTGAATACCAGGAACATACTGGCTGCTCGATCTCGACCTTCGTTCTGGCTGTCGCGGTGGTTTGGGATGGTGAAGGCTGTGGTGGGGGGAAAAAGTGACAGGCGACGGGTTGACGTGTTAACAGAGATAAGCCCCTCCTCTTGATGGGTGCAGGAAGCACCACGGCAGGCTGAGTGTCTCTGATGTCTCGGCCAACGAGAGCAGGGCTGGCACAAGGGTAGGAAGGACGAGGCAGTCGGCTAGTTATTTACCTGGGAGAAAGTTGTTGATAGTAGGATGTGGTGACGCGGGGCTGTCGATGTTGGTAATGCGCGCCAAGGGAGCCGGCTAGAGACCAGGACAGGAGGAAAGAAAGGAGAGAGAAAAGGAGAAAAGACAGGTGGAAGAGTCGATAATCTCTGTCTCCGCGGCCTGTGTCTTTTATCCGTGAGCAGGGAGTAGTTTTCTTCCTGAACAGGCATCCGTCGTCTATCTCACTCGAGAATCCTAACAGACATCCACCTCGATGTCCCTATTTATATGTCCCGATATTATTAACATTCTATCCACTACCCTGACAGTATTTATCTACTAATATATAAGTATAGACCCGAGAACAGTCGCATAGAGCAAGAGTTGATATCATCGCGTTTGCCATATAAAACTTCACTGACAGTCAGAGTCACGTGAGGAGTCCTCTATATAAATACCTATACTAAGGTCGAGGACAACAACATCTGTAGCCTCCACGCGATGCAGTTTAACAAGACACAGAGTACACTGTATCATCCGCTACGATGGCAGAATCCACCATAGACAGTGGTCTTCAGCGTCCAGAACTCGCACTGCATCTCGCCATCCACCAGAAGGACACCGTCAAGCTACAGGCCCTTGTTCAGCACTGTGACTGTGAAGCACAGAGCTACCCCTATGGGACCGCGCTGTACTTTGCTATTACCAACGACCAGCCTGATGCAATGCGGATACTTCTCGACGCAGGGGCAGACTCTGAGAAGCCCACACCCGATGGCGCCGGCTATGAATGTGATAACTCGTTGGAGCTGGCTGCGATGAGTGGGAAGCGCGCCATCGTCAAGATGCTATGGGATCACGGGGTGGCGCATAATTTTCCAAGCGTACGCAAGCCGCCGCTCGATCATCTTTCAAGCAGGCGCAAGGCGGCGAGGCTTCGTCTGTCTGCGCTTGGCCGGGCTGCACTTGAGGGCTTCGACGGGATTGTGAGCGACCTTTGTGCCTGGCGGGCCATGGATGCGGATGAGATAGACGTTGCGCTGTATTTGGGTGCTGTGCAGTGTGAGGACGATGTTATCCAGGCATTGCTCCTGGGTGGAACGGCGACACAGAATGGTCTTGACGAAGCGCTGTTGAAGGTAGCAGCGGCCCGTAGGCCCATGCTATCAAATTGGAGCAATAGACGGGACAAAAGGAACCCGCAAAAGCAGCTAAGGGCTATTGAGCTGCTACTCGACGCTGGCGCGAGTATAGGTGCTCAAGAGCGTGGCATAGGTAACACTGCTTTGCATATGTGTGCTTGTTTCCCTGATACCGCTGGGGCAGTACGGACTCTACTCGAGCGAGGTGCGGATGTGCATTTCAGAAACAAGAGGGGCGAAACAGCGATCGCAGGCGCCACGGTAAAACCACTTGGTCCGTTTTTCCAGCCACCTCAGGAGATCTATAACACGGACACTATTAAGATGCTACTACAGCACGGAGCCTCGGTCTTTGTTACGGACGACTTGGGCCAGACACCAATGCATTACTAGCATATTACGGGTCATATTCGCTCTTCCAGCTTTGCTTAGAACACTATAGCAACCCCAATATCTTCATTACAACTCTCTACGGCGAGACGCTGCTCCACAGGGCAGCAAGTGGGAACCAGGTAGAAATCGTCGAGAGACTCCTTGCAGACGGAGCAGGTATCAATGACGCGTCTTCCTCAGGCTGGGGTGACGGCTCTGATAGAACGACTTATCGCCCTTGGTGCAGATACTGAGGCGCGTGCCGTTGTGCCAGACGAAAGATACCGGTATAAGCTCGTAGGCTATCATGCCAAGCTTCTTCTACAGCAGAAGCCTCCGATCGCTAGAGAGCAGACTCCGTTACACTGGGCGGCAAGCAACGGGTCGGTCGCTGTAGTAAAGGCGCTACTACAGCACGGCGCCAATCCTGTTGCGAGAGATAGTACGGGGTCGACACCCGCGCTATGCGCTGCATATGCACAGCCAACCAACAGACAACCATATCCTATAGCAAAGAGGCAGCAGGTTATCAAGTTGCTACTTACTCATGGTGCGGGTTATGAAGATGAAGATGCCAGTGGCAGGGGCGTGTATGGCTGGGCTGCTGTTAATGGGCTGCCCCTTTACTGGCCAGAATGGTAATCAGCCCCGAAGATAGTAAAAGGTCATCTCCTATTATATGACCTATAGTGTAAGAATATTTAGAAGATTCAGTATCCCAAAAGGCTAAGTGTTAGGTAAGAATATCTATTAGATTAAATATCTTAAGGGCTAAGTATTATGACCACCGGATTGATAGAGTCTTAATTCAGTATATAGTTATATATCATTGAGTAGAAGACAAAGAACTATCTTACCTATGGGAACAATCATAGTTCATCGTGCGATGGTGGTGGGTATTCCACGACGAACTCATCATCCTGTATAAGGAAGTTAATATCGTAAGGATTGTGGTTATCGAAAACTGCGGACCTCCCATCTTCTGGGATAATAGAGCCATAGTTGTCCGGGTCGATGTCTCCGTTGGCCAATGTGTTTCCACCCTGCATAATGGCAGATACGCCTAAACTGCCGGCATAACCATCGTAAAAAAGGCCGATGCCCCAGATATACAGTTCTCTGTAAAAGTCTTCATCGGCCCCCGTAAGGCCTGTGGTGTCATGGGTCACTCCAATATACCACACTGCACTGTCGACTCCCTCTTGTGGGCAATTAAATCCATCTCTAGTATTCTCGTATCCCATCCGCCGACCGTCCACTCGCCAGCCTGGGCCATTCCCACGGTAATGTTGGGCATGAAACACAGTGATATGGGGGGTACCAATATAAGTACGGCCACCTACATTCCGTAATACTTCGGATACTGGGTCTATATGCAGGTGGAAAACAACCCATCTATCACCAACCGCTGCTTCCGTGTCTCGATATATATTCAGCTCTGTATTTGGATCAGGTACTCCGGGAGTCCTGCCAATCCAATACGCGAGTTCAAGAAACGGGCCTGGAGGAGAATTCGAGCTTGTACCATGGGACCATACCCACCGGGCATAATGCAGTGGCAAGACCCCATCGTTGATCGCCCTTAGGACATCAGTAATGTAAGGGACACCAGGAATGCCTGTTATTAAAAGTGTCAGATTATCAGGCTCCTCTTGTATGGGTTTCTTGCTGACTTACGACCCCATAATGTTATGCTGCGGGCCTCAAGAGCCGGTTCGGCTTTTTTACTTGAACTTGTGCCACGGGTCGTCCTTTCACATATTATCTCTGCTATGCGCCTATCTCGCTTTATTCCAGCAGCCGTATTTTGGGGATCATATAGGACACGTTTGGCCAAGCTACGGCTGTCAAGATATCGACTCCGTAAAAGCAGGATCAAGCTCAAAGTCTCAAGCACGTCGTCGAAGTGGATAACAAACTCGCTAGTCCAAATGAGTCTGAACGGGAGCATCTTTGGGAGATCTATCGTCAAAACCAGAGATAAGTATGAAACAAGCTTCATCCAATTGTCCAGTGTACAGTCGGTAGCTCTCCCATACAAGATTTCGACTTCTCTTGATTCTAGTACAAGCGACCTTTTCTGGGATCCTCCTTCATATATACCATGCAATTGAGGGTGCATCTTGGCCGGACAGGTAGGATTTTTCACATAACTATGCGATGTTAGTTAGGAATAGATAAACATTTGGGCATACCCCTGAAAAAAATAAAATTCAGGGGGTGACAACTGGAAATTTTTTTTTTTGGCGACCAGGTGCACTCTGTCACTGTGCAAGAAATAAAAGGGAAGCAGGATGAATATGAAGTCTACTTACTCCTTTAACAATGACCGAAATTCCTTGATTTCGCCTTCGGCAAAAATAATATCACTAATGCCTCGATGCTCCAATCTTGGAGGAGGTTTGCCTTTGCAGCAGTATGCCTGCTTCCCAATCTTACAATCGCCCACATGTATGGCTAGTCGAATATGGCCCTCAGGGCAAGATGGTTCGCAGATGGTCGAGCTCCCAGTGTGGTCAGTGGCCTTCTTATGCCATTGACAGTCTGCAGCAAAATCAGGAGGTGGTTCTTTGCAACAGTAACTTTTTGTACCCTGGCTGCAAGTCTGCTCCCCGCCAGCGCCAGCACTTGCAGCGACAATGAAATGGGGAAATTCTTTGCTACAATCAGCATGTTGCCCTGATCTCGCGCAAATTGGGGCCGAGCCATGCCATTTGCAATCATTAAAGGGCGCAACGGCAGTGCCTTCGACGCAACATGCACTTTGGTGTTTCGTTGAGCAGCCCTCAGCCAAGGTGCCGACTTCCACTTCTCCCTTTTCACAACCAGGCTGGCAAGCTCCTGAGTTTCTATGTCCCCGCCAACGACACTTGGGGATGTCCAAATCTCCGGGACAGCAGAATACGGACTGCCCACCGTTAGAACTACCATGGCCCGGGTATACGTTGCATCCGATATTATGCGTCATTAGGAGATCTGTTCCATCACGAGGGACGCTCTTGAAGCCATTGGAACAGTCCTCCGAGCAATTTGTCCACCTGCAAAGCCTCACCACGGTAGCTTTGGAGGGCGATTCTGTAGAGAGTTGAGCGCTGAAATCCGGCCAGGCCCTTATTTCACGTCCTGAGGCCTTAATAAGTGCATTGGCATGTGTGTCCTTATCGTCGTCCTGGCTAATAGCCCAAACCATAACATTGCTGATGCATTGAGCTCTTGCCGTGTTTAGTTTCATCCTCCAAGTTACCTCATCATCGAATGATACCCACTGATTATCCCAGCTAACAGATTTGACGGCTTCTTTGCGATGGAGTTTTGGTGTAAGACCTTTCGCTTTGATAATGTCTTGGATTTCTGGATTGAGCAAAACTCCGGTAGTGCGGGAGCATTTTCCAGCGATTCCATCAGATAAAGCACCACACTTTGGCTCAGTGCAGCCTGGACTTTCCATGGTGAAGCTGCGAGAATAGAAAGCCACCCCTAAGACCACCTTATCGGGGTGGATATAGTTTCGCCATAAGAGATCCAAGGCATCTTGTATCTCAGTCATATTGGTGTGAGAGTTAAGAAAAGATCCCGTCCATTTTTTACCGATATCCCAGGGGCCATGGATATCGTAAGACATGAGATTGAACCAGTCTACATGTTTCTCTAGGCTGACAATATCGAAATGCTTAAGATCTGCAATTCTATATTAGAAACTGTAGGCAAGGGAGAGCGAGGTCTATGCTTACACCAGTAACTCGATGGTAAAGTTAAGGAGACTCCTCTCGTTTGTCCATCGGCGCTCATTCTCTTTTTCAAGTTCTTTATAAAAGAGACAAAGTTTTTGAAATCATCAGGACGGCCGCCGCGATCTTGGTCAACAGGATACTCCCTATTAAAAGTAAGTGATGAACGCTTCTCGACATCAAGATATTAAACTGATTTTGATGGGTAACATACCAGTCAATATCAATACCGTCAAATCCGAAAGTGTTCATGAATTTGACTACGGAGTCAAAAAATACTTCTTGCTTACTCTCGCTCGCAGCGAGGTCGCTGAAGATTGATGCCGTGGGTCCAGGATCGTTAAACGCCCATCCACCCACAGCAATCCAAATCTTTATATCAGGTTGAATGAGCTTGATAGAAAAAATGCGCTGCATGAGATAATTTGTATTAGAGTCACCAGCTTTGATTTGGAATGTTGCTGGGTTAATTGTTGCAAATGTAAAACTGCCACTATTGTTAGCTAGCGACTTATGAAATTTAGTAGTTAATAGAGCTCACTTGAGGTGGGTATATACTCCAAATGGGATCTTTTCGGGTATCAAAGAATAGCATGACCTCTCTGTTAAGGACCATCCTTCGTAATAACCAATGACCCTTTTGATTTGGGTGTCACTAATATCACAAGCTGGGCGTTTGAAATCGTTATCTTCACCGCAGAATTCCTTTGTGGTTCCACAGAAACCGAATCTAGTAGAATGATCAGAGTTATGGACGTTAGATGCAATATTATGGTTAGACTTCAATACTTGCTACAGCAAACATTGAGAGGGCATTTTTCAGCCGTACTCCATTTGGAGTCCGACCACCCAGCATTGCACGCGGCCTTCTGGTCACAATTATTCACGCAGTCATCTCTAGGTATTGTTAGCATCTGCTCTAGCCATTCTTTTCACGGTGGGTCGTAGATGGACAAGCCCGCAAAAATTTGGACCGAGGCCACAGTAGCCTGCCTTGCTGCAACAGCCTATTGGGCAAGGTACAGAGGCACTACAGTCTTGTTGAAGGGAGAACTGTACGTAAAAAGCCAAAGCGAGAAGAGTAAACAAGAAGAAAAGCTTAACCATAATGGCCGAGGCTGATGAAGCCAACTTAAAACTGGCTTAATACTATGAAAGCTTGCGCCGGAGAGAACTGGAAAAGAGCCCTAGAAAGGACCATAATGCAAAAGGCCATGGGTGTAGCAGCTATTAAATAACCCAACGATATCAGCTCGTCGACTAAGGGACATTTTTCCTTGGGAAGACTTGATGGCCTCATGCAAGGGCAAGAAAGGCACATGTATGTATGGAGGAGAATCCCGTGGTAATTTGGGCCCTTGAAGCTTGTTTGCATAGCAAAAAGTAGACAACAAAAATTAAAATTTGGATAGATACAATATTATGAAGTGCGAAAGGATGCGAAATATTGTGGAGTGCGAAATGGCGCGAAATATCAGCCTCCGGGAGGGCCCTGGAGGCCACTAAATAACAAAATAAAACCACGTTTTTTTAGAAGATAAAAAGCACTAAATAACCACAACTAGATAAGGAATACCGCTTTTTATTCAGTTAGAAAATAGCAAGTAAGGAGCGCCTATATCCCTTGAATAAGAATATTAAATAAAAAAGCGGTATTCCTTAACTAGTTGTGGTTATTTAGTACTTTTTATTCTTATTAAAAAACCGTTTGTAGTATTCGGGTAGCATTTTGCACCATTTCGCACGTCACTATAAATAACGATTTCACCTTTGTATGTAAGTGGAAGGTGGATTCTGGACACATGATAATATTTTGGTAGGAGGGTGAGGTATGAGATCGAGGCGACATATTCGGAGTTCTGCCTGCTTCCTACCCTACCTCCCTACCTCCATCCCATACAATAGGGAAATCGTGGAAAGCAAAAGGACACTGCGTCAACAATATATTTCCCTCATTCCACAGCGATCATGCCTGTTTTTAACTGCTTCTCTGGGATTCGCTTGTGTATCCGGACAACCGTGCTTGTTTTTTTGTATCTCACTTGTTTCTTCAGTCTCACCGGCGCTGCCAACTTTCGATCTCGCCATGGTCCGATCGACTATAGCCACATGTCCGCAAAGCGAGGAACTATCCCTATGGGCTTTCAGCTCGTAACAACCGGCGCCTTGGCCGGAGTAGGAATCACGTCGACCTGCGAGCAGGTTTTATACCAGAAAATCAACTGCGATGCGTTCGTCTCAACTTTAGGGCAGAGAGTATATCACAGCTCGTTGCAGGATCCTTTGCTAACGGACTCCGTATGCTTACCTGTATGTGGTAATGCTCTAATGACAGCGCGAAGACGAATCCTTAGAGCATGTGCCCAATCACCCGAGCTTGCTCCGGGGTTTCCAGTTGTTGCTCTGCTGGACAAAATTCATACCGGCTGGAATGAGACCTGTTTGAACGACAGGACATCAATGAAATACTGTAACGGTAGGAAATTAAATTCCACGGACTTCTCACCATGGATATGATCAGCTCACTAACTTCGTTGACAGACATTATTGAATCGTGGCCCACGGTCGAGGAGATCAGCGATATGTCGCGAGATCAGCTTTGCTCTTACTGCTATGGTGCTAAGCTTAAGCTCATGCAGCAATCACCATACTCAGCTTATGATAATTTGTATGCGGAAAGACTCAAATTTGTGATAAAAAGTAAGTTTGCGATATTGAAGTGTTATTGTTAGAACACTGTCCTAACATAAGTATAGGTTGCAACCAACCGGATTCTCCAACTAAACCTATTGAGAACTCAAGGAATACAACCTTGCCAGAAGCGTGCCACTCCGATAGAAAGTACGTGACCCAGAAAGGCGATACTTGTGACAGTATTTCGACTGCAAAAGGGGTATCTGCCGCAACGCTTTATCATATCAACTCTGGGCTCCGACATTGTGATAGCCTTGATATTGGCATAAACCTGTGTTTACCGCAATCTTGCAGCTCAACTTACTCGGTGAAGCCAAATGACAACTGCGTTGATGTCGCTGTGAAGCATGGTACAGGCGGTTGGATGAAACTTGTTTCATGGAATCCTGGGCTTGACTCCCTGTGTACCAATATTGTGGGTGCAAACCCATCCTGGGGTTCAGTCATCTGTGTCACGCCTCCAGGGGGCGCTTACGGGGGCGTTCCTCCTAGAAATTCAACAAAGCGAGGCAATGAAAACGCTGGCGGGCTAGGGGGCTCCGGAGACGGATATTCAGACGACATTGTTGCCGCACCAAATGGAACTATCGCAGAGGGCACCACAGACAAGTGTGGCAATTACGTACAAGTCCAAGACGGGGACAGTTGTGGGAAGATCGTGGTCCGTGGTGCAGTCCCTGTGGATCTTTTCGTCGATGTGAACCCATCTTTGGAATCTACTGCGAGCTGCATGGCACGTCTCCAACCGGGCGTCTGGTACTGTCTCAACCCATATAGATATTGGAATATGACTAGACCAGTGATCTAGCGATATGTTAATATTATAGGCATAGGGGCTCAGTTGGGCAAATACCACCTACCTAGATGGGATAGCAATAAAATAGAATCCTATAATGAGTAAAGATCCTTTGTCCCTGCTTCTATGCCTGTACGCCCGTTGATGAGGTGAGGTTGAAGGTTGGACCGGATAAATAACCAGTTCCGGGCCGGGGGTCCTTCCGAAAGTCAAATAACTAGCTAGTTATAACGTAAGCCACCACCGAATGACCGCTACCACCCAATGACCGCCCCAACAAAGATTCATGCGTATCAACAACAACCACTCGCAACAGCCGTAATATGGTTAATGAAGCTGCAATTGCTTTAGCAATTGCAGATTTAAAGGCCCAAGAAGCCCCTAATTATACCCAGACTGCAAAAAGATACGGAATCGATCGAAAAACGCTCACACGGCGGTTTCAAGGAGTCACTACCTCAAGAAGTGAAGCAATATCCCAACATCACAAGAAGCTTACAACTGCTCAAGAAAAAGAGCTTTTAAAGCATATAAATCGCCTATCTCTACGTGGCCTATCTCCTACACCTCAAATACTCCGGAATTTGGTATATGAGATAACAAAAGAGCCTGTTGGGTTGAACTGGGTGGCGCGGTTCTGCGAGAGATATCATAACCAGATAAAGAGCCTTTATTTAAAGACTATCGATCAAAAACGCAAGGTTGCTGATAACTCCTCTTATTTTGCGCATTACTTTGAGCATGTTAGTGATCAAATCGATATCAATATCTTTAAATACTGACCTCTTCCTAGCTTGAATTGATGATTTCAAAATATAATATTACTCCAGAAAACACCTATAATTTCGATGAAAAAGGGTTCCTTATTGGCCTAGGTCAGGCAGTCAAACGTATCGTCCCTATTGAGCAGCTTAAACGAAAGCAGATAGGTGCTATTCATGATGGAAATCGCGAGTTTATTTCTCTTCTTGCTGCCATCTCTGCAGATGGTGAAAGGATTCCTCCTACACTGATTTATAAGGGAGAAGGAGATCTACAAGATACATGGCTTGATGATTTCAACCCTCATGAGCAAACAGCCTATTTTGCAGCCTCACCCAACGGCTGGAGCAGTGATGACTACGGGCTTAGCTGGCTGGAGATATTTAATAAGCATACGAAGGCAAAGGCTGATAGAGGAAGAAGGCTTCTTATTGTTGATGGCCACTCCTCTCATATCAATATGCGCTTTATCGACTACGCAGATAAAAACCGTATCCTTCTTGCAATCCTTCCTCCGCATTCAACTCATCGATTACAACCATTAGATGTTGGAGTTTTTGGGCCACTGGCTAAGGCATACTCCCAAGAGATCGATACCCTTCTCCGTTGCAGCTATGGGTATTCATCAATGAGGAAGAGAGATTTCTGGAGGCTCTTTTATACAGCATGGTGTAAAGCAGTAACACCTGAGAACGTTAAGGCTGCATTTCAAACAACGGGTATCTACCCCTTCATGCCTGAACAGATATTAAAATATTTCAAACGAAGACCAATTACCCCTCCAGACCTGGTTGCTCCTCCTACCCCTACTACTGTTCGAGGCCTCCGCCGTCAAATTAAGAAGGTTTACCGCAGGCAATCGCGCCTCTCAATCAATATTCAAAAGGTCATTCATGCTAGTGAAAGACTGGTCTTCCAGAATGAGATATTAGCCCATGAAAACAGGTCTCTTCATGCAGTAATACAAATGGAGAAGAAGCAAAGGAAGAGAGGTAAAGCAATGGGCTTGTTTGATAAGGAACGGGCTGGCCAGGCGCAGTTCTTCTCTCCGTCTAAAGTTGAAGCAGCCAGGCAACGGGCTCTTAATATAGAGCATGAAAAACAAGATAAGATAGCGCAGGCTGAACAATCAAAGCTTCAGCGTACAATTCAGAAGGATGTTAAAGCCCAGGAAGCAGCAGAAAAGAGAGCTCAAAGGTTGATAGAGCAACAGCAGCGAAAGGAAGCCCATGAGGAGGCTCGTAAAGAGGCTGCAGCGCAGCGCGCAGAGGCTGCGATTGAACGGAAGCGTAAAGCGGGTGAACAAGCAGCGGAACGGATGGCCAAGAAGGCCAGGAAGGCTGAAAAGAACGCCTTAAGCCCTATCTCACCTTCCCGATTAGGAAAGAAGAAGACTTCACCTACGAAGGTGGCTCCAATCGATCCTATTCCTTCAATACCACCCTTCCTATCCCAACCCCGGGCAAGCCGTTCCGGGCGAGTTATCAAGCCCAACACTCGTTTATTTTCTTAACCTTACTAATTTATATGTAATTTGGAACCCTACTATCGTTATTTAATAGCTAATTTAATTCGTTATTTACGTTGTGTTGAAATAGGTTGATATTTAATATATGCAGCGATTTGGATGGGGTGGCCAAAGCGCCGGTCATTAGGTGGTGGCGGTCATTCGGTGGTGAACCACGTTAGTTTCCACGTGTAACCAGGATAACTCGTTACCCTAATTATAGTTTCCACGTGTAACTAACCACAAGGGACAAAGTGTGTAGTGTCAAATGGAAACCATTGGATATAAGGTACGAGTCGTAACCAATACAAAGAAACTAATAGTATATAATGAGACTAACATATTATGTATGGGGAGCTGGGATGACCCGTAGGTGAACAACCGCGCCTTTTAGAAGAGGAGCACGGGTGCATATTTTTTCTCACCTCCGAGAATGCCAACCACATAGCCCGAGGTACCCAGACAGTGACAACCATGCGCACCGCTCTTATTCTATATAGCCTTCTGTGCAGCTCCGCTGCTGCTCGCTCCCATAACAGAGGCCAACGGAGAAGCGGGCGTACTGATCCCAATGCGCCTTCAGATTGTACGCTTTTTAATGATGCGGTAACAAAGGATCATGACTGCAGATACTTTGAAGCCAACTGGGGGATTTCACATCAGGACTTTGTGAAATGGGTAAGTTCATATCTGCGTACACTATATTCTATGGCTAAGACGATATTAGAATCCTTCCGTTAGAGAAAACTGCGACGGCATCGTGATTGGAAGTTCCTATTGTGTGGAAGTCAATTATGGGCTGCCTCCAACTGGTACATCGATAACGACCGCTGTGAAGCCAGCAACGACCGGCTCGCCTATACCATCACCCAACCAGAGTGGGATTATCGACAGTTGCACCAACTTCTACAAAGCTGGCTCGCATGACAACTGTGAGATCATCGTCAAGAAATTCGGCACTTTCTTGCTCGAAGATTTCTATGGCTGGAATCCCGCGGTGGGAAGTTCATGCATGGGGCTCTGGACCGGGTACCACTATTGTGTGGGCATTCCAGGAACACCGAGTAGCCGGTTGACTACCACGTCGGCACCAATGGCTACGATAATGACTCCTGCCGGACCATCGCCAACGCAGGACGGTATTGTCTCCAGCTGCACAAAGTACCGCAAAGCGGTCTCCGATGATACTTGCTTCGGTGTAGCCGCAGCATTTAGCACCTTTACCGTGGAACAGTTTGTAGCCTGGAATCCGGCAGTTAAGAGCGACTGCAGCGGCATGTGGGCTGGCTACTACTACTGTGTCGCTATTCCAGGTACCCCAACTGCGAAGCCGACAACGACCACGACCACGTTTAGCAGAGCGCCGATCTCGGCTGGGCCTTGGCCGACGCAGGATGGGATTGTTACGAACTGCAAGGCGTACTATAAAGCCGTATTAGGGGACAGCTGTGCAGTTATTGCCAACCGCTATGGCACATTCGCATTGGAGCAGTTCATCAAGTGGAACCCCGCTGTCAAACCTGACTGTTCTGCAGTCTGGATAGGATACTATTATTGCATTGGTAAGTTATACCGTATCTATACATCAAATTAATCACTAAATCCGAGTAATAATAGGTATTCCTAGCACACCTACCACAAAGCCAACGACTCAAGCTCCCACTCCAACATGTGCTACTGCACCCACTCCAACACAGCCAGGGGCCTTGTGCTGTAAGAAATGGCACAAGCTTGTTAGCGGCGACAACTGCGATGCAATCCAAAAAAAATATAAAATTACTACGAATGATTTTAACACCTGGAACCCGAAGGTCGGGGCTAACTGTATTATATGGGCAGGTTACAATATCTGTGTAGGCAAGTAACGGTCGAGGGAATGAGTCCTGCTCACCAAGGATTTCTAGGAGATATCTGGTTCTATTCGTTAAAAACATACAATGGCCCCATTCGGATATGTCTATCTCCTCGTCCTCTTCTGATATTTGCTAGTGAATATGGATGGCGAAGCTTGAAGCAAGTAAATTTTACGTTAATCTATGTTTATACGTTGAGATGTTCTAGGATACTCAGGGGCATTCTAACATCATACGAAAAAATTAACAGCAAAAGCAAAACTCGGGGAGTTTTTAGGTCAACTCGGGCTCCGTGTATTGCCCCCGAAAAGCCTACCAATCCCTCGTGGTAAACCCGGGGAACTCGGGGCTAAAAAATGTTAACGGAATACATCAAGATCAGCTACCACGGGGGTATTAATTCTTTACGGAAGGATACAAAAGAGCAGAATGCCTTTCCCACCTTGACTGAGGCAAACTGACTCCGCCTTCAAGATGATTTGCACGAAGCATCCGAGGCTCTTGAGACCCCTTATGACATGATGGTTCGCTTGCTGAACACGGTTCGCTACTCTATACCCTGCACAAGATTATCGAGATAATTTAGTGAAGGAATGCTAGCTAATTCTAAAAATGTCGGAGGACTCCCAGGTCTTGATCGATGATTTGGCTCTTCCAAATACCGGTGTTCGCTGATGGAATCCACGTTTTGATATGCAGATGTATATCATGCTTAAAGCGATGGACAGAACTGTTGACCAGTGATATGCGCTTTTGGACAAGGCAGGCTTGAAGGTGAAGGAAATCAAGACCTAGAGTCCTGTGATGCGGAACTCGGTCATTGTGGCCGTCCCGAAATAATAGTGCATAAGGGTCAGAAAGTTTCATGTTTATTAATACAATTTTCTTTCATCTCTCAATAGGTATTGATCTCTCGTGTCGCGGCTCGATTGATCTCCTAGCTTAACCTAGCACCTAGCATGAAATCATTTCTATGACCAATCAGTATCATACCTTTAGCTCGCGGTTGTGCCGTTATCATTGGTTTCGTCGGAGAGTTTTTATGCTTTTCATGTGCCCGAAATGGCTGCCCCACATCTCGGAGTCCGTACCTGAAGCCAAAACCTTAAAAAAAGGCCCGAGGCGCGCGGGTAGATCATCGGTTCCACTTCTCGTCTTGCCGCCTAAACACTAATATAGTACGGAGGTCTACATATATATCCTTCCCCCCGCCATGTAATTGTGGTCTCAGTATTTCCCTACCTTGTGTATCTCCTGCTACCTATCTACGCCAATCTTACGACGCGCCATTCCAACCCACCTAGCTACAATGGCACCACCAGCGCCCTCATACACCAAGGTCACTCACTCTGCCACATATGCTGGCATCAATCCAACTCAGCCTGGCCTCTCCACTGCGGGCAAGGTCGTGTTAATTACTGGCGCATCCGGTGGTATCGGCCAGGCCACAGCCTCATCTTTCGCTGCATCAGGCCCCCGAGCACTCATCCTGCTCGGTCGACGCGCCGACGTTCTCGCCGAAATCGCCGCCATTGTCCGCGACAGCCACGCAGAGGTGACGATCCAAACTCATGAGGCTGAGCTGTGCGATGCTTCGAGCGTCCGTGGTGTTATGAACAAGGTAGCCGCCGAGTTTGGAGGCATCGATATCCTTATCCACTGTGCCGGCGCCCTGGCCCCTGTTGTTCCGCTCCTGGAAGCCGATCCAGCTACTTTCCTAGACGGCTACAAGACCACCGTTGTCGGTTCGCTGGTAGCGGTGCAGGCTGTCGTGCTGGCAAATAAGACAGTTAAGCCCATCGAGAACAAACCGGTCACATTCGTCAATCTGACCACAGCTGGCATCCTTTTTCCCCCATTCACCGGCATGGGCGCCTATGTTAGTAGTAAGATGGCCGCCGTCAAGGTCCTGCAGTCCTTCGCCATTGAGAACCCGCAAGTGCGTCTTCACAATGTGCATCCTGGTTTCCTCAGAACAGCTATGTCTGCTAAGCTGTCAGAGTCGATTAAATTGCCATTTTCCTTCGACAAAAGTGAGTATCGACTGATTTGTTCTTCGTGACTAGCCCGTCTGTGTTCAATTACCTAATGACTACTCTTTCCCAGTTTCTCTTCCCGCCGACTTCCTCGTTTGGATTGTTTCCCCCGAAGCTGAATTCCTTAATAACAAGATTGTCTTCTCTTGTTGGGATGTTGACGAGCTCAAGGCTCGCAAGAACGAGATTGTCGGTGGCCCGCCCGGGACTGGTGAGCTCTGGATCGGCTACCAAGGATTCCCACGATTCATAGGCGGCCAGGTATTACCAGGTACCCAGTAAACAGTCAGTCCCGATATAAGAATCCCTGTTACTACTAACCAAGAACATAACTACTTTGTCAGCGCACTGTGTTTAGCTTAACTAGTCATATTCCCATCTCTTGTCTCATCTCCGGTCCTCAACTATATATATATACATATAGACAGATAGCCACATAAATATGAAACCAGCTTGTTAGCCCGATATACTTACATCTGATTACGCCAGGGCTAAAGGTATAATATAAGCCTTTAATTATCAAATAAAGGAGATTATAGAATTTATAAGAAGGGAATTGATTTCGGAGGAGATAATGGCATGTCGTTGAATTGGCAGATTCTGGGCTACATGCTATATTTCCAGAGATGGGGCATCATGGCTCTGGCGCTTAGTAGAATGCTGAGAAACATTTCCACAACACGAGAGTCAATATGTGTTTGCCTGTTTTGTGTAAAAGATCGGTTATATCTGTATGTCAAATGTTCTTATCTTCGAAGATTCTGGTGTTCACGCAAAGCCGTAGTTACATCAACCTGAGCCGCTTCGACCTCCTTCAACAGATGTGCAACTAGTCGTTCATGCGCGATTGCTGGCAATCTAGTAGAGGAGTCATTGACACTGGCATCTGGCTCCATTGATTGTGACGTACCAGTCTGCTTGATACGAGCTGAAAGCGTATTGACCAGACGCTGCAGGTGTCCGAGCTCCTCGAGTATCACCTGGGCCTGGATATCCCAATCCAAGGAAATATTGTTGACAGTATAATTTCCAATAGTGATAGCCTGATATATCACTTTTTCTGGCGAAGATTTGTGCTCATCGAAGTAATCTTCACCGCCAGGGGGGCTGCTAGGACGTCGGGAAAAGCACGCGCGGACCATCGCTCGATACCATAGCGCGAGTCGAGAGCAGATAAGTGCTAATAGAACCTGATTCTGAGGACGAAGAGCGCATCCGCATTGTAGCATGCGGCAAACTGACATGCCGACCTCTTTGTTGTCCTTGAGGACAGACCCCGACTTGCGTGATGGTTCAGGGCCGCTGGTATCCTGGCTTCCGCAGCTGCTGCTACAATTTCGAAGAGAAATGCAACTGTTTTCGCGAACATGGAGTAAGCGGAGATTTTTGGTCGCAGTAATAATGCAAGGAGGGCGGCATTCAGCGACACAGAAAGATGTCATCGTTGTAGGTGGTGGTGATGGTGTTAGAACAGGGGTTATTAGTGAGCTCTCAGAGCCAAGAGGCAGAGTAGAGAGAGACGAAGAGTGGCTATCCGGAAGCGTGGAGTAATCCAGCATTGGCTTATCAGAATTATCAGAACCAAGGGCATAGTGCATGCATGAACCAGAGTTCGTATTGGGACCAGATTCTGCACCAGATTCAGTACTAGATCCGAGGCACGGACTTGCAAGGAGAGAATGCAGATCTGCAGTGAAATTAAGATTAACATTCAAATGAGCATCAAGAGCCTCGAATGGTGGCTCTCCAAATAGACTATTGTTTGCAGGGGGTATTGTTGAAAGACAGTCATCGTTGCTGCTGGGAAGTAGCGCCGCGGTCGCAAATGGCTCCGATTCCTTGCTGAAGTGTATATCAAAAATATCCAGCGGTTCCAAAAAAGTGTGATCAAAATCGTGAGCCTTATCCGTGGGCGGCGTGACCTGTCTTAGATGCCAGAATGGGCTATCAAGTTGACCATCTAGTTGGGCATGACTCGATTGTTTATCGGAGTGGTGCCCCGAGCGATACTGATGGCGAGGACATGTGCACGGCAGTCTGTCTATGCAGAAATCCCCATCATCAATGACAGGTGTGCACATATTGGTGAAAGGCCAAGAGGTCGCAATATCAATATGTCTACTGACACCCTAGAAGCTGGGAAACAGAAAGAAGTAAGGGAGAAAGAGGGAAATATACCAGCTAAGTCTTAGATAAGCCTAGTGGTAGCAAAATATACAACCTATAATTTATTAGTAACAAATATATACGGAATACCGAGCATAGTGTGTAGCATTAGACCAGCTCTGGCTTCAGCTTCTTGCCGCTTATACGTGGAGACTACTCTTTGTCCCCATCATCATTATGTAAAATTTATATAGAAATCGCCCTATTAGCTCATTTTCGTGCTCGATTAGTTCTTGGCAGTATCCACTTTACCAGTATCCACTCTGCCACGAGTGCATATAAATATCTTGGCGATGCTAAAAATATCTCCAACTGTAAGGAATGAGATGGGAGCGAGGTCCCATTACATGATGCAAAGCTGGGAGGATTACGCCAACTAGGTAGTAAGAGGGAAAAGAACTACATGTGTGCAAAGGAGCTGTGGATTCCCATTATGAATATAGGGTAAGCGCTGACCGAGGCTTAGGATGGTTCCTGCCAACGCGGTAGAAGAACAAGAAGTGGGGGCGGCCGAAGATGGGGGCGGTTTACGTACATAGTTGAAACGGCTTCGTTATAAGGACCTACATGAAGCCCGACTAAAATATGAGTAATCGTGTCCCGTTCCTCGAATTCTTCGGTAGGCTAGTGAAAACCGACCGACCCGTTCATAGGAGGTATATATCCGCGAAGTGGCCGCCGACTCGGTTCTTCAAATACTAGGGAGCGAGCGGCTTACCTTTCAATTTAATATCCTAGAAGGGATTTTTATTTTTACCTTTTTAAATATTACTAAAGGGATTTTAGAAGGTAAATAACGGTAAATAACTCTCCATTTAAGCATACGATACACGGTGACCCTGGAAAATATGGAACCTATACAAACTCAGTCAACCCCAATATCAACTACAGCCGCTCTACCTCCCTCGTCTTTACAATCTCAAAAGCTCAAGGCTTCCTGTGACAATTGTTCCTCCTCCAAAGTGCGCTGTACGAAAGAAAAGCCGTCGTGCGCACGGTGCGAGAAGTCGGGATACACATGTTCCTATAGCCATGCCCGACGAATTGGACGACCATACCGATCTAGGGGCCCTCCACCGATAGAACAAGGTGGGGAGGAATCAGAGCGGCTATCTTCTACCAAGGCCATAAGGACGGCCGGATCTGTAGATGACGGGGACAGATCATCGTCCCAGTTCAAAGCATTGTCTTCCCGCGTGGATGCGGGCCGCAATAGCTCCACTGTCGACCTCATACCCAACCGAAATGATATATCCTTTAAAACTCAACAACAAAAAGGCAATTTGGCTGAAATTCATAGGCACAAAATCGACCACAAGGTCGACCCAGATTGCGTGTTGGTCGTTATGGACATGTTCTCCGAATTAGAAGTTCCGGCTGAGCAGCTCAGACGCTCATCGTTGGTAGATTACTGCCTAGCAAACTCGACGGCGCAGACCATCATCGCCGTACTTCGCCGCCTCTTCACCATCTTGATATGTCCCTGCTCTGAGCGTGCTGAGGTTGGTATGTTGATATATGCTATCTGCACGTCCATCATCGATATGCACGCCATAACAATCACCAAATCCGTTCGCAACAACCCGCCGCCACCGGTGCTGGGTCACACGGGTCTCTGGGATGGCCATGGAGCGTCTACTCGGGAGCCGCCAGAGAGCGAAGCCGTGGCTATGCTGGTATTGGGAGAGCTATCCAAGATGGCCAAGCTAGTGTTGCAATTCATCGAGCGGTACAGCGGAGATGCGGAGGGTAAACAGTCCCTTCTGGAAGGCCACGAGATCCCCATCGACTTTTTGCCGGCTTTGGGCAACCTCATGCGGGAGAGGTTGCAGCAAATTACAAACGATGCAACATATTGGCTTGGATAGCGTGGAGTTTATATATTCCTTTAGATGTATTCAGCATAATTTGTGGTTGACAACAATGCAACATGTTCTCATTTTGTCTTTGCATCTAACAATATTGCTTGATCCAATCTCTGAACTCCTTCACGGTATGACAATCTGAAACCAAAGAACTTCTAACCTCCAATCTCAACTCATTTCAGAATTTCTCAACCCGCGCAAGAGACATGAGAGAATCAACGGTAATAGCCTCTAAGGCATAGTTACGGGTGCGAATCAGACACAAAAACAGAATGGTTTCGTTAATGGTTCATAAGATTGACATTTGACAACCGGAGTATATACCACGACAGATATAGACGTTTATATAACACCGTCTAATAAAGAAGGTCTAAGTACATATATAATTAAAGAGTATACAAGATGGGTTCTATACACCTCTACCTAATCATCAATACAGTGGTAGATGCTCCCGCTGTCAAAATAATAACCGTCAACGAAACAATTCTGTTTCTAATTCTATGGATGTCAACTCGAGACGACTCGGCTGTATGGCCAAGATCCCCAGGAGAAAGTTACCAAGAGAGGATAGGCATGAATCTACCAAGGATGAAATAGACCCAAGAATTAAGTAAACAAAAAAATCTTATCTAAATTAAACCCAGGGCCTGTAAGCCCTGAGAAGTATACCAGTTATCATCTAACTTTCGTTTCGAATCATGCTGGAAAAGCCGCGCCGTCACCTCTCATATCGCTCCCGGCGCTGTAAACGGTCTTTCCCTGGTCAGTATGGCACCTGATAATCTGTCCACGCCCAAACTTGCTTCGCTCGAACGATTTCAGGACTTTAACCGGGTGGCCCATTCGTTTTAGCTCTTCTGCCACTGACTCACTGATCCCTTCTTCCAAATACACGACCTGGCCATGACCCTTTTCCTTACTGCCTGCCTCGATACAGAATCTCGGGGCATCTAACGCAGCCTGTGGGGAATGGTCGAATGCCAAAGTATTGAAAAGTACCTGGACATGGCCCTGCGGCTGCATGAAACCACCCATGACGCCGTAAACGGTGTGCAGGGAATTGTCTGAGGGGTTAGTAACCATGGCAGGTATAATAGTATGATACGGCCGTTTCCCGGGTTGCAGAACGTTCGGATGGTCCACTTGGAGTGAGAAGTTGGCGCCACGGTTTTGAAGGGTGAACCCGCAGCCAGCGGGAATTATGCAGGTACCGAAATCCTCGTAAACGCTGTTGATGAAGGAGATGCCATTACCTTCCTTGTCAGTGACAGCGAGGTAGACGGTATCGCTGTGGTTATGGGCGGGGCTGCCATGGTCTATGATGTCGGGTGATACCCTGCTGGGATCGAATAGCTTTGCTCGTTCGGCTAGATAAGCAGACGAGATGAGCTGCTGAGCTGGGACTTTCTCCACGTCGGGATCGGTCACCCACCATGCAGCATCGGCAAAGGCAATGCGGAGACTCTCGATCAGAGCATGTAGGTAGGGTGCCGTGTTATGCTGATCAGCTGAGAAACGAGGAATCTTCCCGGAACGAGACAGTTCCTTGAGGATCCCCAGGGCCATCAAAGCGACGATTCCTTGGCCATTCGGCGGGTGCTCCCATAGCTCAACTTCCCCGTTGCCTTCCTTCCTTTTGGAAGAGGCGAAATCGCTAGGGTCGAATTTGAGGGAAATGGGGTCTACCTCCTGGCTTCCTATTTCCGCATGGTTCTTGAGATCGTCAAGGGTCAAAAAGCCGCCCTTATCTTGGACTATCTGAGCAATAGCCTTAGCTACGTCCCCTTTGTAGAAGCCATCCTTTCCATCCCTTGCTAGGGCCCTGAAGGTTTGGGCAAGAGTTGGATTCTTGAACACTTCTCCGGGAGCAGGAGCCCTAACGCCACCTTCTGCCCGGCTATCGGCCCTGAGAAGTTCCTTGAAGTTTGGACTGGCTTTGCAAATCTTATCTTCAGCGTTTTTCCACTAGAATGTTGTTAGCATTGCACATGCAAACCAGCCACGAAAGTACATACGAATGATGACGCCAGCTCAGCCACAGGAAATCCTTCCTCCCCAAGCTCTATGGCAGGCGTGAGAACTTGCTCGAGTGAGACTTTTCCACTACCAAATTTCTCCACAGTGTCTACCCACCCTGCGGCGGTCCCAGGGACGGTGACAGCATGAACGCTCAGCTTGGGTAGCTGCGTCATGTTATCGTCTCCTAGAGCTTTACGGACACGGTCCAGCGAGGCACCGGCAGGCATACGTCCAGAACCATTCAAGGCATGAACTTTCTTGGTTTTCGCATTGTAAAATAGGCAGAACATGTCACCTCCAATTCCGGTAGAGTGCGGTTCAGTCACATTCAGTGCAGCAGCTGTCCATGGCTTGGTTAGCATAGTAGAACTGTGCATAATCATATGGTAGTATAATCCTACTTACCAACGGCAACCGCAGCATCCTAAACATGCCATAAGAGAGGCTCAATTAGCGTATAGGTAGGGAATTTGATACCAAGTGTCAACTTACGGCAGCATTCCCGCCTTGTCTCAGGATCCTCTGACCTGCTTCAGCAGCCAGAGGTTGAGTGCATACTACTATGCCATTGGTACTGTGAACAACGCTTCGTCGGCTAGGAAACGCGGCAAACGGCGAAGAAGCCGAGTGAACGTCACTTGCAGTCACAGGCATCTCGAGCAGTCTTCCAAGTCAATTATTGAATGAATGAGCCAACATCAACGAGTGCAAGGTAAGTAGGGCCTGACTGCAGTTAAATAGGCATGGCGAGAAAATGCCGAGATAATCGCCGAGAGCGACTCTAGGCCCCTCCGCACCGGCTTTTCCCCCGTCCATCGACCTACCCGCGGCAAGAAGTGACAAGTGAGCATGGAGGTTTGTTTCCCCCCACATCGCGGAGATACAACGAGATCACGTGATATACATTGGGGAAAAGGGGGGAGAGCCTACTTAGATCACCCTGTAAAAAGGATTATCAGTATTATAGAATGCTAGTTCAGTATAGGAAACGATATGAGGGAGGGTGTGCAGTTATGGCTGTCACTTTCTCTCTTCAGTAACCAGGCTTCTTGAGGCAGCAACAAGGACGGAATATTGCCGTCGTATTCTATTATACTATCTTCCCTATCAAGCACCCCCGAGAGACGAATTAACCCCATTGTATGTGGACCAGGAAACAAGAGACAGGATGATTCACATCACAAGCTGCACCCTTTAGATGTATTACCGAAAATTATGAAACTTAGGCTGGGAACTAGTTGAGAAAAGGGGCATGACGCATCAAGGGAATTCGGGTTGACGTCGTCGTATATGTGCCGTTATATTAGTATCGAGCCACATCCATGTATTTTCGAGCATAATCATCGAAGGGAATTTGTCTTCTTTGGAGGCAAACTGCATATCGTAGCCCAAGATAACTTTTGCAAAGATAATCTGAGCTGCCTTCACACCGATAAATCGTCCAGGACACAGCACCGTCCCATAGCCAAATGGAAGGAATGTGTCCGAGGAAGTTGACGCGCGTACGGTGCACGTCTTGGAACCTCGATCGTAAAAACGATACGGGTTAAAGGTCATTGGGTCTGGATAAATGTCGGGATCAGTGTGGATAAACCTCATTGGGATTCCGATGACTGCCCCTTTTGGAAGTGCCATATTCAGGGACTTAATTTTGAGCGGCGTAACCAGCCTTCGAGACACGCTGACTGTTGATATAAATGGTTAGTTTCGGCTCAAGGAGTGAATACTGGACCTAATATAGGGGTTAGGGGTTTACTTGCTTGAAATTGGCGCATGTAAACGCAAGATCTCGCGCGTGAAGCTTTCCAGTTTCGGTGTTCGTGTTTGTGTCAGGATATCAGGCTTCCACCCGCCCAACGAGACCAAGGAACTCGAAATCTCCTCCCTAAGCTCGCCCACAAGTTCAAGATTTGCCATTGCCTGAGCAAACATGGCACCTGTAAGTGGCGCGATAGGCCCCCAAATTTCATAGATGTGGAACAAGGTCTTCATGAACAGGCTGTCAACCTGCTTCTCCTCAGACCCAGGGCACTCTTGCTGAGAAAGAATGCCATCCTTCAAAGCCAGCTTCAAAAACAAGGTTAGCATTGTTAGATCCTCATCGGCTTTTTCGCCTGATCGTAGCATTTTTATGCGGTATTTTATTTCGGGAACCATCCTTTTCTTCAAATTCAAGATATTTGAGCGAAAGTTGCGGGTTGCTGAGGAAAATCCCCATACTAAGGGCCACAGGATTCGTGGATATCGATCGAATTCCGCTAGCACTAATTCGATGCCCAACACATGCGAAGTTATTTGCTCAACAAGCTCCGTGTCTCTGGAGAACTCTGGTCCGAGGACCACGGAAGTGGAGAAGACCATCAACAACGAAGAAAGTATTGCCAATGGATTGAACTTGGCCCATTCTATAAGAGTGTCAGATGTTGATTCACATTTAGAAGGATGGATAAAAATAAGGTAAAGTACCTCTGCCCTTCATCTCACCAAGAAGTGAAGGTAGGAATTCATCGGTATCATTTACCATCAGCTCGCGAATCTTGTCTGGTTATAAAAACTTGCCATTAGCATGATGCTTAGCATATATATCAAGGTATGGGTGGGGGGTGCTAACCAAGATGCTTCTTCTGGTTAAAGGCAAGAATTGCGCTCAGGTGTGTTTGGCAATCCACCTGAGTATGATATCCCATAGCCGCTACCTATCGAAGTGTGTCAGCGCCTCACTTTATATATAGGTATTGGCGAGATTGTTAGAAAGAAGCAACTACTTTTTCGAGATAAGTCGTGAAGTTCAGGCGATCATATGGTAAATTGCACCATTCTCTCATTGTCTCCAATGGGAGCATGACTATCCAATTTTCAAGATCCACTTTGGTTGCATATGCCTTGCCTTTTTTGGTGCACTATAATGCGAGATAGTCAGTACATTTATCGATTAGCCAGTTGAAGATGACATACTGTATAATATGCATTTCGAAGGGCATTTTCTAATTCACGGCCACTCAATCTCAGCCTAAACCTTGTCTTTAGGAGGGTTTGGCTGGATACACGATGTAGAGCTCTGACATGCCAGGTGCGTAGAAGGATATCTGCATGATCAATGAGCAGAATAAGCAATCCTAGGAGACCAATAAAAAGTACAGCAGTTTGAAATGGTGCGGTGTAATTGATGATCTCAGAGACATAAAACTTCCACAGGGACGCCATAGCTACTCGATTCGGACCCTCTCTATGGAAGGGATCGCAGCAAGGGCAGAACCGAAATAAAGATGTCAGTGCTTTTAGAATGCGCTGTACGAAATCCTCAAACAGAAGTCAGGTCAGCGGGTAAAAGTAAACGTTATATCGGAGCTGCCGCGGGGTCTTATCCGTATATATAGCTCTCTGTGCCTTCCGTAATCCTAGGCCATCCTCCTTGGAGTTTGGGTGGCTCACTGAGTTTTTATTTTATTTTCATTTTTCCATTCAACGTGTGGGTATGGAAATAAATACGATACCCCAGTACTCATGCAGTTTCCGTCTGTGTTCTTTTATTTGTTGTTCTCTTTGCTTATTCCTTTTTTCTGACTTAAATATCAGTGATCGAAGGGTAGCACATATGATCGCCAAAGGAAGGTGGACAGAACGTTCTAATCTCTGATTTGCTAGAGGCTAGTTCTAATTCTAACGACCGTCCGGAATGTCGTGGTATCATATCTCATAGAGTATGTAAATGAACTGTATGGGTATCGCAATTACATGTGGCTGGCTAGTTGGTTGCTCTTCCTTCGATATCAATTTCTAGATTGTAAAGTCGGGTCATATCTCATGCAGGGCATGCATATACGGAATTCAGCCAACATGGAGCTAGATCCGTGTATGACAGCCGTACAACCCGCGTCACGTCCACAGAAATTTTAAAAGTCAGGCCACCGGCCGACGTGATGGCGGGGTAGATTTCCCCTTAGAATCATCTGCTATCTCTCTACTCCTTTTGAGGTCTCAGGTGCGGCTCCCAAGCACGTCGTGTGGACCGCTACCAAGATAGGTCCCATAGAGCCTATACACGGTGGGGTTCTCTTCGTAAGGCTTACGGATCCTTACAACCAGTCAGTGCTCTGATTTGCATATCTACCGGTCCTGATTTGAATTGTGGTGTGTATGGTACAAGGTTCATGTCCTTGACCATGCAAATCTCAATCCCATCACAACGCTACCTTTCCAGCCTGACGTCAGGCCATTGGAAAATCACTGAAAAGGTGTGCAAGTGAGGTAAACCCACCCACCCGCGTTTGCGACAAGCTGGAGGTTGAATAAACCCAATATGGGACTGATAGAGAATAGAGAATAGAGAAGTACGTTGACTGAGGAATAGGTCCAAAGCGTCGTTTGAGCTTCCTGGGAGAAGATGGGGGATCGTGAGCACCTAGCAGTTCTATTAGTTACGTGAGGTCTACGTAGCCTTTCAACTTAGCGGCTACTGCGTTAAAGGACCATGCTCTGATACGAAGGACATATCTTTCACACCATGTCAAGCTGTCAAGTCAAGCTCAACACTCGGTTTAAAGCACTGCACCAAACGTAGACTAGGAATCTCCTACTCCGTATGGAAGGGCGAGTCAAGTTGGGAGTACAACGTCCGACATTACGTGGCTCCAATCGCGTCTGATTCTGCAGCAGCTGGATTCTCCTAGCGCTATGTTGCTTTTGTAACGCTCCTCGTGAACATGGGATCATGGACTCAATTTAGGGACTGCACCCAAAAAGTAGAACACCGAGATCGCTCCACATAGACATCTATGGTGGAATAAAAGCTTCCGAGCTGCATTTCGGAGCTTTCAGCCCAGCGATGAGCGGGGTCACGCATTGTTAATTATGCTAGCCGTTCCTCTGTTGGATCAAGGGATATGGGATGATTGGAAGAGAAATCCTGGGTAACGGGAGTCCTGCCTGCTAGAGTGATCGTCCGGCTGGAGGAACAAAACTTAACAGGTGTAAAAAATTTGGCCCCGAGGATTTCTAAGCCGGAGACGGAATATCTAAATATCCGGGTAAGCTCTTTTTACTATGGATCCACGTGACCATATCTTATGATGAAACCACGGTGTAAAGACACGAAGCTGCGCTCAAACTCGCTCAGCTAGACGGTATTGCTTTGCCTTCGTCCTGCTTGCGAGTTGGAAAGGCTGCCTGGCAGCATGACGCTCTAGGTCTTGTTTCGTTTTTCTCTTTGTCGTCTAGATTTTTATTCGTTTTCTGTGTTTGCCCCCCGCCTCCGGGTAACGCCTCCGCACGTACGATCTGGCTCTACTCTAGGGGAAGTGGTCGAATGGCACGATCATGGTGGTGTTTATAGACCACTCGCTAGATGATGCTCCTCTCCGTGAACCGGTTGATGGCGTGTTCCATCCGGGGATTGCTCCGCCCTTCACCCTCAAGGAAGGACGGGCTATGTTTGCCGGTTCCTTGCCTCAACCGCGAGCTCGAAAGCCTGCCGGAGATGGGATAGTTGATGGAGATGAAGGCGAGGAAGAAGGGGATTCATCTAGCCTAAATGGCACTATATTTATGGCATTAAGCTGCTACCCGTACGCAAAAACATCACACCTTTCGCGGTTGTTGAGATATATCCTTGCATATATCTCTTTTTCTTGCAATGCCGCGGTAACGAGCGAGTGTTGTCCAAGATTATTAACCATCGTGATCCGTCTTTTTCTATATTGTTCTTTACAGGATAGTAACTATGCTCGCTCGGTCTGTAGACCTGAACACCCTACATTCGTTGTCGATGACGTGTCGTCAAGTCCATTCCACGCTTCTCCTCTTTCGGAAACAGCTCGTCAAGGAAACCTTGCGCTGTAGGAACGAGGTTATCGACAAGGTAATAGATAGCTCTGTTTCGCAGCTGTCTAATAATACCTGGGGCGGGTTTCCCCCGAGCCGATATGGTAGCCTTACTTGGGGGAAAACAGGGTGCTGCGCTAGAGATATGGTTGACAAATGCCAGCGATGTGATGAATATGTTTGCAGGGTACGATTTACCTCTTCCCTAATTTTGAATATTCGTCATTAATACGCTTGGATTAGAACTGTACGGTTAAACCTCCTTCGGCAACGAACTTGAAAAATCGACTACGACGGATCTGTCCGGTATGTATTGAGGCACCCCTACGTGATCATGGGAGTGGATATAACGCCGACGGATCAACCTCCGGCCTACATCTATGTACCTGTGATATCAACTCTTGGTACTGTCGGCCATGCGGTCAACACCTGAGATGCGAGGACGTTACATACCAGCGTGTCTGGTCGTGGCGTACCCGATACAACGAATTTCTTGGTGGTGGCGGCCACTGGGTTGGCTTTGGTGACTGCGGTCAAGGCGTCCAGTGCGGACTTGAGCAAAAATGCCTTGCCGCTGAGTACATCGAGGTAGAGGTAGACTGCGAAGCTGGGGAGTGGATGTCAGAACTTTCCCACTCTGACAACTCAAGTGACAGTGCCATCGACCACCTCCGCCACTCAAACCCACACTCACACTCGGACGGCCGAGACGATGAGGAACCAGGGTACCTTCGGCAAGAAATCGAAGGAATCGGAGGCGTGGTGAAGCAGAAGGTTAAGAAAAGGGTCCGCGTCGGTGCTAGTGTTGAGGAACGTGATGATGATCGTGAAACAGCAACATATTTGAAACAAGAGACCTCCGGCGCCGTGCGAAGTCGCTGCGGGTGGTGTTCAGGGATTGTTCCAAGTAACTCTGAAAAAGAGAGCTGTTAATCTTTACGGCGAACATGTTGCATGTTCTATACATTTATACTGCCAGGCCTATACCGTTACACCTGCAGAATCCTTTATGGCATGACGTGAGTGGTGCAATGCAAGTTGCAATCTTGTGGCTCTTGTGAATTACGCTACGGAAATCCTCTCTATACCATATAGATATCAGTTAATTTACCATGCTACCCTCAAATTCCCAGCCTTACCCTTCACGTGGTTTTGCTTTTTAATTCCGGATAATTAAGGTTATTGTCCCTGGCGGGAAGGGCAGAGTTAATCAGATATACTCTTTCCCGCCGCCATGCAGCGATCAGAGCTCTCGAAAACCAAGGGATGTAAGAAAATCAATGCGGTGATGAATAACACAACCTGCTGGCTGCATGCTTTGCTGGACATATCTATAGAGTGTGGTTTAAAGTTTCGATGAAACAACGACGCTTTGATATGGCGCCTAAGCACAGGTTACATGGACGACATTCCTTGAAATGCTACTCTATGTGATGATGTAAGGGACAGAACAGCATCAGTCCTAAGAGCTCTGCACTCATTGTTAGTCTCACCATGTATACGGAGTACCTGGCTTACCGTTTCGTTTACTGAGACATTCTCGTTAACGGTGAATGGGGCCAGAGTAATGATGGGAGCGATCTATACTAAGGTTAACCAGGGCTTCTAGCAGTGATGAGCTTATGGTTTAATGCAGGCTTATCCAGAGCTTGGAGCATGACAAATATAAAGATCGAGAGAAGCTATGATCTGGCTTCTGGTGGACTAGAACTGGTCCCTTAACTAGAAATGTTTTTGATATCTATATAAATTTACTTCTCATATTCGTATATTAAATCCATAGCTCACTCGACACAAATACCCTACAAGATTCTGTCACATTTCGCATTTAGCTTCCTATCAACAAGAATACCGTCAGGAGAAAGATAAAATAAGCAGTGACAAGCCCTCGAGACCGGACACAACCAGGTCAAACCTGGGCGGTTCGAGTTGTCCATGCATGCTTACTACCAGCCCTTACTAATGTCCGTTAAGGGTTTCTCAGCTATTCATTGGCCGGTAATTGTCATAGCCGTTAAGGATTTCTAAGCCATATACAGCGAAAATGCAAAGGCTACCCGCCTGTCTGTACAACGACCGAAACTACAGCCTTTTCTACCCCTTGCAGCTCTGTGATATGAAACAAGAGGCTGACTCTACGATCTGTGGGAGGGAGACAGACTTTTCACGACAAGGCCGGAGCTTCGGGTGGAGGTGGCCGTTATTTACCTCATGGTTGTGTTTATAGGGGGGAAGTAATATAACATTGATTAATACGGTAACTGCTCAAGTCAGGGTGTTGGCTACTTGCCACCTACTCCATGGATTGATAGGCTGACAGGGAGAGGAAGCCGGCGAGCCGCTTTCAGCTGGCATATGTCGAGTTATGGTGTACGTAGGATTCATCTCGTTTGCTCCCCGCAAGACGCTAAGTCCAGCTGCCATGAGGATCGATGTGGCCACCCAGGACTTCACTAAAATCCTGTTAAAAGGAAGGGATAATACCGGCTGTTATATATCTCTGGATCCACGCTGACCTTTGGAAAAGGGGAAATGGCGACTTCAGCACTCCGTACTCTGTACTACAGAGCCGTTTTTTATTGTACAGAAGGGTTCAACCCCCGACTCGCCGCCCACCCACGTAAAGAAGGACTCCGTAGGCAGGCGATGGAAAGAGGAAAAGGAGTGGGATGTAGAGTTCTCTAAATTAAAAGACAAGTAGGAGGGCAACTCGAGAGGCCATTGGAGGAAGATGAGCGGAGAACCAACAGTTAAGACTCCGCATTTCGCGGCTGTGATTGGACGGGGATTTTTATACCTACGCCTGTCTGCTGCGCTGTTGCATGGTAAGGGGGAAGATGGCAGCAGCCCTGGCAAGCCCTGGCAAGTCCTGGCCGGCGCAGGGTCGGCCCACCACCAGCAACCTGGCGAAGCTCGGCGAGAACGGGGTGGGACAAGGGCGATCCTGCTGGAAAGTCTCCTCGTACTTTTTCTGATATTTGCAAAAAGACGGCGTCGCCTTAGTAAAGCAAGCTAATTAGTTTTATTAATAGTGTGTTAATTTGGTCGTATTTGCTTATCTTGGCGTGCATGGTCCGGGCGTGGCTAAGTTGCTATTTTTATCCCAATTATAGCACTTACTTAAGCAAAAGTTAACTTTGCAGGGTTTCTTTCTGGCTTAGCGTCAGTTTATTATTAGCCCACGTCGAAGAGTTATTTCGGGTTAATTTACCCACATTGATTACCGGCGTCGAGAAAGAATGGAGGGAGGGAGGCTATGTTGACCGATCGACTGAGCCTTCCGCTCTGCCGTGTTTCGGATCGCTCGTCCGTTGTGGGATACTGATATACACTTACTTCTCACTTTGCGCAGTATTACTCTGGGTTCCAAGGGTTATATACATAGAACAGGACCCCATTTCACCGCTGCGCTCTTGCTTACCTCCCCCAGAGCTGAAATATGAGAGAGTGTGAGCATGGAGGAGGACCCTATACATAGATCGAGAACGTGAGGGTATGTCGGCTAGATGCAGTAGGTGGAGTATAATTCCTGCACGGCTAAGCCGGTTGATATTCCCCCGTCTTGTCCGGCGCAAGTACGTGGTCTGTGTACGCCCGTTCTTCACCCTTATAAACATGAAACGATCTCGATCCTGGTTGCTCAAAAGCACATGGCGTAGTAAGCGGCGCTGGGTAATGATTAACTGGGGGGAAATCTTAACCCAGGGGAAACGCCGCGCGCGCTACGAAGTACATAGATTAGTTCTCGCCTAGAGAGTAGTAAGTAAATACATTGTTGTTAGTTGACCAACTTGAGCCAGGCTTTAACAACATAGATTGCTTTACGGAGCACAACAATTATAATTCTCACTTGGCTCTTCATTGTTTAAGGGATTCTATGCAGGTAAACATTGCGAATGCTACTTAGTATGGGGTGAAGATTGGGTGGGGGATAAAAACGTGACTGGCATGCACAGGGCCCTGCTGAAACAAATATGGAGGAAAATCTTGAGCTCCACCCCTCTACTATGACGAAGGATTCGCTGGCCGCGACCCTAGTTAGCTGGTATATGTAAGTAAGTATGCAGCGCGTCCGTTGACGATATGATGGCCAAGGCTTTGCGGTATGGGAGCCGATATGTATGTATTAATCGTGTAGGGTAGGGCCGGAGGTGCAGCTCTGAAGAGAACAAGCTTGTGTCTACTATTGGTGGACTTGGGTTAGCTTGAAAATAAATCCTCAAAGAAATGGCCACTTGACCCGGATACGGCGGTCGACGCAGGTCGTATACAATGTAGAATAGGGTCCGGTCCGTTGGCCCCTCTATCTTTTTGCAGCTAGATGGATCGGTAGCTGAGAAGGCGAGAGTATCGGCGAGAGACGAGAGAAGAGAAAAGAGCGAAAAGTGACATACTGTGGCCTCTCAGAGGCACCCAGTTAGAGGATCAGCGTTGTCTGGTTGATGGGCGGTTAGTGACACCAACCGTGCTTATCTGAGAATGAATGAAACACGGCGACCTGGCGGTTGGGTTGAGTTGGTAGTCGTGTGTGCGTGGCGGACTTGTAACAGGTAGTTGTCGGCGGCAATCTGTGGAATTTCTACCCATTCCCTGGGATGCTGCAAGTGCTGCAGCCTGCATGTTGTTATTCTTAGTTTCAGAACCCAGACACCAGACACGCGCACAGGCCAAGAATTAGGTTTCGCAGGGTCCGATTGACAGACTAATTAGTCGCCTTTTTTTTTTTTATTTGGGTTATTTTTGTTCCTGATTTAGGATACAGGATGGATTCTTATTGGAAGACGGGAGAAGGCGGATGTTGTGAGTAATTGGGCGGCGTACCGACCACTCGGATCGCTAGGTTAAATGTTGGTTAATCAAGATGCATGGGATTGAACATGAAACTTGCCAGCGGGTAAGTATGTCTTTGTTTACTTTGAGAGTCGGGCGTTTAGATATGATATGGGAGATAGTGTAGTAGTAAGTCTGGATATTGCTTGATGCTTCTTTGATATAGATCAGGAGGAGAAGAAGCTGTGGAGGAAAAGCGGGATGTACTGGTCCAGCGGAAGTTTGCGGAGGAGGTACTTAGTCACATGCCGTAGTCCTGGATGAGTAAGCAGCAAGGTCAACGTCCTCCCTTCGACTTCATCTCTTTTCACCTTCGACAACTTCTTCATCAATCTCACAGCCGAGATAGATCTGTTCCTAGAATAGGATGATTGTGCAGTTAGCCGCCGGCTTTCATGTATAGCCAGAGCGCACCGTGATGTGCCCTTAGCACTCCGCCTCGAAGGCCGCTAGACGGTCAGGGAGCAGAGCACCCAGGGCGATGCCCTGCATAGCTGCTCACCAGTGATGAGGCCAGGAAATCAGTCCCTACCGCCAGCGCCTGTGATGAGTGTTTCAGGATGGTTTTAGTCCGCTGTGTATGCGCGCGCACACGGCTGCGACAGCACAGAAAAAGAGGAAAAAGTAAGGAAAAGGCCGGCGCCAGGGTGCATCAACCCCTGACCCCGGCGCCTGCATATTCCCCTGGTTGTCACATCGCCAGCAGCCACACTGCCCGTCCATCACGGGTTAATTTCTCTCTCGGTGTACTTAGCTTCTATTTTTGATCCACCTTGGCTCATTTGCTCGCATTTCTTGCTTTTTCCTGTCCTTCTTAACCATCATTTTGCTTTTTCTTGACGCTAAGTTTTAGGTCTGACTGGGGTATTATTTGCAACTTTACCTTGCATCTGAGATCCGACATCTAACGCAGTGCAGACGCGAAACCATAGCAAGACATACCCGTTCGTGCGCACTCCGACTGCATCTGGATATATAATAGGGACCCTCAGGTCTCTTTTATTTAGTTCGCCATGGCTCCTTCAGACTTCAACGAACTTTCTATTCTTCTACAACCATCCCACCTTGGGTCTCGATCACAGTCGCTGCCACCGAACACACCCTCAAGCTACTTTGTAAATGCTTGACACCACCTCGCCGGCGACCTTCCATTTCTTTATTTCCTACCTCTGAACAATGGATTCTCCAGCGATCGCTATGGATTCCACCTTGTCGTGGTCCAGCCCTTACACCGGAGTGGTTCCATGCTCCGTTCCCGCTCTCACGCCGCTGTCGATGCCTCATACGCCGCATACTCCTCTACTAACATCCACTATGGCCTCCCCAATCGATAACACTCCTATGCTTGGATTCTACTCTCCAAACCTCAACTTGCACCGTCCGACCTCCATGAAGCTTTATCGAAGTCATTCCGAAGGAACCGTGGGCATGTCCTCCACTATGGCTGTTCGCAAAAGCGCCCCCAAACCCCAGCGCCGAGAGACAATCAATGTCAGCGTGCCCATTACCTACACCCCCGCTACTCATCGCATCAGCAAAGCGAAGAAGGGTAAGCGAGTTCATGCGTGCCAGTTCCCTGGATGTTCAAAGGTAAGGCGCAAACAAAAAACAACGCCTTTTCTTCCTCCCTTTTTTAAGGTCTTTTCTTATTAATCGTTTTTCTTTCTTTTCCTTTCAGGTGTTTACAAGGGCCGAACACAGACGGTATATCTCTCGTTCCCTTCTGAGTATACCTACAGTGCCTATGCGCGAACCGGTCGAGGCCTGAATGCTAAGATTTTCCTCTTATAGCCGTCATGAATTGAACCATAACCCCCAGGCAACGTTTATCTGTACCATCCACGGATGTGGAAAGGGATTCCACCGCTCTGATCTACTCTCGCGTCATATGGAGAAGCAGTAAGTCATCACCCTTTTTTGGGGATGGGAAGTGAATGGTAGCTAATACCTCGCCCGATAGCGAGCAAGAATCGCGCCCTACTAAGCCAACCATCGGCCACAAGAGGCGAATCAGCCAAATCTCCGACGCCTCTGACATTGTCCCAATGTCCTCTCCATTACTCGCAGTCCCACATTCTATTCCAGCTTCCACTCCAATCCTACCACCCGCCACCCCTGAACTCCATTCTCTTCAAGCCGCACAGTCTCCATTTGTGAACACTCAACTTCTCTCGCCGCCATACTGGACCAGCTTTAGAAGAGCATCCGACCCTGCTATTGGCTACTCTAGCATGTCCTATGCCGGGGGTGATGAGTCAAGCATCTTTTCTTCACCAGAGTGTTCGCGATCTCCTTCCTCGGACGGTAGCCACGGCAGCCACTTCCCATTCAACACATCACACATCACTGGAATCGGCATCTTCCACGAGCCCATGATCGATCCCACCCTTATGGGAACTTCGTTGGCATACGACCCGAACTTCAGCGGCTTTCAAGCCTTTGACTCTACAGCCATCCAGCCCTCACCATTAGTTACTCACCCAGCTGACGGTGATAACACACGGACAGTAGGTGAAGCTACATTCTTTTTCATTTAAGGATGAAATATTAAAGACACCAGTGGCTAACATCCTTCAGTGTCATTTCCCTTTAAACTGGACGGAGACGAATGGCTTCCCCTGCGACGTGAACTTGCTCACTCCTTCAGAGTCGTTTCAGCCCAGAGTGGAATGGGCATAATCGATCCAGCCAGGTGGCATAACTGCCTGGAACTCTACTGGCAACATTTCCATCCCCAATTTCCCATCGTCCATCGACCATCCTTCTTGACAAACCGACCGAACCCGCTCTTAATTGGGACAGTGGTAGCTATCGGATCACAGTACGATACGCGCTCGGATTCTTCAGTTTATTCTTTGATCCTCCTTGAAGCTTGCCAGAATTTGTTATCAAAAGTGAAAGTCACAAGTCGCTCTCTCGTTTCAGACATTCAATCGTCCTTTTTACTTGAATTACTATCGAAGTACCGGTCTAGGAGAGCGGATGTTGGTATCTCACATTGCCTCAAGAGCTTATATGGTAGTGTGAGTCTAACAGAAAAATGGCACCTGACTATTGCTTCAAAGCTAACTGACGACTCAAAGTTCAACCATGACAGACACTGGATAACTCGAAACCCGCTAAGCCTAGCCGGTAGCCTCTTCAAAGACAAATCCTTAGATGCGATTAAAACGGCGCATAAATTCTGGGTTGAGCACGAAACTAGACGTCGAGTCCTACAGGCGATGTTTATCCTCGATGTTCACCAGTCCACCCTCTTCCAACAACCGTTATCCTTCCTTAGCCCAATTCCAGGGAATTTACCCATGCCATGCGCTTCCGAATCATGGGAATGTACCGATCTTACCGCCTGGGCAGAATACGCAATGAAAGGCGAGAAATCAACGACAATTGCTTCAGCATCTTTCTCCCTTGTGCCTGATGCCGATCTGTTTCAATCAAGCCTTATCATGTCATACGAGATCCTCAGCCACGGCGAAGGATCTATGGAGAATCTTCAGGCTAGACACCCGTGTCTCCACTTACTCCATCACGGGCTCCTAGCAGCACAGCACAGCCCTCTCCAGGCTTTGGTAACAGTGAGCAATGAATCATGGCTCTTCAACCGCAAAGTAACTGACGAGTCGCAATTCAAAGCCGCAAAGAGGACTCTAAAAGCTTGGGTCACCGATACCGACGCTATGAAGTTGGCAGTATGGCATGCAGTGCGAGTCCTCCAGTGCGCACTGGACGCCCAGGGAGTAGCACACAAACCACCACCTGTGGCACCATCGCCATTCATGACACAGCAGGTCGAGAGCTTGCAGCTCCCTACTGTTAATGCCTTTGTCAATGATGGTGTCACCCCGCTCAGTCCCGTCCATACCATCCCCAGATCTCCTCTCCGAACCATACCAGGTCCATTTACAATGCTCCAAACAAATTGGGCGGTCTACATCTCTACTCTTATCTGTTGGGCATATGGTTTTGGCACCCCAGAAATTCCAGCAAGTGACCAAACCCTAACATACCGATATCCAACACCCGCAAACCTGTACATCTCGACACTCCTATCTCTGGCCCCGTCATGGCCAGATCTTACAAATGACAATATCCCAACACATGTACGACGAAACACCAGTGGGTTACTTCAACATGTTCGTCAGTTGATTATACGAGAAGGGCCAGCCGGTGGCCTTTTGAATGAAAGTGAACGAGTTCTTGCTCGCCTTATAGAGCCTTCTTTCCCACATCATCGGAAGATGTGGGAGTTTTGAATACTTCAACGATCACATTTATTCTTCATGCTTTTTTGTACCTCTGACTTTGATTTACCTTGCTCTAACCTTTATGTTGGGCTGGATTTTTTTGCTGTTTTTGCTTTCTTCTCTTTCTATGTCACGCCTTTAACGACTTCTTCTCTTCATGAACATATATTGGATACCACCAGCTTTTGGATTCGTTTTGACTACTTTTGATTAGCATCTTCGGGCCTTGTATACTTTTCTTCCTTCTATTCTTTCTATTCTATGCATATATAGAGGAGCACTTTACTTCTTCATTCTATTTTTATCTTTATTATCTTCTTCATCTTCTTCATTATTCTTCATACCTTCAAGGAGCGACACATTTATTGGAGTTAAATGTCATGGACATATGGCGGAGTTATTGCTTATTACTTTATCTGTTTATAAATTATGATTCATATCTCACGGAATTCCCTTCCGTCTTATTTTATAAATTCTTTGCCTACATTCTTGACTTCTTAACACGTTTAGTAATTGGTGCTAATTATATCCATTAGTTAGTTGGTTACCCCACCTAACTAATTTGTCTTGGCAAAATAACCTTGTATTTATCCCGGGCGATCCCTACAACCCCTAATCCTTCCTTCATGCAAGGCTCAGCAATCTTTACCTGTCTTCTCCTGCCGCAGCCCTGGCGTAGCAGTGTACATACGTACAGCCTACGGCCCACCGCCCACCTTTCTCATGCCGAATACTACATCATGCGAGCCGTTGGAAGGAGCATTGCCCATTAGCCTATTCATAGTAGGCTACGGAGTACATACCGTGCCCTACCACGTACCAAAGGTATGGACTCGGCTACGCTGGCCTAGTAATCATGACTCAGGCTGAAGTTGGAGAGGTGAAACATGGAAACATATGGAGAATTGACCAATACATAGGCTCCATTTTGCATGATGATGTTGTTGGCATGCTGTTCTTGATATCGAAAAATCTTTATCACGATCACTACGAACTACACATGGCATCATGTAGGTTACGCCGTACAGGGAACCTGGTTATACGGAGTCGCAAGGATATTTTGCGTGTCGGCGCAAGCTGCTAAACGTTTAATGTGGCAAGACAGCGTTGGACGCAGCCTTTGCTCCGCAGATGACGTTCCACAGAGCTTGACTGGACAGTCTAGAAACAGAATTTGGTGAGTAGAATATGACAATTAATCAATATTCCAGCTTCTCCGTTTCAGATTCTTTGCTGCAGATAGCAGGTAGAGCGGGATATTCAGTTAGAGCGGAGCGGATTTGGCGGGCTTCCGCTAGCATCTAGCGGACTGGTGTGACCAGTTCGTTCTACTTTAGGTCTGAAACGGCCTCATGGCACACACTCGAGAGAACACAGACACAATTATCTCACCAGGCTAAAGACATATCTTCTAGAGAGGTTGGCGGAGATGCGTGAGGTCGTTTACACAACGATGAGCCACCTGGCACGAAGAGGTAGGGTAACTACCTCCCTCGCTCGCATGAAGTACTCCTTGTACCCTTTTTCACGAAATATCCCATGTCCTTCCTCCCCGCATCTACACAATGCCTGTCTCGAAGCTTCGTTCAGCCCTTGCCGTGCCATGCGGCCAATCCACGTTTTACTAGGGCCTATGGTTCTCATACTGGGTGTTCATACGCCACAGGGATGAGAAGAGGGTGCCGGGTAAACGAACTATGCATTCTCGATATCAACTTCTGCCTTTACATGGAGGTCACACAGGCCTCGCCGGTGTAATGGCATTCTATACTAGGTAACTGGATAAACAGTGCCGCCTCTACTTTTATGGCATACGTACAAATGAACCAGGATTTAAAATGATGACGGATTTAGCCGAGTCCAATGAAGTGACCCTACTGAGCCTACCGTGAAGGATGCACTGGAACTAGGATCGTATAATCTCATAAAACAACTAGGGTGTATGCGAGCACTATAGTATGATTGGGGCTTTGAAGCATGTAAGCCTCATATAATTTCCCGTTCGCCCTTGCTAGGCCTTTCATGGTATCGACATGGATTTAGACGGATGCACCCTGACCGTTTGCTGCAAATTTCTACCCCTTAATCCTTGTGATACACATGCAGATGCTTCTTGAGCCTTGTGCCGTCCTTCAACAGCTGTACCCCGCCCGCAGAAACTAGAAGAAATAAGCCGAAAAACAATGCAAAGAGGATTTAGAAAAGAATTAAAAAATTGTTCATTATATAAGTATCTAAGTATCTACAACAGAAGCTCTTCGGACAAGGCCAACTCCCCTATAACCTGATCTACTTGAACTGATCCTCAGTAACACCCTTACCCATGGCACTTGTACTGCTCACACCACCAGTAACCATCTTCAGTAGCTCATCCACGTAGTTTGCGCCACTCCATTTTTGGTGGGTAACTACGTCAACCTTGCTATCCATCTCTGGCTCCTGAACCATCTCTCCGTATGCGCGCATTCCTTGCTTGGCGTATGCCTTGGCAAACTGGTCTGATATTAAGGCTGTAGTGTGTAGACCGGCGAGGGTGATGAACTGCCAGCTATAGCCAAGCTCACCGAGGCGGCGAATGTAGGTCTCTTGCTCATCGCGAGGCATGGCGGTCTTCCAGTTGAAGGAAGGTGAGAGGTTGTATGCCAACTTTTGTTCGGGCCAGACAGCATGTACGCCGTCAGCGAACTCCTTGGCCTGGGCATAATCAGGCAGCTTGCTCTCCATCCAGATTAGGTCAGCGAATGGTCCATATGCAATGGCACGGTTGACGGCGCATTCGCATCCACCCTGGTATCTGTAGAACCCTTCTCTGGTTCGTGGAGATTCCCAGTTCCAGTAGATATCACGACCAGTTAATTCCTTGGCAATAGCACGAGCCTCTGTGTTGCTCTTGCCCTTGACATCACCGAGGAACTTGTCAATGACAGCCTTCTTGTTGGAGATAGAAGAAGTTGCGTTTATTTGATCGATGGCTGCATCTTGGAAGCGTTTGAGCCCGGCTTGGCTGATCCAATCATCCTCGATTTGCTGGAGCTCGGCACCGTTCTTGCCTGCTTGTTCGGCGGCGACCATTAGATCGTTAAGAGGCTTGATATCGGGGTTGGTGGATCCAACGATAAAAGCGTGGTCCCTTGGGTCGATGGTGCTGGTGATTAAGGTTGCGGCTTCAGAATCAGTTCGTGCAATTGCCAGAAGGTCGGTACCTATTATGTCAACAGTATTAGTCGGTTTGTAAATTCAACTGCTTTCTTTTTCTTCCTCCGTGGGTAACTTACCCATAATATCAGCCTGAGCTCGAATGGCAACAAGGCGGTTGATGTGTTCACTGATTGGAACAAGGACTTTTCCAGCCATGTGTCCACACTTCTTCGTTCCAGGGGCTTGATCCTCGATATGAATTCCAGCAGCTCCACGCTCGATGAACAGTTTTGTAAGTTTCATGACAGAGGTAAGACCACCGTGGCCGGTATCGGCATCTGCGATGATGGGTCGGAGATAGTCAATGTTTGGTAGGCTGTTGCGCTGGTCCTTGGGCGCGCGGAGTCGTTCCTCTCTCTGTTTTCGGTCGTGGAATAACTGGGCAAGGAAGAGCTGGTTGACTTTGTTTGGGACAGTATTCTAATTTCACATATGTGTAAGCTCGAGTGCTCGCCTTTTTTGACGTATATGGATATGTGGACTATGCTTACCATTGGGTAATCCGCCAAGTCAGGGGATGGCTCGTCGGTCGACGAAGCCGTCGACGAACTCTGCCATCCAGAAACATAAACGGTATCCAAATATTTCACCATCTGGGTAAGCATGGTTGGCTCGAGGCAGCCATAAGTAAAACTCGCCTCTTTGTTCTTCACACGAGACAGAAAAGTTAGCATGGGCAATCCGAAGCCAAATCAATCTCCTAGGGTCCATACCGCGAATCTACCCTCCAAGATATTCCATAGCTTCTTGCTCTGGGCGTTTGAGGGATAGTCAATCGTCAAAGTACCACGTTTGGCAACTATCTGCTCGGCGGTGAAGGGCCGTTTGGTGTATCGCCACCTCGAGTCCTGCCACCACTTCTTGACTTGCTGGACATCTTGCCAGTATTTCTGTTCCTCTTGTTCAACGTACGCCATGTTTGATGATCTCAAAAGAGTTCCGCGCCAGTGGAAATGGGAACTGGTTTAACAGCAGAATCAAGTCGTCTGAATGGCTATATATAAGATGTATATATTGATAGAGCCAGAAATTATTTGAAGTCAGGAAAGAGGAATCGGAAAGGAGAATAAAGCAGACCCAGGCGGGCACTTTCCTTTAATTTATCTTTCTTTGCTTGTGAGTCAACCAAAAAAATACTTATGAGCTATATATTGGTCGCCAGTTTCCACCGAGGCATAAACGGTTTGCGGGAGCCTCGACGCTTGTCCAGCAACGGCCAGGGTCCGAAGAGCACCATCTTGGAGCGACATTAGGGCAGCCATGCCACTCGGCGAAAAGGGTAGCGGGAAGTCCAGACTCTTCGTAGAATATCCATATTTTTTTTTGGCCTCCGGGAGTTAAAGGCATGTGCGGATATAGGCCATCGAATTTCGATATCGGGGTAACTCCCGCCCCCGTACTCCAAGGAAGCGGTCTCTGCTCTCTTGCCCATGCGTGGCGCAGGTACTCTCGACCATCCAACGGCGTCGAACAGGCCTCGCGGCCGCCATTGAGCGTGGACATCGACATGGTGAGCGTATACAACTGCAAAAGGGATGACGTTCAGGGTTCGCATGTGAGTTCGGCCAGCATCCGAAGCGCCAATCAGGGCGCGCTACTCACATGAAAGGCGCAGGAGCGGCGTCACCTGACATGTAATTCTCCCGGGGATTTTCCAGGCGGAAGCTGGCCGAATCTGGATCGAAGGCGACAGACGAAGGGCGAACGATCTGATAACGCTGGTATGGAAGGGCGAACGATGCCTCGGCTGAGGTTTTGGCAGCTATGGAGTTGGCCAGCGGCTGGTGTTCGTAGGTCGGCTGTCTTCCGGCGCACGTCACAGGGGGCGCGTTCGTCGAGCTGAGCATGATATCAGGCTGATATCCAGGCAAGTCGGTGAAACTGGTGGAGTTGTCAACCGGCAGGTCACTTGGCCATAAGAGACTTCAGAGATAATGTCACAGGGTAGGCAGAGCCAAGTTTGACCAAGACCTGACCTAACTATATAATATACAACATTCCAAGATACGTGGCATACAAGCAGCTTTGTCTGAATATAAAAGGGGAATACATCCCGAAATTATCATTTTATGGGTCTCATCATAAGCATATTAAGCAGGTCCCAAGACCAAGCAATGGAAAAGCAAGTGCTTAACGGTTCAAAAATTAGCAAACCTGGATTCTCGTTCATCGTACCATACATTATTTTCGACCAGCCCTCAGAATTCTACAGCGGTGGTCGCTTCCTTGAAGGTATCATAGGGGGTACATGCACCTAGGGCCCGTCTCATATGTGCATTTAGGAACTGCAGCCCGTACACATAACTTGCATTCACCCATCCGAACCTATATAAGCATGTGTCAGTTGCTTGAAGGTACATACTCTTTAAACAGGGGAGTTGTCACTCACCCTTCCCGCGATACTCCCTTGAAATCAATACCCTGATTGCCATACTCGGCGTCAACCCGGTGGGGGTCAATGGGACGCGTGACGTCGTACTTCTCAACCACCGTTCCGTTGAAATCGACAAAGGCCTTGGTGACCATGTGCAGCCATTTATATGCCAACCCTTCTGCTTCCTCTTCATATCCATATCGTATCAGTCCAGTCCACGCGAGTATCTGCTGCGGTGCCCATCCGTACGGGTAATCCCATTGACGGTTGGGACGGTCTATTCCAATTTTGCCTCTGGATTCTTCCGTTCCTGAGACAAGGCCTCCGTAGGCTTGGAATTTAGGAAGCGCTTTACTAACAAGAAGAGCCGCTTGTCGTGGATTTGCGACTCCTGCCCACATAGCCCAGAAAGTGGTTGCACTTTCATAGCTAGTCATCTCTTCCTTGACCGTATCATAGTCGAAGTACATGCCTTTCTGCTCATTCCACATGTACTTGTCAATTGCCGCCTTTCTTCTTTTCGCGCGACGATCCCATAACGATGAACTTTCAAACTCCCTCGTTTGAGTCTCAGGGGTCCGGAATTCCTGAGGTATGAACAGTTTGTCCTTGAAATGCTCGCGTAGAACACGCGCAATGTCTACCTCATATTTGTAAAGGAGGCAGTTCAGGTCGATCGTTGCTAGGTTAGCACATACCTTTTCGAGGCGATAGGAGGTGTCATGCCCGGATTCCCGTACCGCACGGTCATGCAGGAAATATTCGTCAAGTTCTGCACACTTGATCTCTCCACTGTCATATCCCTTGACGAATTCGTCAAACGTCACTCCATGTTGCTTGGCATACGGCAATAAGATGTGATAGAAGTGGGTTGGCTCTGTCTCAGGTGGGACACCGATGCCAGACGGACGGTATCTAGATAACCCTGTGATTGGGTCTAGTCGTGGCTTGGATACCCAAACGCTGTGGTATTCTTTGATGGCAGCAAGAATAGCCTCCTTGAGGAAATCTGCCGCACCTGGCTGCGTTTTAATTCGGTCATATACCCTCAGCGTCATATCGGTGAGGAAAGGGGGCTGAGAGCGGCATAAGTAGTACGACCGATTGGCATTGAGAATCTTCCCATAATGCTTGATGCAGAAGCAGAAATTCACAACCATAGCCTTGGCTAGTTCCACATGCTCGGTGACTAGTAGACCTAGGGATTCCATGTAGCTATCCCAGCCGTAGAGCTCATTGAAGCGCCCTCCAGGTACGACATATGGAACTCCTCGAAGGTCTTTCTTCCCTGTGTTCGGATCCACGAATTCCTCCATCGCCAGAGCTAGCAATCCTGGTTTGTCGTTCAGGTCCCTCACATACTCTGGCGTGACTTCTCCGGCTGGTAGAATTCGGACATCTAGCCGCAGCTCAGGTCGCGCCTCAGCAATCCTTTTATAGTATTCATACTGCTCCGGAGCCCCGGGTGGTACGTAAATCCGTGGTCTTGGGTCGTCGGTCCAGTCCTTGGGGTCTCTCCCGACAACCTCGATATTGGAGCCGTCGATTCGCCTTGTTAAAGCTTTCCAAAAAGAATTTTGGATTAGACGAGATAGTCGGTTGACAGGGTTCTCGTTCAAGCGTTGCTCGTCAAGTACTATCTGTTTCCTCCCATAATCCTTCGCGATAGTAAGCTCTTGAAGCAAATTCGAGAGCATATAGGTCCCTCGCAGGTCGGATTTTCTGAAACCTGACGATGCTGCAGTGCCCACATGAAGCACCTTGGGGCCAGCATCCTCTATGGTAATCTGCATATTGTTGTCCGTATCTTCCCTCTCGAGGAGGGCCTGCAAAGTCGGTTCCACATCGATGAGGAATTTTCGAGAGTATGTATGTTCATCTAGAGATGCGTTTACTCGTCAGAACTACGGTCACGCCACAAAACGAGATCGAACGAACAACTTACCGTGGCTACCTCTGCGAGCAACTAGGTGGTCGAGGTCTCCGGCATTAAACCTCTTCAAAGTCTGTTGATTATTTTCCCATTACTGAAATGCTCTCCTCATTTCGGAGGAAACAACGAGGATGACTGACCGATGATAGGGCTCGCCTGTGGTGGTTACTCTGCTTCTTTATCCCTCGCTGCTCGCCGTAGTAGATATCCGGATGGGAGAAAGGATCAACACCATCAGAAGAATGCCGCTTATGCTGCCCGCTTGACGTGCTCATTATCCAGTGTAGGTGCAAAGATGGTGCAGCGGCGGCGGTGAGCTCCAAGAAGCCCGAGTACTTATATATCTATGCCAAGCCAGATATGCCGTGTATGACGCTCACCGCAACTGCGCGGTTTGACTATCAGCTCTTCAGCGCAAAGGGTGTTGGTTATTTTGCGGTCGGTGGAGGATGGGTTCTACAACAACTCCAGCATCAACACGCAGCGTCTGTCCCATTGGGCTGCGGATCTTCTCTTCCCCAGAGTTATGACGGCGATGGTCCACACTAGTGGCAAGAACGACACTTATGTCAACTGCTGCACGTGTACATTTACTACTGCTGGTTATGAGATATAGCTAGGATATACATGTCGATGAGATGATGTAGATGAATGTCTGGAGTGCATATCAGCATTTATGAAAGCGTGCATATCGCCGAGAGCAATGAAATACACCCGAAAGAGCAAAGTCGATATACACTCAGATCTTCGACCCAATGACGCTTCCACCATCTACCGTGATTGTAGAACCATTAATATATGCTCCTGCACGGCTACTCAAGAACAGACAGGCGCCGGCAATATCCTGTGGTGTCCCAATGCGGCCGAGAGGAATGCCGGCTTCGATCGACTCTCGGAATTTCTCTAGGGTTGCCTTCATCATCTTGCTCTGGAACGGCCCGCATGCAAGAGTATTCGATCTGCATCACGTATTGTTAGCGAAAGAGAAAAAAAAAGATTCGTGTCCCGAAGTTATCCTGAATGACAAACGGAGGAACGTACGTGATATTTCTCTTTCCTAGGTGGTTTGCTAGAACCCTGCTGAGATGATGAAGTCCAGCTTTACTAGCACTGTATGCAAACGTTTCCAGGGCAGGAACTCGTAGGCCATCAACACTTCCAATATTTATTACTCTTGCCGGGTCCAATTCGCCTGCACCCTTCTCGAGGAAAGGGGTGAGGAGTTGTGTGACGTCGAAAACGCGATGGAGGTTTAGTGTAAGAACTCGGGTCCATGCAGCGGATGGGTATTCGTCATACGGAGCACCCCAGTTAGAACCGGCGTTGTTGACAAGTATGTTGAGCTCTAATAAGAAACCAATCGGTTAGTCTTCATTCGAGGATAAATGGGCAGAGTTGAATTTGGAAGAGATAGACATACTGGACTCCCGTTTCCCAAACTCCTCAGCAAGCTTCTTGCAATCTTCTTCCTTGTATAGATCTGCCCTTATCGCGTACGCCTTGCCCTTGCCAAGGGCATTCAACTCTTCACAAACAGCCTCACAGGTCTTGATATCGCGAGCCGTGATGTATACAGTAGCACCGTTGACAACATAGCCTTCAGAGATCATGCGACCAATTCCTTTAGCGCCACCCGTAACCAGCACGACTTTGCCCTGCAAGTGATTATATATTCATTAGTAACTAGTCCCCATCGTTGCGCATATAGTAAAGAATAGGGAGGGGTTCGTTGGACCAACCTTGACATCAAATAGGGATGCGGCGTCCATTTTGAGAGAAATCTTGAATAGTATTAAAAGAGAATATAGCGAAGGTAAAACAGAATATATTATCTAACTATTAAAGGGTATTAAGGAGATTGAAGGCTGAAGCTGCGTTTCTTTATCCTCTCCATCGAACCGAGTTCCGGTTGTTCTACCAATAAACGATGAACTGCCGAGGCATCTCTATATGCCTTACATAATTTTGCATTGTTTGCACTCGGCTTGTAGCCTGGTAATTGGACTTCGGATATATATATTATTCCGTCTCCAGTACTAGTGTGTAGATAATATAGCGATATCATTGGTTTATAATCATTTAATATGTATTGTTTTGTAATATCCTGAGTCATCAGATTAATAAGCGGTAAATTACCTAAATAGGAAATATATTTGCTTAGTCACCAATACATAGTCACGGGGCCTATATTACTTTCATTATAGATCATGTGATTCGAGAAACCGCTTATCTCATCCAGCTTATCAAAATGTTTTTTTTATCGAAGTGGGCTGTTAATGTCAGCGCATGAAACTAGATTGAGATCAGTGTCAGGCATCTTTTACCCCTGGAGCAAACCGCGATTATATTGCGACGGTGTTTGCAGAGCCTTTATTTAGGGCAATTCCAGTGTATACCTTAATCTACCTTGTCCGCAGCTAGACAGTTTAGGATGGAGGAACTACAAGCTCGTCACAGGAAGGAGCAAAAGGAGCTTCAAGCGCGAATTACGCAAAAGAAGAAATCAGCAACAAAGAAAACGCGCAAGGGCGTCAATGATGAGTGTGAAAGCTTACAGAGGCAACTTCTGGATAAACAGCAAGGAGAAATATCCCGACTTAATGGCGAGGTAGACGCTGGCGATGTGGAGGCAATGAATCAGATGAATGACTTAAGCATCGAGGAAAATAACCATGACGAGAAAAAAGGGGAAATACACGTCAATGAAAAAACAATTTACTCTGTCCCCATGATGAATAACTCGAGCACACACGAGACGACCAGCGCATCAGAAGGAGGACCTGGCCCAAAACGGGGTAATCGCCAGAAAGCCCGTTTAGCTCGCCGTGCAGCTGAGCGTGAGGCAGAGATTAATAATGCTGCAGACGAAGCAGCTAATCAGACCGATTACCGCGCCAACGAGCGCAAGGCCATGGACGAAGCCTTTGCCAGTCTCAAGTTAAAGGAACGGGACATTGCGGCCGATGGCCACTGTTTATATTCTGCCGTGGCATGGCAATTGGCAGAGAATGGCTTAAATCTGCATCCAGAGCAGGGAGAACTTATGTCAGCTGATTCGGTAAAGAATGATGGATACAAACTTGTTCGAGCTACGACAGCTGATTTTATCCTGGCTAATGCGGATGATTTTGCACCATTCCTGGAGGAGCCAATACAAGAGTATGTTCGAAAAATAAGATCGACAGCAGAGTGGGGAGGTCAACTGGAATTACAGGCTATTGCGCGCGCATACAAAGTACGGATAAATGTCATTCAGGGAGAGGGACGTATCGAAAAATTCCAATCAGACGGTGAAGGAGACGAGAGCCAGACCAAGAATATATGGCTAGCTTATTACAAACACACATATGGGCTTGGGGAACATTATAACGCCTTGTATAATATCCCTTGAGTGCGTTCGGTGAGGCAGCAACGCAGTATGCTATCACATACCCTCACAGCAGGAATGATATGTACACAAGTTGAACAACTGACTGTGCTACCATGGCCTCTGGCTTCTACTGGTGGCGCCAAATCGAGACATAATCCATAACGTTACCATCCGCGTCCTTGCCAGGCTCGTGAGTACGCTCTGGATGCCAGTGTGCAACCCGTGTAAGACCTTTTTCATTGACTTTCTCGCGTGTGCCGGCCTCGATATTGCCTTTGTCGTCATAGGGTATATCTTCACCAGGATGGCTAAGATGCTCTACATACGCCGTTGGTATGGAGGCAAACGGTGGGCCTCCCAGAGCAGGATCCTTCATAGTTGGAAACTCGAGACATATGAGATGGCCTCGCGGGGATGGTGCTAGAAGCTGTGTATGCCGAAGAGCCCATCCGGGGCGCAAGGAAGGGTTTAGAGCACAGAAGAACTGTTACCATGCGCAGGGATTAAAGAGCATCATTCGATGTTAGTCACCTTCCAAGACGGACTGATCGTTATGCAGAACAGGGCTTACAGTATAGTCATAAATCAGATCGAAACACCCTTCCTCCAAACCAGCATTTTTAAGCCACTCGTCTTTAAACAAATCTCCTTGCAGGAAAACCACTTTACCACTCCCAACATCTGGATCTCTTGGCTTCACCGAGTCCCCATATTTCTCTGCTTCCTTCTGGCACGCTTCTAAGGCTGTAGTGCTATATTCCAAGCCATATGCATCATATCCAAAGGATGCGAGTAGGAAACAGTCCACGCCCCTACCACATCCAGGAACAAGAGCCTTTTTACGTTGCTTCCCCTTGCCCTCTGTGCTCGAAACGGCACTCCCCAAGATGTCAGACTTTTGCACCAGGGTATCCTCTAATGCTGGATTGTGTGTCCCTCTATCCCAGGGAGTCTGTTCTTCTTTCCATAGGTCTCCCATACTTCGATTGGACGTTTGTCTTTGAGGTTGGTAAAGCGTTCACTCAATCCTGGCGCTAGATTCGACATAGTGAGGGCGTTTTGAACATATAATATGGGTTTATATCAAGCGTCTTTGGTATTTTGGATAATGGTTTGCCTGCAATACTGCAGGTGGGGGTTACTTAAAAGACGAAACGCCACGCTTAGTAATTATATCGCTTAGTCATATACAAATCACAGGCGCAATATAATTGGCCAAATTCTATCCCACCCCTCGGCAAATACGGCATCCTTAACGCCGAAGGGCCGTGCCTCCGTAATCCCATTTTGCCGGACTCCCGCGGCACATTTTGGCTGGAGGATCACGCACCGCTGTCGCATCCAGGAGCAGGAGCAATTACGTATCGCCAAAATACCGTGGTTTGCTGGTGGTATAATTGTCAGTACGATATAACGCCGTTCTATCCGCGCGCTCAAGTTGAAGGAGACAATTGATATTCAGCCTTCGGTGGCCCGAGGTTGAATCTACGACACCCCGGCTATCTCAGACGCTCTAGGGCCAGAAATGTTAGAGCAAACGGGAGCCACACGAGGGAAGTGGATATGTCCACCAGGTGTTATTATTCCCCCCCTACCAGGGTTGTCCGGATCCATGCCTAGCTCAGGCCAGTTTTTCTCTCTTTTATGCAGGCTCGTCGCCACTTCGACTCCTTTGAACGCTGCTATTCTCCATCAAAGAAGGCGGGAAGAATGCCACGTTCTGACCTGGATTGCCCACATATTTTTCCGACATCTCGGTATCGCTATTGAAGAGATATCAAAATTTTTTCTCCTATTCCGATAAAGAATAATATACCCTGCAGATACTCGGCTGGGGTGGGAGATGGAGCTACACCACAAGTGAACACCACAAGTGAAAGCTCGCTGTCTTATACATATATACAAGATATTGACATATGATGTTGCATCACCAAGGTGTGGCATCATACTATACCGATCATACCAAAAACTCACTTCCTAAAGAGCTCATTCGGGAAACAGTTATAGGACCAAATGGCAGCTGAAAAACAGGATCCAACGGGGTGTTCGTCCCAGATGGACCCTACTCCAGAGGGCTCTACACAGCCATCTATAGCAACGATTCCTGATACTAAGAAATTTGCGCCTGTGGCCTCGGAGAAGGAGAGCCAAACGACCATTGAAGCCGCCGAACAAGAAGGACCAACGGACCCGGAAGCAGCTATTCAATTAACAAGAACAAATTCATATATACCACCGGTTATCGTGCCAAGAGGGAAACGGCGAGGCCTATTCGGGTCATTGACTCTTCTAGCTGAGGTTGAAAACCCAAAACTCTACAACCGGAAAGCAAAATGGTTTATAACATTTGTGGTCGCAATCGCAGCCGCGGCTGCTCCCATGGGCAGTGCCATATTTCTGCGTAAGTTGTGAACCCGTTTTGACCTAAGATATCTTCTGCCTTCCCGTTCGGAACGCTAATGTAAACTTACTTCAACAGCTGGGCTTAGCGAAGTAGCGAACACCTTTAACACGACAGCAACAGTTACCAATCTCTCTGTCGCTCTGTACATGTTGAGCATATCCATATTCCCTCTGTGGTGGTCATCGTTTAGTGAAAGGCTAGGCCGTCGCTCGATCTATCTTGCTTCATTTGCTCTATTCACGCTATGGAGTATCCTATCGGCTATTTCTGTCTCTATCACGATGTTAATTATCATGCGTGTACTTGCAGGTGGGGCTGCGGCATCAGTCCAAGCAGTAGGCGCCGGAACCATTGCAGACATCTGGGACCCAGTTGATCGAGGACGGGCGATGGGGATTTTTTATCTTGGTCCCCTCTGCGGTCCTCTGATAGCACCTATTCTTGGTGGTATATTTACACAGGCCTGGGGTTGGAGAAGTACACAGTGGTTCCTTACAATCTATGGAGGCCTGGTACTGGTATTCATATTATTCGCATTGCCAGAAACCCTAGCGATTCGGAAACCTCTACCCCCTGCGGAGCCGGAAACTCAGGAGTCGGCGGCCGAACGCACCCTTAGCCGAGTATCTTCCCGCCAAGTTGTGCAACAAACGACGAGATTGCTGAATATATTCAAAATCGTCATCATTGACCCTCTAAAAATTATCCTCTACATTCGGTTCCCGGCTGTTGCTCTAACTGTGTACTATGCCAGTATTGCCTTTGGCTGCTTATATGTCATGAACATCAGTATTGAGGTTACTTTCAGCAGAGATCCGTATAACTTCTCCACTCTAATTGTAGGGTTACTCTATGTTCCTAGCGCGTTAGGCTATATTGTTGCCAGCCTCGGCGGAGGCCCATGGATGGATTCGATAATGAAGCGGGAGGCAAGACGTGCCAATCGTGTGGATGCCAATGGCAGGTATATCTTTATACCGGAAGATCGAATGCGTGAGAACGCATGGTTGGGAGCTCTCATTTTCCCCTCTGCATTGATTTGGTACGGCTGGACATCAGAGAATGGGGTACACTGGTTTCCTACCGTAAGTTGAGCTCCATACACTTCCATAATAACCTCCCAATACCCACCAATATGCTTGTGAAAATGTTTTCTAACATTATAACCATTACAGATATTGGCAAACTTCTTCTTTGGCCTAGGGTCAATGATAATTTTCAGCATGTCAACAACGATGTTAACTGAATTCATGCCTAACCGTTCTTCAGCCGGGGTGGCTTTGAACAATTTTATGCGCAATATAGCCTCCTGCGTTGGAGGTATCGTTGCAGCTCCCATAATCGACGCTATCGGGAACGGATGGCTGTTTACCATTCTCGGCCTTGTCTGTTTTGCTAGTTGCATTTGCATATGGGCTATGAAACGATTTGGGCCGCGATGGAGAGTCACCATGGATGAGCAGCTGAAGAAGGAGAACGAAAGACATAGATGATCCTCCCATGTCTTAGATGGGCGTTTGGTTGAAGGTTCTGTTCAATCTATTTTTCTCGGAGGTCTAGTCCGGTCACAGGCCACGACTTGGAAAGGAAATACTTATGTTATAATTTATTGACGTTCTCGGTTCAATTGCATTTGCAACTATATATAGGTATTTTTATGAGTGATATTTGTGGTATCTTTTGGAATATACGGACATATTTACCATTGAACATAATTTGTAATATGCCATATGCAAATACCTTAGTACAACGATGTACCCGATCCCTTTTTCAAATGTTGGTTCCCAAATAAACTATCAGATGAATAGACACGAGATCCTGCCTGGCCCACCGCGCAACTGCTGATAGGTATGTGTCGGGCAGAATTTTACCCCTATTTTGACCTGAGTAGCTCAGCTGAGCCGCTAGAACATTCTATCTGCATTTCAGCTCCATGCCTATATATCGTGGCACTCACTGTTTTGACCACAGCTCTGACTCACTATTAAATGCAGACTCGAACAGTTGGAGGAACAATTTTATTCAGGCGGTTACTTCATCAGATACGTGGTCGTGGCCCTTAAGATAGTTCATTATACATAATGTCTGGCTGCATCTTCAGCCTCGGTTGGGCAGGAGCTCGCAAGACACTCTCCTTGCCACTATCAAATGTAGGGGCGCGAGACGATATCGAGGTTCACACGTAGTTGTCACCAGCTGTAGATGTGTGTGCATCTACATTGATGCATGAGATATGTAAAGACAATAACTACTAGTATTCGAAGGTTCAAGAATCCCCATTTGACTTCCTACAGGGCAGCGCCTCGTATAAGTCATTCCGACTAGTGCAGTATGGAGGAATCTGTTGGGGAAACAGATGTGCACCTATGAGAATGACGATTCTAATATGGGTTCTCCGGTGAAACTGCACCCGACGCGAAAATCAGGAGTTGAGGGGAAGCTTTTTCCCTTCTCCCCACCCATCCCAATCACTCACTGGGATTATGATATCGTTCCCCAAACGGGCTATCCTAACCTTACTCTGCTTGCATCACACCCCGGATAGCGGGGTGACAGCCTTCGCCCCCGCCCATAGAATCATATTAATACTACTCATATAAACCGGGGTTTAAACAGTTAACCGCGGAAAGCGATTTAGAGATTCGGGGATGGTGTGTACTCGATAATGGAGGGGTATATAGATGAAGAGGCGGGGTTACACCATGGCTGCATACCTCAGGGGAAAGGCAGTCGCACTTGAATGCTCCGTATTGGCACGTTGATCGTGACAAGGACTTTGTTTTGCACGAAAAGTATCCGGGGAGCCCGATTCAACTGGGTGAAGCAGCTGTTTTCGTTGGCAACGCAGCCCTTTGGCCACTGGGCCTATCGCCACCAGGCCAAAAAAAGAGAGGGTGATAGTCTCACGGTGAGACGCAGGAGGCGGCCCTATGCATTTGAAAGAACGAACTCATGTACACTAGGAATACCCGGCAGCTACTGCCCGGTTACTGGGCAGGCACGACCTCACGACCTCCTTGGCCAGTTGCGTCAGCTTCACAGCTGCTGGGGGTTCCGTCACCGAGTATCTGACTTGTACTGGCGAAAGGTCACCACGTATCGCCCTCGACTGCGCTGGCCGTGACTTGCAACCGGCAACATCTGATAACTCGCATCAGACTTGATACCACGACGTTTAAAGTTACCAACTGGGCGGGCAACACTGGATCTCGTGAGGCAGCCAATCAGGGGCCGACCTTGAAACCGCCAGCCAATGAAAGACGCAGAACCGCTTAGTCATTAGGGCTAAAGTCGGGCCGATCCGCGACTAAGCCTAAATGGGGCGTTTTGCTTGCTTATTTCATCCTCGCCTCGTTATTTCGTCCCGTCCTGGCCCATCGACGGGCTTCCTGGTTTGATCTCGCTCTGGATCTGGAGCTCGTTTCCTTAGGCTTCATCTGCATCAAACCCAATGAATCAGAAACAGGTCGAAACAGGACAGCGGAAAGCGAGCGACACGCCTGCCTCTTGGCCGCTCTCGTGACCTCCCGGATCGACTGGGTGCTCGGTGTTCGCACCACTATTCATGCTGCATCTCGCATCTGCTTCGGCCACTCACGACTTAACCACTGCCTGCGGCCTCCGAGAGTGTATCTATCCTTCTAGAGGTGTTACCCAAACGGCCAGAAACCTTACACGCTTGGTAAATCGCGGTGATCTGAGACTGTCTGGTCCTTGACCAACCGCTGGCCTCAGGCATGCTCCACAATGCTGCAAGTGCCTGTCGGCCAGGCGGCCAATTGCGGGACATTGGGCACAAAATGATGCTATCTTCGGAATTCCTTCCGGTCAGTGGAAGACTCCTGGCTTCCACACCTCTTCTTCGCTCAAATGGTCGCTCGTAGTAGGATTTTCTAGCTAAGTTGCTGCAATTGGCTCGGGTTTGTTTACTTTCCATCTGCTCCGTATCTGTTTTACCGTCTGACCCGCCGGGATGCATGGTCTGCATTTCCCCTGGACCAGAACATAGACGGTTTTTACACTTCCTTCGCTCTCCCAGGATACGCTCGGCGCTTTCCCTGTATGCCTCCAGTCACCTTTCATTAACATGCTGCACGATGACATTAAATTGCAAAACAGCAGGTCAACCCTTGTTTTCCATACGGTGGCCGCTTTCCGCAAGCCTTAGTAGGGCGTGCATCCAGTGCTGCCCGCAAGTCCATCATAAAAGACCCATAGGGCCGTGAGACGTGGCCCCAATGGCACCGGACTCTCGCATGGCTGGTTGGTAAATCTCCAGTTACCAAAGAAACTATCGTTTCTATTCTCAATAATGGCCGTTGCCTACATGTGGCCCCGTCGATGACTATTGTTTTGATACGCCTAAACAACAGATGAGGTTATCGGGCACATGCTTTGCTGTGTCATGGGAAGCTAGTAATTAAATAACTTGTTATAATTTGTCTCGTCCGACGTGCTTCTATTTTGCTCAACCACGCTTCCGTTTTATCCCCTCTCCTCCAATCTTACCCCAAAGTTCCTCAAGCTCACCTTACATCCTGGACCGCCAGTCACCTTTCTGACGGACCCCAATCCACCGCCGAACTGCCGAGACCTGCCACACCACGTCTCGCAAATAGACCTCTCATATCACTACCCTTCTCTCTCTATATCTCCTCAACCTTTTTCTACTCTTCACACCCCCACCTAGCTACCGCTTATACTTGATCATGGCAAAGAAAAAGAAGGGGAAGAGAGTAGCTACCAATCGACTGCCTGCCAATTCGGTCCTGCCCGGCACTGACAACGGGAGTAGCACCAACCTACCTGAGGGTGACGGCTCGCCGTCATCTGCTCTCCCTGAAAATGTCGAACACAAGCTATCAGTATGCTTCACTTCCTCCGCTTAAATATCAAACCTATGATTGGAATACTGGTCAATTTTCGGATTGTCCTATATCGTCTTTATATTCTTCCCCACCTTCAGATGACGGCAATGGTGAACCTACCGCTGACGCAGAGCCAAACAAGGACGCCACCCCTGATCAGCCATCAGAAGAGGCACCGGCAGCGGATACTGATGCCCCCAAGGATGCATCAGAAACACCTGCAGGTATGTTGGCCATGCACTCACCGGCTTTAACTAGAACTTGAACTAGACTTGATATCAGCCACCTACTATATCATGACGAGGCAAAGATATTAACGGTTTGATAGATCCACCACCGGATGAGGCGCTTCAAGCACCTGAGGCTTCACCAGAGGAACCTCCTGCTGCCGATGGTGAGTCTGAACCAGTAAAGGCCGAAGCACCGGCAGAAGAGGCATCGGTTGAGCCAGAGAAGCCAGCTGAAGAAGAGAAGCCAGCTGAAGAAGAGAAGCCAGTTAAGGAAGAGAAACCAGTTGAGGAGGAGAAGCCAGCTGAGGAGGAGAAGCCAGTCGAGGAGGAGAAGGTGGTTGAAGAAGAAACACCGGCATCAGAAGAGACTCCGACACCAGAAGAAGCACCAGCAGCTGAGGAGGTCCCGGCAGTTGAAGAGTCACCGACAGAGGAAGAGGCACCAGTAGCTGAAGGGGCCCCGACAGCGGAAGTGGTACCAGCAGCAGCTGAGGAGGCCCCGGTAGCAGCTGAAGAAGCACCGGCAGAAGCTGAAGGGGCCCCGGCAGCGGAAGTGGTACCAGCAGCAGCTGAGGAGGCCCCGGTAGCAGCGGAAGTGGTACCAGCAGAAGTTGAAGAGTCACCGACAGAGGAAGAGGCACCAGCAGCTGAAGGGGCCCCGGCAGCGGAAGTGGTACCAGCAGCAGCTGAGGAGGCCCCGGTAGCAGCGGAAGTGGTACCAGCAGAAGTTGAAGAGTCACCGACAGAGGAAGAGGCACCAGCAGCTGAAGGGGCCCCGGCAGCGGAAGTGGTACCAGCAGCAGCTGAGGAGGCCCCGGTAGCAGCTGAAGAAGCACCAGCAGAAGCTGAAGAGGCACCGGCAGCAGCGGAGGGGGCATCAGCAGCGGAAGAAGATGTACCGACACCAGAAGAAGCACCAGCACCAGAAGAGGCGCTGGTACAGGCGGAAGAGCCAGACGGGGAGAAGCCAGCCGAAGAGGAGACACCTGCTGAAGATGAGCAGCCCGTGGAGGAAGAGAAGGCTGTCGAAGAAGAGGCATCGGTAGAAGAAGCTCTGCAAGAGGAAACTCCTGCTGCTGAAGGCGAACCTGAAGTGCCGACAGAAGAGGAGCTAGTAGAAGAAGAGAAGCCGGCAGAAACCACAGAGCCAGAGCCCCCGGTGGACGACACGCCTGCCGAGGAGGCCCAAGAACCCCTCGAAAGCAAAGATGACCAAGAAGAGGCTACGGAAGAGCCACCCGTGGTGGAAACGTCGCCTGCTTCTGAGGATGCGCCAGCCGAAGGTGAAGATATAATCCCCCCAATCTACATGTCAACATGCTGACTAACACAGACGATTCCTCCTTTCCAGATGTTGATCCAGCTGCCGAAGTTGATAAAGTAGAGGCTGAGAAAGAAGCTGAAAAAGAAGAAGCCTCCCAGAGAGAGGATGATGTCACGGTAGGAGACGAAGTTCTCGATTCATGGGATATCGAGGGTGAAGAAGAGTTAGAAGAAAAGATACCCGAGGAAGAATCTAAGCAGACTGCTGAGGACGACAAAGTTACTGAAGAGCCAGCAGCAGATGAGCCTTCAGACCCCCCGCCTGCGGAAGATACCTCTGAGCCAAAGGAGGAGGAAAAGGAAGAGACACCTGAAGAGCCAGCTCCTGAAGAACCCGCTGAGGCGGTAGCCGAAACGGTAGCACCTGAACAGCCAGCGGAGGAAGAAGTAGCTGCCGAAGCACCCGCCACCGAAGAGCCTGTCACCGAAGAACCTGCCGCTGAAGAACCTGCCGCTGAAGAACCTGCCGCTGAAGAGCCTGCCGCTGAAGAGCCTGCCGCTGAAGAGCCTGTCGCTGAAGAGCCTGTCGCTGAAGAGCCTGCCGCTGAAGAGCCTGCCGCTGAAGAGCCTGTCGCTGAAGAGCCTGTCGCTGAAGAGCCTGTCACTGAGGAACCTGTTACTAAAGAGCCTATCACCGAGGAACCTACCGCTGAAGAGCCTGCCGCCGAAGAGCCTGTCACTGAGGAACCTGTCACTAAAGAGCCTATCACCGAGGAACCTACCGCTGAAGAGCCTGTCGCTGAAGAGCCTGTCACCAAAGAGCCTGTCACCGAGGAACCTGCCGCTGAAGAGCCTGTCGCTGAAGAGCCTGCCGCCAAAGAGCCTGTTATTGAGGAACCTGCCGCCGAAGAGCCTGTTACCGAGGAACCTGCCGCCGAAGAGCCTGTCGCTGAAGAGCCTGCCGCCGAAGAGCCTGCCGCCGAAGAGCCACCCGCTGAAGTTACTGCCGAAGAGCCAGCTGTCGAGGAACCCTCACCCACAGAACCGGCAGCCGAAGAGGTTGCTATCGAGGAGAAGGTAGTGGAAGAAGCCACTCCAGAAGAATCCCCGGAGGAGGTCCCAGCAGAGCCCACAGCGCAGGAAATCCCCCCGAAGGAAGAGGCCGCCCCTGAGGAACCAGTTGCTGAGGTAGCCGCAGAAGAAGCAGCACCAGCACCAGAGGAGGCCCCTGCTGAAGCAGCCACCGAAGAAGTAACCGAAAAGCCCCAGGACGAACCAACCCCAGTTGAGGCTGTCACGGAGGCCCCTGCCGAGAAGGCCATCATAGAGCCTGTACCAGTAGAGGAAGCTCCCGCCGAACCACCAGCACTGCCAGTTGAAGAGCCGAAGGCGGCTGAGGAGCCTGCACCCGAACCTGCGCCTGTCGTTGAAAAGAAGGTCGCTGAGGAAGTTACAGAAGCGCCCGTTCCCGTGGCCACAGAGGCTGCTCCTGTAGAGAAGACCCCAGTTCCAGAACCAGCTGCTGAAGAGCCCGTCGCGGCAGTAGAGGAGGCCACTAAAGATATTGCAGAGGCTGCCCCTGTTGCCCCTGTTGCTGTTGAAGCCGTCCCGGAAGCGGCAGCAAAGACCGAATCGCGATCTAAAGAACGATCTGGAGAAAGGAAGCACCGAAAACGCCGAAAGTCGACAGCTGGAGAAGAGCCACGCCCTTCGAAGAGCTCGAGTGAGAAAAGGCCTAGCTCAAGCGAGAAAAGGTCCAGCTCAAGTGAGAAAAAACTCAGCTCAAGCGATAAAAAACCCAGCTCGAGCGATAAAAAGCCCAGCTCAGGCGATAAAAAGCCTAGCTCAGGCGAGAAAAAGCCCAGCTCTCGTCGACTAAAGCCCGAACCAGAGCATGATTCTTCTCCACCAGCTGAGGCGAAAGGTGAACCAAGACACAGAAGTAGTAGACCAAGACCACGACCAAACGAAACAGAAAAAGAACGTGCCGAAAGACGGAGGAGGAGAGAAGCTCGAAGAGCCGAAGCAGAACGCTCCAAGGAATCGGGGAGCCCCAAGGAGGCACCGCCCAAGGAAGAGCGTCCTCACGAGCCCCCGAAGCGACCTCTCTCTCGTCGGTTGTCACTATCAGGCCGTGATAGACCTAACCTGGCCCCAAAGGCCGCTGGCCCAAGCCATAACCCAATATCTGCCCTTGCTGCGAAACCCCTTGCCTTGTTCAGGTTAATTACATCTGGATCTTCAACTGCCAATCAACCAGTTATGCGAGTAAATGAGCGTGCTCTCGCCTCTTCTCCAGTTCCTCCAGTCAAACGGCCTTCACCCCCAAACACATCTGGCTCGTCCACTCACTCTCAATCGAATTCCGGCTCCCGTACCCACTCCGACAGACGTCGAGAAAGGAGATCAGCCAACGCCGAAGAGGTGAAGGAACGGGCAAGAAGGACTACAGCCAGGGGCGAAGAAAACAAACAGCGTGAACGAAAGTCACCCAAAATCGACGAAAGCCAGGAGCAAGTAAAGCCTCCCAAGACGGAAGCAGCCAAACCCCGGGAACGAAGGCTAAGCAGGGGTGAAGAAGGCAAAGATCGAGAGCGAAAGTCTAGCAAGCGTGAGGAAGCCAAAGAGAAGGACCCTGAGAAGGAGAAGGAGAAAGAGCACCGCGAGCAACGACGAGAGCGCCGACGCTCGATGAAACCCGAACCCCCTGCAGAGAAACAGGTTACGAAGGAGGATCCTCCGCCAGAGCGTCTTCGTCGACGTCGTTCAAGCCTATACAAAAACCGTGAAGATGCTCCGATTAGCATGAGCTTCAGGGAGAAACTCCGGCATGTCCTGACGGCGGCATGATATGCGTATTTACGACTTGTATGATTGTCCATGTCATGATCTATCCTTATTCGACCTTTACCAAACCCCTTTATCACCTATCCATTAGCCCGTCACTTTCTCTCTTTTCTCTTCCTATTTTTAATATTTTTCTTGTCCTTTGGTTTTGTTCATGCATCCTGCGAGCGTTTTAACGAATGATTTGTGCTTCCTACTGCATATCACGAACATCACTGTTGGAATAAGGGAATGGTGCATTTGTTATGGACGGAATTTCCTATCTTCATTTCTCTATATTCTTATACTTGTCTTTGGATTTCGCAATCCGTCTTTGAATCTCGTGTTTCCTCTTCGCTGCCTGTATGATCATAGTCTTATAATAGCCCCTACCAAATTGTCGCCAACTTATCCTGATGAATGAATGAATGATTATGCCCTGTTGATCAACCGCATCCCCGCGTAGCTTTAAGATATACTCGTGCCTCCGCGCTACCAACCTGCCTGTTGGTGCGCCCCAGCGTAACGATAATATCAGCGCAACGATAATTTTAACCAAAGCATCAACTTATTAAATTCATCCACACCCAACTATGCACTATATAGTGTTATTTTGGTTGCCTTCGAGATAGTTAATCGTATCTCTATCTTCGTTATATATAATACCAAACTCTTGATGCCAAGTTGGCCGATCTGCTTGGTGTTTTTGGACCAGCTGCTCCTCTGCCTTCTTCCGCTTTGCCCACTCCTTTTTTGCCTCCTCTGCCTTTACGGACTTCAATATGTCGATTGGCATCCTTTACCCGTAAGGGGCCACCTACGTTCACCCTGCGACGTGTCCTTGGAGCCTTATATCGCTTGGTTGTTCGTAAAAAGTCATCGAGATCTGCCCCCCGTTGAGCACTGAGTTCCGCCTAGACAAGACTTCCTGTAAATATCTTTTGTAGCTGGCTATTGAGACGAGGAGATATCGAATCCAACTCATTTTGGACATCATCTAGACTCCTTTTTGCCTTGGTAATACAGTCCCGGAGTCGCCGTACTGTCTTCGGTGATGATAGTTGAGATGACGGGGCCTCTGGAGAAGCATCTCCATCGAACATTTGAAGCTCTGGTGTCGGACTAAGCCTCTTCTGTAAAGGCTCAAGGACTTTATTAGGATTCCATGGAATGATGCCTCTATCTGCAAAAGAGTGGATGATTGTTGCTGGTTTAAATGCCTCCTTTCGTACGCCTTCTAAAGCCACGAGGAACTCTCGCTTATTGAACTGAGAACAACCAACCCTTGCAGCCTTGTTTACTGCCTTTGAATGGTAGTGTTTATATTGCTGAAAAGGCTTCCCATCGAGCGGCTGAAGCAGGTGAGTTGTATGAGGCGGAAAAGAGTAAGGAATAATGTCATTCTCTTCGCAAAAAGATAGGAACTGGTGTGTAAGATGGGATCCGTGATTATCCATTAAGAGCATTCGATACCGGCCAACCTGTCGCTTTTTTGAATAAGTATCGAAGTGTAGTAGCCATTGGAAGCCCATCTCATCAGTTGTATACCCATTCTCGGTTGTTACAATGAAGTAGTTGCTTGGGAGGGACGTATTTAGATACCAGTCCTCCATCTGATGCTTCCCTGCAAGGATAAGGCAAGGTGGAAGAAGAGAGCCATCCGCAGCAACAGTTTCAATTGCAGTAATTAACTCGCGCGAGAACTTCGAGAAAATAACGTTATTAAGCTCCGGATAGGCTGTAATAACTATCTCTCCCCTTCCCTGGCCAACCTGGAAGCCGATTTCATCCATGTTGTAAAGGTCTGCTGGCTGGATGTGATGCTGCCTCATGGAGATCTTTAATCGATCAAAAAACGTCTGTATAAGCCCTAGATCTTCTACCTCGATCCTCTTTGGGTCCATTGGCTTCCTCTTTACCCTCTCGTAGCCTGGCAAGCGCTGGATAAACCGATATGGCCACATTTTTCCAACAATAGGTGGTTCAGTATCCGGATCTGTATGATTTCGTAGGAGGATGCTATTTGCGCAATTCTTCACCATCTCCACGGTTGGGGCATGGCCGGCACGGTCTAATTGATGAATCCACTGTTTAACTACCTTCTCCTGATCCTCCGTAAGGCATTTATTAGTTGGTTGCGTAGATAACTTCGATGGGATACCTTTTGACCGGCGGAGGAGTCGCTGATACGGAACCTCATATTCACGGGCAAGAACCGCGAGTTTTTGCTTTTTATCGCGAGAATATTGATCTAGAGCCTTTTGAATGCATATTTCTATATCTTCTGAGCTAGATAACATATTGGTGGTTAATAAATAAAATGATGAAGTTGATAAAGTGATTATTTAAAAATAATTATCATTGCGCTGATATTATCGTTACGCTGGGGCGCACCAACAGGCAGGTTGGTAGCGCGGAGGCACGAGTATTAGTTATCCCGGCCCGTTCGTCCATGTAGAAGTTGTTCCGAAGCCCGCGTTGCGTCACTTGGTCGAGCCTCGGTATCACGTTGGCCGCATGCAAACATCTCGAACTCACCCAAAACTGCGCTCGCTCGCGACGCTTCTCCGCATTCATCAAGGAGACCGACGAACTTGCTCGAGGTTTGCTTCGACCTCGACTTCGCGAGACGGACTGATTGACTGCCCGTCGTATTTTTGGATATCTCTGCTTGCCGGGTTTAAATCGCAGCGCAAAGTCGTCGCATCCTCTATATTCAGTAACTCTATAGTGATATTGGACAATCTCTTCAAGATGGCATCTCCGGTCCTCCCAACTATCCAGTACACGCCCGTGGAGGATATCCCGGCTCGTGTCAAGAATGTTCGAACTACCTTTTTCGAGCACAAGACTCGTCCGATCGAGTTTCGCATCCAGCAGCTGCGAAAGCTGTACTGGGCGTGAGTGTTCATCCGATTCTAGCTGTGGCGGAAAGCTTCAACTTCTGGGAAACAGAGAGCTGACGATTGATATGTTTTATCAGAATCAAGGACCGGGAGCATTTGATGACGGAAGCCCTTAAGCGCGACTTGAACAGGCCGGAATACGAATCCTACGTCGGAGAGCTTGTGATGATTCTCAATGATATCATCTTCGTGACGAACAACTTGCCAAAGTGGGCTAAGGATGAGAAGGCCGCTGATATCGATCTCACCTTTGCATTGATGAAGCCAACGATTAGAAAGGATCCATTGGGATGTGTTCTGGTCATCGGGTTGGTGCCTCTACAGTTTGATGCTAGGTCGCATACGTTCTTGCTAATATCTAAACTAGAGCTTTCAATTTCCCTTTCCTCCTTACGTTCGGTCCAGTGATCGGGGCAATTGCTGCTGGTAATACTGTCGTTATCAAGCCAAGTGAAGTTTCGCCGAACTGCGCCGCTGTTACCCAGGAAATCATTGAAGCTGCTCTGGACCCCTCTTGTGTGTCTGTTATCCAGGGAAGCATCCCGGAAACAAAGGCCCTACTCGCCGAAAGATGGGACAAGATCTGCTTCACTGGTAGCTCCAGAGTTGGCCGCATCGTCGCCCAAGCGGCAGCTCCACACCTAACGCCTGTCTTGCTCGAGCTGGGCGGACGTAACCCTGCGTTTGTTACGAAGCGCGCAGATTTGAGACTTGCTGCTCGACGTTTGCTATGGGGAAAGACATTCAATGCTGGTCAAATCTGTCTCTCGCAGAATTACATCCTCGTTGACAAGGAGGTTGTTGATCAACTAGTTGTTGAGTTTGAGAAGGCCATCAAGGAGTATTATCCAAATGGAGCAAAGGCATCGCCTGATTACTGCCGTATCATCAATGATGGTGCTTTCAAGCGCATCAAGGAGATGATCGATAACACCAAGGGAAAGATATTACTAGGAGGATCGATGGACGAGAAAGAGAAATACATCGAACCTACCGTTGTGCTTGTCAACTCTACTGATGATTCCCTGGTATCAGAGGAGAGCTTTGGACCGATCATTACCCTCCTGCCCGTGTCCGACTTGGACGAGGCAATCAGAATTGCAAATGATGTCGACGGAACACCATTGGGCGTTTATCCATTTGGAACCAAAGACGAGACCGCAAAAGGTATTTAATTCCGCTCTATCTTCCGCATTTCAGGTACCAGGTTGTGCACCAATTTTACCATACTAACACCTTCCTCCAGTCCTCGCATCCGTTCGCTCTGGCGGTGCCTCCATAAACGATTCGTTCATGCACGCTTCCATCCCAACTCTTCCATTCGGTGGTGTTGGTGAGAGCGGATCCGGTGCCTACCATGGCCGTAGCAGCTTCGATGCTTTCACGCACAACCGCTCAGTCACTACAACTCCTGGCTGGGTTGAGCGTGTCCTATCTCTCCGCTATCCTCCCTATACTGGCAAGCTTAACAAATACAGAGCGGCCAGTCTACACACCCCGAACTTCAATCGTGCTGGACAGACCACATACGGGTTATTCGGCTGGATTACCTGGATTGTTACTTTGGGAGGCGGAGCAAACAAGACAGGCGCTGCCAGGACTGCTGCTACTGTGCTTGGTAAGTGAACTCATCTTTTTCATACATCCTCCGTACCTCTCTTAGTTACCTTGGTCTCTCTCTTCCAGTTAATATTACATCATATTTTCCGTGTTGTCTGACCTGATATCAATTGCGTTTCACCACCCACCGCAGACCCGAAAAAATCCCCATCGTCCTGACGCATACGAGACCCCATTTCAACCTTTGATACCCTGTTCTTTTCTTTTGTCATGTTCTTAGCTCCGGCTATATCGGATTTGGATCTATCCGCACTATATCCCATTCTGATATCTATTTACTCTATATCCCCCAAACCCCGTTGCTTTAAATAATTCAATTGCACTCTTCTACACCTCTTGCTTGATTTCGCGTCAACCTTTTATTGTAACCTTACTGACACGTCTATGAAACAGTGGCAATCGCTATACAGCAATACATCAAACGAGGCGCCAAACTCTAAGGATATATCTATTTCTTATAAAAAAGCCTCCTATATCATTCTCACTATATATAGCCCTATTAGTAAAGGCAGTCACCAGACTTGACTTTATTTGTATATTGATATTTATGTTCTCATATTACTTGTTTTCCCTTTCTACTCATAATTAAAATAGTTATTGGAAATTAAACCAATAATATATATTGGATGTTTTAATATGAGATCCGCCCCTGGCTTCCAAAAACTGGATTAGAGCCAAATAAAACCGAAGACTCCCCATCGATTCGTAGTAGCATAATGTAAATGGCTATTCAAATCTCAAACTCAACATCTAGTTTCAATCCCTTGTCTGCTTACGCATATATATTTGACACCCTTGTAAGGCTTTACTCCCTCCCCTAAGCCCCGGCTTTTCCGAGGGTCTACCATCAAGGCGTCAACACGTATACCGCTAGGTAGCCATCCGCGTACAGAAAACGATACAGAAGCAGATGATGGCATTAGCAGCGAATTCGCTTGCTTTTTACGCGTTTGTTTTGCGGCGGCTGACATCCCTTCCGTTCTCTCCTGTTTGGACGTATCATCTGTTGATACCCCTGAATCCTGATAGCTTGCGGCTGGTGCTAGCGTCTCATCATAATATCCGCGGAGTGGGTTTGATGCAGCGCGGCGAGCGTGATCATCTCCGGGGTTATCTTCGTCAATATCGTCATTATCAAGATCATGAAGCGGCCCCTGTACAGTCGCTTTCAGCGTTGCTGTGCCAGAGATAGATCCATCTTTTTCTTTAGTTGGTACACGCCATTCTAGAGAGTCATTTCCAGGCATAAAATTCGCTTCGCCACGACTTGCTTGGATATCTGTAATATTGCGCACGGATGATGGAATAGGAATTGTCACCACCACGTCATCTAGGCTTGGAGATGACGAGCCCCCGCCAATGTTTCCGACATTTAGGAAAGACGGAGTTGAGGATCCTGATCCACGGCCTGTCGAGCCCCCGATTCCTCCATTACCGCCCATTCCCCCTCCGCCGCCTCCGGTCCTTGACGATGGAGCACCAGGGAAGCTATTGTTTAGGGTTAGTCGAACTTCAAAATTCGACCCAGTAGGGCCGAGGCCTTTTTGTATATCAACGGTGGCGGGAAGAAACAGTTTTTCCATATGGGCGGGTGGTTTATCGTCCTCAGGGTCAACAGGAAGCAAGTTAACTTCATATCCTCCTAATATAAATCGTCCATCAGGGGGAACGAAGCTTAGTTCACCAGGTTTTTCCCTCCAACGTGCAAGACGAACACATGGATGAAAAACAGGTAGTTCGATCTTATGTGAAAGACTCCTTTGACCCCCTGGAGCACTGAGTGAAAGGAGTAAATCCGGTACACCTGATATTTTGGCTGTAAAGACTATGGTGCCATAGACCAGAGCTGAGATGGGCCTTCCGGAGGGAGCAAATATGACTGATAAAGATTCAACTATGTCGACGTATAGCTCATTTGAGGTATGTCGGACACCCGGACGCCGCCAGGGTATTGCCGGTGCATTCGCGCCAGCTATTATAGGAGCAGTGGCTAGTGGTTGATTTAGAGGCTTTGATAACCCGGGAGCCTGAGATGCACTATTTCGCCATTCTCAAAGGTCAACATATGTACCATCCATAGACTGGAGCGCAGATTGGAATTTATATTCACCCCGGTAATCCCACCCCGCTCAAGAGCTTGCCCATCCACCCAGGAACATCGACCACCTCCTGTAGCGCGTTCGGTTCCGTATTACACACGATGCCAGCATCGCACATCTCATTCAGCAGTTGGCCAACCACATCGTAACTATTCTGTATCTTACTTCCTAGCAAGGGTGCGCCCACGAATTCTTCTAGAACATCTATGACCCGATGGATATATTCGAGGACCAGGAGTGGTTCCGCCTCGGAGCTGCATGGTACGAGGAAGAGGAGGTTTGTATGTGAAACAGAGAAAACGGAGACAGGCGGAGATGCGTCAGGAAGGTATATTAAAGACGGCCGAGGAGCTGGATGTGCGAGAAAGAGAGAGAGTATTGCCGTCGCGGGGGGTGGCCGCGAGCGGTAGACATGTTCGAGAATCGGCGTGCTATTAGCTACTGTCAGTGTTTAGATGTCGAAGGAATGGTAGAATAGCTCACTTGGTTTCATCGTAGATATAAAGAGCTTCTATAACAGCACTCATCGTTGCGAACGCCTTTGTGGGTGAGTGGTGGGAGAGCTCTTCGTCGTGGGGTATTTATTGTGTAGATATATATTTTTAGCTGCGTGACCTCATCGGAGTTTCGGTTTTCTCGTGATTTTTTAGCTGTGGGAAAGGACTTCAACGCCGACCATAGCTTCAATTATACACAGGTAGGTCTCCATCTTCATTTTTCTAGGAATTTTTACTAAATATTACAGATTAGATGGACATTACCACTCAGCAATAAGGCGCATACCTTTCTACGACCCCGATCAATCCTCTCCCTGTTGGAAGATGGCAAAAGAGACCGATGCGCCATGGGAAATCAACCCCAAAGACATTGAGAAGGCCATTGCACAAGATAAATATGACGATTGTCTTGCATGCAGAGCTACCGGTACGGCCTTTTTATGAGCATGGTTTATTGACTACGTACTAACGTTTGGTTTGCTGTGAACTAGGTAGTTTGGCGCTCGCAGGACTCGGTGGATGGAGTTACTATAACGGAATGAAAAACCTCCGTGAGCAAGAACAGAAGATCCTAAGAAGCGGCTCAAAATATAGAATGGGATCGAGGCGGATGGGAGTTTTTATGATATCAGCTTCGCTGGTGGGATTGGGGGTCTGGCGAGCAATAAACTGAAGCGGAGATGAGAAGTCTTTCGTTCTCATCTGAAGTTGTATATACTCTCCACTCGACGAGAATGTATGGCTGTATAGAGGATACAATATAAACATTTTAAGAAACAACTCTACGAGTAGACCTAGTCTAAAGGTTTATGGGTATCTCGGATTTCGACGATGCTATCTATCTACATGCAGATGCGAGAATATAAAAAATGCTGCGTAAAGAAAGCAAAAAAGATCAAACGCCTCGAGGTTATGCGTTGAAATGTCCGTCACTTCAGCCGATGATTGCATTCACTTGTCATTTCAACATAAGAGGGACATATAATAATATCTGCCGTATCGAATTCGTTATAAAAAGCGGCCACGTTTAGGCCCTCCAAATGGATCCCGACCGTTTCCTAAATTAGAGATATCGAAAAACTCGCCAAAGTGGAATTTTCGTTTTGACCCGGCGCCAGGAGTTGCGTCCCGGTTGATGGAGCGAGAATTATGGCGGTTTCCGTTTCCATGGCGGTGTGGTGTTCGAGGCGGGCGGGAGTGTACTTCTAATCTGACCGGAGGGTGAGACGGGTGTGAGGCGGTAATTTGTGGATCGTTCGACAGCGAAGAGGAGTTATCCATCCCCGCTTTCATATCAATATCTTCTTGCATGGGTAGACTCTGACCGGCGGTAAACGTGAATGCAGCGGTTCGGGGAGGTACGATAGCAATAGGGTCGGCAGGTATGGGCGTTGGCTGTGGAGTAGGAGCTTCGGATGGCTGTCTTGATTGCGGTTCGGGTTGCTGTAGTGGCTGTGGCTTTGGAGTCGTGGTATCGGCGTTTGTTTTACGCATGACAACAGGTGACGCTGCCCGGTGCCCTTTGTCTGTGTCCGCTTTATCATCATCACTGTCGTTTGACGATGTCCCGGTCATATCGATCTTATCCATAACCCAGTTTCGAATCCTCAGCCCTTCGCCATCGCTGAGGCCTATTTTTTCTTTATCCAAGAGTGCTCGGAGATCTTCCAGGGCATCCTGATATCCAAGATGTCGTGACTGTGCTTGGTCTGATACCGCATTCTTGTAGAGATTGGTGACGGATAGGGCGGCGGTTTTAAATGCTTGTAGCAGGAGTTCTGGTGGTTGTGCGGTAGAGGTTGACGGGAGTGATTTGTTAAGTGACCGCATTGAGTCCATGGCTGCAGAGTCCAGAGACGCTCTCAAGGGTGATTGTCGATGAGCCAGACTCCCCCCCTAGATATATCTGATAGGCCGGCCAACAGTTCGAGGTGGCGAGCGAATATCGAAGTTCGATAATAAACAATCAAATTTGCTACCAAAGTGGGGTGCGATTTAGACAACCACACGAAGCGAAGCCGCCGGAGCTACGGACGGTGTAAGCAGTCTGCCAATCGAGGCTGGAAGTCGTATCGAGCGGAAGTGAAATCGGGCGACGATGAGATGTGACCGAACGAGGTTATGAAGCCTGGTCCAAAAGCTGAGTTGGAGACGTTGAGGGCGAAGGTTGGACCGTTTGGGCCGGTCGTAACTAAGATGGCGACGGAGAGACGGATTTTCCTTCTCCGGCTTGTTTGGTGCACGCTGACTTGATCGTATGGGTGGACTGGACGGTCTTCTCCTTCACTCTTGCTGATAAATATGCTTGGAAGAAGGATGTGAATGGAGGATGTTGTTCGTTGTTCGTTGTTCGAGCCGCAGCTTTGATATATGGATGACTGGCCGGGTCGTGATGTCAGGGATACATCATGCATATACATCATGCTCACTCGAGGTTCCATGCACAACCACACATGTTTGCTACACCAGTTAACTACCTCTCTCTCTACATCTATATCTATGTATATATCTATATATATCTCTCTCTCATAACGCCTTTCTTAACATCTTCTTCTTCTCTTTTCTTCTCGGAGTTTCTTTTTTTTATGCAGGAACAACGTTATTCCGTATATGCTTACCCATCCTGCTTATTCATGCTTACTCATCCACTCCAGCCAATCAGCGCGTCTCCCTGGCAATATTCACCTTGTCCCGAAGAAAAGTCTCGCGATCTTGCCCGTTCGGGGTCGTCCTGCTTCGCCATCAGCTCCCTTCTCCCTCCTCCCACCGACAACGCCCCGGGCCATGAGAGATCGCGCGCCAGATACCACCGCACCGTCCTGCAAATCTTCAGCCTCGCCGCCTTGCTACATCCATTAGACCATCTACGCCTTTTTACGAGTGGCTCAGAGCGCGTTTTAAAGCGATCTATATCAGTCTAAAGCGCTTTCGCTGCGAGGCATGGCTCCTACACAAGAACACCCCTCCACGGGCGACGAGGACATAACCATGGCAGATGCCTCCGGGTATCAGCCGTCTGATGACGCAGAAGTGCACGAGGATCAAGATATGAAGGTACGCGTTGAGCCCGTTGCGGGTGTGGGATGTATACCCCGGTTGTGCTGACATTTGTCTCTTGTCTTTAGGAGTACCAGGAAACGCCTGACTACACGGTAGGCTCCCTCTTGTGGACATGATTGTTCTCCGTCTATCTTTCCAGCGCAAATTGTATATCAATGCTGACAGTCGTAGGATTCCGATACTAACCCAAATACCACTGCGAGTAGCGTTGCTGGCGATGCTGCTCAGGCAGATGGCCGGAAGCGGAGGACGGAAGCGTTCCAGTTGCGCAAAAGCGTTCTAGGTAAAAAACATGGACGTCTCGACGAGTCAATGGTAGGTTATTCCAGTTATCCCAGCATCTATCTCGTCCCACAGATCTAATAATTGCATTTACTATAACAGGAAGACGACTCAATTCGACGATTCCGCTATCTGCTCGGATTGACTGACTTGTTCCGCCACTTTATCGACACCAACCCTAACCCGCGAATTAAAGAGATCATGGCTGAAATTGATCGCCAAAATGAAGCAGCATCGAACTCGAGGAAAGGGGCTACGAGAAAGGGCGGCGCTGCCGGAGAACGCCGCCGAAGGACAGAACAAGAAGAAGACGCAGAGCTTTTGAAAGATGAGAAACGAGGAGGAAAAACCGAGACTGTCTTTCAGCAGTCACCTTCCTTCGTCCGTGGTGGCGAGATGCGTGATTACCAAATTGCTGGCCTGAACTGGCTTGTTTCACTCCATGAGAATGGTATTTCAGGCATATTAGCCGACGAGATGGGTCTTGGAAAGACGCTTCAAACAATTTCCTTTTTGGGCTATCTTCGACATATCTGTGGGATCTCAGGACCTCACCTGGTCGCCGTCCCAAAGTCGACTTTGGACAACTGGAAACGAGAGTTTGGTAGATGGACACCCGATGTAAACGTCTTGGTCTTACAGGGAGCGAAGGATGAACGACACCAACTCATCAACGAGCGCCTCATCGATGAGAAATTCGACGTATGCATCACCAGTTACGAGATGATTCTCAGGGAGAAGTCGCACTTGAAAAAATTTGCTTGGGAGTACATCATTATCGACGAGGCGCATCGAATCAAGAATGAGGAGTCATCCCTCTCACAGATTATTCGCGTGTTCAAGTCCCGAAACCGACTTTTAATTACTGGAACTCCTCTACAGAACAACCTTCACGAACTCTGGGCTTTGCTGAACTTTCTACTTCCCGATGTGTTTGGTGACTCTGAGGCTTTCGATCAATGGTTCTCCAACCAAGAGGCGGATCAAGATACAGTCGTCCAGCAGTTGCACAGGGTCTTGCGACCATTTTTGCTGCGTCGAGTGAAGAGTGACGTCGAGAAGAGCTTGCTCCCAAAGAAGGAATTAAATCTTTATATCGGAATGTCAGAGATGCAAGTCAAGTGGTATCAGAAAATTCTTGAGAAAGATATCGATGCTGTCAACGGTGCCCAAGGTAACCGAGAGTCCAAAACCAGACTCTTAAACATTGTCATGCAACTACGCAAATGCTGCAACCATCCTTACCTTTTCGAAGGCGCAGAGCCTGGGCCTCCATATACGACTGACGAGCATCTTATTGATAACGCCGGAAAGATGGTAATTCTCGACAAGCTGCTCAGTCGTTTGTTTAAACAAGGCAGCCGAGTCTTGATATTTTCTCAAATGAGCCGTGTCCTTGACATATTAGAGGATTATTGCGTATTCAGAGGACACGAATACTGTCGAATTGATGGCTCAACCGCTCACGAAGACCGTATCCAGGCGATTGACGAGTACAACCGTCCAGGCTCTGAGAAATTCGTCTTTCTGCTCACCACACGTGCTGGTGGACTGGGTATCAACCTTACCTCCGCCGATATTGTCATTCTCTTTGATAGTGACTGGAATCCTCAAGCCGATCTGCAAGCTATGGACCGAGCACATCGAATTGGTCAGACCAAGCAAGTGGTTGTTTTCAGATTCATCACTGAAAATGCGATTGAAGAAAAGGTGCTGGAACGAGCAGCCCAAAAGCTTCGATTGGACCAGCTCGTCATTCAACAGGGCCGCGCGCAACAACAGGCTAAAAATGCGGCTTCCAAGGATGAATTGCTCAGCATGATCCAGCACGGTGCCTCCGATGTATTTAGTTCCACAGGGGGCACTTTCGGCAGTGGCAAGGATATCTCCGAAGACGACATTGAACGTATCTTGAAGAAGGGCGAGGAGCGTACCGCTGAGCTCAAAAACAAATACGAGAAGCTCGGAATTGATGACCTTCAAAAGTTCACCTCCGAAAACGCCTATGAATGGAATGGAAAAGATTTCACGAACCGCAAGAAGGACATCGGCTTAACTTGGATCAACCCTGCTAAGCGAGAGCGAAAGGATCAGTCGTACACTATCGGCAGCTTCTACAAACAGACCTTTACAAAGCCTTCGGAGCCAAAGGTTAAGGTACCCAGGGCACCAAAGCAGACTACCATTCACGACTGGCAATTCTTCCCACCTAAACTCCAGGAGCTACAAGAGAAAGAGACTGCCTATTTCCACAAAGAGATTGGTTACAAAGCTGCCCTCGCGGAGGGCCCTGAAGAAGGTCTCAGTGATAGAGAGGCAGAACGTGAACTTGAGCAGCAGGAAATTGACAGCGCAGTTCCCCTTACTGCGGAGGAGCAAGAAGAGAAGGCCAGACTATCTACGCAAGGATTCTCCAACTGGAACAGACGAGATTTCCAGCAGTTCATTAACGGCTCTGCTAAATTTGGACGCACCAGCTACGAAGAAATGGCCACCGAAGTCGACAGCAAAACCCCAGAAGAGATCAAGGAATATGCCAAAGCCTTCTGGAAACGATACACTGAGATCCTTGATTACCCGAAATACATCCGTGTTATCGAACAGGGCGAGGAGAAGATGAGGAAAATGAACCAGCAGCGAAAGCTCCTTCACAAGAAGATGGAACAATATCGTGTACCTCTCCAACAGTTGAAGGTCAACTACACTGTGTCCACTACCAACAAGAAAGTATACACGGAAGAAGAGGACAGGTTCTTACTCGTTATGCTTGACCGACATGGTGTCGATGGTGAGGGTTTATACGAAAAGATTCGTGACGAGATTCGCGATAGCCCTCTTTTCCGATTCGATTGGTTCTTCCTCTCCAGAACGCCTGTTGAGATTGGTCGACGATGCACCACTTTGCTAAACACTGTTGCAAAGGAGTTTGAAGGCGATGGGAAGACGTCCAATGGTGATAGCAAGTCTAAAGCCCGTGATCGGGATGAAGAGGTAGAAAATGGTGAAGTTAGTGGCCCGGCAAAGAAGAAGTCCAAAAATGCTGCAGTGGTAAGTCGCACTTGGTCTTTTGTTCACTCTTTAAAATCTATTTATCTAACAATATCGTGTTATAGAACAAAAAGCTCAAAGCAGTTCAGTCATCAAGCAAAGCAACGTCAACCAACACATCTAGAGCAGGAAGCGTCTCGTCATCAGGCCCGGCTTCCAAGAGCAAATCAAAGAAACGATAGAGGTACAACGGCCTATTTCTTTGAATCTCTGGTACATGTAATATCATTCTGGCGTCAGGTCTGGGAAAGAAAATTAATATGGCGCTTTGGAGGCCAGGGGTTGACTTGACATCAGTGGTTCCCCTTTACACCCCTATGGTTCCTTTACCGTTCTAAATATACTACAACCTTTAAACGTATATTTAATGCATCTTAAAAACCACTGTGTGCTTCTACCTCCGTTATTGTATTTAGTGTTAATAAACAATGGTTGTTTGATGATATTAAGACATGAATATTGGTTTATTTCCTAAATATTACTAGATCATTGGTTATCGTGTCAAGACTCCAAATACTCCAACGCTTTCTATCGTACATATGCATGAGGCCCCCAAACACCGGATAAATATAGGTAGATAATAATACATATTTCAAGCTGTGCAAACATAGCTTCGGGTATAGCAAAAGAGACATCGATTGGTATATGCGAGTATGAGGGTTAAAAGATTAGAAGATACGATTCGTATCCTCAATAGGAGTTTCAGATGAAAACGGTGCATCGGTAACCCCAGAGGGCGGGCGCGAGAGGAAGGCTTCACATAAGAGGGCAGACGCCACGCTCACATTCAAGCTAGAGACACCGGCGATATCGTCCTGCACGTTGTCCGAATATGCCCCAGGAATTGTAACGAATGCATCAGCCCTATTTTTTATTTTCTGCTGCAAGCCCGAACCCTCGCCTCCCAACATTAAAACACAAGGTGCTGTCTGCAGCTCAGAAGATAGGGTGTCTAAGTTACCCATGACGGGGACTTTCCGCGTGTAGTCATTCACCAGTGTCGCACTGGGAGCATCTGCGGCGAAGAATTTCCAGCCGTTCGATTGAGATCCCGTTAGGAATGAGTTTACATCGCGAATTGCAAGGGTTGGGATGGTTTCAGTTGCGCCTGCAGCTGCCTTCATGACGACTGATGATATGGGCGCCGAATTCAGAGGGGAGAAAACGATTGCATCCACCCCGAACCAGTAAGCGCTTCGGAAGATAGCCCCAAGATTTCCAGGATCAAGGATTCCATCGAGCAGTAGGGTGAAAGGATAGCGGCTTCCTTTAGGATTTTTCCGTCGAGCTTCAAAGGGAATATGGCCATCGGTGCCGTTGACGGCTGCTTGTTCATCGGGCTGAGGCGCTAAGTTCGCTAAGAAATGCGAATTGGACATGGAAAGGACCGTTTGGAAATTCAACACTGGAGGTTTTGGGAGTGGTGACGCCTCCAAAACCAAACCATTATGAGGCCGTTTGCCTGTCATTTTATCCAGGGTATGTTTCCAGGGACCAGTAACATGTTTTACCTGCGCACCTGCCAGACTCGCATATTTGGCAATGGGCCTTATATGCTGTTGCTCCCATTTAGGCTCCCTTGAAACATCCCCACCAGATTCTTCGTATATATACAGGGTGTAAAGCTTTCGACGGCCACATCGTACCGCAGCGTTAACTGCAGAGGTTCCATAGATGAACTCGGCTACAGGGGAACTGTAGGGTATGTGATGAGGCGGCACAAGGTAAACTTTTCTCGACAGGGAGTGATTCGTATCTGGCACCTCGTCTTCGGTTTTGGCGTATCCTGACCGTGGCGGATATACATTTGGCACCGACGTGCGTTTTCCAAATCGTCTCTCTTGCGCTTTCGTTCCGTATATGTGCTTTTTCTTCAAAGTGAACTCATCTCCAGTATCATAAGTGTTGGAAGGCCGCCGGTGGTTGTTAGGATCCGTCTCTTGACGACTGTTCATAGACGGGGGCTCCACGCGCTCAGGTGGCGTATCTCCCAAGCGGTAAGTGTCATAACCACCTTCTTGGTACCAAGGTGAAGGTTTATTGCGTTCGAAAGGCCTTCGACCGCCGGCATCCCTTCGATTTATAGAGGAACCGTCTCCCATTTCACCTTGGTCTCGAGACTGCGGCCGAGACCGAGACGAGACCTTTCCCCGACCCTCCCATGGACTCGGTTTCCTCGTACTTTTAGCATTGCGTCCTAGGCTCCAGTCGTTTGATCTGGGCTGCCTCTTGTTCTCCTTGAATCCACGGCCTTTCCTGATGCCAGAGGTAATGGCGGAGTTCACTGACAGGTATCGGATGGGATTAAAGGCCGGAGAGATGAGTAGTCCCTGTAAACGTAGGCGCCAGGTCCCCAGTCCCCCCAGAGTAGACGATAACATCATGGTGCTCATAAACAAGAAACTGTCAGCCCAGATATGTCTCCCTTATGCAGGGGCAATTCTGGTTGATATGAAATAAACCTGCAGCAAGAGCTCAAAATAATTTCTTAGAGCTTATCGGATTATGTAATATCAAAGCTGACTAAGATTATCGGAACAGTAATGATCCGTCTACTTTATCTATTAAATTTCCCCGATCTTCAACTCCTTTTTTTCCTCTATACAGCTTCCATATATTCTTAGTTCATAAGTAGTACAAGTAAATATATAAAGATAATATCCCCACCCTCAGAGGAGCCTTCTCCTCGCCTTGCGGCTATTGAAGCGCGCTTCTTAGTTAAATTGGGTTTCGTGCGCGTAAAAGATGACTAAGTGATAGCTTTCCATCCGCTTAGTCATATATATACGATACCATACCAAAGTGACGAGATTAGCCCACGCATGATGATGTAACTTAGCGTATTTATAAAACGAGCTACTGCACCTCCCCAAGATGTTTGCATCAGATAAGGACGAGACCTAGATCAAAAAAGTTGTAGACAAGGGGTGCGATCACATATCAGTCTCTACTATTCCTTCTCCCTCCTTTCGCGCTCCTAATTAAGTTAGTTCTACTGAGGAAATGAGGTGAGTAAGAACAGCTCATTCCCGACTCTATATCGGACTCCATATCTCACCACTACGCGTTTCTCTCTATTTCTATCTAATCGCGTCCTAAAACTAATCTAACGCCTACAACAGGACACCTTCAAGCCGAGGTCTCGCTGTCCCTCTCTAATATAAAATGCGGCCGTTCCAGGATCTTGCTATTTCTTCCTCGGTGGGAACCGATTCCGATGAGGATGCGGCGAATTTCATCCTCAGTCAATTCACGGCTATAAATCCAACCGCGTTTCCAGTGAAGCCCGCACCAACCACGCCCCCAAGTCCCCGAGTTGTGATCCCAAAGATTACTATTGATCAATCTGAATACTCATACCTACCCGGCCATTCGGTCGTCAAATGTATAAGATCTAAGGTGGACTACCTTTCAGACTCATACGAGGTCGAGCTGAAAAGTGGTGAAGTTGAAGTGGTGAGTTGATCAAGAGTATATCTCTTTCTCACTTGTGGATTATGTCTAACTAGACTGCAGTTATCTTCCAGCAACATTCGCTCCCTTAAAAGTGGCGCCGAAGCTCTCTCCTCGTTCGACTCTAAAGATGCCTACTCCGTTTCAGAATCCTCCTCCAGCAGCTCAGAAGACGAGCTTACCGTACAACGTCCTACCAGACAACGTTCCAAAAGAGTTAAAACAATTGATTCTGATGAGGGTCCTCGTCAACCAAGAAGTCTTCGACAAAGAAATCTAGCCAAGGTTAACTACTCGACGCGACTAGGAAGCGTTGAATCTCAAGATTCTGCTCCAAGGAGGAGGTCGCGTCGAGTAAATAATCACCGTGGCCATTCAAGTGATGGCCTTATAGAACTAGACAGTGACGATTCTAGCGACAATGCTAGGGGGAAATACCGCGTGAAGAGACGAAAAGTTTCAAAATTTGAGCGAGAACCCCGGAACGGAACTCGTACGTCACAACGGCAGCGGAAACATGTCGGCAGTATGGCTGAAAGATTGGAGGATGACATTTCCGAAGTTGAAGTCGTACAAAAAGCGACTAAATACTCGGCTGCCCGAGAACATTTTTCTAAGCTCCCTAAAGATGACCCCTTTAGGCTTCGTCACCAATCGGCGTGCAGAGTCTGCTTCACCGCTGGGGACAGCTCTGAAAAAGGGGTACTTGTCTACTGCCAGGGTTGCACGGATTCATACCACCAAGGGTGCCTTGGACCTCGAGGCCAGCGGGCCCATCTTGTCAGCAAGATAAGTTCGCAGTATTTCATTCTTCAGTGCCGTTATTGCCTTGGGCAAGCACGCGAGAAAGATACGCTAGCTCCGCACCATGGTGATTGCACCAAATGTAGAGCTTCTGGCACGATGTCAAAGGCCCTACGGCCACGTCTAACAGTAAGACAGGAACATTTGCAGCGGGAGGAGAACGGTGGAGAAGATCCCTGTCTCGATATAGATGAATCTCAACTAGACTTGACGGAGAACGTCATGTTCCGCTGCGATTCATGTAAACGTGCCTGGCATATGCATCATTTGCCCCGAAAATCCGGGACATCATATAGCATTGATGATGGGCTGGAAGACGACGAGTTATCAGACAAGCGCTTCAAGGAGTATGCTAGACGCTGGACTTGCAATGAATGTGCGAACCTGCCTGGCGAGATTGAGTCGCTGGTCGCGTGGAGGCCAACCAACCTAGACAACTATACGCCAGGATACACCTCTGACGAGGTCCGAGAGGATGCAAAAGAGTATTTAATAAAATGGCGAAAGCTTTCTTATTTCCAAACTTCGTGGATGCCAGGGCCATGGGTTTGGGGGATCACAGCTCCTCCTATGCGCAAAGCTTTCAATAAAGCAGAAAATGGGCAAAAGCCTCGAATGACAACCGAAGACGCAATTCCCGAAGACTACCTCCTTGTGGATATTGTCCTTGATGTTAAATATTCAAACGTCGTTTCCGAACGAACCCTCGAGATTGATCTAGCCCGAGCGGAAGAAGTTGAGAGTGCCTACGTGAAATACCGAGGTCTTCCTTACGAGTCTTCCGTTTGGGAAAAACCACCTAACCGAAATAATTCCGAAAGATGGCAAAGTTTCCAAGGAGCATACGAGGATTGGGTAGTAGGAAACCATATTCAAATTCCCAAGAACGGTGTCTTGAAAAGGCACCTTGCCTATGTCCGCTCTAAAGACTTTGCAAAGCACTGGGTACGGAAGAAGCAACCAGAAATACTTACTGGTGGGGAATTGATGAACTACCAGCAAGATGGACTCAATTGGATATACTTTATGTGGTATAAGCAACAGAGTTCTGTGCTGGCAGATGAGATGGGTCTAGGAAAGACTATCCAGGTCATCTCATTCTTTGCTACGTTAATTCAAGATCACAACTGTTGGCCATTCCTTGTCGTCGTTCCGAACTCGACTTGTGCGAACTGGAGGCAAGAGATAAAAACATGGGCGCCGAGCCTTCGAGTTGTAACATGTTATGGCTCCAGTGCTGCTCGAAAAATTGCCCAAGAATATGAAATGTTTCCCCGTGGGTCAAAAGAACTCCGGTGCCATATTGTCGTGACTTCTTACGAGAGTATGGTTGAGGAGAAGACTAAAAAGATCTTCTCTTCCATTCCCTGGGCAGGGCTTGTGGTGGATGAAGGACACCGACTGAAGAACGATAAAAATTTACTTTATGAAGCGCTGTTGAAGTTGAACGTACCGTTTAAACTACTACTGACAGGGACACCGCTGCAAAACAACATTCGTGAATTGTTCAACATTTTACAGTTCTGTGACCGCTCTCATAATGCAGCTGCCCTGGAGGAAGAGTTTAGGGATATTACAAACGAGAACGTTAACAAACTACACAATATGATCAGACCCTTCTTTCTCCGTCGAACTAAAGCTGAGGTCCTATCATTCCTACCGCCGGTGGCGCAAATAATATTGCCCGTTTCAATGACGATCGTGCAGAAGAAACTATACAAGTCGATTCTTGCAAAGAACCCACAGCTAATCAAGGCAGTTTTTAAGAATTCTGACTCCGGTTCGACTACCAAGCAGAATGAACGTCATAACTTGAACAATATTTTGATGCAGCTTCGAAAATGCCTATGCCATCCATTTGTGTACTCCAAGGCCATCGAAGAAAGGGGTGTCAATTCTGCCCTGCTACATAGAAATATGGTAGAGGCGTCGTCTAAATTACAACTTCTAGAGCTCCTATTACCCAAACTTCAAGAACGCGGGCACCGTGTACTAATATTCAGTCAGTTTCTCGACTTTTTGGACATTGTCGAAGACTTTTTGGACGGCCTTGGTCTTGAACATCTTCGTTTGGACGGCACCATGAGCTCGTTAAAGAAGCAGAAGAGCATTGATGCGTTTAACGCCCCAGATTCTGACTACTTCGCGTTCTTACTCTCCACTAGAGCTGGAGGTGTTGGAATCAACCTTGCAACCGCGGATACTGTCATAATTCTGGATCCTGACTTCAACCCACATCAAGATATACAGGCTCTATCGAGAGCTCACCGTATTGGCCAGAAAAAGAAAGTCATGGTTTTTCAGCTTATGACGCGTGGTTCTGCCGAAGAGAAAATTATGCAGATCGGAAAAAAGAAGATGGCTCTAGATCACGTTCTTATCGAGCGTATGGATGCAGAAGATGATGGCGAGCTTGATATGGAGACCATTCTGCGCCATGGCGCAGAAGCCTTATTCGACGACGACTGCACTGGGGATATCACCTACGATTCACAATCTGTCAACAAGCTTATTGAGCAAAGTGAGGTGGAAAATACCAAGACTGGGGCAGACGCTTCTGCGGAATCGCAGTTCAGCTTTGCGAGGGTATGGGTTAATGAATCAATGGAAGACGCCCTTGATGACGCCGAATCACCACCGCCGAGTAATACTGTCTGGGAGAAGATCCTTAAAGAGAGGGAAAAGGCAGCAGAACATGAAGCGAGGCTTAAGGCACAGACATTTGGTAGAGGTAAACGTAAACGCCAGGTATGTTCTCGGCAACGTACGTATTCTTTAATTATGCATATGCTAAATCATACTCTTAGGCTATCAATTATAAAGTCCCAGGCAAGCATAATGGCGGAGACGATGATAGTGACGTTGAATTCAATTCCAACCCGAACTCGGGTTCTGATACTGATGGAACCAACGCATCTGGTGCATCTGAGGCCTCCGAGAAACGTGCAGGTAAGCATTTTCTTGTACAACCTTCCAAGAAACCCACGCGCTTACATATTCTACCAGTTCGCCCTTTCCAACGTGCCAATATTGCAAACTCAATTGTCCATGAAAGTGTGCGGTCGAATACAAAGGAAAAGCAATACCCTTGTATTGCCTGCGATCATCTTCACCCTATCGGTTACTGCCAGTTGAGACTTGCTGGAATTGAGCACTGTGGACTCTGCGGGATTGCCCACCTTGGCCATGCACGAACATGTCCCCATCTCAACTCCGAGCTACAAGTTGCATCAATGCTTGGCTCACTCCGGCAGAGCACGGAGCCAGATCATCTTGTTGACGCTGCTACAAAATATTTACGAGGAATCCGTGGACACCTTGTTGCGCGACGCAAAAACAACCAGAAATCCGCACAGCGAGAACAAGTGCAATATGCCCAGTCTTCGCAAAATACTGCCCATCCACGGCCCGCTCCAAATCGCTATGATCCTCATTACCCGCCTCCTCCCCAACCTCCGAACGGTTTCACCGACTCCAGTTCTCGCACAGCACCTCCACGGCCAGGTCTGCCATACACCCAGCATCAGCCTCATCCTCACCCCCCTGCCGCAACGCCTGGATATTCCCCGTATACCCCAAACCCATACCCCGGTCAACCAAGTTCCACCCGCTCCCCATACCGATATCAACCCCAGTATTAAAAGTGAAGCACGTTAGTCACAGGATGACAGTCGTACTCTATTTTTGGCCCTACCCTTGATTACCCCGAACAATACCACATGACCTTCCAGCTATGTACCAAGATCAAAATTCTAAATAGATTATGGCGCTCTGTGACCCCGTCAGTCCTATAGATAGATCTCTTGTAAGAATTAGACAGTTTAATCAATTGCCTTCAGCATAGTCCTCGTGTATTCTAGTTGCACCTCATATTGCTCTCTATCCGGTACGAGCGAAGAGTTATATCACGTGATGAATTACCCTAAATACGAACGACGTCCAATATCAAGATCCAAAGGAAGATGAGACTGTTTGAAGGGAGAATAAGAAAAAAAGACTGTATGGCAGTGGATTTTATCCTCTATACTTTCCAATACCAACTAGATTTGCAATTATCTACGTCTCGGGAAGGATAGATGACTCTTGGAATGAGAATTTCAAGTTGTTTGCCATCGTCCGTTAAGACAATATCCCCATATTTCCAACATCTGAAGTTTGATGAAATGGCAGAGTGTAAGAGAATTGGGTGCCTAATCAAAGACTCAGTATCAGTATTTGCCTCCAATATGGGAATACTAGATGTCTCCCTGAGATGGATTTCTCCGCGTCATTCTTTGATGCAGGCTTGTTGGCTAGCAGCAGAGTCAACGTACAGAGTCTTTGAAAAAATAAGCTGCTCTTAGATCTATGTCGCTTGATCTTAACCTCCGCCTGGTGGTTATAACTCATGTCTTATGGACTCTCCGTCTCCCTCTATGTGAATCCAGGTACACTCCCTCTATGGCTGGCTACCAAACTCTTCCATCATTTTGCACTATGGATGCAATGTCCCGTTGAAACCACAGTTGGGCCGCCAGCACGGATGCACTCTGGCCCATCTGCTAGTGCAAACTGTCAGACTGTCTAAGGAAAGTAACAAAGATCTGTTGGCAAACACCGGTCGCTTATCTAGATTAGATCCAGCTTCTCCGCACAGGCGCCTCAGCCTGGATATCACTTGCCATCTCCCCCTTGCTGTCTCACCTCCTTCACTGCATCTAGAGTCTCTGTTTAGGGCCTTTATTCACTTCCAAAACCAGCTGTGCTATCTATATAGCATCTTGCTCCATGGTTTAGGGCATCTAGTGAATAGCATTCTGATGCAAGGCGCCAGTTTCTGAGCAGCAACACACAATCAGGAGCCGCCTTACCTAAATGGGAAGTATCAAACAATCATCTTCATTTTCTCGCTTCTATAACACAATCTCACTCTTCCCCAGCCTCCTCCACCTCACTTACGCACATTCATTCTCTCTTTCCCTTCTCTGTCTTCCTTCTCTCTCATCCTCTCCATCCTCTTCATCCTCTTCTCTCAGGATCTCCTTTCTTCTCTTCTGCCATCTGAAGTTGTTTCCTTATTTCAGTCTCTATATCTGGCCAAGCTTGTGAACATTTGTGACTTGTTTTCTTCATCCATATCAGTTTCAGGGTGCTATTTCCTTGCTACCTCTCGCTTCAAGACTTTGCTACGTCGAGTCCAGCACTTCAGGAGCTCGAAATGGCGATGCCTCTTCGCCCGCTACACTTCCTGTCTCGCGAGGATGGCACACTTACAGCTCTTATTGCGGTTGATGAACTCCCCCATTATGTTTCTATCCGCGGGGTTCCTCGTACTCTTAACCACAGTGATACTCAGGGTATGACCAGCCTTGGAACGGTCAAGTCTCGGGGACAGTTTTACCTTCTCGACAACGCCATCCAGCACGCTTCCAAGGCTGGAGGAGAAAAGCCAAACAACCCAAATTATTCGTTGGTGGCAGGACGTGGACCTGATGGATATGGCCAGTTTGCCATTGATCTGCAGAACTCTATCCTTGACTCGCAAGTGGTTGAGAATCCAGAATACACTACTGTTAATGCGAGTGGTCAGCAGCTTGCCAAAAATGTAAGTTGACTTGTGGGTGTTAAATAACTATATATCTACACCAGGGTAGGCTAACGGATGTGAACTCTTTCAGAACTCTGGAAACCGCTCTTCCAAAGGCAACCAAAATGGAAATGCAACCAAAAAAGAGTATTGTTCTTTCTGGCTTCGCCATGGTGAATGTGACTACCAGCAGCAGGGTATGTCCCGGGCGATACAGTATATACTACCAAGCATGCTGACATTTCATTATAGGTTGCATTTTCAAACATGAAATGCCCACAGACAAGCCGACCCTTGATAAGCTCGGACTCAGAGCTATCCCTCGCTGGTACCGCGAGAAGCATGGGGTGAAGGGTGTTGGTGGTAGCGGTAACGGAAGAACTCGCCACGAAGGAAACGGCCGCTTCTGGCGCGCTGAGAACCATCATCATCCGATCTCTAGCCACGGAGATAGGCGTGACATTCATGGCAATCATCTCGTTACCACTGGCATCCCGGAGGAGAAATTTAGGACTACTCCTACACCCTCCCAGCATGCATCTGCTCCTGGCATATCTCACAGCCACCAAGCAATCTATAATTGTGTGCCGGTCCCTTTACGCCCACTTCATCAGGGCATGTCAACTCCAGGAGGAACGAATACGAATATAGCGGCAAGCAACTCTTCTCTTGGAGCTCCCAAAGTTGCCAATAGGTGCGACCTTATTTCTATTGATGACCTTCGGAAAAGCCCTACTCCAGAGCACATGGCACAAGCTCGAGCCAATGCTGGGTTTGGAAAATTCGTTGGTCAACATCCCCATGGTAGGCCTGACTTGATGGATTATCCTTCCGCAAATGGACCTGGACCATCAGTTCGAGGCAATGGCTCCAACGAATCCAAGGCCCTAGACGCAGGATCCCACAACGGCGTGATGCTCCCCCGCAACTACGGTCCTGTCCCTATGCAGATGCCAGGTACAAACTCTCTTTGGGCTATGGGTGAAAATGATGGAGATAGTTGGAACACGATGCCCTTGACTCCCTTCCAGTCTGCTATCGGAACCCCAACCAACCAGTCAAATGGCCAAGGAGCGCAGCTCAAGAAAAAGACTCAGCGATCTCGTCGACTCTACCAACGCAGACAGTCACTTGATGGTCTTGACGCCACTGATGAGGAGAAGAACTTGCGAACCATGAGTGTATCTCCCATCAACACTGGAGTTCCCACCCACGATTTAAAGGGGGCAGCGCCGGGAGCAATTTCGCCCTGCCTATCTCCCCACCCGCCATCCGGCAGTTATACTTCTTCCCCTTGCTCTCCCCGTTCAGGCCATACGGCTAGCCGTCTCTCTGACAATCTTGACTTCCGCGGGAACGGTAACCACAGGTATGCAAGCCGCGGCTCACCCAATTCAACTGAATCGACAAACACCAACAACAACGGTGGAGCCACCTGCGACTTGTTTGACCTTGGTTTGAACAATCCGATTACTTTAGGCGCCAGACAGGCCTAAGGCCATACTATAACTCATATACTCAGTTACACCAGACATATGACATTGCTGGATATGGTCCGCCACCTTCTGCCATTATGTTCTCCCCAAAAACACTGCACTAGTCCTTTTCTTCGACTTTCTTTCTTCCTTCCTTCCTTTACAACTTCAATATGAAAATTGGATTCAAATTACCCTTCTCAATGTATAATTCGTGTATTGGACAAGAGACGTTCATACATTGGATTATATACGACTTCCCTCTTCAGCGGTGGTGGCATTACTCTGCAATAGCCTATTCCTGATCGAAGGGTATGGGTTGACATCAAAACACAACGGAATACGACGCTCGATATGCGAAACCAGGAGGATACCCTCGCTGAAAGATGGAGCCTGCTTGTGGATAAATTAGTTTGCTGGAAATGGGTGTTGTTTGCTCTTTACTTTTTATTTACCCTCCTTCTCTGACACTTTACAACAAATATAAGGGGCACGGACAGGTCAAAATTCCCTCTGCTCCTTGTCAGATGATATCAGAATTTGTTCTTTTTCTACATGTTATTTGTTTTCCCTGCGCGGGCTTTTTTTTCCTCCTATGTACTGTTTTATTCCAAGGGTGCATCCGCAACTCCATCCTATAACAATGGCAAAAAAAAAAAAAAAAAAAAGTCCCAGCCGATCCAGAGGCTTATATGAACATTTGTTGATTAAGAAAAAAAAATAATTCAATGTAGTACATGTTGATATAAAATACAATACACAGAAAAGTGTACGTTCCAAGCCCATAGTCTAACCCGTGGAGGGAAGGGCATTTGCCCACCGCCAAAAGCACAAACATCGTCTATTATGAAACAGCTTTAATGCCTCGCCTTGGGGCCACGGCCTTTTTGCCCTCTCTTAACTGGTACGGTTTGCGCTGATGAGCCAAATGGATCTATCGAGTTTAGAGCAGGTTGCGTCTTTGCGGCATGCGCAATAACTTCGTTCCCGTCCACAATCCCCTTAACCGCCAATATATCGTCAACCCAATTCCGCGATGCCTCTATTTGCTTCTTGTTCTCCTCGGTCACCTTCCAGGATTCTGGGAACACGTATCTCTTCTTTGGCTTATGGTGATTGAAAGTCAATGGGATGTCGGCGAACGAATCGCCCTCCTTCGCTTCCTTGATGAGTGTGCCGACCAAATCTCCGAGATATCTCTTGTTCTGGGCACGGGTAGGGAATTTCTCACAGGACATGTGAATGATATCGGTATCGGGGTTGTAGCGTGTTCCAACTAGCTTTAGAAGGGTGATTCTTTGCTCTTCGGTGAGGTATTTTGGCGCGAGATCCTTGGAACATAGCTCGACTACTACTTTTGTTTCTGCAGGATGGGTTTCACCTAGATAGGTGGTTTGTCGGAAACGGAGAATGTGGGTTTCTGGTGGGAGGGTGAAAGGTTTTGCAAGAGCTGGATCAAGGACGTTCTTAGCCTCGCTTCTGGTAGAATTTAAGAACTCAGTATACGGAATATAAACATACCGCTCAACGATGGCATATCCCATGCTATAATGCGCGCATATTCTCTGTGTTCACGGTGTTCTTCGAGTTCGGCATGTGCCATAGACGTAATATCATCGTTATGGAACTCCTCGTCGTTATCCTCCGTCACCCGCATCAATTCGTCGTCTTCATCTTCACCCCAATAGGTATTTCTCAGACGTGGTAGCTCTGGGTAATCGCCTTGCACCATCCGAGAGATTTCATGCACGTTGTTGTTGATTTCTTGCATGAGCTCCCTTTCCGCTGCCTGATCGAGCCCAAGCCCAAGTCCTTTCGGATGATTCTCATCTTCATCGCCCTCAGGGTGCCGTGAACGAGCACCCGAGAACGGTTGTCGTCTCTGTCGATTAAATGTTGAGCATGGTGGCTGAATATGCAGTGACGCGGTGCGCCTCGGTGTAGCTTGCCTGGAGCACGACAAGGCTAATCGGGTAAAAGATCTTGCAACTGGAACCATGGCCGGCAGCAATTGAAGACCTACAAGCAGAGATAAGAGGCGTGGCAGGCTGTTGGTTGCGTCTTCTCGGACTCTCTCACATCTCCATCTCTCATGTTCAACTTTTTTGCTTGTCTTTGCGAAAGGTGAAGTTTAGGCCTCGGAACATCCTTCTTCCGGGTCCAGCGGTTCATCAAGAAGTCGATGAAGTCACAGTGATGGAAGAAAGATGAACTGAACCAGGGGACAGCTTCAGAGCCAGTTCATGCAGGTATAAAGCCTCTGGCTCTTTGTCCTAGCCTGCCACTTGGTCGAGATGAAAATGCCATCACCCACAGTCCGCTGAACATCACCTTATCCTACTTATACTACGCTCTATATCAAGATGACATACAGAGAGGAAGAAGTACACTCTTTGCAGCCTAAAGGCCGTCCAAAGAAGTTATGTTTTGTGACTGTCGGTGCTACTGCGTCTTTTAACCCTATGATCAGAGAGATCCTACATGAAGACTTTATGGCTGCGCTTCAGACACACAACTACACCCATCTAGTCATCCAGTATGGCCAGCATGGAGGCCGTCTTTTTGACGAGTTTGTGAAAGACAATGAGACCAAACTGCTGAACAAGTATGGCCTGACTCTGACCGGGTTCGACTTCAATATCGATGGGCTGAAGGGCGAGATGTGTGCTGCCAAAGAAGACTCGAAAACAAACACCGCCGAGGGCCTTGTCATCAGCCATGCAGGTAAGTCTCTCTCTCTCGTTTGGCTGAAATAACTAATAGCTGACTTCTGGGCTACGCTGAAGGCTCCGGAACAATCCTCGAGGCTCTTCGATTTGGTCTGCCTCTTATGGTGGTGCCCAACCCTGACTTGATGGGCAATCACCAAGCCGAGCTGGCAAAGGAGCTGGCGTCTGCCAACTATGTAGTACATGGCCAGCTAGGGTACGTTTCCGACCGCTCTGAATTTACTTGTCCTCCCGCAGTGCACCGCTAACTCTCTCCGTAGGAACCTGGCCAGCGGTCTTCGTGAAGCAGAAGACTTCCGTGCAAGGCTTCATTCATGGCCTCCTAAACATGCAGATGCGGAGCCCAAGGGACTGGCCTGGGTGATGGAGGATGAACTTGGATTTCTAGACTAATAGCAGCATATTACCGGCCTTCTATGATGTCTTCGGCGCTCAGGGGTTTCGGAGGCGAGCAAATGGGTATTGGTTCGATAGAATTTCTGGAAACTGCTTTATCTACGACGGACACGACCCTTTCCCTAATATTCACTATTTCCTTGTATCTTCTAATATCTGAGTGGATGTCTGGGCGAATACGATTTACCATCTACTATTTTTTCCAAGGAGTAAATCATGAAACACATCTATTAAAACGAGTGCATTCTTCATATATTTAGAGGTCTACTTTACCTAGTTCGTAATATGAAGATGGACGGTGGATGATAACTCGCTGGCGTTGAGCCAAGAAGCCCTAAGCCAAAGCTCCCCTTGTACAGAAAATGAAATGTTTACTCCTAACTCATTAACTTGACCTACACCACCAAGAACAGCTGAATAGAGTCCTTCGCTTTTCATATTTCGCTTCATTTACATTCATTTCCTAGGCTTAAAAGTGCGATAGAAACCCCCTCTGCTTCCTGAAACCGCCGACGGTCCCTCAATCGACTAAATCCCCTGACGCGGAGTCAAGCCCAACAACCGAATCGCTAGGCGCGAACAGCTTCGATCTCGACCTCCCTCTCCCTCTCCACCATGGCGGACACCGCTCTACACAATGCCCCGATAGTTCTAGATAATGGCAGTGGTACGATACGCGCCGGCTTCGCGGGCGAGGACCTCCCCAAATGCTACTTCCCGTCATTCGTTGGCCGACCAAAACACCCTCGAGTACTCGCCGGAGCGTTGGAAGGAGACGTGTTTATTGGACAGAGAGCACAAGAGCTACGCGGACTGCTAAAGATCAGATACCCCCTTGAGCACGGGATTGTCACGGACTGGGACGACATGGAGAAAATATGGCAGTGGGTGTACGAAGGGGAATTGAAGACGCTGAGCGAGGAACACCCGGTGCTGTTGACGGAACCGCCATTAAACCCTCGAACGAACAGAGATACCGCAGCACAAATCCTATTCGAACAATTCAATATTCCTGCGTTATATACGTCGATCCAGGCTGTGCTGTCACTGTATGCTTCGGGAAGAACAACGGGAATTGTATTGGACTCTGGAGACGGTGTATCTCATGCTGTTCCTGTGTATGATGGGTTTGCAATGCCTAGTAGTATACGGAGAATAGACGTCGCCGGTCGTGACGTAACGGAGTATCTACAGTTGCTTTTGCGAAAGAGCGGATACGTCTTTCATACTAGTGCCGAGAAGGAGGTGGTGCGCATGATTAAAGAGAAGACCGGATATGTGGCGATGGATCCGCGAAAAGAAGAGAAAGAGTGGTCGACGAATGGCGGAAAGGCGGATTCGAAAATGGCCGAATACGTGCTGCCAGACGGACATAAACTGAAGGTAAATTCCTCACCTGCTCTGTGTGTTGTCTTCGCTGTTGGGCATCTCACTAACTTGTTAAAGATTGGCGTTGAACGATTCCGTGCTCCCGAAATCCTCTTCGACCCCGAATTAATTGGTCTCGAATATCCCGGCGTGCATCAAATTGTCGTAGACGCCATTAACAGGACAGACATGGATCTTCGAAAGTCCCTATTCGCCAACATAGTCCTGTCAGGCGGATCTACGTTATGTAAAGGGTTTGGGGACAGACTGCTTCACGAAGTGCAGCGATTAGCAGTCAAGGACATGAGGATTAAGATCTTTGCCCCTCCCGAGAGAAAGTACAGCACCTGGATCGGCGGGAGTATTTTGGCTGGATTAAGTACATTTAGAAAGGTATGTCGTCTTCTCCGTTGGCCATTAATGCAACGACGCAATTGCTGACGGCTATTCTCTCACCCGATAGATGTGGGTCAGCATTGATGACTGGCATGAGAACCCAGATATAATCCATACGAAATTCACTTGATATGCTGATCCTATTTTTGTTTTCGTGAAACCGCTGGGGACACCTTTGGAGCAGTTTATTTTTCAATTTAATGATATCCCTGCGTCAGTTCTCTCTTCCGGTTCGTTTAGGCCCGGATATTCGGTGCATTCCAGTGTGTTGTTATTTATTGTCTCGCTCTTCGAAGATACCTCCCCTTTACCTACTGTATCAATAACAATAGATGGCTAGAAATTCGTCTCTTTGCGTTTGCTTGAGTTCTAGCCTGGTTGACAGTGGTTGTCCCTGCCTAAGGCCACAGCCCCGCTAGAGTAAGACAGGGATAGGTAGGGTAATGAAATCACGCATATACCCCGGCATAGACATGATTGGGGCGTCATTAGGTATACGGTGAATTTGGGCCACTATGCCAGCCTTCTACAATTACACAAGTTGAACCGGCGGTAAAGCCAAAGGAGCTCAAATCTAATTGATCGTCCCCGAGTACCCAAATGGGCCAGTCGGGGAGCGAATGTCTGTATTCCAAAAATAATAATAGATGCTTTTTAATCTTTCCCAAAGCGCTCACGAAACATGCTTAGCCGGGTAGTCAGAGTATTTTTTTAATGGGGGAGCGGAGTGTGCTGTAAAGCATTTGTGTATGTATGTATGTGTGTGTTTGTGAGTTGGTTCATCCGGGAGATGTGTAAATCGTTGGTGCATGTTATTCAGTAAGATGGCGGGGGAATATTTTTGCATCGGCGGATAATGTATCGCGCGGTTGGTTAGAGGCTTTAAGTATATGCAAAGGATAGTTGGCGGGTTGGTCGTCCTTGGATAGAGTATGCGGGGAGCACCTATGTGAATTGCGGTGTCATCGAGTGATCGATACGTCGGTATAAGAGGATATAGTTGTTTTTGTGGACGAGGTTGTGGATCGTGGATCTCGTGTCGGTCATTAGGAACAGCGAAAAGGAAAGTATAATGAGTCAAGCGGCGCTATGATGTACAACGATGGCGAATCGGCTGGAATGAATGCGATTGAAAGAGGTCAAGGAAGGGTCGAGTCGACCCTGTTGCCAAGGGGCGGCAGCGGGGGTATGTAAGTCGATGCCGCTGAGGGCTAAGATGGTATCCCTTTCAGCGTCCCCCTCCATGAATCTAGATTCCGTCGCGGCCAATCCTTGACCTTTCCGCCGCTTGAGCTGTCGCTTGACGAGCTTCCGATGCTCACAGTCCCACACCGCTTCTTCGGTAGGTTCACGATAGGAGCATCAGGGACGGCAGTCATATTGCCAGCTCCTCCTCGGCCGATATGGAAGACGGGGGCAACTTCCTTTTCTCGTTTCAATTGTTGTTCAAGCTCTTCGTCGAAGCTGAAGATCGCATACTCGGTGGTGCTGTGGAAGTTGCCAAGCCCTCCGCGGCCGCCTGGGATCAATTGTCGTGGATTGAGTCCGAGGCGGGAGGAGAGCGTACGCGCGCTTGTTATTGAATTTGTGGCGGTTATTGTGCTGTTTTTGAGGGGGTGAAAATTCCCTGCTCCGCCACGGCCGGAGTACATGGTATTGTCTTGGGCTGATATCGAATTGGAGGGATTGAGGTCAAGCCTGCGGTATGCCGGCATCATGAAAAGCTTGGGTAACTAGCCTGGCAAGGAATTGGACGGATTAGAATAACGTAGGGTCTAGCAGAAATCGTGCTTGCTATTTAGACCACCGAACGAGGGAAATAGGGAGGTGTTATATGTGCAGAGAAGAATGGTTGGAAAATGGCGAGTCGATAATTGTGCAATTGCCCGCCACTAAGGTGTGCAGAGGGAGTGGGTTATAAGTAGGCCATTTGGGTTTTGAAGGCAAGGATGATGATACTCGAATTGCAAGACAAGATGACGGCCAGAAAGGAGGTAAAGTTTGTTTAGCTGCGTCACAAATGACAAACAAGACTTCGAAGGTGACGACTTTGGGGAAATACCGACGATGCTGGGAAGTCCTTGGACGGAGCGGTTCCAGCACTTATGTATCCGCAACTATGTTCCTGAAATTGTTAGTCCCAGTTGGGAGGGCGAAGGAAGCCCCTGTCTGTCACGCCTTTTTATTTTTTATTTTTATTTTTATTTTTTTCAGGGAAGGGAGGGCCTGGGCCCTCTGGGTTGCTCCTGCGGCTAGCTAGCGAGTACGTTGGAGAACGGAGACCTTTGATTCATTGATGGGCGAATATTCCTTTTTACTTTCTTCGCAGGGTAATAAGTCGATCCCTGTACTGATGCATTAAGAGACCCGAGGTGAGGCCGCATTTAAAGCCAAGCTGCTCACAATTCGCAGTGTGCGCGAAAGAGAGGGCTGTTGTTGCTTTCCCCCAACATCCGGTCCTGGGCAGCCAGTTTCCTTTCGTCAGAGGCGTTTTCTGGCGATCGTGAGTGGATTGGCCCATCGTCAAGCTGACACTAGCTCGGCCACTCGCGGCGCGGCGAAGAGTATCGCAAGGGTCACCTGCGGGGCGAATATCCAGCGTAAAGCAGCAAGTGGGCATCGCTGTCGTCCTTTTGCTGGCGATGCCTATTATGTAACTCCTCTGACATCTGTACCAGGTGAGGCGCTAGCACTGGTGAGCCACGGCTGTTCCCCCCCAAGCATGCCGGTAGACGACAATGCAACATCGCAGGCCCAGCTACCTACCTTGAGAGCGAATATGGACACTGACCACCGGAAGGCTGGAACAGCTCGTTCAGGCTAGAGCTCTGGCTCCTTTAGAGAGTGTATTTTTATCCATCACCTGATGGAACCTGGATGACCAGGACAACATCTCCTTGTGACTCCACCGGCCCAACGACTTCGAATCACTGCTCCACGGTGGCCACGAGAACCTTCCAGTGCTTGACGTTGAGAGCACATTTGCCAACCCTTGGCTCTCGTTTTGCTCTGGACGTCTCTGTTAAAATCTCTGCCCATCGACTTTCTAAGTGGCTGTAGAGAATATAACCCCCATGGCCCGAAGGACCAGCCAAAATGCTCCGAACCCGATCATAAAATCTTAAATCTCCCTGTTGTACATGCAGCTGACCTTCTATTTCCTATACCAAGAATCCTCCGTAGGCGCACAGTTTATTGAATCCATGTATATGTACGGTGCAAGTACTCAATTCATCGTTGCCCACGACATTTGCTTGAAAGAGGCTTGAGCACCTTGCCAGGCCACTCTGCCCTATCCTACCCAATTGATCGTCAGTCTTCGGGTCAAGCTGAGTTTCCATTACTCACCTGCCGAATTCATGTATGACCACGAAAGCGGATGCTACAAGCAATTCATGGCCTCACGGAACCCGAGGCCACCAGCTGGCTGAATTCCGATATGCATACTTCGTAACTCTAGCAGGAAGAAGTACTTCGTACGCGGCCGAGAGAAAAGAAAGAATGCTCACAAGATGCATCCACGGCTGGAGAGAATATGCTGCTTGCCGTTCAGTTGGGGTTCGGCCTGAAACCGACTCCCTTCCCCCCGCCCCTCTACCCCAGGTTTTGTATGCGGCAGGGAGGACTGCAAGTGCTAAGATGTTCTTGTCAGTAGGACTAGGATTGATGGCATGGCAGCCATCGCCTTGCTTCAGAGGACAACGTCCGTACCGGGTTAACACTGTCTGAAGCCTGCTCTTTTCTATAAAAAGAGTACTCCGTACACAGAGTGGTGTCTATACAAGGTTTTTGATCTTTTTGATTAGGTAATAGAAACTACATCTATACACGTGATTTATGATCATGTGACTAGTATACAAGGCTCTTGCCTTTTTGGGACGAAGAAGAAAGATATTGATCAACATGGGAGGAATATAGGTCTCATGATAGGGACTGGGAGCAAGTGTCTAGGATATGATACCCTTAATTTCTGATACCGATAATGACCTGGTTGAATATCATAGTAAACTGGAAATGCGATAGTTAAACTAACTGTATGGATGTAGGGAGTATGCAGTAAGGCAACTCCCTACACACTATTTAATTGGTTAATCAAGACTAAGGTCGAGGCTATCCGCAGCGGTCTCTTGGTCTAGAGGCCTTTGATGCTTCGCCTTAAGGTAAATAATGGTCAATTTTGCCAGGCCCTTGACTGTGCCAGCCTTCGTTATCTCGACCAACCCGATGTCAACATGCATATAGCGCCGAACTGTGCTTCTAACCTCTATTGCCATAAGCGAATCAATGGCGATGTTAGCCATCTTTTCATCATCCATGTCGGCTTTCATTGCCATGCGCTCTGCTATAAGGGCAGCCAATTCTCTGCAGAGAGCTAGCTCCGTCTTGGGCTCGTCTAATATGGGCGGATTTGACTCGATATCAGCAAGGAGCTCCTTAATGCGTTCATTTTTTGTTGTTTCCTTGGTTTCCCTATCGCATTTCAGGTTGTAATATAGTGCAATACGGCGTTCCGAGGACTGGAAGGAGGAAAATTGGCTATCCGAAACCAGTTTGTGGCCTTTCAATCCTATATTTGTACTATAGATTTGCGGCACTGAGGAAGTGTCAATACTCGACTGGCGAATAGAAAGTGTCAACCCTTCCATCACTTCGTCCTCAGATAATGTTTGATACCCAGAAGCTCGAAGCCGCTGCAGGACCTTGTCATCGCGGCTCACCATACCAACATCCCCTACCGCACCGAGATGTAAGACTGAGCAGGGTAGCCCTAAATCACGCCTATAGTGTGCGAAACTATCAAGGTATGTGTTCGCGGCAGTATAGTTCACCTGCCCTACATTTCCGAGGACGCCCGTGATCGATCCAAAGACGACAAAGAAGTCAAGGGTTTCTCCTTCGAGGGCGCGATGAAGGTTCCACGCCCCTTCCACCTTGGGGGCGATAGCTGTTTTCCACTGATTGTAGGTCATTTTCTCAAACATTTCATCCTTTTGAATTCATGATTTGTTAGTCAAAAGTTCGGCTTTAGCTGAACAAAACCGGGATCAAAGGAGATAATCCTTACCTGAAGTACCATACTCATGTGGATGACGCCAGCAAGGGGCCTAGTACTCTGCGAGATTGCTAACTTGACGTCACCAAGATTAACCACGCTTCCAGCAACCGCTGTCGCGCTGCAGCCTTGAGTTTTTAATTCGGCTAAGAAAGATCGATCCTCCAGGGATTGACCGGCAGAGCGAGAGAGATAGGTTATATGCCTGGCACCATTCTCAACCATCCACGTAGAAACGGACTTTCCAATGCCTCCAAGCCCGCCCACTAACAAGTAGGACGCATCAGAGGAGAATCTAACAGTTGGCCTACTAGGAGGGCAAGTTATCCCATCTGAACCTTCTGGCATCCGGATCACGATCTTGCCCATATGCGTTCCGCTCTGCATGTAACGGAATGCTTCCACAACTTCACTTGCTGAGAATACCTTGGTCGGCCGGATCGGTTGAATCAAACCATTCTTAACTGCAGCATCGAGAGCAGACAAAAACCTATCAATTTCTTTTTGTTAGTAACCAGACTATGGAGAGGTACTCCAGGTATTATATTTAGGTCTTTTTCACGTACTTTATAGACTTCGTAATTCGATCTGGGGCCGTAGTTATTAAGTCTCTTAGTTCCACTGCAAAGAAGGCCCGATTCCTCTTAAAAGGGGACATATCCAGTGTAGCATGGGATAAGATGTCCCGTTTGCCTAGTTCGATCATTTTTCCAAACGGGGCAACGCATTCCCATGATACACGAAGTAGCTTTCCTGCAAGGGAGTTAAGAACAACATCAACCCCTCGTCCATTAGTCTCACGCATCAGGCCTGGCAGGAAGCTGGAATCTCTGGAATGGAAAATTTGATTCCGCGGTATACTGAATGTTTCCACGAGATATTGAGCCTTTTCCTCGCTCCCCACAGTTGCGTATATCTAATCCCGTCAGTTTTTGATATAAGGCATATCATGTGTATATATAAAGAAGGAGGGTTATCATCTAAATACCTTGGCGTGCGCGTGTTGGCAAATGCGAATCGAGGCGAGGCCAACGGCACCACAGGCCGAGTGGATCAGAACGGTCTATATTTGGTATAAGCGAATTGAACACTACAAAACGGGTGAATGAGAATATGGGGCACGGGGTAACATACTTCGTCTTCTTTTAGATTTGCCAAAACCTGGAGCGCCCAAATTGCGGTTCCATAGGCACTTAGCCATGTTGCTGCCCCTTCGAGATCATGTTCATCTTCAACGTGGAAGCAGAACTCTTGAGGGCAAATGACTTGTGACCGGAATAGTCCATTCCAGCATGCGCAGACTCTATCGCCAGGCTTGAAGTTGTTTACTGCGGAGCCTACACGACGGACAATCCCGCTACATTCCAGCCCTAGCTCACTCGCATCCCCTAACACGCCTAACATAATCATGATATCCTACATTCACGTTAGTCACTTCAGTAATTCCATTCATCGGGTAACTCCCATCGTAAGTGTATCGAGTTATAATTACCCTGAAATTCAACCCATTAAACTTGACATCAATTTGCACCTCGTTTGGCTCCAGTTCTACTTCGGCTTGGTTGTCATCGAAAGCCCAATGTAGAGTATCAGCTAAGCCATAGGTACCAACTGCAAGTTTGAGAGCCGCACTATCGCGGCCCTGAGCCGGGAGTAGGGCCGATGGTGAGCCCCAATAAAGCCGTGGTAGATAGACAACACTATTACAAACTGCATATTCGTTCTCGTATATGTTGGCTTGCAAGTGAATGTCTCTGCGATAGATTTTTTTGGCCAGTTGCAGAAGAGTGGCTGAAGTTCCCTTGTCGAATTTGTCTAGCTCGATTGTCACAATATCCTGTCCCTTTTCTCGGCGAAGCGTTCTTATAAAACCAATGCTCATGCCAAAATGAGGATCTGATTTAATGATAGAGTTCTGCATCTGCATCAATGGGCTGACCCAGATAAGCTGATTGTTATCCAGCTTTCCCATATATTGTTGAAAGGCACAGTACTTCTCTTCATCCATCCCGTAAAGATACGGGCTGTGCAAGTCTAGTAGCGAGATGATACACTGTCCAGGTAGAGGGTGGCTGGATACTGTTTCCCAAGTAACGTTGTATCCCTCGTCGGAGAAGCCAGAAGCAACATTTAAGGCCCACCAGCTAGGCTCGCCAGCAGTCAAAATTGAAATAGCACTGGATGTTGCATGGGCCTCACCATGCTTGTTCTCTTGGGCCGCGCTCGAGAATACTGGAGATGTGACTGGCATAGCCATGCCCTTAACGTTGCTAGAGGAAATGTCATTCGCAACTTTCAGCTCCTGACTAGGCCTTGTAAGCATCATGAAAGTTAACCGAATTGAGTCATCAAGGTCATAGATGCTTGCTTCATTCCCAGTAAAGCCGGCAAGATGTAGCTCGCGATCCCAACGCTCCGGAGAAACATGGGGCTTCTCTATTCTTTCATCATTTTCACCTACCCACCAACCAGAAAGCACCCCCTACAATCATCGTTAGTTACCACGGCAGGATAGTCCTCAAGTCAGAGGCTGGATAGTGTGGAGAATTTGTGCTCACCATACAAACATCGATTGATATTGAGGCTATAGGTGAATTAATATTAGCAAGGCATAAACCTCCAAGGGAAGAATTAGAGATTTGGTAAGGAGAGCTCCTGTCCATACCTGGGTTCAACTCGTGAAGCAGGAGCCATCCCTGGGGCGTGAGTAGTTGGTGTATGTTTTTAAGCGCCTCATGTAATGATGGAGTGGCATGGAGGACCTAGAATGCAAGATCAGCATCCACAGGTGTCAATATAAGTCTATATTCCCTTACTTACGTTTGAGGCTATCACCAAGTCGTAGCTGTGAGGGCTAAATCCTTGTTTCTGGGGACACTTGGTAATATCCAGAAGTTTATATTCTACGTTATCGTAGTTACTAAACTTCTGGGTGGCCCGATGACTAAAACCAAGGGATATATCGGTGAAGGTATATGTTGAATATAATGGGCTACCTTCAGGAGTGGTCAGGTTTTTCAGAGCCACTGCAGTCATAGCTCCGGTACCTGCCCCAATCTCAAGAACTCGTAGGTTCGGCTTCGAGTGTCCCAGGATGGGTAAGAAATAGGTCAAGTCGAACAACTCAAGCGATGTTTCGTAGTAGCTCTCAAGTTTACCGCCATCCATTAAGGTTCCCAAGGGTGACATGGTGTCAAAGGCAAAGTCCACACAGTTATGTGTAATCACCCGTATCATATCAATAGCAAGTTTAGAAATAGGACATTCCTCGTAAATGAGGGCTAGACGGTGGTCAAAGGCTGTTCTACCGTCCGCGTCTAATCGTAGATATTCATCTACCTCTGGTGGCGTGTTCGCAAGACCTTGACGTATTTGGGTGTACTTCCGAATTATCCACTCTTTGTATTTGACCATCTGGGGTGTTGCGGGTTGAACATTCGTCAGTTTTTCGGCTAGGTTAATGATTGCACATAAACTCGCAATGTCACCAGCCTCTAGTGCTTGCTTAAACCCTTCTGGCGGTGGTGGCATACGCCGTAGCAGGGCCGTTGGGGGAAGAAAGTCGATGTCCGGCTTCCACGCTGTGTATGAAGCTAGCGGGGCGCGTGGGGTATCGCTGGAGAGGTTCTCATCAATAGAGACGAATAGTGCCTGTCGCATGGAGAAAAAGACTTCATCATCATCTCCCATCAAGACAGCGTCGCCCAGCTGTTTTCCCTTTCCAGCGTCCGCTACCTCGACACCAAGAGTCATTTTGGGCTCTGTACCACCCACATATAGTTGTTCAATCGCAGCTGGAATACCCATCCCTTCAAGACGACGTGAAAGGCCATGTGCCCATGCCACACTTACGGCTTGAAGACACTGATCAATTGCGGTTGGGTGTAACGTGTACCGGCTCGAGTGCAACTTTGGGTCATCGGTTACCGTTGCTGCTGCCACACGCTGGGTAGGATGGGCAGTGATATCCTTCATTCCCCGAAATCGTTCGCCATACACTATACGCCGTTTTGCCAATGTCTGATACCATTTATCAGACCTTACTTGTCGAGGATGGGAGGTAATCTTCGCTGGTACCGGAGGGTAGTCATAATTGGGCCGCACATCGCCATGACAGTGCTTTATCCAGGTGGCGCCATCGTGGGCCATGATTGTAAATGCATACCATTCTGAATCCATGGTATCATTATATCTCATGACGTGGAGAGTTGTAATGACTTCCAATTTCTGTCGTTCTTGAAGCACCATGGCGGTTTTGAATATTAGATTCCTAATAGAGTAGCCTGTCGTACCAGGGTGCAACTGCTTCACAGCCTCCCCTGCCATAGCTATATAACCAGCGCCAGGGAAGATTATCTGGTTTCCGAGGACATGCTCTTCTACCCATGGTACGCTTTCCAAGGAGAGCATATTTCTCCATGAAGGCTCTAGGTCAGGGGAGCTAGAGGTACGCGCACCAAGTAGCTCATGACGTTGGTCACCCCGCATCCGCCATTGATCGATGAGCCGACTTTCTCGCCAGTATCTCAGCTCATGTTTCCACGGATACGGCGGAAGATCTGTCAAAACACTCCCACTTTCGATAACACGCTCTAGGTCTACACGAAACCCGTTAGAATATGCAGCTCCCACGCTTGCAAGAAGCTGAGATCGGGAGTCGTGAGAATCGGGGTTGTCGACCCGGGTGATGGTTGGAATATACACCGCATCGCCCTTGTTAGGTGTATGTTCAAATATCTGTCTCAGCGGGCCTGAAAGAGCGCTATGGGGTCCAACTTCCATAAAAGCAACACTACCCTTGCCTACCTCTTTCAGAACAGCCGACACACCTTTTGAGAACAAGACTGGCTTTTCCAAGTTATTCCGCCAGTAACTTGCATCCAGGGCATGTGGTTCAGTTAAGACTGTCGATGTAACCGTAGAGAAGAACGGCAGCATGTCTGAATTTTGCTTTATCTGCCCCACGTATGGCGCTAGAGCTGTCTCGTAGGAACCCCCGACTTGATGCATCAATGCTAGAAAACGTTTTAACATTTCATGTCATGCATAAAAATAGTATTGGGGGGAGGCTTACAGGAATGGTAGGGAACTGAGACGCGTAACCGCCGACAATAGGTTTCGGGGTTGTCTTCTTGTATTTTTGATATGACTTGGTCAATGTCTTCGGAAGTTCCAGACAGAGTAACACTCCTAGGACTGTTCTCACAAGCAATAGACACTGAGTTCTGAAGGTAGGGTTTAATATCGTCGCAACCTAGCCCAATAGCTACCATCGATCCAGTACCCTGCATTGGATTGATGGCCAGCCCACGATGGTATGCAACGAGAATGGCTTCTTCCATGGTAATACCACCAGCAGCATATGCAGCGGCAATCTCACCGCTAGAATGGCCTATTACGGCTGAAGGACTGAGGCCCCATCGCCGGAGAGTATTCACAATACCTATCTGTAACGCAGTGCAAAGGGGCTGCGACAATGCTGCTTCATAAACCCGAGACTCGTTACCAGTCTTCAAAAGCTCCTCTAAACACCATGTTTAGTAAAGTGGCGTATGAATTATAAGTAAGAATATGCTCAGTCACTAACCTTCCAAACACCAGTCTGGGCCTGCAGGATGTTTTTCCAACACACTGCCCATTTCCAGGATATCATTTCGGAACCCTTCAAAATGCTCAATTAGGTCGCGTCCCATCCCAGGCCACTGGGCGCCTTGACCTGTGAAAATGAATACTAGCTGCCTTGTTTCAACTTGGCTACTTTGTATTACCCACTCGTTTACTAGCTGATTGGACTTTACTATTGCGAAGGCTCTGTGAGAAAGATGTTGACGTCGTAAAGCTAAGGTATAGGCTAAGTCCTGGAGTTTGGATGGATGCTCTTTGACATAGTCAAGAATTTGACGAGACCGGCTCTGTAGACTCTCTGCACTTTGAGCGGATATGACAAGTAGGTGAGGACTGTTTCTGTAGAGGGCGCGGGGTTCAGTCTGAGAACTAGGCAGCAACGAAGAAGCTGATTCAAGAACGGCATGGGCATTTGACCCTAGGATACCAAAGGAGTTGACACTGACTCGTTCTGCTCTGTTCTCTGGCCATGGGGTTGCAGCAACCGGAACCGTCAAATTACCCTCTTTTAATGGAAGATTGGGATTAGGTGTCTCAAAATGGGCATTTGGAGGGATGGTTCTTCTTTCTAGTGCTAGAACAGCTTTGATAACGCTAGTTAAACCAGATGCCCCTTCCGAATGGCCTACATTTGGCTTTACCTATTCACGGGTGCGGATTAGCGACTCCAAGCTAGAACAGTGAATGACGATTGCCTAGTACTTACTGCTCCAATAATCGCATCATGGCCATGGCAAAGCTTTGCTATGACCGTCGTTTCCGTTATATCTCCGACTTGGGTGGCTGTTCCGTGGCATTCAAAAAATCCAGTTTCGAAGATATTTTGAATTCCAGCGCGTCTGTAGGCACTTCGGATCAGGGCTTCTTGCGACAATGGGCATGGATTAGTGATAGCCGTGGTAGCGCCGTCAAAATTTGCCGCAGTTGAACGAATAACTGCTCGAATTGGGTCCCCATTCCTTAGGGCATCGCTGAGGCGCTTTATGTAGATAGCGTTTACCGCCTCACCACGGCCATATCCATTCGCCTTTTCATCAAACGTGTGGCAAACACCTTCGGGGGAGAGGACCATGTTGTCACTCATCTTTGTTGTCATGTCCGGGCCCAAAATAAGGTTTGTTCCGCCTACGATGGCTGCTGAGCAACTTTTCAGATAAAGAGCCTGACATGCTTCATGTAAACCGACCATAGAAGCGGAGCAGCCTGTCTCGATAGTCATACTATATTGCTACCAGTTTAGCTCAGATTCAAAGAATCGCTCCGTGCTACCAAAAACCAAGCATTCTCACGTACCTTGGTCCCCGGAGGTCGAATCTATAGGAGATGTGGTTAGACAAGGAAAAGTCACCAGTCCCAATGATATCATAGCGGTTATGGTCATCTTTATCCATAGATCGAATCTCTAACCAGTCTCCTCCAAAAACACCGACATAGCATCCAATGTTCTCCCCTCGCCATTTAGATTCCCCTGCGTTCTCAAGACATTCCCACACAACCTCCAATAGTAGCCTTTGCTGAGGGTCAAGTCGTTCTGCATCAGAACCAGCGATGCCAAAAAATTCAGCATCGAACATTGCAGGGTCCTCTTCAAGGAAGTAGCCATGTTTGGTCTTGACATAGTGGGGCTGGGAGGGATGATAGAACCCTTCGATATTGTAACGTGTGTCAGGGACCTCGCAGTTGCCATCACGTCGCTGTACCAGAAAGTCCCAGAAGGCGTCGGTAGAACGGACACCACCAGGCAATCGCATTGCAACGCCTACAATGGCGATTGGTTCGAAGTCAGGTCCAGTTCTAGCACCGCCCATTGGCTGACCTTGGGTAATGGCCTCGCCGGGTGTGCTTTCCTTATCGATAATCGCCTTCATCGTAGCTAATACTGAGTGTACGCCTTCAAACGGAACTGATAATGGGATATATTTGTTTGGGTGTGAGTCGAAAAGGTAGCAGGCTATGGATGTAGCTTGTACTCCATATGTAATCAAGAGGTAGGATATGAGGACTATTCAAGTGCACACCGATTCTCCACTGGCTAGTACTCCTGGCTTGATGAGGATCGCAGCACATCATGATGACGAGAAGCACAAAGGCAGTGAAACTCTCCCGTGGCTTACTAAACCAGCTTCGAATTATTGTTAAATGGCCTCCATAATTGGATGTAATGGAATGCATTGTTATTCAGTCGGTCAGGTTCCTAATCTGACCGCCCACCAGTATGTCCGCTTCAAAAGCTTCCGCAGCTTAAACTTCCAAGGCGTTCCCAATTTTGAGGGGCCAAGAGAAGCGCCAGGGCTGTTTTAATAATCGTACGCCACCAGTCAAGGGAATTTTGAAGGGGGTACTCCGTAAAGGCTGGGTACCTCAGTAAACCCCTTGCGCAGTCAGAGTGAAGAATGGTTACGGCTGTAGGCTCGGGAATGTTTGCAGTCGAGATTAACTCTTCCACTTCATGGGTCTAGCCAAATAGAGTAAGCAGAGTAGATGCATGGAGACAAAACAAAACTCGTTTGGCTGCGTATTTGTTTAGTGTCACGTCTCCAATCAGATCGTTACCTTTAAAGTATTAACCAATAATATTACTAACTAATGATTAATAAATGTGTATTATATGTTTTGTTTCGTGGGATAAGTGCGTTTACTCCTGTATCACGTGATAACATCACCTCGTCGTTCGGCTAGGTTAGCTCTTCTCAACATGCGTAATTGATCAAGTCTAGCATAAGCTCCTCTTCCATAGTCTCACGATAATACAGAGGTCCTCCCTTATTTCTTGTTCCCACGTTCAACTATGCCGTTAGTTAATCTTGTGACAGGAACATGGCCTTCCGCTTCAGTATTTGGAGAAATGTGCTTTGGCAAAGGCCGTCATCCTTAACAAAAGCTCAATCATTTAATACTCTGGCACGAGAAATACCCATGGAGGAGGAGACGTTGCCTCACTATAAGCCTGAACATTATTATCCAGTCAACATTGGAGATATATACAAATCCAGGTACCGGGTTGCGGGCAAAATTGGATATGGGGCGTATTCGACAAGCTGGCTATGCTGGGATCTTCAGTGCGTACTCTTATTATGAGTCTAAGAAGTTGTTCCTTAACGAATTATTTTTTTCAGGGATAGCAAGTACAGTGTACTAAAGGTATCTACATCACTGCCGAACTTTCCCACGGCAACCGATCGTGAAATCAAGATCTATAAACATCTTGCAAACATCCATTCCGCCCATCCAGGCCAATCACTTATCAGGCAGTTTTATGATTCCTTTGATCTTAAAGGGCCTGTTGGCAAACATTGTTAGTTCTACAGCCAATGCGCATGTCTCTTCTTGAAATGATGGGACTCAATTCGCGACCGTTTGACCTGCCGCTCCTGAAAATGACCGTCAGACGACTTTTGTCAGCCCTTGACTTTTTTCATACGGAAGCCGAGATAATTCATGCTGGTACTTAGCCATACTTTGAATCATATTGCAGACTCATTACTAACTAGAACTAGATTTGAAGACCGATAATCTGATGCTCAGTTTGGAGGACACCACCGCGCCGGCGGATTTTGCGAACGCAGAAGTCAAGAATCCCAGTCCGCGGAAGAAGATTAATGAGTCACGTATCGTGTACGAGAGCCGGAAATTTTTACCACCCGTTGGAGGCAAAGGTTACGGTCTTCCAGTTCTGTGTGACTTTGGCGAAGCACGAATTGGAAAAACACATGAGTCCAGCCCACTTGTCCAACCGACAATTTATAGAGCACCAGAGATCATATTTGAAATGCCGTGGGGGAGTGCTGTTGATATTTGGAACCTGGCGGGTTTGGTACGTACTACGCTCGTGTAGCTGTCATGTTGTATTGCCATGCTGATAGCCCACGAGATCTGGGATCTCTTTGAAGGAGAACATCTATTTGGGAACATATTTGACGCTAAAGGTGGCCACGACCCATTCAAGCATCTGGCACTTGTAGTCGTCTTGATTGGGCGGCCATCAAGCGAATTTGTCAGACGAAGTGAGACAACTGCGCAGTATTTCGACCCAAGTGGTAAATACCCTGCCTTCTCCCTTGATATTGGATAGTCTGACCGCAGTTTTGGTACTGACACGCATGCAGGTGGCTGGATTGCCCATGAAGATGCGGTCATACCATCAGTCTCTCTAGAGAGCCTAGAAAAGCGACTATCTGGGAAGGAGAGAGACTCATTTCTTCAGTTTATGGGGTCAATGCTTAAGTGGTTGCCAGAGGAACGTAGCACCGCAAAACAGTTGCTTAAAGATCCATGGCTGCTCTAATTATTTCGGCTAATTAATTATCCTGTTTAACCACCATGCATTCCAGGTAATGTTGTCTCTTGATGCTTAACCTCCTCCTTTCGTGTTGGTACAGCGGAACAGCAACACGATGCTGTAAAACCTGGAACACTACTCCGTACACACAATGGGCATAATGAGATGAACGATGATATATTCAGGCTCTCAGGCCATTTTAAAGCTCCATATATATCTATGAGAAAGGGCTAATTCTATATAAGCTACCTTATTAGTGGATATGCCAGGGGAAAGATGCAGTCACGTGATACCATATCCGACACAACCTAAACTTTATAGGGCTGAGGTGGCCTACTTACGTTTGCTCAATCTGGTTATAAATATCGCGGAAGAAATGTTGAGTAACAACTAACTAACGTAATAATTCCATTCCTGCGTGTCAATATGTAATTTTGTAGAAATGCGGATTTTGTCCCCCTGCATCCTCTGTAATTCGCTGTTTAGTTAAAGTGGCTTAAATTAGAGTTAACTTCCCCCCTCGGCACCCGGGAGCTCGGACCGCAGATTCGCCCCTGTTGGTGATCTCCATGCAGAGCATCGCCAGGCTGTTGGCCCCTAAGCTGCGAATAGCGAGTTTTGGCTGATTGAGCGAGTGTTAGCGTGTCGGAGTGGCGGAGATCTCTGGTTAGTCGACTGGGTGCAGCACAGTCACATTCGTCACAATAAGGTATGTTGTATGGACGACCCTATGTCCTTATTTGGTAGCTCATATGGAGCATTATTATCGGTGATGTTGATATAGAGTACGGTAACCGCGCAAGTTGAGTGATACGTATGCTCACTGAGGTAACACGGGTTTGGAGGAAAACATAAGATTTATATGGAAGGTGACATGCTAAACAGCTTAGATATAGCCCGCATATCCGCTATATAGCGTAAAGTTCTATCTTCATACACCATATTTCATAAACAATCTAGTTCGCTATTTATATAAAATTAGCCCCCGCTTGCAAAACTCCTTTAGACTAGACCTCGACACTCTATTCTTGGGCTTATCCTCGGGAATTGTTGGAAATATTTTGGCCTCAATTTTAAGAACTTTTTTTTGATAATAACCAGTTAGGTGTTCACCTGAAATGTGCCCGTGTAACCCAAGCGCTACTATGGGAGCAGCCACATCAACAACAATAAATGATCGATGCTGAGATCTGCGGTCAGGCGGAAATCAACAACCAACGAAAGATACCTTTTGGGCATGTCCATCTTCACTAGGCGGAAATCGGCGCCCACTAATTTGGGTAAGGCCGATGCCTGCTGGGTATATAGATGCCCTAGTATTCCCTCATCATTAATATTTTTCTACAGGAGCTCACCTCAGAAATAACTCATTAACTCCTTCTTGTACTCTGTACTCCGTATCGCGATCTCTATCCCTGTCATCATGCTCTTTACGAAATACATTATCCTCCTGGTTGCAGGCTTTGCATCCTACTCCTTGGCTGCAACGTTCGCTTCCGTAGCGGATGCCTTCACTAGCCTTGATGCCACTACGGACTCCATCGAAAATATTGCAGGGAGAATCGCGAGGTCTCCAGGAGGCATGACTGAGCTACTATCCATAGCCGGATCCATCAACACCATCTGCGGCGAGGTTCACAAATGTCAGGAAAATCTGAAAGGAATGCAAAATTTCACGAAGAAGGAGGAGGAAGAGGGAAACCCTCACTAACGCCTTGAACGCTGTTTCTACCAAGGTAATAAAACATTCCCCATATGGCTATTACAGCTGGCACTAATCGAATATTTAAAGACACACTATATTAAGGCAGTTCCTGGCGGGCCCATGATCGCTCAGCGTGTGGCCCAGCGAGTTCTCCAAGTGAAGGAAGGCATCCAAGCCGTTATCAAGGAGAAATCATCAAAGGAGGGATACCAGAAACAAGTGCCAAATATCGATGTCTTCGATAAGCAATTTGATGCCTTGCTAAGAGGGATTATGGCGTAGGCCTCTCACGACACCAAATTCAATTCCAGTGCGTAAAGCAAAGGGATGTGCCTATGGGTAAAATTCAAGTATGGAATCATTTGTTTCGGATTCGAGTTAGTATTGTTCATATTAATACTGTGTTGTATTTAAACTTAATATTCTTCTTATTTCCCCATTCGTTAATGAAATATTGTTACCCATGTCCGTACCTGTATAAAAATGGCGATGGTGTTGCTACTAGCTGCGAAAAAGTTGCCAGGGGCTAGTTAATATGGTTTATTTAGTATCCACTACTAGCTAACTACGTAGGAAATAAATTAGCTAAGTTATGGTTGAAATTTGAGCTCTGAAAAATGAGAAACGTTAAATTTGCCAGCGTGGTACCACGTCGTTATGTTCTCCGTGCATCGTACTACTCTGGAAAGGGGACTGGATTGGCTAGGATAATTCCTCAACTTCTACCAATATGATGCCACTTCTGCCACCAGAAAGAACTCTTGATCTTCAACTTCTTATTATCGTTTGCTGACCAAAGCGATAATTGATGATAAGACATCACATGGGGTCATCATTTCGTTCATACTCCGTAAAACTTTACCTTTCTTGACTCTAGGTGTCTGTTCTTCTCACTTGCCAAAATGATTCACATGGATCAACTATCACTCTATACAATGGATTCTGCATATATAATGCTTGTTACGGCATTAGTTGCCTACACAATCTGCTTGATTACATACCGTCTTTGGATTTCTCCTCTAGCGAGGTTCCCTGGCCCCAAATTGGCTGCAATGACTCGGTGGTACGAAATGTACTTTGATGTCATCTGTGGCGGTCGATTTTTGTGGGAAATTGACCAGATGCATGAGAAGTATGGACCAATTGTACGAATCAACCCTCATGAGCTTCATATCAAAGACCCCGATTACTATAACACGCTCTACGCTGGACCAACAAAGAGGCGAAATAAATACCCATGGTTCCTCTCTGTAGGTTTGCCGACTTCAACCTTCTCAACAGCAGAATACGACCATCATCGGCTAAGAAGAGGAACGCTTAGCCCTTACCTCTCAAAGCAGGCTATCCGATCTCTAGAACCGGTTATCCAGGAGAAGGTTAATTTACTTTGCAGGCATATGCGAAGAGCCATAGCGACCGATGAGCCCCTAGAATTGCATAGATGCTTCATATCATTTGCTGTTGACGTCCTTTCTCACTATGCGTTCGGGAAATCGAATTGTTTCGACCTTCTACGGGCAAACGTATTGGAAGATAGATGGAAAGATGGAGTTACTGGAGGATTTGGAAAACTTCTCCTCGGTAGACATTTTCCGTGGCTGATTGCATTGTTTCGAATCTTTCCCGCCTGGATATGCGCAATTATAGTCCCTTCATGCCAAGATATTGATTTTTATGAAAAGGTAGGCCGCTTTCGACTGGAGATGAATAATAGGGCGACCACTCACACTAATATCGGATCATTAGGAGGTAGAACACCGTATGAAACGTGTTTACAAAGAGAACCAACATGGAACCAAGGAGCAGTGTATCTTCTCAGAGATGATGAATAATGAACGGCTTCCTTTGCTAGAGAGAAAACTGGGGAGGCTAATAGACGACGCCAAATTTTTGCTAGGAGCTGGAACAGACGCGCCTTCTCAGGCTATGGCTATCACCATGTTCCATATTCTGAATAATGGTCCAGTGTATCAGAAACTACAGGAGGAGCTCAACTGTGCTCTACCAGAACCGCAGGCCAACCCTTCCTTGGTAATGCTTGAACAGCTGCCATATCTGGTACGTTTAAGCGATCGTACTTCATCCTTTAATGTCCATTGCTCACAATGCAATAATAGACTGCAGTTATAAAAGAAGGGCTTCGGATATCTGCCCTCGTAACTTCTCGTCTTCCGCGCATTGCTCCGGATGAAATTCTAGAGTATAACGGCTGGCAGATTCCTCCTGGGGTATGTTGCCATTCCATTCGCCAACTATATCTTATCACCAACTAATACCGATATCGACATAATAGACGCCCGTGAGTATGTCCATATATTTGATGCTGAGAGATGAGACAGTCTTCCCGGAGCCGTTAGTTTTCCACCCCGGGCGGTGGTTAGAGCAGGGCTCAAATCTGGAGAAATACCTTGTACCTTTCTCAAAGGGCAGTCAAGGATGCTTGGGACCAAAGTATGTTCTCCCCCTGCTAACATGTATGCCTCCACTAACTTGCCAACAGCATGGCTTATGCCTGGTGCTATCTCGGGATAGCTACTATTCTTCGGCGGTTCATGCTGTCCCTGTTTGAAACCACAGAAGAGAATATGACAATTGTTCGTGACTGCTTCAATGGACAGACAAAGCCAGGATATAATAATATCCAAGTTAAAGTCCTTGCAGAGTTCACCAAGGCATAGAATTTTGGATAGCCTTACATTCGATATAGCTAGAGCCAAGAAGCCGAGTGAGGTCTAGGACGATTGTTGTTTGGTATACAGTGTCTCGATCTTATGGCGATCAACATTAATAGCAGGAGATTACTAGAGGAGGTCAATAAGTATATATAATGGATGAAACCTGAATTCAAGCCTTAAATGCTCGGTTAACCAAACCTGTTAGGTGGCAGATCGCATATTCCATCTATGTGGTGTAAGGAGTTTCTCAAATATAAGCACACTTGTTGTCCTGGTGTCGTTGCCTAATCGGGCAATCGAATTTGGGTTGGAGACCACATCACGTGGTGGATGACTAAGCATGGCAAACGATGCAAATTAAAGCCAAGCTTTGTATCCGCTAGTCCTGATCGGGAATCTTTAGCAACCGCGATAAGTCGTGCCTGATATTCGAACATTTTCGATAACAGACCATTTGCGATAGCTGGAGAAACGCCTAACATTGTGCTTTCAGTATACCGTTTCGCCAGTATACCCTTGACTTCCATCGACCTGAACGTCACTGCTCGCGGAGCTGGTCAAAGCCCTATCACTTTGGAACACGACGACTTGAACAGTGACCCGCATACGAGAGCTGGAAAGGCAAGCTACCCTCTCGCCTGTTCAACCAGTGGAAGCGTTATATAAGGCGCAAGGAAGATAAACTACAATCGGAGTAGATATCTCACAGTCACGATGCCGAAATATAAGTTATTTCCGACCCTTCGTCACATTGACCTCAAGGCTAACTTCCTATGCACTCTTTTGTAGGTTCACATATTCACCCTGCGCTATATATCTCTTTCGAAGCGATTTATACGGGCAACGATTCTTAAAAAGAGACAGTTAAAAGCGAAGATGCGCTAACATTGGGGACGTAATTCGATACAGGCGACTATTGCGATGTATACCTTACGCACGACTCGATGAGTGTGCGCAAGGCACATAACTCCGGAAAGAATCACCTCAAGAACGTGGTTCAATACTACCAGGGTACGCATCACTACGCTTTTTATTAATATATCAGCGCTGCCGGATTGGATATGAAAGATATCCCATTAGTATCTTTTTACCTAGCAGCTATGCAGCTACACCCGGCCAGCCACAACTCTCTACTTGCTGGGACACCTGCAGCGACCTATATGGGGTATAACAAAGAGTCAGGATACTGATAAGTTGGTTTTCCTTACGGATATTAGAGATCGGACATGAGAAGGCTCAGTCGGTGATAGATTCGATCACCTCATCATACGCGGCCGAGGGCCAGGCAAGCTCCAACCCCATGCTTCAGCACGCCGCCGGACAACCGGGATATCCTCCAGTTCCATTCGGATTTCCAGGTAAATACCCGACAGCCTTTACCTTCGCGTCTACGAGGTGAAAACCGAGTACAGCCCGCTAACTTCAATACCCTTCAAGGCCAGCCAGGCTCATTACCACCTCCACCATTCGGTATGCCTGGCATGCCTGGCATGCCAGGAGCCCCAGGTGCGCCTCCACCTCCCGGTGGAATGATACCACGTAAGTCACCCACACTGCACTGTGTTCAATATATTCGAAAAACCACCGGCTCACAGTCTTCACCATATAGCTCCAGGAGGTCGCGGCATGCCTTTCCCCCCACCATTCCCACATCCCGGCACCCCTGGATCCAGCGATATGCCCATGCCTCTCCCAATTCCCCTCCCAAACATGCCACCAGGCAGCCTGCCCTTCCCTCCCCCACCACCAGGCGGGTTCCCGCCTAACTTCCAGTTCCCGCCCCCAGGAGCGGGCGGTATGCCTCCCCTGCCACCCTTCGCAGGCCAGCATGGACAAATACCCGGTCAAAACTCTAGTCCTGGTGGCGGACCACCTGTTCCTCCTGGCTTCGGGCAGCAGCAGCCTGGCGGGTTCCCGCCAGGACCTCCTGGGCCGCCGGGGATGGGTGATTCTAGATAAAGATTAAAACAAAAAACATGTCTATTTCTGAATTTATGTAGTTTATAAGCGTCATTTTTTTTCCTTTTGTCTTATATGGGACTTGAATCTTTGATCGGTTGTATTTGTACACTGCATTGTATTCCTTCCTCGTTTAGCTTGCTTGCTTTGAGTCTAGATAGTGTTCTAATATAAAGACTAGTAAGAGATACAGGTATAAAAAGATCCAGGCTATTGGTTAATTATTACATGATTAGTGTTATTGTATGTTTGAAGTGATGTGATGGAATGGTAGTGCACTAGACATTAGATCTTAGACATGGCTCTTGGTGTTGAATGGACATATTCAACAGAGACACAAGAGAAACAAAGACACTAGATAAGAACAAGAACGAACACCATAGAAGATGAAAGGATATTACAAGACACCCCCCTTCCCAGAATCGCAGTGGCAACAATCACAATAAAGGCAATGAGTTGACTTGACTTGAATTATTCAATTAACCAGCCTAATGGCAGAGATGGAAAATGAAACAAATGAACGCCCATGATGGTTATGGTTTGGCCGTGTGTGGATGTAGATGGATGCATGGTGTGGTGTAATATAATCTGATGTGGCGTGGTAATAGCCAGTTATTACCATTCTCTATGAGATAAGAGACAAACAACAAAGAAAGATGAGCAAGCAATGTGAGGCAAGTATGGAAACAAAGCAGACAGTATCCGGTAAAGAAAATGGAAACACAGGCCCAGAAGGAACGGGAACAGACCAGAAGAAAAAAGAAGATAACTCCATGAATCCAGATCCAGTTCATAGCCCACTGCCATGAGCCGAGCCAGCCGAGCCGTACGTACAAGCAAAGTACAGCAGGGAGGAAATAAACTATTTGTACAAAAAGATGGAAATCAAGAGCATAGGTAGGTGGTAGGAAGCAGGCGGTGGGCAGGCATGTGAATGAATATGGGGTTTCTCAAGAAAGCAATCGCAGAAATGGACGACAATAGAAAGGAAAAAAAAAACGACAAGATGCCAACGTTTATTCATAACCGGCTCCCCTCTGCCATGGACTAGCGTTATTTTGCTGTCTGTTTGTGTGGTGGTTCGCTGAACCTGTTCGAGGGAAGGGTGAGGCGTTGTACCCGCCTGAGGTAGGGGATGCGTTGTGTGAGCCTGCATATGGGGATGAGTGGACGGATGACGCATCATGATAAGCGGGTTGAGGTTGGTAGTGTTGTGGTGCGCCTGGGCGCTGGGAGTGGGCGGAATGTGTTGATCCGCTGGATGGGAAGAGGGGGACAGATGGGTCTACGGGGGAGTGTGGCGGGCGGTTGGGAGGGTATCCTTGTCCCGGGTTATGGTGGTCGTGAGCTGAGCGGGTATCGACTGGTGTACGACCGTTAGACTGGCCAGAAAGGGAAGTAGAGTCGTCTTCAAATTCGTTGAATTTTCCTTCACCACGAGCGGTGGCGCCTAGAGCGTCCAGTTCGGTGGTGAGTTGAGTTTGGGATTTGATGAAGGATCCACGGTCGTCGCGCATGGGTTGGTAGCGGGTGTCTGGGTTTTTGGACATGATTGCGTATCCAGACGCGATAAGGACGAGGATCAAGAGAATTAGGGCAAAGACGGCGTTGATGACGAAGAATAATACACCCATGATTCCAACGACAAGGCCCTAGAGGGATGTTAGATTCATTGTATAGATGAGGGGAAAAGAGGTTTGCTTACAGGGAGTTTGAAGATTTCACTGAAGAAGAGAAGAAGGATGACGTTGAAGAAGTTGACGGCTGCGATGGAGATGTTGAAGATGTTCGTCTTCTTGTCCATCCATGGTCGTAGGATGGAGACACCAACGAGGACAGCAAGTTCAATGATCAGAAGGGAAATAGCCTGAACGTATGGTGCCTTCTGAGCAAGACCGATGAACATGGATTTGACCAGGATGTAGCCGAGAAGCGGAACAACGCAGTAGTATGCAGTAGCGCGGTATTGGACGTAGAGGAATCCCCACTTGTTGAGGGCTGATGGATCAGAGTAGAGGATGTAGGCTGGGTTCTTGTGCATCTCGACTGATTTTTTGGCTAGACTGATGACCTTGAAAGCCGCCCAACTGAGAGAACCGATGATGGCGAGCAGCATGAAGACAGCCAGGACTACTATAGCCGGAGAGTCAACCTGGGTGAATTCCCAGAGACAGAGAATGGACATTTGAGGGAATCCAATAAGCGTCTAACCATGGTTAGCTATGAACATATCAACGTGGAAAGAAAAAGAGCTTACCAGTCTGAAGAGAATTCCGCGCATGACAATCTTCCATCCGTTCCTGAAGTCCTGGAACTTGTCACTCTTCATCCAGCCGTTCTTGGCAGCCAACTCGCAGAATCCCTTGAAAGCGGTGACCAGAAGCACAACGAAGGTCACGAAGATGACAAAGAAGAGCAGACCGGTCATGAAGATGTTAGTGCGCTCCATTCTGGCCTTGAAGCCGACTCTGTCGATGCCGCGGATGACGAGGTTGTTGAGGGTTTCTCCGACCGACGGGTTATTGTTAACACGCTTGGTCAAGCCATTGGGAGAGGTAAGGATATGATTCATCACTTCCATGGACCGTTTCTTGACCGTTACCGACGTCGTTGTGAGGGAAGCAAGAACCGAAGACGGCGTCCCACCGGTGGCGCGCTGGTACCAGGTACAGATGTTCTGGATGAAGGTGACCCGAATGATACCCATGCTCCACTGGAAGTTCTGGGTCCAAGACTGGACGACTGGGGGCAAGGTGACGCTGGTCAGACCGATCATGGCCTGTGCCTGGAGGAAACTGAAGAGGGAGAGTGCGTTGGCGGCAACGTGTGCGGCTGTGTTTGAGTGTCCGAGACCAGAGGTGATGGCCGAGGCAACGAGACCTATTCCGGCGATCACAGCAACGACCCAGCCGACGGTTCTGTGGTAGACGGTTTTGGCATTGGAGAGCTGGCCCTCGAAACAGGCAATGGTCTCGTGGTTCTCGGCCTTGTAGATGTAGGCCCGGAATTTGGCATCAATATCGGGCACATTGTACGCAATTCCTAATCACGTTAGCATTGATAAGGGTCATAGATATGGGATTGAGATGGGATTAAGACAAAATGTATACATACCCGGCACTTTGTTGATGATGTCGTCAGAGACGTTCAGGATGTTGGTGTCGAGCTCGATGGGCCCGGCAGTCATGGGACAGAGGCCCTTGAGATCAAGACCCTGTGCACACGGGTTGAAGTCCTGGTCGACAGCCTTGAATCCGTAGGCATATAGTTCGAGTCGTGCGGTGACATATCCCTTGATGGAGGAGACGCCGAGGAAATGGACCTGCAGCGTCCGGTTCTCCGGGGTGAAGGCGATGTTGAAGAGGGTTGCGGTGAAGTCGGCATTGTTCTGGGTGGCCGTGTTCTCGCAGGGCACGAGCGACTTGGACTCGATGAGCTTGAGGCCGGAGGCGAGGTGAGAGAGGGAGAAGAGGGCGAGGAGGAGCGAGAAGAGCGGAGTGAGATGCATCTCGGCGGCTGTCTGGCCTTTGGCACTGCGACTGCGACTCGACTGCGACTCGACTGTGACGGCGACTGCGACTGATAACTTTTGGCGGCTGTCCGGGGTCTTCCTAACAGATCAATGTGACGGTGTATATTCGATACGCAGACGCAGACATCCCCTAGCTACTCATCAGGATCACGGACAACCAAGCCTGAGACGAAACGAGTGACGGAGTCGGCAGGTCCGGAGAACGCGCGAGGCAGCGCAACGTACGGAGTAGCGAGTGTACTCCGTCTGAGAAGTGTGTATGAAGTCGTGTGTGAAGTTGACGGAGAGAAGTCAAGGTATGAAGTCAAGGTATGAAGTCGAGTGTGAGAAGGTGAAGATGAAAGTGAAGATGAGAGAGTGAAGATGTTTCGGGCTTCTTTCCCTGGGACGCCTGGGTCTTGGGTCTTGGCGGTGTCTCAGGCGGGGTAATCTTGGTATCAACCACGTATCATCCTGCCAAGACACAGCAAAGGAGGCATAGATACAGTGTATTACAGTGTATTACAGTGTATCAACCCCTTATGGCCCGACTGCGCCCACAGCCACGCGTCGCTTATGATGGAGATATAAAGATGTTACTGGTGTTCTATTTAGATGCTGAGCTCTGTATGGAGCAGAAGGATGAGCTGAGAAAACGTAGTAAGATAGGAGTAGTAAGATACGGAGAGAAGATGTGAAGATGTGGTGTCTTCATGTCAGCTGCTACAGAGATGACCTAGGTAGTTTAGACTCAAGCACCCAGTAAAAGAGCAGAGGGACGGACGGCCGGACGGAACGCATAGATGGACGCCCAAGCCATCTTTCTTTTCCCGGTCTGTTACATCATAGACAACGCAAGCTGGAGCTGTCAGATCCAAGGTGCCGATGTGTCTGTGTCTGCTTCGTGTAAGAGAAAAGGTCGCAAGCGCCGGGAGGATGTGACCGGGTAGCTGCTTGCTTCACTCTGCCCCCGCCGGCTGCTTCTACAGGCCAAGAACAAGAAATTAGAGATGTCATCCCTCGGGCATCACACTCGCCAGCCAACCAACCGACGAGGACGAGGGAGAGACCATCGCTTCCCTGGTCGAACTGCGGCGTATCCGTCGGTTGGTTGGTCGGTTACTGGTCGAGCCGTGCCATGTCGAGTAGCACTCGCAGCAGGGAAGAGAGTTTAGTGCTACCTGCAGATTGATGAGTTGGCAAGCCGCGATGGCGAAGATCGAGGGTCGAACGAAGCAGAGAGAGCGTCGATGAGGCCAATCAGACCTCTTGCGGGCCGGGGCAGGGGGGGTGAGGAATGGCGGTTGACCGGGGGACAGCAGCCACTGACAGGCGTTCTCTGGAGTCTTGAGATGGATCTGGTGAAGGGAGAATCTGAGGGTAAAGTTGAGGTCGAAGGTGAAGGTGAAGGAAGCTGGTTATCGGTGTCTGTCAAAAGTATCAAAGATCCAAAAATATCTACGGAGTACCAAGTTGTCTACAAGTTGTCTACCAAGTTGTAGAGTCTATCAAACATCCGCCACACCTCGTCCTCTTCCACCTCCAACGACCAAAACGGCGTACGGAGTAGACAGACAACTGCTGTATCTCTCTGTCTATTCCTGTCGACTTGTTGACTGCCTCTGTCTGTGTTGACTGTCGACGTGGGCTGGGAGCAAAGAAAGTGGCTGGTCCATTCGTTTGCGCCTTTTCCTGCGCTAGCGAGTCCGCAGGCTGGGGACTTCTCCTTCTCCTTCTTCCTCCCCGTAGAAATAATACAACCGTCTCTCTCTCCCTTCTTCCTTGTCTCCCTCTCCTTGTCTCTTCTGTCCTCCCTTACTCCCTGGCCTGTCGTTTCTTCTTGGGCTTTTGCGCTGCTACCTTCTTGTAATTATATCTTGTCTGTTCAATTTTCGTTTTCTCGCCCATAGGAACCAGCAAACGGCTTTCGCAGTGACAACAAAGCAAACCGGCAGACACGGCCAGCAAAGGGACGCCTCAGTCACTCGCCTTGAGAGGATAAAGGGATCCCAGCGAGGAGGTTGATACAATCATCAACGGGGAGTAGTTCTTCGGTCGACATAGCAAACTGAAGACATAGATCCATACAACACTACTACTACTACAACAACAACACTACAACACTACGACAACAACTACGACAACTACAACGACGACAACAACTACACGGCGACACACTTGACAGTTAGATACCCGTGTCGTCTGACTATGATAGTGGCCTACTAAGGCTTCTTCACGATGGGTGTCGACACCCGCAGACCCATTCTCCCAGCTCCCACAGAGTCCGTCCTCGATACCACTGGCGCCAGCACCACAGGCACAGATCTCGCCACAGACGTCTCTCGCCGAACAGACAAGACGTCCTACTCGATCCCGGAAGATGGCAGTCCCGTCACCATCTCGACTCGTCGCCGCTCCTCTCGTCCCCGCGACCGCGACGAAGGCAAGATGTCCCGGTCCTCTCACCACTCGCAGACCTCCCTGCTCATAGAGTACTTTGAAGGCGGGAAGAAGAGCTCCAGCGGTGGGGGAGTCAGCTCGCGGCCCAGCGTCAGGGTCAGAGTCACCCCGTCCTCCAGTCGCAAGAAGGACAGAGACAGAGACCACCAGTCCGATCGTATCCATATCAGCGAGAACAGCGGCGGCCGAAAACCATCGTATACCAGGCGTATCTCGCTCAGCACGCCAAGCAGGTCCAAGGACGTTATCGACAGAGGTAGTGATGACAGAAGCCTGAGTTCTATGACTGATGGGGCTGACGATATGGGCGCCTCGCGTGGCCATCCGCTAGAAATCGAAATCGTCAACCGTGGCAGTGAGGTTTCGTCCAGATATATCCAGCCTACCTCGGACATCTCGTCGATGCCGGCGGACAGCATGCTAGACGGGCCCCTGATCGTATCCGAGACCCATCGTCGTCGAAGCCATAGCGTCAGCGGCGATGAGCTTGAAGCCCCCGAATCTCGAGACTTGCTGAAAACGCCGTCGAGGAGGCGGAGTCGTAGCCTGAGTCGTGAGAGGATCGCTCAAAAGGCTGCTGAGAAGATCAGTGGCACTGCTCCCAGAGATCGCACCCGGTCCAAGCAACGATATGCTGAGGGAAGCGGGACTGGAAGCCGAGACCTCTTCGACTACAGCTCCAAACGCTCTGGAAAGCATAAAGATAGAGACATGGCTAGTCCGGAGTCAAGCTATCTTAGCACTTCGCTAGCGTCGGGTAATAATGGGAAGGCCGGGAACGGGGACCAATACTCTTTCCGATCAGGCACTTCACGATCATCTCTCAATAACCCCAGACTCCTCGAAACCGTCGAAGATGCCATTCGTCGACTAATCCTTCCAGAGCTAAAGGAGCTAAAGAAGGACCAGAAGGATGATCCCCTATCCAGATCCAAAGCCGGCCGTGCAGGGAATAAATCCAAAGAGGACCGACTTTCAAAACGCTCCAGTGCACCGGATGTTTCTAGGAGCTTGGGTCTCGATGTTGATCCAAGGACACCTGCCCGCTCGCCTGATTCACGCTCGTCAAAGACCAAGGAGCGCAGACGTGAGAAGCGCTCCAGCCCACCACGTCGTGAACGAAGCTCGTCCCGCCGCGCCTCCGAAGACCGTACGATCGAGGAACCAGGCGTCAGCAGAAAGAAAAGCAAAGGCCTCCGCGATGCTGAGGCTGCCAAAATCGTAGGTGCGGCCCTTACCACCGCAGCTCTAAAGCATCACGACTCAAACTCGAGCCTGGGTCGACGAGAGAAAACGCACCGACGCAGCAAGAGTTCGCTTGCCAGCGGCAGCCGTGGAGGAATCAATGATACCGAACTCATCTTCCAAAAACACGATGTTGCGCCCATGCCTTTCCGGAGTGGTATTGACTCCGAGATGACCAGACAGTCTATCCTCTCTCAACAATCCGCTCAGACCGCTACTGCTCTTGAGGGTGAAGTTCCAAGAGGGTCGACTGGTGCCCTCGCCTCTCCTGCACGCATGACTCCAGAGAACATGAGAGAGCTCAGGAACCAAGGCAGCGGGTTGTCGGGAGAAGAGATGGATAGGCAACTCGTTGAATCACCAACTCCGAAATCTTTCCAACAACATGACGATATTGATTTCTCTAATAATCGTGCCCTCAGCCCAATTCAGAGCGTGGCAACCTACCATGATGACGAACATGCTCATGACCACGACCGCAGTTTAACTCCTGGCCAGTACGAGGACCCCCACAAGCAACAGCAACGGCTATCGATTGAATCTCTATCCTCTGCTGCCAGCACGGATCTGGCCAGATCAACGCGGACGGCAGACTATAGCCATGAAAAGCGCAACCCTCCCACCATACGTGATGAGGAATCTGGTGCCGAGCTAGATATTGGAGAGTCCCAGAGAAACTCGCCTAGCCATTGGGGACACGATGAGACTTTGGGAGATGAAGAATACGATCATGACCACGACCTCGAGCACGAGCACGACCGTGATCTCGATATAGACCCGAAACATATGACCAACTATACCGACGACACCTTTACCGACCCACTCGACCAAGGCCAGCAGATCGCAGGCGGACGCGGCGCTAATGTTGAATACGTCCATGCTCCGCTAGGAGTTGAGTCTGCAGTGGCTTCTCTCTTGGATCCTTCTCTCCTCTCTACCCGTTCACCACATCCTCTCGTCAACCGTTCGTCACGAAGCTATACTCCTGGCATGGAAGGAGAAGAGCAGAGCAGGGGCGTAGATCTTGAAGACGAGACTGCACCGGCTGAAGAGACTTATGAAGATGATGAGGATGAGGATGAACATGCCGGCGTTGACGAGCGTCCATTCCATGAACGCATGGGAGTAAGCTCACCACCACACAGCGCCGCTCAATCCGATGAAGGAGAAGAAGAGGAGGAAGAAGACGACCATGATCTACCACTTTTGGGCGCCACCGCGTTGCCAAATGCCGGTAGCCCGATCCCTGAAATCGGCCACATGTTGGACTCCGAGTCGGATATCAACACTAACCCTTCAATCATTCAAGGGCCTATTGGCGGTGTACCCCATGAAGGTCGCGACCATTGGCCCTATGAGCCTAGCCCACCTCAATCAGGCAGACAGTTGATATCTCCTGAGCGAGAACTCGGCGGTTCCGGCGATGATGGCGACATGAGAGATCTAACTGGGCCTGAATATGGCGCTGGTCTAGGTGTCATCACCGAAGAACCAGGCCATGACGATATGATGTATGATATGGACAAGGGTCTCGGCTCTAACCCATATGGCAATGACCACTTCGACTTGGCCTCTCCAGGTCCAAGGGATGAAGGATATATCTCCGGCGCCAACCATAGGTCTAATAGCAGCGCTACTCCAGAGCCAAAGGGTAAAGGCTATGACTTTTCGAACGAAATGGTTGGCCTTGGAAGTCCGATGGATGTTGATGATCCATTTAATGATAAGCATAAACGACATCTAAGCGGGTATTCTCATGGCATGCCATCGCCACTCTACGATAGCTCGACTGGTCGAGGTATCGATAGGATCCAGTCCAAGGATATCGTTGCACTTATGGATCATGTAAGTTGACATCTTTCTCTGAAATTAGTTTGTGGAGGTGGATCATTACTAACATATCATATCATAGTTGACGGTTCGTGACGCTCAGCGAAATGCCAGAGACACCGAGATCTTGATCACCCTTGTCCGCAGTGCTGCCGAGATGCGCAACTCATTCGAGGATATGAAGAAGTATATCGCACAACAAGACGAATTGTTGCTTGACGCCAACACCAAGGGTCATGATCGCACTCAAAAGGCCATCGGCGGCCCACGTCCTATCCCTACCCCTCGTGCTCTCAGCAAGCAATCCAGCGACTTCGAGGAAGAAATGCGCTCGAAGAAAAAGAACGTATTCAAGAGGGCGCTGAAAACTCTTAGCTTGAAGAGTTCAGGCGACCTAACTAATATTGAAGAGATGCTTCTTCACTTGCTGACTGAAGTCGAGGCTCTACGAGCTGCTCAAGATGGTCGAGCTCCTGGTACCGGAAATTCGGCTGAGAATATGAACGGCGATGGATATGAAGATCAAGAACGCAGCCCCCCGGCTGGTCAATCTCCATATACCAACTCTCCACAACGCACGAATGACACCCGAATGCATTCTTCTCAACGCGGCATCAGCCCTGTTATGGAAGTAAACGAGGAAGAGCCCTTGACTCGTGATGAGCAGGAAATTCTCGAGAACCCAACACCTCCCGGCTCTCGATTCGTCGGACGCCATAAACGAGGTGCTTCCGTTCCATTGGCAACTCCTGAGCGCGTACCGACTGCTTCAGGTGCTCCTAGTGCCGATACAACTCCCAAGATGTCCAATGAGAAGTCCCGCAAAACCAAGTCTAGCAGCTCATCTTTCTTCCCCAAAATATCTCGATGGTCAAGAACTACTGCGTCCTCCATGGGTGAAAACCTGCGCAATAGCATCCAGCCTACCCGCAAGGAACGTTTCTCGTCAGAGGCATCTCGCTCTAACTCAGACCTGGACAATGCCAATTACACCACCGCCGAGTACTATGACCACCGTGGTGATGATAGGCTTCGATCAAACACGAGTGTCAACAAGGATGACACCGAGAACCGTCCACCTTCGCCGCTAGTGCCTTCACAGCTTTCGGAGAACCCTAAATACCGAGCTCACAGGGATAGCTTGAATCTCCAACACCCCCAACCCCGTCAGGGACCTACCTCTCGATATCAGACACAGCTCGAGTCTCAAGCACAGCACTATGGAGCTCCCCGTTCACCTAACTCTGAGGCTTGGGCATCAAACCCTACGCTTTCAGCTGTCAACCGTGATCGCCCCGGTAGCGCCGCAGACAATCACCGACCAATGTCAGCGGGTGCATACTCTGTTGGCTCCTCCGTCATGAGCCATAGTGGACCAGCCCGGCCACCAAAAATCAGAGACGATGGCCCTCTCATCCCCCAGCGCACTTCCAAGCTAGGCGAAGACCCTAACCCAAGCTATGCCGAGCGTATGGCAATGCGAGAAGGCACCGCTCGCATGGTTGATCATGTGGTAAGTTCCATCTCCATATACCAACTTCTACTATTTTACCTGTAGCATGTGCTAACTCTCTCATTTATAGAACAACAATGGCTCCCCGTCTAGATCATCTCCAGGACGGGGTATTCCACAGCGAAAACCAACCGGTCCCCGACCATTAACCAGTTCTGGAAAGAACAATTCCACCATGGGTACTCAGCGAGCCCAGTACGACTATGATGATTATTGATTTCCCCCTTTATTCTGCTTCCGACCTTTTCCCCTTTTTCCACTTGGAGTTAAATTCCCCTTCTCGTTTTCTTATAATGGGCGCTTCGTCATTGAATTCATGTAAAATCTCTTTCCCATCCCAACCACCTTTTATTAAATAGCGTTCAACGATTGCTCCTCCACGCAGGCCCCTTCGCCAACGCCAACAAAAAAAAAGAAACTATCGCCTGCAAAAAAAAACCTCAAAATGAAAGGAATTAACGAACCGTCTCGAAACATTCCTACGATTTTCCTATGTTTCCTTTCAGTTTTATGCAGACCATGATTTTTTTGCCCTCAATTAGCGTTCATTCTAATCCCTTGCCCCCCCTTTTTGCTACGACCCCTATTTGTTTTGTACCACTTTCGATATGAACGATAGCATGTATATGTTTGCTTTTGCTCTTTTTATCTATTACTGTCTTATTTACCTCCGGCCTGACTCGGAACTTGGGAAAAGTACTCTCACCATTTGAGCGCTCCAGCCTCATAATTGATTAGCTAGATTTGTGTCCTTGAAATACAGCGTTCTGTTGAACCCTTGCACCACACACTATATTCCCCATCTCATTATATTGTCTTGTTATTTCCCAGAGAAGATAGAAAGCTCTGCTAAAAGATAATTGACATGCGGCCTGGTTGATTCTATATTACCTTGTTGGATTGATGAGCAAACATTAAGTAGCTGGTGCATAGTAGAACACTACACATGTATCCATTTGGAGAGAATGAATGTACAAGGGGTTATCTTAGTAGTAACTGTGAAGTGACGTAAAAGCGATTTGATATGATATTTCGACGTCATTACCCATAATTTCTCTACATTTTTGAGGATTTTGCATCATTTGGTTTGTATGGAGAGCTTGTCTTGGCGGTTGGTTATCATCTGGGCAGCAAGCTTATGAAAATGAAATGGTCGGATTAGACTTATTACTTCTCTCCTACGATATACAACCCGAGGATCTCATGTTTCGCAATAAATCATCTCGGATATTGGTTTCCGGTTACATATCACGCTCACTGTCAACGGAAGCAGCATCGACATCGCCCCTAACGATGGCTTCTGCAACGACACAGCGCAGGTTCGCGCCATTGAACTCCAATGACAGCGAGCACCCCCCATTGAAAGGCATCGTTTTTGATGTTGACGGAACGCTCTGGTAAGTATATATGTCTACTTTCTTGATAGATAGTGCCAGCCTCATGTTATACAGCTAAGCTAACTGTGAGCTAATGGAAATGTGTATAGCCTGCCACAGCATCATATGTTTCAAGAGATGCGGTAAGATTATCCGCTGAGATGTTAGAAAAGTCTTAGGAGACCCATCGAAACTCATGTTCATCTCATTTGCTCTAGGGATGCCCTTGGTATAGAGAAGGGCGTTGATATAATCCATCATATCCGCGGCCTCCCCACCTTCACGGAGAGGACAGATGCCATCGCAGTAGTTCGGAGCATCGAGCGCGAGGCAATGGTAAAACAGGTTCCTCAGCCAGGCCTCATCGAGCTCATGGATTATCTTAATTCAAAGGGCGTCAAGAGGGCATTGTGTACGCGCAACTTCGAGTATGTCGTTTGCCCCTCCCAACTACCCCTCGTATGGATATAGGCTGCAAGACTTATCCATGCTAACTTCGTTTCGATGTTTAAAGTGGCCCGGTCAATCATCTTATCAAGTCTCATCTCCCTACTCATATCTTTGCACCGATTGTGACTCGCGATACGCCTAATATAATGCCCAAGCCTGATCCAGCTGGAATCTTGCATATCGCACGCGCCTGGAACCTTGAAGATGCTGGCGATTTGATCATGGTATGTGCCTCACATCACGGCGAGAGCTTGTTAACTAACTTTTATGCTTGATAGGTTGGTGATAGTTTGGATGATATGACGGCCGGCCACAAAGCTGGAGCTGCTACTGTGTTGCTCATAAACGAGAAAAACCAGGATCTCAAAGACCACGAACATACGGATCTATGCATCGAACGTCTAGACGACTTGATCGATGTATTGGAGAACGGGTTCCAAGTGGTTAGAGAAAGGTCTTGAGTTCCGGAGTCCAGAACTTCAATACATACATAGATGTCAGAGCTACAGTGGAGAACTACGAATAGTTATATGCAAGATTAATGATGGTAGGGCTATACCTTGCTTTTTGCAGTAGGAGGGCCTTCATGAGTAATTGATACCAGGCCCTGCTTTCTAGGGCTAATGCTGGTGATTTCATATTGTAAATAGTCAGCGCGACGTCAAGTCATTTCGTCGCTCAGACATCGACGGCTGGGTCACCAAGCCTAGAGCTAACTCGTAGCTGTAAGGCTGGGAGGGCCCAGATCACTGGCCCTAAATCTAGGATTCTAGTCCGACGTGGGCAAATATGTTAGGATGCGTTCGGGTAATATAACTTAACGCTCATCTTTCAACCATAAACATGGTATCGGAGGCGATAGACTTCCGAAGCAATGCTGTTTAAAATATGTCATGGTGCCACCCATATTCAATACAAGGTGTCCCGAGGAATTCGATAATATCGCTGGGGATGTGGATGCGCGTCTTTGGTAATAGCACATTGGGCAAACATCGATCGTGTACGCAAACAGATAAGAATGGGCAGTGAAGCTCACACCCATACACGCCCAGGGGATTCGGACCGGCTCGCTGGTACCGGGTGCGTTGGTGGCCGTGATTTTAAACTTCTAACATTGTCGTAGTAAAATGGTATATTTCGGTTTCAAGAATTTCGATTATTCTTCCGTTTGCCTCGACCTGGCATTGGCCTAGAGGTGTCCTTTCCACCCCGCTGGCCGCCGCCGCCGCCGCCACCACCACCACCACCACCACCACCTCGTCCACGGCCCCTTCCAGAGCCACGGGAGGGCGGTAGCGGCCCTCTTGAGCGGTTAGGCGGCGGAGGTGGCCTATACTGGTTTCCAGGATATCGCGGCTCTGGGGAACGGGATCGCTGACGGGAGTTAAAGCCAAAGAATTGATCTCGTTCACGATACTCACGGCGAGCGTCACGAGGGTCGCGAGGGGGGTAGCGATCGCCGCTGCCATTATCGTTAGAGCGGTTTGGATTAGTGCCCAGGTTTCGGCCTCGGCCAAGGCCATCGGCAACCCGAATATGCGAGCGAGGGGCCGGGGGCGGATTGGGACGTGATCTGATATGAAATTCGTCCTCTTCTGGGGTTGGCTCTCGCTGAGCGCGACCCTTGATTTTCAACTGAGGGATGGCACCATTGGCCATGCCGCTCGATACGCCAGTTGGTAACTGGCTTATATTCGAAATAATAGATGGGTCAAAAGTCTTTAAGCTCCAGGAAGTGGAGTGTGTTGGGTTGCGGATAGACGGACAGTCCCCTAAGAGGTGTTGCGAGCTCGTGCAATTGGCACACGATATGGAAATGGATAATTTTCCAGAGTTGAATATGGCCTGTGGCAACTTCCACATCAAGTCACATTGGGACTCGATGTGTTGGTTAGAGCTGCAGAAATCGCAGGGAACTTCTTCAGCCGACCCCTGAAGAGACGATGAGCATGCCTCCTTGTCATGTCCCCGTTCTCTGCATCTCTGGCATCGTCGCCATGTAGGGCAGAACCTAGACTCATGGACTCCCCATGCACCGCAATGCTCGCACTATGTTTGTAGGAGTTAGGGCACACAGATAGATAGCAGGTGAACGATTATACTTACCTTTTTGCTAGGGCAGATGTCTGATAAATGTCTTTCTTTAAAACAGTGCGTACACCTGACAGGGGCTGTGGGATCAGGGGCTTTGGCACTATTGTATAGTATGTACCGGCACTGTTCCTTGAAATCCTCTGCACTCAACTCCGCGATAGTCTGTGGTGGGACGCTATATTTCGAACTAAAGGCCTCACGGGCAGCTGCATCTACATCTCCATCATTAGCAACGTCATGTATCTCCTCCACTGGCTCTGGCTGGTCTTGAATTCCAGCCTGGGAGGTAGTATCAACAGCAGTTGGTAATTCCCTCTGGTCGGTACACGCCGGCTGTGGTTCTGGGTTCGTAGTCTCTTCGGGACTGGTCTGGTCCATATTCAGCAGGATAGAGCTATCGTTTTCATCCATGTCCGACGGATCAGTCGTATCGTCAGTCGACTGATCACTGTCGACATCGCTGACATCCTTTGCCGGGCTAGTACGGTCCTCGGCCCGAGTCTCAGCCTCCGATTCATCCTCCGCCGATGCGCTTCCGCTGCGCCAGTACTTCCCATTCACCGCGTTGAACGAACTGGCCGTGTTCGCTGGCTTGGGCGCGGCACGACGAAGCATAGTCCGCACTTTCCCCTTCCGCACGTTATTCCAGTTGGCAGAGGACTGCTTCCCGGCGACTCCAGCCTGCGAGCTGGACTGCTGGGCATCTTTGCCCGGTGCAAGACCGACAGACGCGGTGCGCGAGTCGCAAGCTGCATCTTCCGCGACGCGCGACATCTCTCCGTCCTAGGCCACGGTTAGCTTCAATTGCGTCCGAGTATGCCGTGCAGCAGGGCAAGCTTACCTGTAGCCTGATTACGGAGTACTCGCGGGGTAGAGGGTCCTTTATCTGTCTCCTGTCCGTGTCTTGGAGTCTCCTTTTGAATGAAGTACTAAGTAAAGAAAAAAAGTTGACCCTTGAGGAGTTGGCTGGTTAGTCAGCATCGATGTCTCGGAGCGTCGTCCAGATGGGAGAAGGGAAACCAACGCAGTTCCAGCATCACCACCAGGCAAGCAACCAACCAAGCTGCATGCCGACGACGCCAAACGACGCCAACGGATAAGCTCTAGACATCGCATATTTAAAGCAACAAGGCTGCCGGGATTGTCTTAGCTTGCATATAAATTGAGGCCACTTTCTACCGTCGCTCTGGGCCAGTCTGGCCAATCTGTATTTCTGTCCATATCCTGCATCCCTCGCCATCTCTACCAGCTTATCCTATAACTAGCCACTCGCCCGTTCTTCCTGCAACACGCCCTGCTCCCTGTCATCCTGCGGAAACGTCTCTCTCCCGCCTCTCCAACAGGCCGCTACCTTCCTGACGCCTCCCAACATCCTCGAGTCCTCCCCCCCTACAGTCAGGGCCCGGAGAGCAGCTGTATACGACCTCACGGCGTTCGATTAAGTCGATATAATACGGAGTAGATCGCGGCACGGTCTTTCTTCTACCTCGAAAATCTGCCATAGCTATTTAGCTTCCAATACCGCCAAACTGTCTCCCCTTATTGTCCCGAGAACCTCCTTCTCGTCCACGCTAGAGCCGCGGCCAACGCAAACACCATCGCACCTATCACCAGACACGGGGATGAGTCAGGTTAAGACAGGACGGAGGAGGAGGTCCAGCAGCATCATATACCAGGAGCCTCCGGAATCTATAGAACACACAAATGACCAGGCCGCGCTGCCAAACCTAAATGCAAACTGGGTCAATGCAAAAGGTGAGAGGAGTGTGCTTCTACCCCTTCCCGTCAACATCAACATGATATAAGACTCGGTTGCTGACTTTAGAATCCCTGTGTATTAGGTGCCTGGACCATCCACTTCGTGCTAATCATAGCGTTAAAGATATTTTACGACATCATACCGGGCGTGTCCCAGGAGACCTCATGGACGCTCACCAACATCTCCTATATGTTCGGCTCGTTCCTCATGTTCCACTGGGTCAGAGGAGTACCCTTTGAATTCAACGGCGGAGCGTATGATAACCTCAACATGTGGGAGCAGATCGACAACGGCGACCAATATACCCCGGCCAAAAAATTCCTTTTAAGCGTCCCCATCATCCTCTTCCTCCTGAGTACGCATTACACGCACTACGACTTGACATATTTCATCATCAACTTCCTAGCTGTTCTCGGAGTTGTCATTCCAAAGCTACCTATCGTAAGTCTACACTTCTTTCCCTCCTTGGCTCGCTCGTCTGGCCTGGCCTGGCCTGGTTCTAACCTGGACTACAGTCACATCGCATGCGGATAGGTTGGTTGGCGGACGACCCGGAAGATTCGTAGTGGAGTAACATGGTTTGGGGTCTTTGTAGGATCAATTTAGAATCAATTTTTGAAGTTACTTGCACCAAAGTATTCGTTTCCAGAGAGTCGCCGCATCCCTAGCGTAATTTGTGTCCTTTCTCATTCAAATCGGCTCATGGGTTTCCACAGAGAAGAGCGTTCCATAGTATTAGTCTACACGGATACGGTTTTAAACTAATTAATTCATCGCTGTTATATCAAAACCTCATCTCACGATATTTCATCCCACGCGCATAAATAAACAGACTTACGTACCCCATGTTCCTGGTGGCTAAACGATCGCCATGACATGTGACGGCTAGCTTGGCGGGAAACAGCTCAATTTCCAGCAAGGAGACATCAACTACGGAGTACGCGCTTACAGTATACAAGCTGGGCCATGGGGAGGATAGGGAGACTGCATTCTACATCTATTTACGTGTATGGAGCAAGGAGTGGCAACCGGAGATAAAGGAGCAGGGGCTTGGTTGTGGGTTGACCCCTGACATGTCTTATCCATGCCGATTTGATTCTGGGCCACGAGGCTAGATGCTTGCCTGAATATATATGCGAGATGTGCAGACGGATGTCGGTGTCAGGAGGCCAAGTCGAGTTGGAAATCTCAAGGGCTGCCTCCCAGTTCGCCTTGGTGGCCATGTTAGGGGGAGAACCGGATTGCTCTGACGGCCAGTTGCCTACACAGTTTGACGCTTTCATTCCAGGATTAATGAAATGTACCACAGCGCCCCTAGTGGGTTCGTACACAGTTGGGGAATGCCCTGGATTTTATTTTTGGAAAAGAGGATAATTATATTTAAGCAATAGCCGGTGTCATCAAACTCGGCAAGGCCCGAGATTGTAATCCCCCCCCTAGCTTGTAAGATGCCTTGGTGGCATACTGCATAGCAACTGACGAAAAAGATCTATCCTAGATGACGATGATCAGAAATTCCACCTGGAATGGCCTTGACACAGCTGGTCTCATGCTGCGATCATCCTCCCTTTATAACACTGACATGGGTCACCTTGGGTTTGACAGAGCGCCTCGCTCGCTGTACAGTCACCACAGAAATAACACCCATCGGGCGGGTTGCAGTTGCCTTCACCGATTACGCATCTGCCGTGGTGGCCAACGCAATGAGTACACTCAGCGCCAGCTTGGATTTCGAGGCGTTTTTCCTAAGGAGGATAATAGTTAGTATTGACCAACGATATCTAGTCTACCCTAGGATGGGGGATCGGGGAGGGTGTGTCAATGAAATATCTTCCATACTTCAATCATTGCTTCCTGGAGCAGTAAGAATATGTCAGTATATGCGTTTTTCAGATATTATATGGCTAGTGCCGGGTGTAAATAGAGCTTACCGACTCCCCAATGAAAATGTCATTGCCATTTGTGTAAGTGAAAAGCTCAACTCCTCTGGGAACTGACGATTCTGGCAATGCATCTACTCGCAGACCGAATAACAAGGCTGTCAGGGCAGTCAGGGTAAGGAAGGAAACGTTCTTCATGGTGGATATAGGAGTTGAAGGCTAAGATATGGCTGAAGTCGCTAGCCCTTTATTTTAGTGTGACTATTCATCCTGACGGTTCATGGTGCAAGACATGCCCATTCTTATACCCCAGCTCGAGTATTTTTTAAATCAATAGAGAATAGTGAGAACATGGCTGTGAAGCGCAAGGCGCTGCATCGGGCAAGCTGAACACGGCTTAACGCTGGTGTCCTTGGTGAGACATGGGCAATTGCAGTATCGATGATATCTCTAAGTCAACTGGAGGCGGAATTATGCATTGTGGTGTGAAGTATCAGCTGAAGAGCAGGTATGTATCCGCATACCGGAGAAGAGAGGAAGAAGACCACTAACGTATTCCACCAGTCAACGATCATCACCACTTAATGAACACACCCCAAAAACTCTGCATCCACCAAAACAACCACCTTCCAACAGCCACAAAATGGTCAATGAGGCAGCAATTGCTACTGCGATTAAAGATTTAAAATCACAAAAGACTCCTAATTACTCACAAACCGCTAAAAAGTTCAAAATTAACCGAATAACGCTGGCGCGGCGGTATCAAGGTGCTACAGTCTCAAGAGCTGAAGCAACATCTATCCATCGCAAAAAGTTGACAAATACACAAGAAGAAGTACTCCTACAGCATATAAATCAATTATCAGAGAGAGGCCTATCACCTACGCCCGAGGTACTGCGAAATCTCGTATACGAGCTCACTAAACAGGCTGTTGGCATCAACTAGGTGGCTCGGTTCTATAGCCGGCACAAGGATCGCATTAAGAGTCTCTATCTCCGCACCATTGATCAATCCAGGCATGTTGCTAATAATTCCAAGCATTTTAAACACTTTTATAAGCTTACAAGTACTTGTTTATTAGTAGTTAGCTATTAAATATTGATATTAACCTCTTCTTTAGCTTAGGGAAGCAATAAATAAATATAATATTACTCCAGATAATATTTACAACTTTGATGAGAAAGGCTTCCTTATTAGCCTAGGACATGCTGTTAAACGGGTGGTTCCTGTTCATGCGCTTAAAAATAGAAGGATAACAGCTATACAAGATAGAAGTCGCGAGTTTATCTCTCTACTCACTACTGTCTCTACAGATAGAGAATGGATTCCTCCTACACTTATTTATAAGGGAGAAGGTGATCTACAAGACACCTAGGTGGACGAATTTGACCCTCAGAGAGAAATAGCATATTTTGCAGCATCTCCAAATAGCTAGAGCAATAATAACTTTAGCAAGGAATGGCTTCAAATATTCAATAAGCATACAAAGGCAAAGGCTGGCCGGGGAAGAAGGCTTCTTATTCTAGATAGCCACTCATCTCATATCAATATGGGATTCATCGAATATACAGATAAAAACCATATCTTACTAGTTATCTTACCTCCACATTCAACACACCATCTACAGCCATTAGATGTTGGGATATTTAGGCCATTAGCCAGTGCATATTCCCAGGAAGTTAATAATCTCTTACACAGCGGATATGGGTATCTATCAATGTCAAAGCGAGACTTTTGGAGACTCTTCTACGCTACATAGAAAAGAGCTCTTACACCAGCAAATATTAAGTCTGGATTTGCAAGTACAGGGATATATCCTATTATGCCTCAACGTCAAATGAAATACTTCGATAAGAGACCTCTAACACCTCCGAATATCGATATCGAGCCTCCTACCCCTATTACTATACGGGGTCTCCGCCGCGCGGTTAAGAAAGTGCAGCTCCGGCAGTCATTAACCAGCCTTCATATATCAAAGATCATCCGCGCCAGTGAGAGGCTGGTCTTCAATAAAGAGATCTTACTACATAAAAATAAGTCTCTTACAGCTACACTTATACAAGAGAAGAAGAAAAGGAAGCGAGGCAAGGGCTTAGGCCTATTTAAAAAGGATAAAGCAGGCCAAGCGCAGATATTCTCTCCATCTAAGGTTAAAGCAGCAAGGCAGCGAGCTATCAAGGTAGAGACTAAAAAACAAGATAAGATAGCTCAGGCAGAGGAAATAAAGCTTCAGCAATCGATTTACCGCGATAATAAGACTCAAGAGGCTACAGAGAAGAAGGCTCAAAGGCTTACAGATCAACAGCAACGTAAGGAGGCTCTTAAGAAGGCCCACGAGGAGACTGCAGCACGGCGCGCAGAGGCAGCGATTAAACGGAAGCGTAAAGCTGGTGAATTGGAAGCTGAGCAAATGGCTAAGAAGGCCAAAAAGGCTCAAAACAACGTCTCAAGCCCTATCTCACCTTCCCGATTAGGAAAGAAGAAGACTTCACCTTCTAAGGTTACTCCTATCGATCCTATTACTCTAATACCCAATTTCCTATCCCAACCGCGGGGAACCCGTTCCGGGCGAGTTATCAAGCCCAACACTCGTTTCTTTTCTTAATCTATCTAATTTGTATGTAAACTAGAACCCTACTATCGTTATTTAATAGTCAATTTTATTTGTTATTTACGTTGTGTTGAGATATCTCGATATTTACACGCATGTTTGGACGTAAGGAGCATTTGGAGGTGGTGATCGTTGACTGGTGGTGATCGTTGACTGGTGGTGATCGTTGACTGGTGGTGATCGTTGACTGGTGGTGATCGTTGACTGGTGAGATACGTTACTGATATTATTCCAAGATAATATTTCCAGCGTAGTTATTAGCATCTTCAGTCTAATAAACGGACAGACGAAGGATATAAGATAGGATTGACCATTTCTTCCTCCGCACAAGCGAAGAAGTTGAAGTTGAAGTTGATACAGAGGATGGCCTGTTTGGGCTTAGCTCCCGCTGCGGTTAACTATCCATGGCGGAAGATCTCGAAGCGCGCATCTTGAACATCTTGAACATCTTGAACATCCCGGAGCTTCACCGCGAAAAGTGCCGCAGGGCCGGATGCTTGGTGCTTTATCCATGGCTTCAGAGTCCAAATATCGCCCAGTGAAGGCTCTCCCCTCTGAGCTGTGTTATTACTGCAGCGCATATCTAGAGGAAAGACTGTGTATGGTGCCCCGCGCTCGCGACCTGCCCCAGATGCTGAAATCCCACATATGCGTCTTCATCGAGGCACCACGATAGCTAATTCTTGCCGTGTCATGCCATATATAGACTCACAAGCTATCAGCCTCCTGCTGAGCATCCTTTCTTCCGGTTCCACTGCTTCCCGGACAGCATTTGTCCCACCGCCGCCGTATCTCGCTCTAGCGGCAACCCTAGCTGTACATCCTACAACCACCACCCGTTCCAAGCCGGAAGAGTACCGACAGGCGTCCAATTCAGCTCTACAGCTGCTGAAACTTATCAACAAGCTTGTGGGACCCCTTGGCGGCGGATTTGGTACCGCATTTGTCTTTGATCGCTATGCCAACCTGAGAAATGGTGGCCGGTATGCGGCAGATGGTGATGCATCGAAATCAGGCGGAATCAGCCATATGCAGATGGACCCTTTGAATCTGGATCTTGCGCAGGGCAATTCACTATGGTCACACGCGGAAGATTTTTGGCAAGTTGTGGGATGGGCACTCAACTGCTCCGTTCTACACCCCAAGAGATGGACCCGATGGTATCTATTTTTGCAATTTATGTGCGATATCTTAGAGGATGACTGGAGAGAACGGGAGAAACAGTTCAAAGCCACTCCTGCTAATAGCACCAAATCCAACAAAAGCTGTTCGGTGCTCACAGAGAGTCTAATATTTAACTACATCTCTACAACTTCGAGTTACACTGGACGTGATAGGAGGATTTTGAAAGCCATTTTTGCTGATGGCTCTCAAACGTCAATAAACGAATATAGGGAAGTTTTTAATAATGAACTTAAGGAGCTTTTGAAAGATACCGATCAGATGTCAGGAAGGAAAGGTGACGTGAATATCGACGAAGGTGCTTATGGTGATTACCTTGACGGTGCTGATTACGAAGAGGAAGAGGAGCTGGATGCTATCCCCAAACCATCCGGTGGTCCTGATATAGCTGAGCCCAGCCGAGCAAAACGCCAAAGGAGGTCTACCAGGAAGAAGGCCGAAGCCAATGCGATTTTTTCAGAACCTGGAGATGAGGCCCCAATAAGCGCAAAATATGATAAGTTGGACCACCTAGGGAGCCTACAGTCTCTCACTATTCGCCAACGGCTTCTACACCTATTATCCTGCGTTTCAAACACCATACCAGAACACTTTATGTCACTCGATAAACTTTACTCCTTCTACGTCGAGTTTATTCGGCACCTCCCGCTCCCTACCTTTCAACTATTAGTCTCTCCCTCCGTGCTTACCCACTTCCCTCCCGCCTGCCAGACCACTCTTTGCGAAATGCTACTTTTCAATCTTCTCGAGAATGCCGCCCCGGGCTCGAGCGAGAAGTATCTCAGTCAGAACAAGCTTGAGAGGTGCTTCCTTCCATTTGCTTCAAATACCAACAGCATGATTGATAACGCGAAAGTATCAATTTTGCTAGAGTCTTTAATTCGCCTCCTTGCAGCCAATGGATTGCTGTTAGCTAGGCCCACGCTAACGGCTGCCGTTGAAGAAGGCATCGGTCATCGAGCAGAGAAGGCTCAGAATGACCTTAAAAGAAGCCATAATAAGAAGTTGACTGAGGAGTTCGGATGGGTGTGGCTGATTGAGAGCGGGGAGCGTATGGTGTATCTGGTTAATAAGATCATTCCGAAGGAGCCAGCTCGCGAATACATTGTTCTTGAACCGTAATACCAAACCCCATCATACCCTAAAATATATTTTCAGCGCTGCCCGCCTACTAAAGAATGGAAAGCTGAAGAATGGAAAGTCCGATTCACGACCCAGATGGGCATATTGTTTTTGAGACTGTTACGAATTGTAGCTGTCGAATTTCGGGAAAACCAGCCCAAACCCGTCTCATAGTCATTTGACTAGACGTGGATTGCTTCCATATGTTGTTCTCCAGACTTCAACACGCTCACTACCCACATAACTAGAATGACGGTTATATTGTCAAATCAGTCTGTCATTGGCGTCAACTAGTTTACTACTTTAATTCGTTGTTTTGGTCTCCGATAAAGCAGAAAAAAGTCCCCAACGATGGCACCAAAATTATTTGCCTATGGAACCTCTTTCATCCCGATATGCGCTCTCAAGGCTATGAGTTTGAGATTGAGAGCCTAATGAAAAGCCTGTGAGGGTATTCGACTTTGTCATTTAGCGTTTGAGAAATGTCCTCCAGCCAGGAACTTGAACCTATTGATACAGTGGTTGATAAACACACCTTAGGGATAGGATTCTAGATATAATTTATCTAGCAAAGCGTGAAGGCATAAGGCTATGGCTCATGTATAAATTTTGACTTTGGCTTACAATGAGCGAGAAAAGATAAACTAGCAATAGTTTGTTCTGGCTGGGATAAAGATACTGGTCCCATCTAGATAAATAGGCACTTCTTTATATACTCTGCAATACGGAGTATATCGCCGCAAGTTTAGACGCACTATTAACAAATTCCATCAGTATATATGGGCCTATCTCACATAGCCCTTCTATACCCCAATCAAGAATAGTCGGAACAAGAATAGCAGTATTTTCTTCAATAGCGTGCATAACAGCAACCTCTGCATCGGTTTTCAGCTCCGGAAACACAGATATTGAATGCGCCGACGCGTATTATACGAGCACAATTATTCGGTCGAGATACCGGATATTTTGTTGCCATAAATTCGGTACTACCCCTCAGAATATCTGGACTTGATGCCTTCTTCTTGAAGACATCAAATATCGCATCGCTTTGTTCCCAATATAAGTCATCGTATATTGTATCTCTGTGGCTACCGCAGTTCTGGGTTGGCTGCTCTCGATAGGATGTCGTTCTGGGTTGACCACGTGACCTGTACCGCTCCTGATTAGATAAGCATGTGTGAGTGACGCAACACGTGACATGTCTTGGCCTCAGTTTGCTTCCAACGTTGCGATGAAGAACTTCAACACCAGACATCCCTCATCTCGTACTTGACTGCCCCTTCACTCCCATAGCCATGGTACTATCTCGGTTACAAGACGCTGTTTTGATAATGGGAAATCCCTCATAAGAGAGAGCTAAGTGGAGCTCCTCCGTGGCTGCTGATACCAAAACCACTGATAGGATGGTTCCCTTTGCCGTTGGGACCTTGTCTGCTCATAGGCTTCTTGTTCTTTCCTCGAAAATGTTCGATTCTTCCTTAGGGAGTACCGAGCGAGCTCAAGGATGCTGTGTTCACGACATAGGCATCAATCGAAATTTCAAGCTTCTAGCACTCCTATAAGATAGCGAATATTGTGTGGGGTGTCACTTTCCATCCATTAGAATGACTTATGATCTTCACATAGGGTTAGTTGGATCATAATAGTGTCTGTTCATCTTGCGGTGGAATCCTTATCATAACCGGCATGGGCGGCTCTAAGGAATCGTTTTCCTTTTTAGCGTCTAGCTGAAGTTTATTATTCTGGCTAGATCTCTCATCGCGTGGCAGCGTGGATATATCAATCTTGTTGTTTGGCTCGGGTTTCTTTCTAGAGCCCTCATTGCGGGCAACATGGGTATATCGATATTGTTGTCTGGCTAGATATTCTTTCTTCTTGCCAGTGTCTTGCTCGAGTTTCTTGCTAGATATCTCATCGCGTGGCAGCGCGGGTATATCGATCTTGTCTGGCTAGAGATTCTTGCTTCTTGCCAGTGACTAGCTCGGGTTTCTTGCTAGGTTCTCATCGCGGGACAGCGCGGATGGGCCACCTTACGGTGATATTGTTGCATAGCTCGGGGTCTTTTGCTTGCTAGGATCTAGCTTATGTTTCTTGCTAGATATTCCCTCGCGGGGTAGGGTGGCTGTTTGCCTTGCGGTGATACCGCTGTGTTTCTGAGGCTTCTCGTTTCTTGCCAGAATGCTTTGGCTGATTGCTAGGGATAATCCGGGTGGCTCTGGTTGAAGAATTGTCTAGCCAGCCGGCTTCAGAACGTCATACGTCATCACTGCTGCCTAGGTACGGCACCGATGCCAATTTAGGCAGTATAAATGCTTATGCCGTGAATTCTCAGGAACGAATACCAGTGGGGGTTTGGTACGTAAATTGGTTTTCCGGAAGATGTTATGTCTTCATCTTCCTTTGTTCTTGACGGTGATATATGGCCAGGTCATTGGATTGGACAACACTGGCGATTGCAGGATGAGGTTTCGTGCGTCGATATCTGCGTCGTGGATATAGACCGGCGCTCGTTGCAATTTCCAGGCCGTCAGTTTGTTGAGTTCATCTTAGTTTCGCCATACTGTCTCTATGGTGTACTCGTCACCAGCACTGCGTAGAAGTGTGAACTCTCGCTGGTGTGGTTAGGCGCTGCCACTACCTAACCAACCTTGACCGAGTCAAGGATTTCTCCAGGGGGATCCCTCCGCGATACCAGTGTTCCCCAGCACCGGTAGGAGGGCCGTCACCCCTATCTCATCACCCTCTCCAAGGCGTCCATCCCCCGCCTCGCCCGCCGTCTCACCTCCTCTACGGCCGCCTCTCGTCTCCTCACCGCCGCCTCCCGCCTCTCCGCCTCCCTCTCCCTCCCCCTCACAGCCCTCTCCCTCCCCCACACGTCCACCTCCCTCCTCCCCACGTCCGCCCCCCTCTCCTCTTGCCCCCTCAGGGCCCTCCACGCCACCCACATACCCAACAACGTCCCAATGGACGTGACCCAAATACCCCCGGCGGCCACCGCCGCAATAATCGCTGCCGACATCTTGTTTTATTTTTTTTTTTAAAAAAAATCTGGAAATGGATGTTCGGACGATCAAGATCAAACGACAGACGTTGGGGGAGAGGGAGAATTTATAATATCACAACATGACTTGGGGGTGTTCCTGCCAAATTCGTTTTTGGAAGGCGTAAGGAGGGTGGAAACAACGCCTGGCTGAATATGACTAAGGCCAGATGAGGATAAGCAGAAGGAGACACCTAAGGACGATACTGAGGATATCCATAACAGCAGATATTAAGGATCACTCTAAGGATACCTCTGGAGCCAAGCAGAAGGGTACATCTAAGGATATACACTAAGCATAAGTAAGGATATGCCTAAGAACAGATATATACAAGCAGAAGGATACCTCTGGCAGCAAGCTCAAGGGAGGCCTTCAGCATACATTTAAGGATGGATATTGAGGATAAACAGAAGGGTATATTTGAGGGTGATACTGAAGATAAACCAAAGGCTACATGAAGGGCAAAGATGGAAGGCCGATATACTATCAAGAATATCCTACCAAGCTCACTCGAACACAGATCAATACATAAAGATGGTTCCTGTTAACTAATTCCTTACTTGTATCACACCGATATCGACTCAGTCCACCTTCATATCTATTATATGTGGAGGCCCGTATTTCCTATGAATCCCTTCAGGGACAAGCCCGATTGCATATATCCAGGCCCTTGTACACAAATCCGCCATCCGAGGAGATCTAGTTGTAGGCATAGGAAGGGTAATTGGGACAAGTGTAAAAGGGCCAGCTAGTCGATATTTCGTAAAATCCTCCAAGTCAAACTCATCCACCACGGAACAACGCGGGGTGGGATGACGGCCCCATACAACTCGAAAACAAGTACCAATTGCCTTTTTATAGTCGGTTACCCAGGAGGGTTCGGAGGGAAAGTAATGTTTCAGCCAGTCAGGTTCAAATGGAGAGTAGAGTCTCCCGATCGATCGACTAACATAGACCACACACCATTCCTGACCTGCATTACCAGGAGTATCGCTCGGCAGGACCGCAAGAGACACCTGTGTTTTGCAGCTCACACACTCGTAAGATTTATCTCGCCATCTCCAAGTAGGGACAGGGCCAGGCTGTGGACGAAACAGATTGTAGATTCCCGCGTGTTCCAGCTGCAGATGCGGACAGACTGCTTGGTTGAACTTGTTGCACAACGCCTCGAACCCCATTAACGTAGCAGGTGTTCCTTTAGGAAACATGCGAATACTATATTTTATAGTGATATTTGGCGATGAATATAGCTTCGTAAACCACTTGCCCTGACGCCTTCCATGTATCTCTGATATTAACTTATTAATGCTGGCGAAGCTGAACTCGGTGCCTGCTCCAAGCTTAAGACATTGTTTAGTCGGCACACAGTACCGTTCTGATGGCCCTTTTTTTAATTCTTCTGAATAGAAGAGTAACGGTGATGGATGTATAACCAGACACCCACGGCAGCAATAGCCCTTTGCCTCCCTACTATTCTCGAGCATACATAAACCCTTAAATCGTGCTTCCTTCCTTGACATTATACCTTTAAAAGCGTCGGAGTAATAGAACCGAGCACAAGTAAATGCTAAGGCAATCGAGGCATCCTCAGAGTCCAAGTGTTGAGATATAAGAATAAGTAGTTCCGCTGGTAGTTTGTAGAGGTGACTATGGGCTGCGTTATGTTCAGAGATGCGGTGGCTGCGGCGACGATGCAGATAGGGCCAGCCATAAGTTAGAGGCATTTGGGGCATTTGAGCCAGAGAAGCAGGTTGAACAAGTTGGTATCGCTGATGATTTCGCACGATGGTTAATTTGGTCGGAAGCGCATTGAAGGAAATGGGCCTCAGACGACGATCATGGTATATATAGCCTTGGGCTATCCTCTGGATGTCGATGACGTAGTTGACCACCGGTTACCAGATTATAATATGGTGATACCGGAACGATGGGAGGCAACGAAGTGCATCCCACGGTTGG